CTTGATTTTGGTATTGTTCCCAACGAGGTAAGCGTAATTCCCGTTTGGGCCTGTGCTCACCCACCAGATAAGAGGCGCCCGTTGATTGGCCAGCGACCAACCTGATATCTACAGCCACTGACAATGGGACAATGGACTTGCGGCCACCAGCACATCTTCCATTCACAGAATGGTATCGAAATCATTTGCTGTTTAATTTCCATTATTGACCTCTGTAAGTAACTCTGTCCCTGTTTTGCTATCGTCCGCGCTTCCCGAGGAGCTACCCTAATCTCCCCTGCTTATCGCGTACTCGCTGACGACCTGGGCCACCGAGCTTCAGATGCACCTACACAATAGTGCGAAGTAACACATGATAATATAGAGATCAAGAGGATACACAGCAGATATATGCATCTATCTCACGCTTTCTAAATCTCCGTAAAGAAAGGTGCCCTCGATGTTGAGACTCTTGACAGTAAACCATTAGAACGCCATAAGGTAGACCCGTAATTCCCCGGCGCATGGGTCCCATTCTCTTTGGAAACGCCCCCAAACTGTCCTTATCCATGAAAATGGCTGAAATGGGCGGGCTTGGCTCCAGCTATCAGTCAGATCGGATGAATCATAATAGAAATCACCATGACCACCGTCTTAGTTTCCACTATCTGGGGCTAGGATTGATGGTTCCGACGCTCTTCTAGCGTGTCTCCACCCCCGTTTGATGTTCCATATGTATTGCGTCGCTATTTAATTATCAGGCCCTGTCCCTGCAGCACTTGATAGATCAGCTCATTCTTCTCCTTTTCATAGCCCTGGATACCGGGTTTAAATCGATTGATCTCTTCTCCTCCCTGTTAACCTTCCACATCAACCATACATCTACTCTAGGCGGGTCTTGGAGGACTATCCCCCTCATTTATTCGTCTGATTTCGCTTTCAGTACACCTATCCGTGACATTGAGCCATCTCACTAGTTCTCGTCATGTCTGTTGAGTACAACGGGACCATCGCCACCGGCGGTGACTCCCTCAACGATAACCTTAACATCTACTATAATGTAAGCAACACACAGATGGATCATTGTATTTCTCCCGACAGATTATCAGAACTGACTGAAATTCATTCAGGCCGGCGATATCTCTTGGATCATCACATCATCAGCCCTTGTGCTGCTCATGATTCCAGGTGTTGGGTATGTATTATATCGTGACGCGTTTTATTCCTTAATACATCACTGACTCCTGCTGTTTAGTTTCTTTTACTTGGGTATAGCTCGCCGAAAGTCCGCACTCTCTCTCATATGGCTTTCTATCATGTCCGTCGGTGTCGTGTCGTTCCAATGGTTCTTCTGGGGTTATTCGCTAGCTTTCTCCCACACTGCCGGAAAGTTTATCGGTGATCTCTCAAACTTTGGCATGAAGGATGTTCTGGCCCAGCCATCTGTCGGAGGTACCGCCGTCCCGGATATTCTATTCGCTATCTTCCAGGGCATGTTCGCTTCTATTACGTGAGTACACCAACCAAGATATGCTTCCCCCCTGAAGACTAACACCAATGATCTTTAGGGTTGCTCTCGCCGTCGGTGCCGTCGCTGAGCGTGGTCGTATGCTTCCTTGCATTGTCTTCATGTTCATTTGGTCGACTATCATCTACGACCCCATTGCGTGCTGGACATGGAACCCCGCCGGCTGGGTTTACCAACTCGGTGGATTGGACTTCGCCGGTGGTACTCCGGTTCACATCGCGTCGGGTTCTGCTGCTTTGGCATATTCCCTGATGCTGGGTAAGCGCCGTGGCCATGGCACTCATGAGCTCAACTACCGCCCTCACAACGTCACTCACGTCGTCATCGGCACTGTCTTCCTTTGGGTGGGCTGGTTCGGCTTCAACGCTGGCTCTGCACTGTCCGCCAACCTTCGCGCTGCTATGGCAGCCGTTGTCACCAACCTGGCTGCTTCTGTTGGTGGTGTCACCTGGTGTCTGATGGACTATCGCCTGGAGCGCAAGTGGTCTACTGTTGGCTTCTGCTCTGGAGTGATCGCCGGCCTGGTTGCTATCACTCCCGGATCTGGATTCGTCACCCCGTGGGCTGCTGTCATCTTTGGTGTGGTGGGCGCTATTGCCTGCAACTATGCAACCAAGCTGAAGTTCCTGCTCCGTGTCGACGATGCACTGGACATCTTCGCTGTCCACGGTATTGGAGGTATCGTTGGTAACCTCCTCACTGGCCTCTTTGCTGCCGACTACATTGCGCATCTAGACGGTGCCACCGAGATTGATGGAGGCTGGATCAACCACAACTACATCCAATTGGGATACCAGCTCGCGGACTCCGTCTCTGGAATGGCCTACTCCTTCTTTGGAACCTGCATCATCCTGTTTATCCTCAACCTTATCCCCGGTATGAGCTTGCGTGCTCCTGAGGAGGACGAGATCATGGGCATCGATGACGCTGAAATTGGCGAGTTTGCCTACGACTACGTCGAGATCAGACGTGATGTTATCAGTGGTATTGAGAGCAGCGAGACTGGCTCCAAGCGCACCGTTACTCCAACTGGCGAACACGCTATTGAAACTAAGGTCTAATATCGTTTGCGCCTTGACGGACTTTTATCAATTCTTTAATAATTTCTTTTCGGTGGTTTATTTTTATCATCCATCCTTTCCCTCTTTCTCTTGTTGTCTTCTTCGACTTCCAGCATTTTGGATGACATCCTATTTCTTTTTTCTTATATTTTATATGCATTGACAGATACCCAAATCAAAATCAAAATAATGACAAAAAAGTCCAGAGCCACCTCTAAGATAAATGTTGTAATAAAATAGGATTACGGGAAATGGAATGGTTACATAGTACTAAAAAGAAAGATTAAGAAATTTTAACACACGATTTGAACCAGACAACAGACGGACCAGGACCCAACCAATTTTGTTTCATCCTATTTCTTAGCAAACATGACCTCGGAGTTGATTTCAAAGCCGTGATGAATAAGATTTGTAAGGATGTATCGGGCCGAACTAGGGCCGATGACTGTTGGGCTCGCCAGTTGGCAGCGGGTCATGCTTGAAACGGGTAATATTGGCAGAACTGGGACATGAGAAAGATAAAGGAGAAGGAGAGCAGACTAAGTTATTGATGTGAATGGTATGGTTTCGATGCTAAGGCTAGTCATGCTACGACTATTTTCCTACGGTTTTTACAAGTTCGGCATTAACTATCAATTTTTCTCTCAACTATGACAAATTTCTTCTTGACTCGTCGGCATTGAGATCAAGGCCGAGAACAAGGCGCTGACTGAATGCCGTCAATCGATGCCCGTTCGGACTTAAAGTTAATAATCGTGCGTGTGATCGTTAATAGCATGGTTGAATCAGTTAAAGGTATTTAAAGGTCACCTCATAACAACCAAATTCAAGTACAGCACACATCAAATCTATCTCAACTTTCGAAACTTACCTACTTCGACTATCTGCGCAATATCTATCATGGCCAAAATCATCACCGTTTTCGGTGCTACCGGACAACAAGGTGGCTCTGTTATCAATACCATTTTGCAGGACGACATCCTATCCAAAGAATTCAAGATTCGAGGAATCAGTCGCGATATATCGAAGCCGCAATCTCAGGCTCTTGCAAGCCAGGGCGTGGAGCTCGTCTCGGTAAGATTGCAACTTGAAACAGCAGCCTGAGGCTATAAGATGTAAGAAATCCAATACTAACAGCATTGAAGGCCGACATGAACTCTAAGGAGTCATTGCTGAAGGCCATTGAAGGGAGCCATTCAGTATTTCTCGTTACCACTCCAGCTTGGGGAGTCGAGGGCTCCGATGCGGAGCTGGTGCATGGAAAAAACGTCGCCGATGTTTCGAAGGAGACAGGTGTCAAGCACCTCATCTTTTCTTCCTTGTTGAACGTCACCAATGAAACAAGTGGCCGACTCAAGCACGTTCCCCACTTTGACCACAAGGCCCAAGTCGAGCAGTATATCCGGTCCATTGATGTGCCCGCTACCTTCGTGCTTCCCGGATATTTCATGAGTAATTACACTCAGCTTGGAATGCTACGCAAGGGGGATGACGACGTTTATACATTGGCGTACCCGGTTGGCAAGGATGCTCAATTCCCACTCATTGATATCGCAAGCGATATGGGTAAGTATTAAACAAAGCTTCAAATTTTACTAAGGCAAATGCTAACATGAGACCTGCTAGGTAAATACGTCGCAGCTGCCCTGAAGAATCGTTCAGCAGTTCTCGGAGCCCAGTTTTTCGCTGCTGCAGACTACTATACTCCAGCTCGCATTCTTGCTGAGTTTGAGGAAATTACTGGAAAGAAGACTCGGTTTGTGCAGGTGGATTCTGAAACCTACAAGACTTTTATACCGGGGCCGATGGGCCAAGAGATGCTTGAGAACCACCTCTTCATCGAGAGTCCTGGTTATTTCAAGGGCGAAAGCTTGAAAGAAAGTCATGACCTGCTTGAAAAAGCCAGTTACCGTCCTACTACCTGGAAAACCTTTTTGGAGCAGAACAAGTACTCTCTGTGAAATGGTTGTTAGTTAAAATATTGAATAGTTATACTAGTCTCAATATTGAATTAATTACCAAGCTACTGTTATGAGTCCGAGTCTTCATTTTGCCTAGGCAACCAAGGCAAGCGTTGATTTATGAATCGGACCATTCAAGAGTAGAAAGTCTTTCAAATTAACAAAGAGAGTTGTCACACACACAGTGATACTGTCGATCAAATCCGGGAAAGTTCGCAGAATGTTGACATGTGTGACACAAAGTCTCAGGTGTACACACCTCGGGTGACACTTGATCCGGTCTAGCCTGCCCGCTACCCCACGATCGACCAGGGTTGCGTTAGTGCTCTGACGCCATTACCTGTGATCTACCCTTTTAAGACCCTTCCCTCTTCTTATACTTCTTCTATTCCTCCGGCGTTCCCATCTAAATACAATCCGCTCGTTGATATCTTTATACGCCCCTCAACTGCCCAACCATCCTCACGTGCAATGTCTGATCCAGGAGCCGAGCTTCAATCCACTCTACGCAACCTATCAATTGGCGAGACAGGTCGTCCAGTGCAGGACATTGTGCGTCCTACAGTGAAAGTAGCCTCTGCCACCACCCCAACCTCTGCCCCGAAACCTCGAAAGCCTATAAAGAAGCCCGTTGCAGACTCTTGGGAAGACGAAGCCACGTCCGACGACGAGCCTGCTTCACAAGGAGATGCCGCACCGTCTCCGTCCGTTCTCTCTCCCACCCTCAGTGCAGAGGGTCCGCTAGATCCTCCGCCCACGCCCATCTCCCCGCAGACTTCTAATCTCTGGGCCGACACGGGTCGGTCGGGCTCTCCTGCTGCGGGGCAGCGTGATCCGAATCGCCGACCAGAGAAGCAAACCGCAGTCGCTGGTCGGCTGATCGCGGGCGCGCTGGGTATCCGGGCACCGAAGCGTACTGAGGAGCAGCGTGCCTACGATCGCTCTGTCAAGGAGCAGGAGATTAAACGGCGAAACCGAGAGCGTGAAGAACAGGCCAAGGCCAAAGAAGACGAGGAGCGCCTGAAATCTTCGGTGTGGACGGACTAACTCTTTGGTCTGCTCTTTAGTTGCTGCTCATCCATCTTATCTTTCAATTGTACATATGTGTTTCTCTTTGGCGATTGGTCTATTGATGAAACGTGTGCGCGGGTGGTTTCTTGCTCAATCTCGTTCTGTGCACATGATGGCTCGAGATATCTCATACAACAGATGTCTACTATATGTTTATGTTTAATAATGTGGAGATAGCTGGATTATCTATTAGTCGCTGCAGGCTGCAGCGACGATCGCCTCGCGGCGGGAAAACTTTCAGAGGTAGAGATTTCTATCCTTTTTGGAATTCGTCACCATCCAGGAAATATGTAGATTCCCACAACCATCCCTTCCATTCCTGTAAAATTCGTTTAATCGTGAAAGAAACCAGAAGCAAATTCAAATGTCAATGCGATGTACAGCCGCATCGCCGGTCATTTTGCAACCCAGCAAATCCATATGCGGTCTGCTGTCACATGGTTCGCTCAGGCGGAATAGTTCTCAATTACCGCCGCCAATCTGCTCCTGGTGGACCTCGAGAGTATCGCCATCGGCCATGTCAAGCTGTAAGATATCAGTTAAAATGGACTCTTCGGTCTTCGCTGTGGCGGTCACGTACGGTGTCTGGTGTGTCCTCGGGTCGCACACGAGTGCCGTCGAAAAGGAATCGCACAGTGGACATTTGCTTCCCTTGACGCTCGCAGAATGCATCCATGAGTTTCTTGAGCTGGGTCGAACGCTTGATTTTAAAGAAGACCTCATTATTGTTGTCCGTGACCTTGATGTTCAGGTGCTCGGTGGGAGCAGCGCCTCCTTCCTGTTCGGCGGACATTATGATTGTAGAAAACACTGGCGAGACAGTTGTCAGAGAGAGGGAAGCTGTGAGGCGATCGTGGGGCGCTTACACGATTGTCAAAGGTGGTGGGGGGGGACAAGTGGTTGTATGATGCTAATTTTGAAAGACAGGGTTAGCAGTCGCGTAATATGTCGTAACGAATAGGAATGGTTCACGAAACCCACTAAGCGGACGCGGGAGAGGAAATTTGGAAAAGCGATGGAGGTGGGAAGGCAACAGGTGAGGGAAGGTGAGAGGTGAGGGAGGAAAGTCGATAAGCGGCAGAATGGCAGCAAATGGGAAGGCGGAGAATATATCTTGCGTCACACCTCAAGTTCTATGCAGTTCTGTCTTTTGTGTTGCACGCTTTGCCCTTACATGAAAGAGAGAGATATACTTGTATCAAACATAGTACAACATGGTAAGAAAGGTCTGACAAAGCCCCAAAAGTTCACCAAGTTGATTTCAAACCGTCCAGGGGAACCTCAAGCAAGACTTATCCCATGAGACGCCTTGTCATCCGCGTGCCGTACGTTATGTCCATTCACTGAGTTGACCTGAGCAGCTTTCCAAGGTTAGAGCTTTGTGGCTGACCCTTCTTCTTAGTGTGCAATTCAAGGTATGCCATGTGGCTGAAAGAAAGCCAGCCCCAATTTTGCCATGAAGTTGGACTAACCCAGGGCAGACTGCTTGACCAAAAATTCTTACAAAGAGGAGAAATGCCAGACACAAATCGACGCTCTCTACGAGTGTTGCAATGCCTTCTACCAAAAGAATGGGGACCAGGCGTCGGTCGTGAGCTGTCCTAAGGCCCAATTGTTGCGGCTTAAGATGAAACAGCGTTCTCAAGCAGCCGAGAGCCAATCCTAGAAGTAATCTGGGAGGGCTGGGCGAAGGGCTAGAGCTAGAGCTAGAGCTTGTAGATAGCAGATAAAATAGAGAATTCCTCAGATGGCATGTCGCAGCCCCTTTGCAGACTAAGCTCCCACATAGAAGAGAACGAGACTAATTGAAGGACTGCGATCGCTCTAAGACAATCTTGAGCACGCAAGGAGACCTCATGGGTCTGAACGAATATTGAAAACTTCCGTTCCGAGACTCTAATGAAAGCCTAATGACATTTGTGGAAAAGAAAAAAATTTGGAAGGGCGGAAGTTCCTTAAATACCTGATCCCGTGCCGACCACACTAACCGCTTTGAGTGATGTTTGTTCCTTTTGATTTTGGGCGCGTTAGCCAGTTCCTTCTCTCGCTCTTGCATCAACTCTCCACTGGGGCTATTGTTCGCCATGGCGCCACTTACTAGATCCGCAAGAACAGCGGCTTCAGGTGGTCCGACTCTGCGATCAGAGGTTCGTATTCGGTTTCTTTCTTATTATCTTCTTGCACCCGACTGACAAGCATTGCTCTCTCAAGGCCGCTCAACCACTCCGCAAAGAACCAGAAATTATCAGCATTGACGAGGACGAAGAGGATGAACCCATGGAGGATGAAGAGGTCTATGAAGATGATGAAGAGCTAGAGGAAGAAGATGAAGACCAAGAGGGTGACAATGAAGATGATGAAATGGACGAGGCCGGCCGCTTCTATGGCGACGGAGCGGCGGATTCTGGATCCGCCTTCCCTGTATTGGAACCCAGTCTCAAATCTGTCATGGGGATGTCCAACAGGTCTCAAGGTTTGTAGAGCTCTCATTAATGATGCCTTACCATAGCTCATCGGTTTCCCAGGTTCGCCCCAGCTGTTTACCGCCGCCGGCGCGCAAGAAGCATTCGACCCCCTTCGCCGCACCGCCGACCGCGTCACAAAGCAAATCGAAGCATTCGCCAAGGAACTCGACCAGTTCAAACAGAAAAACTCCAACGATGACTTCCAGAACATCCAAGCCGCATACGAACTCGTCGACAAATACCAAAAGCTCACGAAAAATGCCATCCAAGAGTCCGAAAAGCAACAAAAGCTCAAACGCGCGAAGAATTTCCGGTCAAGTGGCAGCGAGGACCTCAAGGCGGAGGAAGAATTGCGGCGTCTGCAGCTGGAACTCGATACTTGGCGCCTTCTTCTGAACCTGATCAGTATCGACGACCCGGCGAGTCGAGCCAGCTACCAAGAAGGACGCCAAACCGCTTTCCAAAATTTGCACCGCTACTCATCCGATCGTGAAATCTGGGAACAATTTCTGAACGCCGATCAATACGCTCTCGAGTGCGTTGTGGCTATGAAATGGCTCCAGGAGACTTCGAAGACGGGCGACCATGAGCTTGAGTTTTTGATCACCGATATGGAGGCTCAGGCGGAACGTGGCCAAGGCCTATGGTCCCATGGGTGGCTCTTCACTAAAGAAGCTATCAAAGGACACAAGCGATTGCGAGCTTGGCCTCAGCCATTAGAACCCAACGATACGGCGCACGCGATGTTGAAAACCGACGATCAAAAGCCGCTCGTTACACAGCTGGATCCCGATGCGCTCCTTCGACAAAAACACAGCCTGCAGGCACAGGATGAGTTCTATGAACGCGCTACATGGATGACCTGTTGGAAGATGCTTCGACAGGGTGAGAATTGGACCAAAATTCGCGAATGGGCCCAAAGCCGCCTCGAAAACTGGAGGGCCGTTAGCCTTTGCGGCTCGAGTGTTGATGGAAACAGCACTAAGACTCGCACTCCAGTCGACGATGGGTTGACACGCCTAATGAATGCCCGCGCACAAGACTCCTGGCGCGCTGCCTGCTCAGCTTTGGCGCGCAATACCAGCGCAGGTGATTTCGAGCGTGCAGTCTACGGCTTGCTGTGCGGCGAGAGTGATTCAGTAGTCAAGGTCTGCAGTAGCTGGGATGACTACCTTTACGTGTATTTCAACCGTATCGTCCTCTCACGCTACCAGGGATTCTGCAAGCAGTTTCAACGAAAGCTGAGCCATTCCCCTAACAGCTCGGTTGTCTTCACGCCTGAGCCAGCTGGACACGCTGATCTACAAAAGTTCTTCCACTACTTGCGAGGCAACGAGCGAGTTGGCAGCGAAGCACGCAACCCATTCCGCAATCTACAAGCAGCCATTCTCAGCAAGGGATACGATTCTTTCTTCTCCCTTTTGGCCCAAGCGGTCTATCAAGTCAGCGTCAACATACATGGGACAGCATCTATCATCCCAGATATCCCACGCTCGCAGGTGGATGATGCGTACCTCATCGCTGCAGAGGACGAGGAGGCTGTTAAGATCGCGACTCACGTTTATCTTGTCGCCCGATCTATCGGTTACTCTCGCGCCGATAATACCAAGACCGCATCTGTTGTTGTCGCTGGCTTTATCGCCAATTTGGAAGCGAGAGGCCTTTTCGACCTCATTCCCCTATACGCATCTCTTCTGCCGACAGATATGTGCCACAGCGTCTTCTCGAAGATCTTAATTGACATCGTGAACCCGAAGCAGAGGAAGGATCAGGTTCGCCTCAATCAAAAGCATGGTATCGACATCAATGCCGTCCTGAGACGTTCAATGGTCTTGGTTAAGCACCGGTGTTTCTTCAATCGAGCATTCGCCCGGTCTCACTGGTTACTCCAGGGTGGTGCGCAGGCAGGATGGCTCGCGCCTGCTTGTTCCGCCTAAGAAAGACTTGATCGGAACATCCATCGCAGACGAGGACGAAAATATGATCCGGAGTCTCGAATGGCTTCGCTACGTGGGTGGCCAATGGGTCAAGATCTGCAAGCTTGGAGCGTGGCTCTACCGCAAATTTTTCGTTGCGGGCAAGCTAGCAGCTGCTCGGGAGCTCAGTCATCGCATGCCGTTGTCTGAGATCTCTCAGGAAACGTTCGGATTTGACATCCTCGAATTCCCTGCTCTGGATGTGGATCAATTCATTGCCGAGAAGAGTGCACCTTCTAGCCCGACCAAGTCGAGGAAGAACAGTGCCCATCGACGCAGTCTGTCCAGTAACAACGGTCTGGCGGCCAACAACCCCGCCAATGCCAACCAACAATGTGCTCTCATGTTTAACTTTGAGAGTCTTGCTCTTGGATTCGATAGTCTGGAGAACTTTGCTATTCTCTACGATCAGATTTCGAGGTAAGAGCGTTTTCTGCTAATGTACGTGCGGCACTCAAGCTAACTTGGAAATCAGGACCAAACGTCGACGAGACTCCGGTACGGTGAAGGATCTGTTCACCGAACTAGGCGACCATCTTGGTTTCATTGAGCAAAGTGTCGGTCAGATGGTGGAGGTAGCTGACTGGCCTGGTACGGCCGAGAATGGTGAGTGCTCCTTTACGCCCGTACATGGCAAAAAACAGAGATCAAAAACATTGTTTACTAATTGGTATCAAACAGCCGAGGAAGAAAAGGATTATGCGCATATCCGTCGCACGTATCTCCCTGAATTGATTCTGGACTACCACAACGCCTTGTACTACGCCAGCAGCACCCTTGAACAGTCGGAGCTGCTTACCCAGTGCATGGTTGTGGCCACACTGGTTGCGAAAATCCCGCATTTGACGCGTAGCTTCACCGAGGCGCAGCGCATGGCTGAACTAATGGATGTCTTGGCATTGGCGGGTAAAGCCATGATTCTCACGGATCCGAAACATGATGCTGTTCAGGAAAGTGGCCAAACTCTCGGGTTGTGGAGGGTTAGTGTTCCAGAGGGCGACGACACTGCCATGTTGCAGCAGATCAAGTGATACAGGGCGTGTGGGGCTGGGTAATGGGATCGATTGTGTAAATTAGCATGCGGGGGAGGACAAAGGGATACAATACAAACCACATGGAATATGGAACATGGGGGCGAAGATTTGATTATTCAAGGTTTCAATTATGGCAGTGACGAGGATCTACAATGCACGGAGACCCTCTTCCGGATCCTTACACCTTTTTTTTTTTCTCAATCAATGTCAATCATTCTGCAGTTCTCAATTATTAGCTCACCCCCTCGTTTCATGTCAATCTGAAGGATAACAACCACAACCACAAAAAACAGGAAAACGGCCTGATACTAGTACTCATCGGCTCCCCACACCGTGTACATATGTTGCGTGTAAGACTCCTAGTAACACATGTCCCCGGACGAATCGAAACAAGCCCCTTGGCCATTGTCATCCCGGAAACCCAAACCGCACACAGCACCCCTACTCGTACGGCTCCATGAGCTTATTTCCCAAAACCTTGGCCGGGAACTCGTCCTCACCCAAGGCCGTCGTATGCGCCCAAGGTTTCAGTCCATTTTCGCGATGAATCGTCGTGGCAAAGCACTGGCTCCAGCTGTGTCGCGGGAAATGAGCGGACACATCCTCGATGGTGGCCGGGTGGACGAGATCGGCGTACGCACCGGTGTTATCTGTGACGCAAATCCGAAGTCAGTGAAGGGTATGGGATACTCCATAGTGCAGCTCCACCCGTCTACTCCGTAAAGGGCAACGGGAACGAAAAAGAACAAGAGAAAAAGTCTAAAGTTCGAAGGAGATCGGATTGATGCTGATCGCGGGAAAGTCGGTCAGAAGGCCGCTTTCCCGTCGATTATCTGTCCGAATTGATGCATCGTCGTCATGACGGTACTCCGTATGTGGCGTCAACTTTCCACCCTGTTGTACGTTTCAGGTAAACGCAAAGGGGGCAAACCATAATTGAGAAACGGCCAACGAAAAAAAGAAGGTTTGGATTGCGGGAGAGAGGAGAGGTTCTTGCATATCCGACACGTACCGAAGATCGTCGCGAGTTGCAACAATTGTCCCACCGCAGTAATTTTGCCAACAGCGCACAGGTCCTGATGTCGGATGATCGCCTCCGCCACACTCTCCGCTTGTTCTCGCGTCGAAGCAGACTCAGAGCCGGGCCCACCCCGTTGCAGAACATCAAGTGCCAGGAACCCGCCGTAGAACTCAAAGCTTAAGCGGGTCTGGGAGAGATTCTCGTCTGTGGTGCCGATGTCGTGGAGCACGCAGGCGAGGAAGTAGGTCTCGTCCGAAAAGTCCCAGTCTGCGAAGGAGGCGAAGCGGTACTTTTTGATTGCTTGGCCAAAATGGTAGACCCGGAGGGAGTGGTTGTATGTTGGCTCGGGAAGGTGAGTGCGGGCGTAGGTGTTGATGCGCTGGGCGAGGGGAGTGGTTGGGATGGGTGTCTCGGAGACGGGGATGGCGATGGGGGCTGTGTTTGGCTTAGGATAGGTCGGTGTGGAGGTTAGTAGAGTGGATGCTGAGGCAGGAACGGCTGTAAAGCCGAATTCTTTGATGGAGTCAGTCATAGTGTTGGAGTGGGTGGGAGGTTGCGTGATGGAAGAGTTGAGTATCCAACTTGGAGGTGGGTTGATGTATACTACTGGAGTGTACTAGCATGCCTTGGGAACTCCTGGGATTGGTTAGATATGAGTCTCACCATAGCAGATAAGTTTCTCTATAGCCATCTGAGAGTATAATGCCCCAGAGTTATACAATTGTCAAATACTACATCATCCTCCGGTTCATGGAGTTGTATAGTCTGTATAGCTACGAGGTACTAACTGGCTAATACGAGTACGAGCGCGACTTCAAGTTAGCATTGGAAGCTTTCTTGGAAGAATCTTGGAATCTTGGAAAGTCAAGCCGACCATGTACTACTAGGACTCGCTTGAGTGGCCAAATATGCCCAGGTGAGCTAATATAAAATACTACTGTAGTAATACTAGTACTACTGCATTATGCATATATTCTCCGGAGTGAGTGCAAAGCCACACTTTTCTGATTGGAAGCTAACCACGGGCAAACGCGTCGGTTTTGATAGGGGCTTGGTCAGACTGATTGATGGATATACAGTACGTTATTCCTGCTGTTTGCGGTGCAGTGCGCTCTGGCAGTGCATGATACTGGTAGTTAGTAAACTCCAGGGTTGAATGTAGTAGTAATGACTCCATGGAGTCAACATGTCATCGACTTCAACGTTGGTAACTACGAAATACTCGTACCAACTGAATACCATCTAAACTACCCTTGAAACTCTCTCCGTTCAGACATTCCAAGACAAACCTTATGATTTTCGATGTTGAGCACAGGGAATATCCTGGATTTCCCCCGGTATTGACGCCCAAATTGCAGTGCTGGTGCCCTATTGTCATCACCACCAAAGCTACGAGTACACGAGCTACGAGCTACGAGCTACGAGCTAATATTCTATGGCCCCCAACCGCCGCACATAAAGTATTGGAGACGTCATCTCCACTCAACGGTCCAGCGCGCGCCAAATAATTTGTCTTCTATTGCCCCTTATTCGCCTCCCTTTGCCCTCCGGAGTCCCGGGGGCGGCTTGGCACGCGAGGCAGTGCAAACACTGGAATTCGAAGCCGCACCAGCCTGCCTTTTCTCCCGTTTGCCACCCCACTGCTGGAGAGCGAGTGATCGAGAGAGGTGCCACGATTGCCTCATCTTCTTTTCTTTCAATCAATTCTCCTAGCAGCAAAAAAAAACCCAGAGGCCCTATGCCCTCCGATCCAAAGCCACGTCCGTGAGTGACAAGTCGAGCGCAACACCGCACGCTATCCACTGGGGCTGTGCAAGTGTGGAACCCTACCCCGAGCGGGCTCCATATACGAAAAGGAAAAACATTCGAGACCGGAGTGGATCTACATCTGCAAAGGGGTCTGGTCTTGCTGCTGTCAATCTTGCGATCTGAGTGGCGCGTCCGGTTGCATGCGATTTGATTTCCCTCCTTGACGACCTTCTTGACTCCTTCCCATATCCCTCTGTCGAAAAGCCACCTCCCTCCCAAAAGAACACCCGTCGGGCACGAAACAGCTGCATCTGTGATCCTGATTCGACCGCCCCGATCTACAATCTACGAGAGCCGACTCCTTCCTCTCCTCCTCCCCATCAATGCAAACACCAGTGGTTGTGGATCTACCACCCGCGTGAAATCGCGTTCGGCTTCGTTTTGATCATTCACAATGTCAAATCCACGAGAAGATGACGAGCCTGCCCAGACCCCTACTACACCCTTGAGGAGAGAGCGGGCTCCCACCATCACCATTGACACCTCCGCCATGAACTCGCCAAATAACGGCCAACCGCCCGTCCAAGTTCTTTCCGGTCCCGAGCAAGCCTCGACAGATAATCTTAATCTTAATAATAATAATGGAGAATCGCCCAGCTCCAGGTCCGCAGGTCATGATGATGCTGTGTCCCCTACTGATCGAAGGTCCACCGCATCAATCCGTTCAAATGCCTCTTCGGAAGCTCGAGACCGAGACCACGAAAATCGACCTACTTCGCCTCACAATATCTCATCCCCAAAGACCAAGCAGTCGGAATCACACTCCAACTTTTTGTCTGTCCCAGGCACGCGCTCACGGGGGGAACTCCCTCGAATCAGAAGATGCCACCAGCCAGGCTTCCAGTATCTATGGGGGCGATACCTATGTCCCGAGCCAGTCTCACCACTCGCATTCCCAATCCGACCTCACAAAACACACCAATATCGATGAAGAGGACGCCCTAACCCCAGACCCCGGTCGGGAAGCCGAATTTGAAGTTGAAAACAATCGGTTCGCGTTTTCCCCGGGTCAACTGAATAAGCTCTTGAATCCGAAGAGCTTCTCTGCTTTTCGTGCATTGGGGGGACTGCGAGGTCTCGAAAAGGGGCTGCGGACGAATGTCCAAAGTGGTCTCAGCACTGACGAGGCTGCGTTGGATGGGGCCGTGGGATTTGAAGATGCCGTTGGCCCGGGCTCGCCCTCTTTACCCAAAGCAGCTTCCCCAGTTGGACCGCCACCTGTAACTCCTGCAGATACAAAGACCGATAGTGATGCAAATCAAGAGTTCTCAGATCGGAAACGGGTTTACGGCGATAACCAACTCCCAGAGAGAAAGTTGAAGACCATCTGGGAATTGGCCTGGATAGCTTTCAACGACAAGGTGCTTATCCTGCTGACGGTTGCCGCCGTCATCTCTCTCGCTGTTGGTATCCCCCAGTCTATTCACCCAGCTGATCCAGACGAGCCGGGTGTGGAGTGGGTGGAAGGTCTCGCTATTCTAATCGCCATCATCATTGTCGTGACTGTTGGCGCCTCGAATGATTGGCAAAAAGAACGACAATTCGCAAAGCTTAACAAGAAGAAAGAAAATCGACTTATCAAGGTGATGAGATCCGGCAAGACTGTGGAAATATCTATCCATGACATCCTTGTCGGCGATGTGATGTACATGGAAGCTGGCGATTTAATCCCCGTCGATGGTATCCTGATCGATGGTCACGGTATCAAGTGCGATGAATCTTCCGCTACTGGTGAATCCGACCTTCTTCGAAAGACCCCTGGCGATGACGTTTATCAAGCTATTGAACAGCACCAGGATCTCAAGAAGAAGGACCCCTTCATTGTCTCTGGCGCCAAGGTCTCAGAAGGTATCGGAACCTTCCTGGTCACTGCTACCGGTGTGCACTCTACTCACGGCCGAACTATGATGTCTCTTCAAGAAGAGGGCGAGACAACCCCACTGCAAACCAAGCTTAACAAACTTGCCGAGTACATCGCTAAATTGGGCCTCGCCTCTGGTCTACTTCTGTTTGTGGTTCTTTTTATCAAGTTCCTCGCAGGACTGAGCAAGATCGATGGTGGCGCGGATGCTAAGGGCCAAGCTTTCCTGCAGATCTTTATTGTCGCTGTCACCATCGTTGTCGTGGCGGTTCCTGAAGGTCTACCACTGGCAGTCACGCTCGCCCTAGCCTTTGCTACGACAAGAATGATTAAAGACAATAACCTCGTTCGCTTCCTCAAGGCCTGTGAAACCATGGGAAATGCAACAACCATTTGCTCCGATAAGACAGGTACTCTCACAGAAAATCGGATGACTGCTGTTGCTGCCACATTGGGAACTTCATCGCGATTTGGAGACAAGGGACCTGCTGCTGCTGAATCAGGAGATGTTTCTGCATCGGAATTTGTGTCTACACTTTCGCCATCCGTCAAGGATCTTCTACTCAAATCGATCACCCTCAATTCTACCGCTTTCGAGGGTGAGCAGGATGGAGTGAAGACTTTTATCGGCTCTAAGACAGAAACTGCGCTCCTTTCATTCGCCCGCGATAACCTTGGAATGGGTCCTCCCAGCGAAGAGAGAGCAAGTGCGAAGGTTGTACAGATGTATCCTTTCGACTCGAGCCGCAAATGTATGGCCGTTGTTTTCCAGCTTGAAAATGGGAAGTATCGGATGCTGGTTAAGGGTGCAGCGGAAATCTTGATGGCGAAGTCCACAAAGATCGTCCGAGATCCCACTGCTGCTCTCGAGGACTCACCGCTGTCAGAAGAAAATCGCTCTACTCTGGATAACATCATCGTCACCTATGCGTCGCGCTCTTTGCGATGTATCGGTCTTCTCTACCGAGACTTCGATCAATGGCCACCCCATGGAGTATCAAACTCGGGGTCTCGGGAAGGTGCTGACTTTGAAGCAATCTTCAAAGACATGTCTATCTTTGGTATCTTTGGTATTCAGGATCCTGTCCGAAAAGGAGTCGCAGAGGCTGTGAAGACTTGCCAGCGCGCCGGTGTCTTTGTGCGCATGGTGACTGGTGATAATATCATGACTGCAAAGGCTATCGCTGAGGAGTGTGGTATCTATACTCCCGGTGGCATCGCCATCGAAGGCCCCGAGTTTCGGAAATTGAGTACACGACAAATGAACCAAATCATTCCTAGGCTTCAAGTCATCGCTCGATCCAGCCCTGACGACAAGAAGATCCTCGTGAACCAGCTCAAGAAACTTGGAGAGACTGTTGCTGTCACTGGTGACGGTACCAACGATGCTCAGGCGCTCAAGAATGCCGATGTTGGTTTCGCTATGGGTGTTACTGGTACTGAGGTAGCCAAGGAAGCGTCGGACATCATTTTGATGGATGACAACTTTGCGTCTATTGTCAAGGCTATGGCGTGGGGTCGCACTGTTAGCGATGCTGTGAAAAAGTTCCTCCAGTTCCAAATCACTGTCAACATTACTGCTGTCGTCCTCACCTTTGTCTCCGCAGTTGCCAGTCCCACAAGAGATTCCGTGCTCAGTGCAGTCCAGCTGTTGTGGGTCAACCTGATTATGGATACTTTCGCTGCTCTTGCATTGGCGACCGACCCCCCCATCGCCATATGTTCTCGATCGCAGGCCTGAATCTAAAGCGGATCCCTTGATTACTCTGACGATGTGGAAGATGATTGTTGGCCAGTCAATCTACCAACTAGTCGTAACATTTGTGTTGAATTTTGCCGGCAAGCATATCTTCACCTGGGATGAAGGTCATATGCAGACAGTAGTGTTCAACACTTTCGTCTTTATGCAGATCTTCAACCAGTACAAGTAAGTTCGACCTTAATTTCGATACGGTCTTTCGCAATACTAACTCTCGCAGCTCTCGTCGAATTGATAACAAGCTCAACATTATGGAGGGAGTCTGGCGCAACAAGTGGTTCATCGGTATTCAGCTCATCATTATTGGTGGCCAGGTTTTGATTGTCTTCGTGGGAGGCCAGGCCTTCTCCGTGAAGCGCCTTGACCAGGGCTCACAATGGGCTGTCAGCTTGGTTCTCGGTGCGATTTCGCTACCTATCGCCGTGGTCATCCGCCTCATTCCCGATGAATTCGCCAGCAAATTTGTCCCACAATTCTGGCATCACCGCAAGCAAGAAGGGCCGGAACTTGTTGTGTCCGATGAAGACCGTCGCTACGAATGGAACCCCGCATTGGAGGAGATCCGTGACCAGTTGGCTTTCATCAAGTCTGTCCGAGGTGGTCGTATTCGCCACATTCGCCACAAGCTGCAACACCCTCAGGAATTCTTGCCTAGATCTCGCAGTGGTTCACGATCCCGGGAATCCTCTGCCCCGGCAACCCCCAACGGCGAGTCCGGCAGCCCACCTCCTCAGCCTCAGCCTCCGACTCCCGAGTCGCGCTCACGTCGTGGTACCCGATCTCGTTCCAACTCAACTTTCGGGCCTGCAGCCGCAATGGCCGGTGTAATCGCCGGTAGTATCGCCGGGTGGTCCCCTATTGATCACGGTCAAGACGAAGCCGATTCGATCACTTTCCCGCCCATAGGCACCTCTGGTGGAACGGACCGTCAGCCTGGCATTGAAATCCACCCTGATACCTCGGCCGATGACCGCATCGTAGGCGAATACTCCCACGACCCCAGGAATCCGCCCAGCCAGAACCCGGATCTGATTCCTTTCTTTGAACACGCGCCTCCTTCAATTTCCGATCGAGCACCGTCTAGCCGAGGCCGTCGCTCTATGTCTCAACGTTCTCGATCAAGTCAGAGTCAGTCACGAGTCTGATCTCAGACTACATACCTACCACCTACGCACAAACCAGCTCGGTGGCATTTCAATGCATTAAAACAGAAAGCATTTTCACGAACGGCGTTTGTGTTTCCCTTCTTTTATCTCTTATATCCCATGGCAACGCTACTTGAGTCTCTCTTCTTTTGTTCGTTTCTTCCCAAACCTGTCGGGTACAATTCTCCCTTTTGTAATACTTCTTGATTGTGTCCTGTTCCATTGCTTTTTCTCGTTTTGCTCCCGGAAAATATTGTGGCGCAGTGCGTTTAACAAAAAACCCCCCCATAGACTTGGCATGCTCTTTTCTTTTTGCCTGTCATATTTGCATTGCCGGGGCTGCATAGGACAGCTTCACTGTCACTTTTGGCGAATTTTGGCGTATTGAGGCTGATAATGCCAAAGTGTCTGTTTCATAATTGACCAATTTCGTTTCTGCATATTGAGCAATCATTGTTTAAAAAGTAAATAGTACATATTCTCTCTAAATCAAGAAATTAGATATCGCTTAAGGCAACATTACCTACTCGTAACGTTCAGGATGAACTTTCATCCTTAGCGTACTGAGTAGCTTGCAAAGCCCCCCCACATTTTCCCGGACAAATCACGATGCGACTTGCTCTCCCGCCAGGAAGCCATATTAGTAGTCATACTTCCCCAACCCACAACCTAACACTCTCTATTTGATTCTTTCACACCTCTTGCACATCATTCTGTGAACGAAACTATGGCTACTACACCTACTCTACCGACACAGGCCGACTTGCTTCAGCGATGGGGCGGCAGAGACATTGCGGACTTGCCCAAACCCGCCGCTGTGATTGACAGAGCAATCGTCCGTAGGCATTGCGAAAGAATGAACAATACCATCCGGACCCTGGGAGTGGAATTCAGAGCCCATGTCAAAACGCACAAAGTTGGTGTTCTTTACCCAGACAAAGCAGCTCTATATCAATGCAGAAAAAGCTGGGAAGTGGAAAAGCTAACCCCCCCCTAGACTCTCGAAATCGCCAAGTTGCAACTGGATAAGGAGAGCCAGGCTCCCAAATTCATCGCTTCAACACTATTGGAGATTGAAACCCTAACCCGGTTTCTCGCTGGTCTGAAGCAAGCTGGCCGGAGCCCTAACATCCTGTATGGCATTCCCCTCGTGCCATCCCACATTACCCGGCTGGCGGAATTGGCCGCGGAAATCGGCGAGGAAAGCGTCACCGTGATGATCGACCACCCAGACCAGGTCCAGTACCTGAAGGAATTCTCCGCCAAAACCAATTTCCCGGTCTGCGTCTTTGTCAAGGTAGATACCGGATATCACCGCGCAGGTCTACCGCCGATCTCCCTGAACAAAAACGGACTTCTGGAAAAGCTCGCCGAAGCCGAAGAAGCGGGCCACGCAAAATTACTTGGCCTCTACTCACACTCCAGTCTCAGCTATGGCGCGACAAACGCCGATGAGGCGATGGAATATCTCATCGGCGAGATCCAGGGTTGCAAGGTCGCTTTGAACAAGTGGCTGCATCTCCTCCCGAAGAACCGGGAACTGGTTATCAGCGTTGGCGCGACACCCCAGGCTATTTCCTCGTATAATTTGGTGCAAGGTGACGCTTCTGCAAAGGCGGAGGAACTTCGCGCTCTACTGCGACAGCCAAGTGCAGAACAGAGCGAGGCGCAGGTGAAGATCGAATTGCACGCGGGTAACTACCCCGTTCTGGATATGCAGCAAGTTTCCACGCATGCACGTAATGGTGCCGGTGGGCTTGAGGAAGAGATTGCGATGTCTGTTGTTGCCGAGGTCTGCAGCGTGTATAATGACGGTGAACGAGAGAAACCAGAGGCGCTTGTTGCGGCCGGTACATTGGCGTTGGGTCGTGAGCCTTGCGCCGCTTATTCTGGATGGGGCATCCTCTCGAACTGGAGACAGACTGGTGACGCTGAGTCTGGCGCATCGCGGCTGATGGTTGAGCGGATTAGCCAGGAGCATTCGATTATTTCTTGGGAAATGGCTGCGCAGGAGAGCATTCCTTTGCAGGTTGGACAGATTGTTAAGATCTATCCTAACCACTCTTGCGTGACGGGTGCGTTCTATGGGTTCTATTTCGTTATCGACTCGTCCCTGGATGAGGCTTCTAGAGTGGTTGATATCTGGGTTCGTGGTCGGGGTGGTGAGGTTACGGATCCTCTGACCTTGACTAGATTTCAGTGAATGATTAGATCAATAGTTTGATAGAAAGAGTCTGGGTTTAGATTTCTTGGAATACAGATAATGTGATTGAGAGACTCTGCTCGCTGTTCACAGCTTCATCGGTATCGTCCCTTCTTTGATATCCTCTCGTCGTATTCCAAGCCCTGGGTATCTTCACTCTTCTTATTGCAACTCCATCCTGGCCAGTTGTTCAAGGCGTCGGTTACCAAGGTGAGAGAGGGGAGAAAGCGACATCTCTGGAAAATCCTGCCCATCCGTAGTTCGTAAACGAATATGGATCTATGACTCGAATCTCTGGCCAAGGTAAAATGCTAGATGCTCTGTTAGTTTGAGAGCTCTTGTAGAAGGGTTAATGTAAACGTACTATTCAGCTCGGCAACATGGAACACCACCGGCGTCTTAGAGCTCTGCAGCATATTCTGCTCTTCAATCATAGCCGATATCCAACTATCATGGTCGGTGACAGCATTAGCCTCTAGTCGTGACTGAGATCCTGGTTCCACGTGCCAGAGACTGATATCGTGGATTGAGGGATCGTAGCCGCAGAAATGCTTCAATTTGTCCACAAACAACCCGTAGCTCAAATGTCTCTCGTCAACGGTACCATCGTGGTAAAGGGCACGTTTGGTGGTCAAAAAGCGGGAGAGGAAAGTGGATTTTGACGTTATCCCATCCGGGGCGACGAAGACGACTTTTTCTTCGTGAAGCATGTGGGTCGCCGTATCCTTGTAGTACTTCCAGACTCGGTAGGTGCTTTGCTTGCAAAGCTGGGCAATCCTGGAAAGAGCGTCAAGGCATTCTTCAGGATCTTGTAGCATGAGGGCTTGAACTTGACTTGGCATTTGTCGTATGCGGTGGAATATGGCTGGCCGCAGGATTTCTTGACTCTCATATTGATTGATACGCACGGCCAACAGCTTTGTATCCTCCAGCACTTTGAAAAGAGTGAGAGTTATGGAGTCACGGACCACAGAGCCGCGGCGAATTCCCAGGAGCAGCCAGTACTTCTCTTCGTCGTCGATCATGGTGGTAAAGAATAAAGCGTGGAGATGGGGTATGGTGAGGCAGTGGGGAAGGAAAAGAGGGGGAGATCATTCTGGATGGGTGGAATAAAGACATGACCTCGTTTACGGGCTCAGAAAATGGAATTCGAAACTACAAGGCGCCCTCAGAGCAAGTGAACGAGCTGGGGGATGACGTGTCCGACAACGGAGATTGGGGTTGGTCTCTAGCAAGGTGGGGGAACAAACACGGCAAAGACCGAGGATGGAATGAATGGGAGTAGGAAAATACACAGCTGTGCATAATGAGCTCCGCCTGAATCGGCATTATCGTTGAAAGATTCAAGTTGACTGTGTGGTGAAATATGAACACAACAGCCGAGAGCGCAAGATGGTTACCATGGACGGAAAACTAAATACATGGAACATCGGAATAAACAATGATTTCAAAGTTTAATTTGGATAGATGATAGTGTTCAAGTTCTTTTAGGTCTGTTTCCAGGGCTTAGCAGACATAGATGAATTGCTTTAACAAAGGCTCTATGTTGATCGGATGTGGGCTTTTGACCAAGTTAACCTGAATTAAAACTGTCAACAGTCATAGTGCTAACTGGGCTCAGGAAGCTTCGTGCTGTTATAGTAAAGCCATGTAGACACACATTTTTTTAAAGCCTACGATAATATGCGTGACGAGTTCAAGAACTTGATATTTCGTGTACAAGTTTTCAAGTTGTCAGCCATTGATATATTAATCTCCTGAGGCTGGTGTATGGAAGGTTTGGATAGAAATACCGTGATATTAATAGGAGTGGCAGAATCCAGGGCTCACAGTGGCATTTAGTGACGGGCCTTTGGTAAACCCGGGAACTTCCCTGTGAACTTGAATTAAAACAGTAACTAATATTTGAATCAAAATAGGCATCGAACTCATGTGAACGAAGTACTAGTACTACTCCTAGTAGCAACTTTTCACGTCTCCAATATATTCAGGTTGCCCACTCAGATGTGCCCAAGCGAGCCAAATTTGGTCACTCGTCAATCCATCAAAAGTTAAAAAAGGACCAACATTCACTCGCAATCGAGCATTATCTCTACAATGTATTCCTAGATCCAGCTGTTAATAAATGAATGGATATGGGGAATAAGCCTCGATGGTATGTGGGGAATCGATCCTTCCATGATAAAAACCAGAAATGCAGCACATGTACCCAATGGCAGGGATACGCCCGAGGCGTTTATATACCGATGTGGTCTCAGCATCAGACCTATTAGCTTTATCACACCCGTAGCCTCAAATTCCACATGTAAAGTGCCTACTGCGCATGACTCACCGTGGGAAAGCGGACTATAATTCTTCTCAGTTTTCTAGTTGTAGTCTGGTAGAGAACTAACTGCCCAGCAGATCGATACACATGCTTCAAGAAGGTAAGTAGATGGATATCAAAAACCAAAAACTGGAAGGCTGGCAGATGGACTCAGGGATAACTGATAATGATATGCAGTCGATCATCCGGTAGATCAAATCGGCATCGGTGGAAGTAACGGCCGCGTGTCACCAAGCATGCAGGAATTGCAGAACTTGTTTCGTCCGACCCTATGCATAACAGGTGAACATGTGGGGCGGGGAAGGAGTTTCGGAAAGCTTATCTCCGGTTTTTTAAGGGCCCTTTGAATGTACTGTCTGTACTACGTAATAATATCGGGATTCAGGATTCTCGCTGTCAATGCTGGAGCAGGATTGATGGCCTCCTCCTAGTTCCAATTATTGTAGATGGCATGTCCAAGAAGTCACGTATGAAACTGGACTCATACAATAAAGCTAAAAATACGAATGAACATGAACCATTCTTCATATAAAATGAGTTTGAATTCGATCACTAAAGTGTAAATATCAGCGTGACCGAGTCTACGGGACCGAATGATGAAGAGCCGAATGAACTTAACCTTTTCTAGCTAGCTGCCTGATGCCATGCGTATAATTCCAAGCACAAGGCTGGCTTTCTCCGAGATTTATCTTCATCCCTTCATACGTATCTTTGCACAGGTCATTTGGAACGAATCATCAGCGGGGAAAAGGAGCAGATATTATGTACAGTATGAGCAGAACACAACATTTCTGGGTCGCCTCGTTGGTTGGAAAGAAAGAGCCCCAGCAGATCAGTCGTTGCTCCTGTCTCCCCCACATCTGATCGCCGTATAAAAGCTGAAAGGAGCTTCTCTCCTTGCGTGGGCCACATTCCAGTGTGAGCATTTTCGGAGGTTTAGAGTATGCTGACCCACCCACTATGGGTAACCAAACGGTGATCATGCAAAGCAGGGTCGCGTTAGCTGCAAAACGCTTTCTTCCCCGCTGGCGGCCGTCAGAAGGGTCTATCCCTCGATACATAGTATCATCATGATACTATCATGAGGTGGGCTTCAAATGCAATGTCACAATTAACTTTCGACGGGATTTGGAGGTTCCACTTCGTGCAGATAGATCGACTATGATCTCAACAGCTTCTCTGCTCCACATCGTGGATCCACAGAAAACTTCCTGGGTGCGTGTTTTGGTTTGAGCGGGGGAGGAAGTCGACGTGTTTATTGGCTCGGGTTGCGGATGAGCTACCCAGAGGAGTCTGAGTCCTTGTTTGCTCAGGAATGTCTAGCAAAGTGGTGAGGTGCGGGTGTTACACCCAGCCCCGACACAGGGTGATGTCAGGTCCTACGGTGCGACAGGGGCGTGCACTGGGTACTGAGCTTAGTCTCCTATATCTATCATGCCGGAGCTACCCTAACCATCTTTTTCGAGTTCGAATATTCACCAATCTCGCTAACTTTTTTTTGGACGTGGCCTAGGTACGGCTATTGATCAGCGTGGAGGGTATTTTTCTACGCAAGTGTTGAGGTTATCTACCTCTGTCTCCGAATCGTGCAAAAGCCTGTGAGCAAGAGGCAACTTCATCGTCGACTATCATCGTCATTGTCATCAAGCTATACCGATAGTTAAATCCAGCTCGCCAAAGAATCATCCAAGGATGAAGCCCGAAGATATCGAAAAGGCGCATGAATCACCTTCCCTACACAGTGTGAGCCCATTCGAAATTTATAACGACTCCTCAAGCGCAATCAATGCCGGAATCGATACCAAGCCGCAATCAAGATATCGCAGATGGATCCAAAGCCTCAAGAATGTCGAATCACAAGGTATCGAGCGCGTACTCCCCGAGGAGCGCGAGGAAATGACAGCATCTTCAACATTACACATGTTGCTCATGTGGTTCAGCATGGCACTGGCCACAAATAACATCATTGTCGGGTCCATGGGAACAATGGTACTGGGTCTCAGCTTCAAGGATGCCGCTTTGTGCGCTGTGTTTGGAAACTTGGTTGGAGCTTCGACAATCGGGTATATGAGTACCTGGGGACCACGGAGTGGCAACAGAACCTTGGTCAGTCTCCAGAACACGATGAATCTGCCATATTTGCTAATCCACCCGATAGATCGTTGCTCGCTATTTCATGGGATACTACCCTAGCAAAGTCTGCTGCATGCTCAATGTCTTCACCAACCTCGGATATAGTATGGTGAACTGCGTTGTCGGAGGCCAAATCCTGTCCAAGGTGTCTGGCGGTCACCTCTCAAGCCTGGTTGGAATTATTGTTGTGGCATTTTCAAGCTGGGTAATGGCAATGTTTGGAATGCGCATTTTCCAGATCTATGAACGGTAAGCAGTCAACAGAAAACTGTCATTTTCATTAATCTGACAAAGTACAGAGTTGCATGGCTTCCCCAATTGATGGTCCTGTGTGTAATGGTAGGATCTGCTGGTCCACATTTCGATTTCAGCACTCGCACGGAGAGCTCTACGGCAGTTCTGAATGCTAAACGCATTTCATTCTTCTCTCTGTGTCTTTCCGTTGGTCTCTCTTGGGCACCCTTGGCCGCCGATTATTATGTCTATTACCCGTCTCATGTCAAGCGCTGGAGAACCTTCGCCGTGACCGTCCTTGGAGGTGGACAAGCGATGGTGATCACTTTGGTCCTGGGCATTGGCTTGGGGACAGTCATGGCGAGCTCCCCGACATATGCTCTCAAGTATGGAACCGACCCTGGCGGCCTGCTGATGACTGCGTATGATTCCCTCGGAGGATTTGGCAAGTTTTGCGCCGTGATCAATGTGCTCGCCCTGGTCGCCAACAACACCCCCGGCTCATATTCCATGGGCATGAACTTTCAAATGCTCGGTGGATTCTTTCAAAGGGTCCCGCGACCGATCTTTACAACGCTGAGCACAATCATCTATACCGCTTGTGCCATGGGCGGTCGCAACTCCCTTTATGAGATTTTCAAGGGCTTTTTGCCATTGATCGGGTATTGGGTTATCATTTGGTTCATGATTGTTCTTGAAGAAGACGTGATCTTCCGCAGGAAATGTGGATATGACTGGACTGCATGGAATAACCCCAAGAAGCTGCCCAAGGGTATTGCTGCTGGTATCAGTTTCTTGATCGGATGGGCTGGAGCGATCCTCGGCATGGTAAGTTCCTCGAGTTTTCGCCGAAATAGATCAAAAACTAATATCAACGACCCTATAGAACCAATCATATTACAGCGGTATCATCGCCCAGCTCACGAACGGGTCGGATCTGGGAATCTGGATGGGGGCCGGATTTACGGCGATGGCATATCCACCATTGAGGATGCTCGAATTATCATTGTATGGCCGCTAGAAGGGTTTTCGATTTGGTCTTCGGATGGCCGGATGTGCTACGATCGCATATGAAACCGACAGCCCCGGTCCGCGGCATAGTGCTGATCCCCCGCGATTTGGGCCGGGAAAGTTTGGAGTAAATATCTCTGTCGCATGTTATTGGAGGGGGCAGTATGATCCTGTAAAAAGAAAGAGAAAGAGAAGATAAGAAATAGGATGATGGAGATGCTGCACATGGTCCTGACTCCTGAAATATTACTGATTCCCTAGGATACACAATAAAAAGCAAATTAAAAGAATCTTGGAAGCTGTACTCCGTATGGGGGAGGTCACTTAATTATGCAGGGCTATCATGAGACCAAAGCCCTTTGTGCATCCATACCTCCGACTGTAATTGACGGGTCATGCGAATGGTGCTATCCATGATAGGTTAGTGATTGTAAGACCAGATCCCTCATGGTCCAGTGAAACAACATACTATGCTCTCCTAGACCCACTGTAATTACTCTAGCGTCAAGTCCCGAGCCGAGCTGTAGAGAGTTTATGCAAGCTGTAGCATATAAAAGGCGGCGTGGCGTACCCTAGTGACCACGCCCGATTTTAAAGGAGTTCCAAGGTTACCGCTGCGCTCACGGCTTCACGACGGATACAACCAGCCTGGGTCCCCTTTGATGCTCGATCTATCCTGTTCGCCATGGACAACAATACCTTTCTCGTTGTTCAGCCGGTGACAAATATCGCTCGTGCCATTCTAGATTCATCACCGCGCCAATGGATCCCTTACGCTCTGCCCCTCTTATTGGGATACCCTCTCATCGCCCGTGTGCTGCGATATCGCCGCCTGCGACAGCTTCACCGGGACTACCCTTATAAAACCCGAGCGGACATGGCCAAAATGACAGATGACCACGCCTTCCAGATTCAAAAGACCGTCGCACAGCTCGAGTTTCCATTCATCTTCATCAAATCACTGCAGTTCGCTTTGTTCAGAGTAAATTACATCTCCGTTTGCACACCCCTCGATTCAGCGTCCATACTGACTCTGTACCCAGACCTATGGTATCCCGACCATCTCTCGACTACTCACCAAGACTAGCCAGTTCTCCGACCCGGAGACCTCGCTAAAGCGCTACACCGACACTAGCGCCCTGGTGCAGGAGATGGTAGGGAACAACCCAACCTCGCAGCGCGCATACATCTCACTGGCCCGCACGCGCTTTCTGCACAGCGGGTATCGTGCCTCGGGCAAGATTCTTGAAGATGATATGCTCTATACGCTTGCGCTCTTCGCTCTCGAGCCTATTCGCTTTATCAACACTTACGAATGGCGCACCCTGAGCGATCTCGAGCGCTGTGCCATCGGCACTTTTTGGAAGAGTGCCGGCGATGCACTGGATATTAGCTATTCTGCTTTACCATCGGGCGCGACGGGGTTCCAGGATGGTCTCCAGTGGCTCGAGGAGATTTCTGCATGGAGCGCCGCCTACGAAGAGAGAAGTATGGTTCCTGATCAGAAGAACCGCGAGACGGCAGACCAGACTACGGCTGTTATAGTATACATGCTTCCGAAGATTCTTCACCCTGTCGGACTGCAATTCGTCTCTTTTATGATGGATGATCGGCTACGAAAAGCCATGCTGTAAGTTTGGAACTTAGCGGGTATCAGTAAGACTTTGAGATTTGAGCAATTATGACTGACCTGATCACCAGATACGACGCCCCTACTCCTTTCTTCTCCGCTCTCTTTTCGAGCGCGCTGACAATTCGAAAATTGGCGCTCCGTTATCTGATTCTTCCAAGACCGTACTTCTTGCGCTACGCGTCTTTCACCGAAGAGCCGGATCAGAATGGCCGTTTCTACCTGACCAAGTGGGAGGCTGCCCCTTATTATGTCAAGCCAACTTTCTGGAACCGCTGGGGGCCCGAGGCATGGCTGACATGGGCACTGGGCCATCCTGTTCCAGGAGATCAGGGCGACAAATATTACCCATCGGGCTATGACATTCAGGATGTTGGGCCTAAGTACTTCGAAGGAAAGGGGAGAAAGCAACTGGATGAAGCCATGGCGGAGATGAAAGAATTCAGAACGGGGAAGTGTCCCTTCCACTGATTAGTTCACTAATAAGTACCTGGCAATAAATGCTGCAGTTTCGGTGTCTCATGAGAGGATGTTGGCGCTTTAGGCGATTTTTGAAGTACTAGTTCTACTACACTATAACGCTATTTCTACGTTGAGGGAGACAGTAGAGCCAATACAAATAAAAGGAAAATTTTTCAATATGGACAAGTCTATCTTGCTGGTCAACTGGGACCGAAGTAAAATCATTTCGTCAATTGCTTTTCCAGTATGTGCGTGCTATTCCGGCCCGGTAGTCTGTAACCACCAAGAACCGACAGACAGGAAAATAGAGACAGAATAAAGGGTAAATTAGGAGCGCTCAAACAAAAATCTTGGGTTCGCGGCCGAGGCCCGAGAAAGCCGGCCCGAAGGATAGAGAATGTAGGCTTAACAAGGGTATTACTGCGAGCAAATCTCAAAGCCGGAGGTCAGAGTGAGACTAAATTTACATCTCATCCTCGAGACCAGCCTCCTCAGCGAGGTACTCCTCCTCTCCCTCGGAGATGGAGGCTTCCTGGTACTGCTGGTACTCGGAGACAAGGTCATTCATGTTGCTCTCAGCCTCAGTGAACTCCATCTCGTCCATACCCTCACCAGTGTACCAGTGCAAGAAAGCCTTGCGGCGGAACATGGCAGTGAACTGGTCGCCGATACGCTTGAACAGCTCCTGGATGGAGGTGCTGTTACCAACGAAGGTGGAAGACATGCGCAGGCCACGAGGAGGAACGGAGCACAGGGCGGTCTGGACGTTGTTGGGGATCCACTCAACGAAGTAGCTCTGGTTCTTGGTCTGGATGCTGCGCATCTGGTCCTCGACCTCCTTCATGGAGACCTTACCGCGGAACAGGGCGGAGCAGGTGAGGTAACGGCCGTTACGGAAGTCAGAGGCGGCCATCATGTTCTTGGGGTCGAACATCTGCTGGGTCAGCTCGGGAACGCTAACCTGGCGGTAGGCATTGGCGTTACGGCTGGTCAGGGGAGCGAAGCCGACCATGAAGAAGTGGAGACGAGGGAAAGGAACCATGTTGACAGCCAGCTTGCGGAGGTCGGAGTTGAGCTGACCGGGGAAACGTAGGGAGGTGGTGACACCAGACATAACGGCGGAGACCAGGTGGTTCAGGTCACCGTAGGAGGGCTGGGACAGCTTGAGGGTACGCATGCAGATATCGTACAGGGCCTAGAAGAATGTTTGTGAGTTTCCAGTCGTCATCCACCAATTTCGGCGTAATATATACATACCTCGTTATCGATACAGAAGGTCTCGTCGGAGTGCTCAACCAGCTGGTGGATGGACAGGGTGGCGTTGTATGGCTCGACAACGGTGTCGGAGACCTTGGGGGAGGGAACAACGGAGAAGGTGGCCATCATACGGTCGGGGAACTCCTCACGGATCTTGGAGATCAGGAGCGTACCCATACCGGCACCGGTACCACCACCCAGGGAGTGGGTGATCTGGAAACCCTGGAGGCAGTCGCAAGCCTCGGCCTCACGGCGGACGACATCGATGACCTGGTCGACGAGCTCGGCACCCTCGGTGTAGTGACCCTTAGCCCAGTTGTTACCAGCACCAGACTGGCCGAAGACGAAGTTGTCGGGACGGAAGAGCTTGCCGAAGGGACCGGCACGGACAGCGTCCATGGTACCGGGCTCCAGATCGACCAGAACGGCACGGGGAACATACTTGTCACCGGAAGCCTATCAAAAATGAAAGAAAAAAGTAATCAGAATAAAGATCGGTGGGTATGATTGATGTCGAGATCACTTACGTGGGTGAAGTAGACGTTCATGCGCTCCAGCTGGAGGTCGGAAGTACCGTTGTACCTGCCCAAAAATATCAGACCGCCATTCTCGAAAATCATTAGGTTGTCGAAAGAACTCACTGTCCATCGCCGTCAAGGCCGTGCTCGCCAGCAATGGTTTGCCTGTGAAATTAGTTAGTATATTGCTTCGAGTACCCAACAATTGATGATTCAGGTTTTGCAGCACGTACCAGAAAGCGGCACCAATTTGGTTACCCTGTACCCCCACATATCATTTAGTTTTTTGACTCCAACCATCATATATAATTGTATCCTTTCAGGGGAGGAAGGATAATTCGTGTTCTTCGAAGGTGCACTTACACACTGGCCGGTCTGGAGGTGAACCTATATGTTGGGAAAAAGCTCAAGTTAGCAGGATGAACAAGTGGGGGTCCGTTCAGGGGTAGGACAACAAAGACGCGTTGAATTCGGGGGGGAAGCAGACGTACAATCTCACGCATTGTGTATTGGAGGGGGTGTTTGGTATCGAAAAAGAGGACTGAAGAAACAGTTGAAGAGGACGACCTAAAGTCCAAGGAGATGGGAAAGGAGAAGAGATGGAGCGGTGTGTGTGCGTGGGGATCAACAACAACTTTGGCGCTTTCAGGGGGGAGGGGGCTGGCCCGATGCGGTCTAGCTCCATCACGGGACCACGCCGCGTTCGCCCGCAGGTGCGAACCAAAAAAACTGCCCAAAACAATTAAGTAAGCATATATCTACTATTTGGTATAGTTCCTACTTCCACTGCTTGTGTTGTACAGATTGATTCAATGATCACACAATCACTATACTACACCTATCCTACTTAGGAGTGTTCTCCTGCCCCTTGGAACTCTCCAACCAGGTTCCAAACTCGTCCAATCGTTGCGCCTCGTCTTCATCTTCGGCATCAATGCCCCGCTCCGCCATATCTTCCAGAGCTGCCCGTCGCTCATTGGTCTTCTTAAACTTCTCACGTCCTTCCGATATGTAGGCTACCACCTGGATTCCACCAAACCATCGGCCATCCATGGTCTTGACGCATTCCCGCGCAGATTCAGGCTCAGCGAATCGAACGCTCACCACACCTTCCGGCTCTTTGTCGTAGAGTACCACATTCGTCACTTCACCAATCTTAGAGCATTCCTCTCGAATGTCTTGCTTAATATCCAAAATTGCAGCAGTATCCTCCTATAGTAAAAGGTTAGTATAAAAGTGGGTGGGTTTGAATTTGGCGGTTCTGCCAAGAGATGTAGACATGTACGAACCTCCAATTCTTCCAGAGTAAACATGTGCTTCAAGATAACAATCTTCTCAAATTTCGAGTTCGTCTCGGGTAGTGCCGAAGGCTCATCGTCGTCCCAATCGGCAAGTTTGCTGTGATCGAGTTAGCAGATGAAGAAAGACCCCCCCGTAGCAAACCGAAATGAGGGACTGCATACCTATTCAACCTCTGGGTACGCTCAATGATCTTCTTTTTATCACGCATATTTGTTTTCGGCGGAGCATCCTGTTGGCTCTTAAATGAGAAGTCGGCAGCCTGTACTCTCATAGGACCGAGTGGCCCTTGCTGCCCGAGGCGGAAGTCTGTCTCGTCCAGCATCTGAATCGCCAAATTGACCGATTCTGGCCGAAAGTAAACTACCAGTACCTCGCCCTTGAACTTCCCGTCATCATCGTTGTACATCTTGATCCGCGGGCGACCGCTGTCGATTTCCTCAGCGATGACTCCGCATTTTGAGAACACATCCCGAATCTCGTCCAGCTCGACCTCGAGTGGGATTGAGGTGACATATACCGCCGTGTTGACGCGCTGCTTCTTGGGTTTCTGCGAGTTGGGCTAGAACGAGGAGAGTCCGAGGTTAGCGCCGGCCTTGAGGAACTGCGCGGAAGGCAACTCACATCGTCTTGAGGCTTCCGCTTCTTTCGATCACGGGGGTGGTCTATTTGCTCGTCCTCGACTCCTTCGACTTTGTATGCTTCTTGCTGCTGGCGCAGTAGTTCTTCATCGACCTAAAGATAAGAAAAGGTTAGCATCCATGCGCTAGAAATGTAGAGCCCTTGATTTCTGCCTTTGTCGCAACTTGTGCTCCGCGATAGGAACGGACCGGCGCGCAGCCAGCGGTGTACCAGACATACCGATTGAACCCATCGCTTGATGGCCGAATCATACACAAACTCTTGCCCGTCATCAGTTTCGAGTATGAATTTATCATCGAGCTTGGAGAAGGAGATGCGTTCGTCGCGATCGAATTCGGACGGGTCGGTAGGGAAGTTGCGCGCGGACCCGGCGTTGTCGGGGCTCGGCGAAGGCATTGTGAGGGGAGATATGAGCGAGTTGTTATCAAGGGACGTGACTAGTGATGCGTCGAAAGCAAAGAGCTGGTGGGGGATCGTGGTGGGAATTTGCAGGAAGCTCGGAGCTTCCACGATGGGGCGGTTCCTTATGTGAGTGGCCGTCGCCCGTCATCACTGGGCCATTCTGATTGGTCAACCATACCATATACATTGATGGACACTGCATCGCCCAGTTGGATCCTAAAGAACCGGTTTCATCTTCTTGATGACTGCCCTAGATGTTTTTGTTGAGAGACTGGATCAATGAATGAAGGGCTTACCATATGACAAGTACTTAAAGGCATCGCTACGGGTCAAGAAAGCAAATGCATTGGCCTAGTGATGATTTTCTCTACTTCAAGTCCTAATCGTTGTGTGCCTTGGGCTAGAAAATGTTGTATACCATGCATGGCCTTTAGCCTTCTATCCCTATATCCACCTAGTAAAACCAAAATCCTCCATCCAATCAAGGTATTCCTCGTCCTTTCTTCAGATTCTCTCAAGATCAAATCTCAAATGTCGCCCGTCCTTATCTCGAAAAAAGACAATGCGCTCAATACGCCGAGTTCCGCGCTCAAATGCGCCCAAAACGAAATATGCAACCACTTTTCCGATACGACTACCCAGAATGGCATCAGATTCAAGCCTGTTCAAGGTCAAGCTACCTGGAACTGGCACCGGTGGGTGATTAGGCAGTATATAATTTTCAAGGCAGGTCCTGGTCTCGTGGTTATGGATATTGTGGACGAAGATATGCTCAAGTCCATCAAGAGCAAAGGAGTCCTCATAGAGGGCCTTCGCGACCTCGGAAATCAGCGGCAACTCAAAGTAGGAGTCGGCAGGCTTACGGATCATCTCTATGGTCAGAGAATTGGGTGTTGCATATCCGTCAAATCGCATTTCTTGGTGAACCCAGCGGAAAGATTGAAACTGCTGCAATTCGGGACCCTCGCTAGGATTAGAAAGGGGTTTCAACGTAATTCCTCTAACGGTTTCTGGGGCGTCCATCTCGTAGGTATCCATTACGTCCGAAAGGGACATCTTGGCTCTGGGGATATAACAGCCCGGTTCACTGGGATTCTCCATCCATCGTCGTCGTTGAGCTCCCTTCTTTTCAAAAATGGCGTAATCTCGATTGGAAAGCATGTTAAAAATAGATGGTGCAAATGGATAATACTGAATAGTACTAAGTGTCACGGTGTAGAAGAATAGTATATTGTGGAAGATGATTTTTTCAATGTGAGTGTGCTTGGTTTATTTAAATACCAGATCCATCTACAAGACATTCCTGGAGTTCATTTTGCTGTAGCCGGTACTGGTAGTAGCAGAGCACAATGCTACTAGTACAAGCCACGACGGCGGATCTGAGGCCTTTGATCTTAGAGACAAGAACAAAGCACGGCGAGACAGCTCACGACGATGACAAAGGCATACTGGAACACGAAAACCACATTCACACCAAAATAAACAGATATGATGCGGTATTAACAGAGCTGTCTGGAAGTATTCATTGACTGTCCAGGTGGGAGAAACATGGCACAAGGGGCTGAATACCTCAATAAGACTGTCTTGCCTTCAATCAATGAGAAATCTCTCGATTGTCTATAATTCCGGTTCTAGCAGTATGTAATTCTTTCTATTTACAATGATGCAAAGTCTCAGTCTCACCGCGCCAACGTAATCACCTTCTTAGCCGCCTCCTCAAACCCGTCAAAAGCATGCAGAGGCAGACCACTTTCCGCAATCTACGGAGAATCACTTAGTAAAGGGTTGGAAATTTAAGACCAGGTTATGTCAACATACCATCTTCTGGCCAAGTTCTTCATTTGTTCCACGCAGCCGCACCACAACGGGTACCTGCATATTCAGATCCCGGAAGGCAAGGATGATCCCCTCAGCAATCATATCGCAGCGCGTCAATCCTCCGAAAATATTCACAAAAATGGCCTTTACGCGGGCGTCGGCGCAGATCACCCGGAAAGAAGACTTTACCGTTTCTGAAGTGGCCTTGCCGCCGGTATCAAGGAAATTGGCACAATGGCCGCCGTGAATCGTAAGTGCGTCGACCGTGTTCATGGCCAGGCCGGCTCCATTCACTAGCGTGCCAACGCTGCCTTCGCCCTCTAGTCTGTTTGAAGTTAGTACTGAGACGTTTGCAGAATCCGCGGTGCGGTTTCTCCTACCTGATGTACACGATCCCGTCCTTTTCGGCCTCGACTTCTGCTGGAACTTCCTCAGCGGTGTTGCGCAAGCGGTGAATCTCCTCCTGTCGACCTGAGCTGCGAAATGCGGCATCATCAAATCCAAATCTTGCGGTGTGGACCTCGAGACCTCCGTTGGCTGCTGTTCCGATCTGTGTCTCCAGAACGAACGCCTCTTTCTCCCTGAAGATATCCCACAGTGCCTGAACCAAGCTGGACACTCTGCTCTGCGCCGACGCAGGAAGGCCCAGGTGTGAAGTAACTTGAGTAATAAGGTGATTTCCATCAAAGTTGGTTTGGGAATAAGTGAAGGGGAATCGGCGAGCTTGAGCAGGGTCAAAATCCGCGGTTGGAGAAGCGACGATGCACGGCGAAAGAGATGTCCGGTCAACTGAGATCGAGATAGATGCGTCGGACTTATAAGGCGATCCATTGACAACAACATTCTTCTCTTTTAAGAGATCGAATGCTTGGAATTGTTTTATGTATAAACCCCGCTTCTGCTGGACCACTGGCCTTGAAGCAGGAGTGACACGTCGCATAGTGTGGAATCCACGCTTCCCAGAGCCAGAGCCCGAGATATTCTAGGCAATGTCAGCAACTCCGATTCGCAAATAGTCAGCTTTGAACTCACGCTAGCACCAGGGCGAATGCCACTACCCCCCAGCAAAGTCCTCATACCCTCGCCGAATTTCTCTGGATGGTTCACCATGACAGCGCCCGCCCGCTCTAGCGCCTGATATTTTGTTTGCGCATCGGGTTCTCCAGGAGCCGCCCAAGCCCCAGCATGCCCCATGATTCTACCAACGGGTGCTTCCAGGCCTCCCACGAGAGCCATGATGGGCCTGTTCCTATTAGCAGCAGACTCCTACAAGACATAGGGACAGACATACTTGGGACTGGCAGTTCGCTTCCGGTAATCCTTGATCCACTCCGCAGCATCCATTTCGGCAACGCCACCAATCTCACCAACCAGAATAATTCCGTGTGTATCATCATCGTGCTCAAAAATCTTCAGCGCATCGACGAAGTTGGTACCGGCCAACACGTCACCGCCCATACTGATGCAAAGACTCTGTCCGAGACCAGCTCGGGTTGTCGATGCGACAGTTTCATAGCTCAGGGTTCCTGACTTGGCGACGATGCCGACATTTCCGGGGGCAAAGCAAGGAAGAGGCTGGAAGCCAATTCGGCACTTGCCGATGGCAGAGATTATTCCGGGACAATTTGCGCCCACGAGACGGGTTTTTGATTGGGTTTGCAGCATGGAATGAATCTAAAATCTCCTGTTAGTGTTGACAATCGAGCGGAAGCAATTGAGTAGACCTACTCGGAGGATATCATGAATAGGGACGTGTTCAGCCACAGCCACGACGAGCGGGATCTCTGCCTCGATAGCCTCTTCAATGGCCTGTGCAGTCTGATTTCCCGGGACATAAATTGCCGAGGCATCAGGTTTGGACTTCTCCTGCGCCTAAAAAGGACCCAATGGCATTAGTTCGTTCCAACCACAGGGTCTAGCACGTCCAATCCGCTACGGATAATACACATACCACCTTCACGGAGGGGAACACAGGAAGTCCCAAATGCTCACCCTCCACACCGGGCTTGACACCGCCGACAATATTCGTGCCCCATTCCAGCGATTCTTTCACATTGGCCGTTGCTTGCCGTCCTGGGCAGGGATTAGCATTGGCATGAACCAGCGCCGTACAATGAGCCTGACAACTCACCTGTGAACCCTTGAAAGAGTACCCGGGTGTGCGCTCCAATTTTCAAGTTTGGCAGTGTATCGGAATATCTTGCGGAGCGCGGAGAAGTCGAGAATGACCTGGTGCAACGCAGCTGTGGCGCGTGCCTGGATAAGCGTAGGGCCATGAGGGGTTGTTGGAGGGGTGGGAGCCCGTCTTGTGAAGAGTTGAGGCAAGAGAAGTGAGAACTCTTTCTGCGTAGTGGTCAATTCCGGGAATACTTGTATTGGCACACCTCGAGCCAGGGCGGAGAGTTGGAGAAGTGGTTTTGAAGACGGCTATCTCCCCGAGGCTATTTCCCCAAGTCGGCTATCCGGTCTCGGAGTTCCCCACACTGCAGTGGTTCCCGCGTCATTGCTTACATGTGCACTCAGTCTATACTCACAAGTTATAACTACTATCGATGTTTATTTCGTAGTCCTTAGTGATAAAGCTTAGATAACTCTAGAATCGAGACTTGCTCTAGAAATGTATTGCGGTGTACGGAGTAGTTAGTATCTATCACGTTTCAGCCGATTTTGAAACGCGGTTTTAGCTGGCAGTTCATGGGTGGAACCAAGGATGGTCATTCCCGCCATTTTTAAGGTTCAACTCTATAAAATACTACTAACCTTGGGAGAATCCGTGATATATCTAGTGCCATGCAGGCTGCTAGTAGATTCTTCAATTTCCAATTCCAGCAAATCACCTACATGACCAGTAAATTCAAGTTAATGTTGCCGAACCTCTCGGCAAATAAAGAGGGGCGTTGTCTCAAACTCCTTCGCCTAGCGCCCGCGAGCGATGGTGAAACAACACGGGTTCATATCGGTCCACCAAATAGGAGTCGCTTGATTATCCTTGCTTCTTTGAAGGACCTCTGTAACAGCCATCTTTCGGTAGCTTATTGTAGTTTATTAAAAAGGTCCACCGCAGAAGGTTGGCAGGGGCTACTTGTTTATTGAACTCTGGTAATCTTTCCATATGCTAAACCCTTAAATGCTCAGGCTGTCTCTAGATTCCTCTCATTCTGCAATGCACGCTCTTTCTTTTTAATTTTTCTTCCTTGTTTTTGATTTTCCCTTTTTTTCGGGTTTCTAGTTAGGTATTGGCTCTGAGAGTCTACCTTCACGATGCGATCTTCCATTCTTTTCTCTACTTGGGCAGCTGGTCTAGCCCAAGCATACACTGTCACCGTCACCGATCTATTCATGTTCAAGAATATCGACCCTATCATGTTACCGGGTCAATACACTAGCCACATGCATAGCTTCTTTGGCTCTGATGCCGTGACTGTCAACACCACTACATCCGCGGAACTACACAAGGGTTGCTCGTCCACCGAGAACCCCAATGACTTCTCGACCTACTGTTCGTATCTTCTACCCAACCCTTCGCCTATAGTAATCATAGACACTAATTCAATCCAACACAGGGGTCCCAACCCTCTACCTTGTACAGGATGGCAGCCATACCCCCATAACCCCAATGCGCTTCAGCGCCTATTACGAGGGCCTGAACTCAGCCGAGATCGCTATTCCGCAAAACTACAAGGACGTCGCGGGAAACGCCTCAGCCCAATCACAAGATGTGCTAGAAAACAACGCAGGAATGAAATGGTTCTGTGAAGGGGATCCGGAGGACGAAGATGCAGACGACGCTGCATTCCCAACAAAGACCTGCTCGACGCACCTGCAAACCCTCCTCCTTTTCCACGACTGTGCCAACCCGGATACCCTCGAGTCGGCGTACTCCGAGAATCCTAATTACTTCCCGACATATGGGGACAATTACTGCCCGAAGGGTATGTACCGGATTCCGCAGCTGCGGTTCTCTATTCGCTATGATCTCCGTAAGCTTCTTCCTGATGGCTGGGAGGGACAGCCGCCTCTGGAGCTGGCCTGTGGATCCTCTTACTGCTCCCATGGTGATTTCATCAATGGATGGTTACCGGAGGCTGCTGAGAATATGCTCAATGACCCGTCTAAGTCGGAGTTCTTCGGTGTTGATGGGCCTCTGGGTGACTATGATGCAGGATCCGTGTGCGGAGCGGAGAATGCAACCGATAGCGACCCTACTCATGGGACGAGCGATTATGCAGAGAGTGTGCGCATGATGAAGAGCAGCTCAATGATGAGGAAGAGACACCTTGCTAAGCATCGTCGTGCTTGAGAGGATCCTCGAGAGCTTGGGTTGGGTATAATTAAACCAAGCAATCGGATGTACATTAACAGAGTAGCCAACTCACTAAGTACCATCGATTCTGAGACCATGTTCAAGTTTCTACCAGTACTATTAGCTGTTAACATGCCACATCTCGGTCTCTACGGCCATCGCACGGTGCTAAGCTAATTACTAAGACTCCCCAGAGGACATCATAGACGTAGTAGATCGAAAGTATTCATTCATATCATGACTCAAATTTGCGACATCCATGTATCATCTTACACTCAGTATTCATTTAAATGAAGCTTCTTGCCGACGAACTTCTTTCTCTCCGTCTTCTCGCCTCTTTGCTCACGTTCCGCATTAACGCCCTTTAGTGCGTGAAGAAGCATACCCGCATCGAAGAAGCCATCTAGACATATCAAATTAGCACAACTGCACAGGGAAACCAGCCAACTATTAATGGGAAAGAAAACTCACATCCACCCATACCATCATCTTCAATCTCAGCGCTATCTGTCGTCGTAGTGGGCGTCTCGGCTCCACCCGCACCAGGGCGTACAATGCGTCCCCGACGCTGCGATTCACTCTGCAACCGCTCAGCCAATGCCTCCGTCTCACGCGCCCGACTTGTTCTCGGACTCGACGTCTTGCGATTTGACGCGCGGAGGAGCTTTCGCATTTCGAAGAGGTATGATTCAAGGGTTTGCATCAGGCGGGAGGTTTGTCTGTGTTTCGACGAGGCACAGAAGGAGATAGACTCGTCCTTGATAATGTAGCCTATGCCAAAGCCGTCGGCGGAGGTAGGGCCGAACCCGAAGTGGCGCAAACAGGGGTTACCGCAGTTCGAGGTTGAGAGAACGGTGTTGTTGATCTTATCCCAGCCTGGGTCGCTGAAGATCGCAGGCGTGGGCGGTGTTGCGCTGCGCATTGCGCGGATGCTACTGCCGTTTGGAGAAGAGTAGCCATCCTCGGACGGCTGGGAGGTTGGGGAGTCGAGCCCGTCGCTGGGGCTGGAGTATCCGCCCGTCGAGCTGGAATCCTGGAAGAAACCCTCATCGAAAGAGCGCTGCCAAAGGCAGTAGAGTGCATAGAGGTGACGATCCTGGCCTTGGCCCTTGGAGCAATCTTTTGTGATCGCAGTGTGGCGCTGAGCGGCAGTGCGCAGGGCATCAATTTTCGCTTCGGCAGGGTTCTCGCCCCAGAAGGTCTTGACGAATTCGTAGGTCTCAGGGGTAACGGTACGCACGGCTTCGGTACGACCGTGGAGGAAGAATTTGGTCATAGCAGGCTCGTATGTGTTTTCAACTCGGCCATAGAGACCATAGTAGGCGGCTTGGAATGCCATTTGAACGAAGGCGTCTGGCGAGAAGCCCATGGAGGTGATAAAGTTCTTTCCATAGCCTTCAAAGTCGAGAACCTGAAACTCATGTTGGTAAAGAAGGTCTGAGAGATGCGATTCGGCAAAACGAAGGGCGATGTTGAGCTCCGGCGTCATATCCCATTCTAGCTTGCGAGGCGTAGTGCTGACATTTCCGAAGCTGCGGGGGTCACGCTTAGCTGGGTCTGGGCTGGCTGTTGTCCATAGACTCGGTGCTTGACCATTGATTGTTTTTGCAAAACGGAGAATGGTATCGGTGTACAAGTCACTAGCGAAGCGCAGGACAGTGTGACCATCGACGCCAGTATGTTCGAAATTGATACCGGCGCTGCCGTTATTGCAAACTATTATCTGCAGCTTGTCATACCAGCGATTTGTGCAAGTGCCCACCTGAACACCTTTGATCACCTCACTGGTACCACAGAGCATGTTAGCACAGAGCTCTGCAGTGGTAGAAGGCTCCGTGTCGTCGAGACACAGCATGAACAAGGCGGTATCAACAATATTGAGACACTCGGCGTTGTTTGATTCCGAATCCTTAGTCATGATATCACGAAGTCCTGACCATACCTTGCGGTTCTCTGTACTGAGAACACCCAAGGCTCCTTTGGCAGCTTCCTGGACGGGCGTCTGCGCGGCATCCTCGATGATAACATGCAGATTGAGTGAAATATCCTTTTCAGTCATGATCAAGTCGCTGTTATCATCAAGGACATCAAACCAGTAGAACTGCCCCCGACACATTACGACGACGTGCTTGGCAGCAGGGTCTTGACTGATAACACAGCCATTGTCGGTTGGTAGACGGGCCGTTCCAAAGAGACGGGAGTATTGGTACATGCAGAGCGGTGTCCCACGCACTGTGTCCGGAGGCAGCTCCTCTCGGCGCACCGCGCGTACAAATGAAAGAGCTGAAATTACCAGCGACGCAGCTCGAGTCACTTGGTGGTTTCGAGCCGGAGTGGGGTCGTCCTCCAACAGGAAGAAAGGGTTGAGATTCAAGACAACCGAGCTATCGAAATTCAAGTAAGAGTCGTACCAGAACTGTTCGATGAAGCTAGTTTTGGAGGAAGCGTAGTTTTTCAGTCGTTCTTGTAGTAGTGGTCCATCTGTCTTCAGGAAGTCCTTTACGGCGGCCTTCGAGTCCTCATGTTCGCGGGGCGTCTGTAGCGCGGCAAGCGCATCAAGATGGCGGCGGCATGTATCCTCCAAGCTCGGGATAGGTAGTTTTGGGAGTGACTCCTGGTTCGCAAAGGTCAAGCCTTGAGTTTTTGGCGTGTGTGGTTCGACCGGCTCGCCTCCAGCGTGTTCAGTCGGTCTAACGACCGTGTGACCCTGGGGCTCGGACCCAGGCTGCTTTGCGGTTTCGGAGTTCATCGCAGCCCCAAGTGGTTTGGGTGAAGTGAAGAAACGAACTGCGGTCGATGAGTAAGACATGGTGTTAGTGGATGATGTTTCCGATCAAGCGTAATGGCTAGCGAGGCAAGTCGGAATGGACAGGAGACGAAGGGCAGTGCGATAGAAGTAGTGACAATCTTGCAGACAGTAAGGTGGCATCGGGGCTAATTTATTGATAAGATCGTGGTGATAGAGAGTGTGAAATGTAATACAAAGCAAGGCAAGAGCATCAGGGAAGTGAGCGAATTGGGGGAGTAGGACAGCCATATATAGGGTATAGTTCATCGGCACCACACGGGGCCCCGCGCTGCGGATTGGTGGAGCCCTTTCGGATTGAAGGGAGCTAACTGCTCACGGGGCAAAGGACCTACCGACAAGTGACAGAAAAGGACGAAATGTGGGTTGGCAGCCCGCGGGGGTAGCGCCGGAGCAACGGATGAGGCCTAGAAGCGTAAGGTTAGATAATTTCAACTAAATTAGGGAACCCCTGTCCAACCGAGCCAATCAGTCGGGTTGCGATCGGGAGTCACCGAAGAACAGTCTTCAGAGGAATATTTGAAAGAGAAACAAAAAAGCCGAGGGTTGTGATGGTGGGTGGTGATGGAGGTGGGTAGTGGTGCGTGACGGACAAGTCACCAGGGTGAGTGGCCATGGAGGCTTGGAATAACTCACCGGACCTAATTCAGACAGAGCTTCTAAGCAGTGAACTCGGGCTCGGGAATATCGGGTAAGAATGTTTAGATAAGAAGATGCATCATGCAGACAGGAAGAGGCTCGGAAGCAAACAAGCAACGAATTTAGCAGGGTCGAAGCCCACACTTTTTCTTTTTTTGTCGTGGGGGGAAATGACGTCTCGGGCCAAAGGAACCTGAAGAAGGTGCGGGGGAGCTACGGGGCACGTGACTTATCAACATCATCAGCAAGGGAGGGAGATCATCTTTTGATATCATAGTAGTACATTCGCATTGATCCGTTGTTTGTTTTTGTATCCACAGTAAGGAGGCCGTTGAACGCTAGGGGACTTCATGTCAAAAAACAATATTCACAATTGAAAATGGGTACCCGCATGTCCCTCTCCCAAGGAAGGGGAAGTAAACAAAGGGCACCTCCAGCGTAGATACAGGGGCCCCCGGAGAGAAAAATAGAACCAACAGAAGTCCAGAGATGACCACAGTCGACTCCGAGGGAAGGTGACCCGATGCCGTTCGCCACCTGGGAGAGTCCCGGACAATTCGGGTTGGACATGAAAGTATGAAGAAGAAGAGAAGAAAAAAAACAAAATAAGATAAGACAAGATTCAGCGAATGCAACTATGTCGGAGGTCTTCACGAGGCATTGATGCGCGCGAGGTCATCTCGAGGGATGAGTGGTTGGAGCTTGCTAACTCCAAGATTTTGCAAGTCATCTCTCTCCCGTGGTTGATTGTGAAGAACTCTTAGGCAGTGTAGGTGGACTCGCCTTTAGGCGCCAGGACGTTGTCACCGTATTCATTTGCGAAGTTACCCGGGGGCGAGTAGTTGCAGACAGTGAAGGGAGCAGCGCTACCAACGTTTCCAAGGTTGCCGCACGGTACGGTGGCGCAGGCGACGTGAGTAGTGCCCTTCCAGACGATCTGGGAGAAGTGTCCCCACTTATCAAAGAGATCCATGGAGGGATCGGCTTCACCGTAGCCAGGGTAATAACCAATCTCGTCGTTGTACATCAGGTTGGTAATCATCTCACCAACAGCCGTGCCTTCGACACCATAGCCAATGTTTTGCCCGTACTGGCCAGTGGTTTCCTCATCCATTTTGCTAGAAGGAGGTATGAGTTAGTCTATTGGTACCCAAAGGAATGAGATGACAATGCAACTACTGCGATGAATACTTACGTGTCGTGCGCGTAGACGCATTTCTCGGCCACGTGTAGGGCGGCGGTATACAGATCGTCATGCCAGTCGAGCGCAGAGGCCGAGTGGTTGCTCCGGTGGACATTGTGGTTGTGAAGAACGTCTGCCTTGTACTTTGCGGTGAGACCGGCGGGCAGGTCGGAGCTAGATGCGGTAGAGGTAGAGGCGGGGGCGGCCTGGGTGGTCGAGGAGGTCGAAGCCGGAGCCGGGGCCTGGGTGGTCGATGAAGCAGCTTCGAAGGTGGAGGTCCAGGCGGTGGAGAACCAAGAGGTAGGCTCCTGCTGAACCTGAGCGGCCTCGGTGGGGGCAGGCTCGTTGACTGGAACAGCCTCGGTGGACTTCTTGGCAAGATCGGAGGTCGATTTGGTCTCCGCGACAGCGGGAGCCTCAGTGGAGGTGGTGAAAACGGTGTCGGCCACCTGGACTTGTTGAGCAGGGGTGACGGTCTCGGTGACGGCGGACGCAGTGACGGTCTTAGTAACAGTGACGGTAGTCCAGTCGGTTACGTAGACACGCTTCTCATAGGCGTGGACGGCCCCAGCTGCCAGAGCAGCGAGGAACAGATTCGAGCGCATTGCGGAAATTGAGGCAGATCACAGATCACAGATCGAACAAATCAGGTATAGAGGGCGACAGAAAAGGACTTCCCCAGGAAGTTCGTGTTGATAGTTAGTTGGAGGGAGTCAACAAACCACAGATCGACTGTGGCTGGACGGAAAGAGTGTAGATGTTGCTTTGGATCAAAAAAAGGAATGACGGGCCGGAACACCTCTTCTCTCAATGAGGGAAGAAGACGATGGACGGCGGGAAGATTGATGCACAAAAAGCGAGGGAGGAGGAGGGAGGAAGAGGTAGTAAATAGTAGAAAGGGAGAGATAATGAGAAAGGGGAGGGGAGTGGGGCCCGTGTGATCCAAGGCAATTTGGGGCAAGAATTGTTTAATTAGTTTAATGATTCAATGGCTTGGGTTTTTGGGTTTGGTTTCTGATTTGATGTTTGAGATTAAGCCTGAGTCGAGAGGATTTTGGTGCTGATGATTCTATAGAGAATCGGTTCCTCAATTCCATACTTATTAGGTACAGGTTGATTCTCCAACCTCCACGCATACCAGACCTACCCTTCCCGCCACTCTCAGGCGTGGGACATTCTACATTCCAATGCGACTCGTGCAACTCTACGATTGGTCACTTCCCCTCTCAGGGCCTGCTAGAGGCTGGGCAAAATGAAGTGCAAATTATTCTCCGGTCTGGGGATCGTTGGCGTCTGGGCATGGCATCTGGACCTTCGGAGTGGTGGGACTCTGGATGTGACGATGAGAATGAGAGAAAAAAAGCCCCCCCCCATGGGCGGATCTTCAATTCTGTGACTTCACTAGTGCCGCTGCTCTCCATTAGGGGGCCAGGCTAGCTGCCGCGCGTACATGGATGGACCCTGAATGAACACAAACACGATTCGAATGGCCATGACAGTGTCTGCCAGAAGAGATCAGGAGCCTGAAACCACGATCGGACCGAAGAGATGGGATCGAATGGATCCAGACTCCATCGCATCACGGTGCATCATGTCGTTGTGCCAAGGGGTCAAATTACCCCTTGCCCACTCAGTTTCAGAGTCGTCCTGGGCCAATGACTGGCCAGCCAGGAGATTACCCACCACAACGGCGGCACCGCTAAGAAACTTGGCTTTGACCGGGGCCTGTCGGCTGGTCTAATGCGTCCCGTCTGCACGGTCCTACTCTCTTCACATTGATTAACTTGGTACGGCCACCTGTTTCAGCCTTTCAGCCCCAAATTGAGGCGAGCCGGCATGAGAATTCGGATCTAGCTGGACATGCTGGGTTGAGCCTGGGGTTTTGGGGCTGAAATTGTGCTTCTACTTAAGAAAATCCAAATTCGCAAGCCTTCTCGGACGATCATCCCACTTTGACTCAGGTCTGGAAATTGGGCAGATTGGGTGCTCGTCTTGTCCTTTGGTACACAACATCGGGATCCGGGGATTGAGAGTGGACATGACAGCACCCACCACACTGGATACTAGTACTACATAATTTTCACTTTATGTCCCACTTGTAGGGTCACAAGATGATGCAGGACCACCACGGTTTCGCCTTGCTATACCGCTAGTCAGGAACCCTCAGGAACCCGGGGCGGGCCATGGTACCCTTTGCCTGGATTCATGAATCCACACGCCATCTCATTTCCCGTGCAAGCCCCGTTCTTAGCCAGTGCTCAATAAACAATACATTCAAAATGGGAGAGATAAAATATCTAAACTATATCCATGGATGAACCCTTGTAGATTTTGTAACCCCAATCTCCGATCGGTCCCCCGATCTGACGTCTGGCGTCAACTCCGACACGAGTTGCCAAAACCCACGCCCAATCAAATCAAAGGTCACCTATATTCACACATATACACCAAAACGCCACAAATCATACCCAACGGCCCAGGAAAAACAAAAGTAAAAATTATTCTCTAAAGATCCACAATATGACATGTCCCGGTCTCACATACCGACAAATAATTCTTCGGCGGGTCAGCTTTGTCGAGATCTTTGTATAGTGGATTGCGCCCTTTCAACCAGAAGGACTGATTGCCCACAAAATCTTTTGTATGGGAGGGCCGCACATCGACTAACGAGGTGACAACGGTTGAGGAACCAAGCCCGGTACCGGCTTCGGATCGAACACGTCGTGAGAGTAGATCGCGCGCTGCCACGGGTTCATCTCGCCGGCTGAGAAGGCTATCGCGTGGAACCGGTTCCTTGCTAATGTCTGCGGTACCAAAAACACCTGTAATGGTCCGAGTCCCGATTTGAAGGCCTACGATCACATCCAATAATCCAACAAAGAGAAAAGGGTGCTGCATGATCTCGACCGCAAATGAATTGCAGGTCTGTCGCGCAAGGGTTCGGTAGCTTTCATCCTCCAGCAGGGCGGCCAGGCGTAGTAGATTACGGGCAATCACGCCGTTGACAGATGGCGTGGCAGACTCCGTACCGGTCTTCAATCGGAAGAGTGGGCCAGGCATGCCAGGAGTCATACTGGAAGGTGTGTTATAGTAGCCAGCAGGCATGGAGCCAGTCTTGGCGAGGAAATATTCGTTCAGATATTCTGCGATCCAAGTCAGTTAGCCAATGCACAGGATAGGGAGCTGGAATCCAAATAAGCTTCTTACTTTGCAGCCGCTCGGCGAATTGGAGATAGCTGTCGTCGAAGGTAGCCTCATACATGTCCAGCAGACCGCTGGTTAGGTAGGCGTAGTCGTCAGCAAAGCCAGGGGTCTCACCACGACTGCCATCGCGATAGATACGCCACAATTGACCCGTGGGCTTGTCGAATAAATTGTCTTTAATAAAGCTGATTGTGCGTGCAGCGGCATCCCGGCATTGAACGGCCTTGGAGTTCTCAATTTCCTCAAATAAAACACTGCATTTGGCGAGTGCCCCGATTGCCAATCCATTCCAACCCACAATGATCTTGTCGTCTAGATCTGGCCGCCCTCGAGTTTTCTCTCGGTGATCGTGCAACTTTTGTTTCCCGCTTTTAATCATCTTCACCACTTCGTCTTCACCGAGTCCAAATTCCTTGGCTAGCTTGCTTGGTGTTGCACGTATTGACAGCACATTCTGATTCATGAACTCATCGTGTGGATCGTATTCAGCCGCAACATTCCCATCAGGCAGTACGCCCCAATGACGGGCGCAGACGGGAGCGTCTCGGGGACCGAGCACTTGGGTGAGTTCCTTCAATGACCAGACATAAAAGGCACCCTCCCGCTTCTCTGTGTCGTTGGGGGTTGGGAAACTGTCAGCATCCTCAGATGAAAAGAACCCTCCGGTTGGTGATTGCAAAGTAGGACTGGTTAAGTAAGCTACCAGGTCGTAGACAGCACCTAGCAATTCAGGATCATGGGTCAGACGGAACCCTTCAACATAGGTATCCAAAAGTTGTGCTTGATCATGTAGCATCTTCTCGAAATGGGGCAAACTCCAATCAGTCGTCACACTATACCGAGAGAAGCCGTGACCAATGTGATCCCGGATTCCGCCACGGGCCATGTTCACTAGAGTTGTGACCGCCATAGCAGTCGCCTTCTCGCATTCTTCTTTGCCAACAATGTCAGTAACTTGGCTAGGGTATGTACCGAGTCGAAGAAGGAAAGTGAGATTCGACGGAGTGGGAAATTTAGGGGTGCGACCGAATCCGCCATTGATGCTATCATAGCGAGAGGCAAAATGTTGATATGCCTCTTCCAGAAGCTCGATATCCAGATCTTCGTCATCGTCTCGCTCTCCATGTTGCGAGTGAGTTCCCTCTTCGGCGAACTCCCGCAGCTGCTTGGTGATATCCTTCGCGCTCTCTAAGCAGCGTTGCTGTTGTGTCTGCCAAACATCGCTCAACTTCTCGAGGATCTCCACGAAACCAGTAGTTTCCGGACCCTGCAACATAGAAGAGTTGGGACCGGGCCAATATGTGCCTCCAAATACGGGTTCGAGGGCGGGGGTGAGGAAGACGTTCAAGGGCCAACCCCCTGAGCCAGTGGTGGCTTGGACATAGTTCATATAGATATCGTCAATATCAGGCCGTTCTTCTCGGTCAACCTTGATAGGAATGAATGATTCATTGAGAAGAGCAGCAACCTCTGGGGACATGAATGATTCCTTTTCCATGACATGACACCCTACAAGCCGTTAGCCATTGATCTGGAGGGGTTGTTCGGGTTTGGCATGGCTACATACAGTGGCAGGCCGAGTATCCAATGCTAAGGAAAATCAGGCGATTATGTTTCTGTGCGAGATTGATTGCCGACGCATCCCAGAGCTGCCATGCTACCGGGTTATTCATATGTCCGCGCACCTACGGACTGTTAGCGCCGGTCGCTCTCCAAAGACGGTGCGGCTGGTCTCACATAGGGCGACCTGCTTTCGCCGAGTCGGTTGACAAGTTGTGGGGCCGCTTCTGATACATCGTGCTGTGTCTGCATACTGTAGTCTTTTCTGCAATAACTCGAAGGGGTGAGGAGAATCGAGAGTCGAGGATTGAGAAGTCCCGCGGGCTTGGGAGGTACCGCGGACCAGAAGTTTGGAGCTAACGGAAAACGGAATAGAATATTCCAAGCTGATACTACCCCACGTCCAGATAGATTAACCAGGGTCTGAGCCAATACAACGGAGGATTCAGGACGATGTCGCACAGAAGAGGGGAGGAACAGAAGTGGGGGAACGCAACTTGACCTCGGGGCACGGGAGATCGGCCAGGTGCGTCATCGATGCATCAGGAAGGTCACGTGGCATGGCCAGGACGGAAGAGCAGACCAATGATAGATACAACAGTCGACTCGACCATTTAGGGGAAAGAAATTGAATATTATGAATATCCGGAGCATATCTTCATAATTCTGTACACAGCTGAATCTAGACACTTGCGGGATGGGTATCAACCAAAAGAAGTCTAATTAATCGTCACCCATCAATTCGGCCAACTCTCGCTCTTCCTCTTCCGTGAGCATTGATTCCGCCTTAGGCTCTTCTTCCTTGGGCGGGCCATTCTTCGCTATATCAATGGCCAGTTGGAGGTCATTAGGTCGCAGGGACCACTGGCGAACTGTTCCATCGATAGCCACGCTGACAACTGTCGATCCAACGAGAGCAAGCCCAGTGACTTCTTCGAAGTGACCCGAGAAGGTGTGATGGAGCTCACCAGTCTAGAATAGTCAGTCTCCAGATACTCCAATCGATGCAAGGGAAAAGGACTTACCGATCGATTCCATACCCGTACCTCCTCGTCTCGACAGGCTGTTACAACCCAGCCGCCGGCTTCGTACACCACCACATCACGTACGAAGTCTGGGTGCTCTAAGCTAAGATTCGCTTTCCATCCATCCGCTCGCACGAGACACTTGGCAGTTTTATCAGCAGACGCCGTCCAGAGGTCCCCGTCCTGGTCGAAAAAGAGCTTGTATACACTAGTTTCGTGTGGAAGGAGGGGCTCTCCATCATCACCACCTCCAAATATCTTGAATTGGCGAATCTCTCGATCACTGCCTGCACTGAAGACAATAGCCTGAGCTTCATCCACCTCTGGATCAATATTGAGATCCTGGATGCCTCGCGCATGGCCTTTGAAGGTCTCGGTTCGCTGTCCAGTCGCAATGTTGAAGACAAGGACTTGAGCGTCGGCGCCGCCGGTAATGAGTAGATCTTGCCCGCCAAGTCTGGCACAGATCACAGATTTTACAAAATCACTGTGCCCCTCGTATCTTCGCCGGGATTCTCTTGAGGCTACATCCCAACTCCAGACAGTCTTGTCCCAGCAGCCAGCAAACAGCAGCTTCCCGTCAGGACTGAGACAAACACTGGTTAATGGGGCAGTTGGACCTATGAATAGAGCAGTAGTTTCTCCCGTCTGTAGAGGATTGTTAGCAGGGTACTGCCGGTTGAGGCATCATCACATACTCCAAGAATAATTCTCCTCACGGTCCCACTACTTTGAGCAACATAGATTGATCCCGGATGGGACGGGTCTGCTCGAACCGCTAGAATCTTGCTCTGTAGCTTGATGGGGTTCCCATTTTCATTCTGAGATTTGGTGTCCTTTCGTTGCTGCTCGTCAAGGGCAGCACTGTGACCAACATTCCATCAGCATCAGGCCGTGCGTCGTGAATGGCTATCTTTTTGTCACGGTATATTCCGGTACCGCAAATAGTAGGTGATGCTCACGAAGTTTGGAAAAAATGGTCACGATTGGACGACGTCGTCATGGTGTCTTTGTCACCGTCTCTGGTGAATGTCAGGTTTCTGTCCGTTCTTGAAAGTTCTCCAAAAGGAGGGTCCCCCAGCGTTGGATCTCTCACAAAAAGCGCCCCCTCGACCCACCCGCGCACAGTCCAAAACTGCTCTCGGAGCTTCTGCAGTCCACCGTAGCCCGTCTTCACCAAAAACCTGAACGCAGATTTTCTTCTTTCTCCTTCTCTCCTCTTCCCATTCTACCCAATCACCCTTTTTCTCCACGCGTTATCCCTATTTTCCCTTTGTTTCTTTTTACTCTCTCTTGCGCGGTTCCGCGCTCCCTGCAAGGATGGATATGAACCATTTGATAGGGTCAGTCTGCACCTGCTGCTCGGAACCAGGGTTTGTGCGGCTGGGCTGGAGTTAACACCTGGCAGTCAGCGTTTCAACCTGATCTCAAAGAGCGATATTCGGTAAGCTTGCCTCCACTTGACCCATCGCACCTCGATTCATTACTCATTCTTCTCAGCTATGTTGGCACACTTCACGAAATCAACCCTGAAGCCTCCACAATAGCCCTCGAGAATGTTCAATCATTTGGCACTGAGGGTCGTCGGGGAAACCCCGCCGAGGAGGTCGCTCCTTCGACTAGTGTCTATGAATACATCGTTTTCCGTGGAAGTGATGTGAAAGACATTAGTGTCGCCGGCGAGGAAAAGCAGGAGAACACACAGCCCGAACCCCCTCGGGTTCCGGATGACCCCGCCATTCTGGGAGTAAGTATACCTCAATTCTATGAACATCACAACCCAAACCCAATCTTCCTCACCTGCACCCATCGCGGTCGGGCAATTGATCAAATGATGAATCATTTCGGATGTAAACACACAGACCTGTTCTTAATGCGCAAAACCATGTGGAAATTTCCGTTGCCTTCCTTCTGATTGATCAACCAACCCTTCATTCCTGCAACTACCTTTGTTCATTGTGTGTCAATCGAACTATCTTGCTGACTCAAGTCCAAGCAGAATGCGTCACGACCTGCTCCTGGGCAAGGTCCCGAGGCCGGATCTAGTGCTCCTGGCCTCCCCCCTCAACAGCCCCAGGGTGCTCAGCAGCCGCCTCCTGGCTACCCCCAGCAGCCGCAGTTCCAGCAAGGTTTCTACCCGCCCTATGGACAGCGCTTTCCTCCGCCCCCTTTCCCTCCAGGGCCGGGTGGCTACCCCAATATGCCATATGGGGCGCCGCCAGGCTGGTATCCTCCACCTGGCCCCGGTTTCCCGCAGGGGCCGGGCCAGTTCCCTCCCCAGATGCCCATGGGTGGCCCCGGACAGCAGCCGCCGCCGCCCCAGCAGAGGCCCGGTCCCCCGGGAGCCCCCCGCGGGCCCTAGTGCTACCTCTGAATTGCCCTCGGGAGAAAAGATCCCCAGCAAGCCTGTAACACCGGCAGCTCAGAATGCCCCGCCTCCTCCGGTCGAGTCGAAGCCTTCCGTCGCCGAAGCTGTCCAGGGCTCGACTGGCCCTAAGGCTGCTCCAGGATATGGTGCCGCTCAACGGAATGGTCGGGCTATGCCAGCTATACCTATTGCTGCACCGAAGCCTGTTGTCCCGATGCCTACTGCTCCTGCTGCCGCCTCACAAGGTGCTCTAGCGACTGATGCTACAACTGCTGCCGCAAATGCAGTTGCTGCTGCCATGGCCAAGCTTCCCCAACCTGGTGCACAAATGAACCCAGGCCAGCCTGGCGCCTCCGTTGATGCTGTCACTCGTAAGATGAATGAGATGCGGCCTTATGATGGCACACAGGCCCCACGAGGTGGCCATCAGTACCCCCGAGGTGGCCGTGGAGGTGCTCGCACCCAGCACAAGAAGATCGAAATCCCCAAGTCGGATTACGACTTCGAAACTGCCAACGCCAAGTTCAACAAGCAGGACCTGGTGAAGGAGGCCATTGCTACCGGATCTCCTGCCGCTGAAGCCGAATCCCACGAATTCCACGAACAGGAGGTCGATGACAGTGCCACGCACCACCAATACAACCGCACATCTTCCTTCTTCGACAACATCTCAAGCGAAGCTCGCGACCGCGAGGAAAACTCTGCTGGCCGTATCGGTGGTCGCGAATGGCGCGGCGAAGAAGAGAAGCGTAATATCGAGACCTTCGGACAGGGCAGCGTTGATGGCTATGGGCGCGGTCGCGGACGCGGCCGTGGCCGTGGTTTTGGACGTGGGCGTGGCTACCGAGGCGGCTACGGTGGTCGTGGCCGTGGTGGCATGCGTGGCGGCCGTGCCCCCTCGCAGTCAACTGGTATTCCCTCCCAGGTTTAAATGAAGCCATCTACCTACACCTACCTGCTTTTTACGCAATGATCGCTATGTTTTTTTTTTTTTTCATATTCCTTGGGGTGTCCTGACCTCTGAACGACATGAATGCTTATGCTTGAATCCGTCTCTTCTCTTCGGCGCAATGGGAATGAACATGGACTGGGCATTGTGGGACGTCAATACGGTTTTTCTTTGCGGCCGGCAACTATGGGTGTTTTCTGTTTCTGTTAGGGAGTTTGAATCTTTTTCTCTTTATTCTGTCTTTCGTCAAGCATACCCCTTTTCAGCGTCGTTCCTGCTAAGTCTTTTGGGTGGGAATTTTTACCTGTTGTGCTCTGTTTCGACATCACAGATGCACTGATGGCTTGCGACATTCATCTCATTCGAGTGTTTGTTCGTAATCATCTCGAGGCCAATTTATCTATTGGCTTGGTGGCCTGGCCTTTGCATATGGATGTATCATATCCATGACTTGAGGAGACAACTCCCATCAATGAAAATGGAAAATGGAGGGCTTGTAAGCCCTAAAAAAAAAACCTAGTTTCTACTCGTAAAATCCCGTTTTTTCTTGGTGTATGTAGTATGTATTCGGGTTTCAGGTCTTCGCGAGAATCCCCAGGTGCAAATGAATTTTGCGTGGGAAAATAACTCGCAGCCGACTAGTTCGAGGTTTCATAACACATCAGTCCCCTCTACAGATGGGTTTACATTCCCGCGGAGCACCACAGAGATGAGAAGCACCTTCTCCCTTTTCCGACAAGCCATGCTCCATGCCTATGACCTAAGAACATTATTCTTGCTACTAGATGGCAACGGCTTCAAAAGTCTTGCTCGGTAGACACCGGGGGGATATTGATTTTCATCAAACTAGTCACTAATAGTTGATGGCTGTTTCACTACCTATGCACCAATGAATACCTCTCAGTAGCAATAAACCCCAGAAAATGTAGCAACCTCTCGGATCCTGCAACTGCAACATCCTCGGTACAAATGGACTCTTTTCGGCAAGGATTCCGCATCCCCGCATCCCCGCATAGCACCACTGTGTTCATATTAATATGACGCCAGTTAGTTATATTGGCCTACTGAACAAATCTACGTTGTCTCATCTCAAGCAATTACCGTTAAGCGAATATGTCACCCTCGAATTCGACCGCCCGACTAACCGCAATCTCGAAACATCTTGAATCGAAGGAATCTAAGATGTCGCAAGTTCAGTCCCCGCAACAATTACCATGGGATCCCAATTCCCTCAGGTTCCCTTCTCACGACGAACTTCCGATATTGTCTGATGCTCCTCAGGGTGCGGCTTGGGTCTGGGGCAAGGAAGATCAGGTATATGTACATTGGTTCTCGCAACCTTCGACTGCTAATGTTGTTTGATGTAGCTTGGAAGACTGAATCTATTAACACCAGAACGCGTCAAGGTGGCTGCAGCGGAGATCAAGACTGGGGATATGGTTCGACTGGAGTGAGTTTTGCTGTAATTCTCACAAACATAATTGGCTTATGACTCTCCATTAGCCTTCCTCTTAATGTACCGATGACGCCTGCATTCGGTCGTGAAGTATTCCAGCACAAAATCAAAACAAACATTCCGGATATGGGATACGACGATACGTATACCATGAATACACAAAGCGGTACTCAGTGGGATGGCTTCAGACATGTAGGTCCTCACTATATAATAGTTTCTTGTGCCCCATAACTCATCGGTTAACTTCATCAATCAGTTTTGTCATGTTCCCACCAAAACCTTCTATAATGGGGTACGGCATCTAACTTATCCCTCACTCTGGTAGATACTAATAGATGCATGCAGGCGAAAAGCTCCGATTTCGTGGGCGAAAATCCCAACCTTCGCTGTAGCATTCATTACTGGGCAGACCACGGTATTGCTGGTCGAGGCGTGCTCTTGGACTATTATCATTACGCGCATACCCACAATAAGCCATACCACCCATACAAAGCACACGCGATTTCTCTTGCCGAGCTCCAAGCCTGCGCCACCACTCAAGGTCTTGATATTCGACCCGAATCGCAAGGTGGCGATATTCGACCAGGAGATGTGCTATTTGTACGCTCCGGCTTCGTACAGGAGTATTATAAACTCAACCCAGATGAACGTCATGCCGCAGCTACTCGCAAAAGTCCGGAATTCGCAGGGCTTTCTCGTGAAAAGCCCGTCCAGGACTGGCTACATGACTGCTATTTTGCCGCGGGGGTTGGTGATTCGCCAACTTTTGAGGTCTGGCCCCCACCAGGATTTGGACCGGATCATATAAGCTTACATCAGAGTATGCTGTCGCTTTGGGGTTGCCCAATTGGTGAAATGTGGGATTTGGAGAAGTTGGCGGTTAAATGCAGGGCGCTTGGTAAATGGACCTTTTTTATGACAAGTGCCCCTGCAAATATGCCTGGTAAGCTCTTCGCGCTCAGTATGGTTGTGTTAGAAACAGCTGCTGACAGTAACAGGTGGTGTTGGGTCGCATGCAAATGCGACTGCTATTCTGTAGATGGCTTTATCAGTTACTCAACACCGTCTTTTGGATCGTGGATACTTCATGGCAGTATTGTAGATTCAGCCCCCACATACCTTATCCTGTTTCAGCTGTATTGACATTCTTCCATCGCTGTTTCAGTAACTTTTTTCTTTCTTTTGATAGTTCATTTTACAGGGCAAATTGATGCCTCCCCTCGTTTCATTCATTAGGCCCTTCTTTTTCCCGCGGCGATCGCGGCGACCCTGACAGCGACCTCCAACCTAATGAACTGCTCCCTTTCTTTCCTCCATGGATGCTCTGCACTAAAGTACGACACATCGTGGGATACCTTACAGGGTGACAGGAGGCCCCTCATAACATGCAAGGTTTATTTTTGGGGGGGAGTTGTGGTATCGAGATAAACAGTTCTCAAAAATGGTTGTTTGTGAGGCGCTTCCTTGAGAGGATCAAAGCGTTGGACCCCGTTGGACCCTTAGAACTCTTAAAAGCGGGTATCAAGAGCGCTTCTGGGACCACCCAGGGAAAGTGCTGGGAAATGCGAAGGCACAAAATACCCAGGTAGGTATGATCAAAAGAGCCACAGGAAGTGGCGATCACGGGATCGAGGCTATAAGGGGCAGGAGGACATTCTAAGGGGATATCCTTCGCCAGAACCATCGCAAGCGGTAGATTGGATAACTTATACTCTAATTTTAGTAAGCTTGCCCTGGCCCTCTTATTACACGGGTTACCATCACAAACAACGGTGCTTTCCAAATAGTTCGAGAACTCGGGCACGCCGTTGGGTCAGTTTGTAAGGTAATTACGAGGTATCTCGGTATTTCATCAAGGCTTTACGTTATTAGGAAATATGTATGTGAGAGCAAGCGCGTGCCCGATATGCAGCCAAGCCTGTGCTGTGGTGGCATGTTTCAGCTCAAGCATGGGTGACAGTAGTACAGCGCTTATTTTCTAAAATTTGCCTTTCCAACGTGGGGTCCAAATAATCGGTACGCAGTTAAATTGGGGTAACGGAAAACTGTTTAATTATAAAGATCTATTTCCCCGAGATTGTTCGTGTTCATTTGTGTTATTTCAAGGCTGGTCCTTACTAGAGCTCAGTCATGCCTAAGTGGGACTTTCTCAATAAAAAGAAGGATTCGCTTCCTCCAACTTCCAAAGACTATGGCCAACCTCCACCGGCGGCATGGCGACCATTTTATTTACGAAGACTAGTTATAACCTGTTTCATTCTCGCTGCCTGTGCCATAGTTGCAGCTCTTGAGGTATTAAATCATATTTCACAATCTCAGAACGGGCTCGCATCTTCAGTCGAACGTCTTCACTATGTCTGGACATATACACCAACCGCGATCCTGACTATCATAAGCGCACTGTGGGCGCGCACGGAGTTTCAGGCCAAGCAAAATGCCCCATGGAGATCGCTGCAGCAACCAGAACAAGTCGACAAGAGTTTGCTTCTAGACTACGACAATATTCCGCCGGTCGCACTATGGAAATCGCTCAAACATCGCCACTTCATTGTTGCCGCAGGAATCGCCTGTTCTCTGCTATTACAGCTTGCAATTCTGTTCTCCACAAGTCTGCTCTCTCTACAGAGAGTTCATGTGCAAAAGCTGAATGTCCCTATTCAATTGGCTGATGTCTTTGATGGAGGCGACCCAATGTCCAATGAGACCGGACTTACAGCATTCGACACCCTCAATCAGGTTCAGTTCGAGAACCTGACATACCCAGTGGCACCAATGCAAACCTCGCCTTTCAGACCTTCAGTACACCGAATGCTTCTGGAGTCTCAGTCATAAATTCCCCGATACGGGCAATGGAAGCAGATCTAGAATGCGAACATGCTACGCTAATACTGGATCAGTGGGAGGTAGCAAGATCCAATGATACATGGGGCGGCAATGCGTATGACTTTATCAACAACAGAATCACGACGCCTTCCTGCACGGTCTTCAATCTGACAAATCTTCATAACTATTCGACGGGGGGGGTATTCCCACTATGTAGCACGGATGATGTCTACAACCTGTGAGAACTCAACCGACACGGATAGAAGACGCATATTGATATTTGCGACGCAATATCATCTCGGAAGAATGATTGAAAACAACACAGCCTACCCTTCCACATTCTGGTCACATAAGTACGAACTTGTCCTCGACAGGTCAGTTCAAATGTTCTGCAAGCCCCGCTTTTCCTCTGTCAACATGGAAGCCACGTCCAATATAAGCGAGTCGGAAACTGCGCCAAGCCTCAAGAGAATTGGAATAGAAAAGCCGGATATTGCGAATATCACTGCCTGGGATATAGCCGATCAAGTGGTGCAAGGGTCTGCGGATGGGAATGCAGCTAATCGACCCATTGCTGCACACTCTGCATTTTCGGGCAATGTCTGGGTGCCCTCGGAGGTTTCTGATGGTTCTACGGGGCCGTCAGAAGTACCTATTCAGTTCACAATCCAGCTTGGCGCATGGATTGCGGGAAAAACCGGATATGTGGGGAAGCTATTACAGGATGGCATGCTTGAGGAAGTGGTCTCGGCTTTTTATCGCTCAATGGCTGCTCAGGTCATACAAGGCGGGCTCACGAAGCAAAAAGTCACACAGACCAATGGTTCTATTATCGTCGAGGATAATCGTGTGTTGGTGATGCAGTCACCACTGCGGGTACTTGAAATTTGTTTGGGGATATCTGCTCTGATAGCAGCTGCTATGGTTCTGCTCAGGCCGAATGATGGAAAATTTTCTCAAAACCCGAGCAACATATCAACTATTGCCAACATCATGAGTAATAGTCAGGTACTCCGACGGTCTCTCCGCGGGACCGGTGCCTCGGCCCTCGATGTCTTCGTGGAGAGGATCAATGGAAATAAGTACTTTTTGCAGAATCATCGACAAGGTGCCTCGATTGAAGCTGATACGGACAAATCATACTTTGATTCTCGCAGTCGATGTGTCAATCAGTCTTCGGATGAAAATTGCACCCATCAACCCAATTTGTTTTGGAAGCCATTTCCGAGCCTCTGGTCTCGAATACCTATCTTCTGCGTGATAACAGGGGTTATTATAGCCCTAGAGACTCTTTTACATGTTTCTCAAAAGAACAATGGATTGGGCCAGGCTTCCAATGATGATAAGATGCATTATCTTTGGACAACTGTCCCTTCCTTGGTGATGATGTTGATAGGTCTCTTAATCGGAAGTCTGGACTCTAATATAAGGATTCTTGCACCATATGCCAATTTACAGAAAGCTCAAGGTATCAATTTTGAGACTCTGGCGACAAACTTTCTTGACGCCTTGCGTATAACGAATCTCGCTCAGTCGGCTCGAACGGGAGATTTCGCAGTTTTGTCAGGAACATTGGCAGCCTTGATTGCTTCATTTCTTACGATCGTGACCAGTGGTCTTTTCTCGACGGTCGAAGTACCGCAGATCATCAATTTGAACTTTACGCAAGATACCCTCTTCAAACCGTTTAGTGTTTCTGATCTCCTGGCAGATTCACCTACCTTCATTACTGCGGACTATATTCTCAATGAAAATCTCAGCTATCCCAGATGGACCCACGAAGAACTGGTCTTTCCCGAGTTTTCCCTTCCTGAATATTCAGATTGGAGCACGGATGAAGATTTGTATGCGGATGTCCGCATCCCGGCCATCAGGGGCTCTTCGGATTGTACTTTTGCAACCGGAAAAGCGCTGAACTTCTCCACGAAAAGCTTGAAAGGAGAGTTCCCGATATTTTCTACATATGGCTCTCAGGGCTTAAGCGACGGCTCCGGTGGGCCATGGCAGAGCTTGTTTAGAGTCAACTTTTATCCACCTCTACAAAACTGCACTGTTCCCGGCGCGAATGGAACATTTCTCTCTGAATATTATCCTTATGAAGAACAGCTTGGCTTCCCTGATGACGGTTATTTTGGACAGACGTTTCCAATATTTTGTTTTGGAACCGGCGAGGCTGCCCAATCGCGCTTAACGATGTACGTGTGGGGGTATTTTGAAAATTTGACTGTGCGACATATCAGTTCAATGACTTGTTCTGGTAAGATCGAATCTGTCGATGCCGTTACTCGATTCCAGATCCCCAGCTTCGATATACCCTCCGATCACCCTCCGACCCCGGATGAGTCTTCTGTCAAACCCCTTCCCCTATTCAACGGAGTTTTCGATATTTACAAGTTGGACGCACTGAGTAATTACAGTCCTACTGATTGGGGTATGGTCACAAAAGAAGATATTAGAATCGATACTTTCTTCAACTCATTGCTGAATGGACGCTACAAAATCCCGAGGGAGCTTCTCCGCAGCTCTCAACATGATGCGAAGGTTCAAGAGGCAATCAAGCGTCAAGACAGCATCGTGAGGGCACAGCTGCTCAGAAAGTACACTCGTCTGGCTGCAAATGGGACATTGGACGACAAACCCATTTCTGGCAACTTGACCGTGCCGAAAAATCTCCGCGTTCTGCAAGATAAAGCCTCAACCCGAGTACTTGAAGCCATGCTAGGACTGGTGCTCATCTTTGGCATTCTAGGATCGGTGCTCATGAATACAGACCATGTCTTGCCGAAGAATCCAATGTGTATTGCGGCAGTTGGGAGTTTGTTGGCGGACTCAAACTTTTTGCATCTTTGTCGCTTTACGGAGCAAAATCCAAACCATGGACTGCTTCGTGGCTGCCGAGTGCATCTTGGTTGGTTGGGTGACGAATCTTCGTCACAAAGCTCGTCGGACCTAGATGACTCGAAGGAAGGTCGCTATTTTACGATATACATGAAGACAGAGAAGTCAGAGAAGACAGAGAAGGCTGGGGAGGATTCTCGAATTGGCGAAACGCGGAGCAATTCCTTGCAGCGAGATAGGGCGAGTTCAGGGGCAGGTGAATGGATCTAGGTTCATAATTATCTAATAGAGCTCAGCTCCAGGGGTTGATCCTGTATCACATAGAAAATCTATAATAGAGAATGACGACGCTAAGATATTCTGAATTCAGCTTTTCGAACATCTATTATATGAAGTTCAAGTTGACTCCCTAGTAGCCTAAGTATCAATTGTCATCTGACAATAATTGCAGCCTATCTGTTATCGGGACCCGGACAGCCAGCACTGTACTCTACAGTACTATCTCACAAGAGTGTAACCAATAGAACAATAGCTCCACCTATTGAAAAACCACCCTTTGGATCGATTTACGTAGCAGTTAGGCCGAGGCTGTGAATATCTCATCCTAAACTCCGTACGTACTAGTATATATGAGATGGTATCTCCTAGTTCTCTCGTCCTTCATTCCAAGTTATGTTCCTTGAACTCAATCTTCCTTCATTGGCAATATGTAATTCCGGTTTTAATCCGCTTTCCACTGGGTCGAGAAATTGAAACTTGATCCTCGGAATCTCGGCATTGAAGAGGGCCCGGGCGAGAATACGTATACTCTCTTCGGAGATTTACCTGAGCTACTAGCGCATAAATTACGGGTTGAAAACTCAAAATGCATGAATCCAACTTTTAGAATAGGAGATACTCGGGAAGACTGCACTCAGGTGAGCTTCAGCTTCCCTAGTGCGCAGGACAAGTTGCCTATGGAGGCATCGAGAATACTAACAACCATACCATGACTTAGGCGACTAGGAGGAATTTTAAACATCCACTAGATTGTTGTTCAATCTTTTCCCCTTCTCTAACGACTGGTGGATGTTCACCGATATTGACCTTGGAACGGAGGTCTCTGTTATTGAACCCGAGAATATTCTTCAGCGGGCCGTCGAGATGACACTCCTCATGTCACTTGTAGATGCATAATCATGACAAACGCTTCTCGGTGAACAAAAGTGGCAACTTACGGACAGATTCCGCGTTCCTGGGGTTGTGGGGAAGCCATGTGTGTCCCGCAAACTTGTGCGGGACAAAACCTGGAGTGCAGCAGGACGCACTGTCAACAACCCCAGTCTCGGAAGGGCATTCCAATTCTATTCTTCGTCTCCTTGGATATCCAATCATTGGAAAGCTCTGTGGATAGCGACCGGATAGTCTCTGCGCCATATTTCCCTGAGTACAACTTCGAGAGGGAGGACAGAACGGCTTCCCTAGTGATCCGACCCGCCCCAGCCATACCCCGGCTAAACCCCGGATCTGGTTCCCCCCACTGATATGCAGTAAGTGATACCCTTTTTGATCCTGATGTCGCATTTGGCCGCCATTCTATCTGCGCTTGGGACTTGCTTAGGTCTAGCTATTCCCTTTCTGGGAAACTCGATGTCTATACCGAGTGACGCCGGACCATATCATTTTCATTCCGAACACACGAGCCTCTGCGTCGTTTACGAGTATACAACATCTCTTGACCGTGGTTTTGGCTTGCTCTCAACTACCATGGCTGTATTACAGGCCCCACCATGGAGACTAAGTCTTCAAGAGACAATGCAATCAACATCATGTCCTTAGGTCAAGGCCCCTCGGAAATAACTCTTGCCCCAAGACAGCCTATATAAACCATCCAGGCATCTTTCGTTATAATTCCCCTCACCGTTTGCTTCACAATCCAAGGTGCCTGGCAATAATGAAGTCTTCTATTGTTGGACTTGCTGCCGTGCTGCAACTAGCAGTGCATGCTTCTGCACAGGATGGTCAATCCAGTCCCTCCGACCTCGAGAATTACTGGTCTTATGGCCATTCAGAGTCGGTGCCAGATACACGTAAGTTTTAGGTTTTTACTCTGCGTGCCTTATTGATTATGATATTGACTCTCTTTTAAACAGCCGTTGCGAAGGGATTGGGGGATTGGGCCGATGCCTATAACAAAGCCCGTAAACTCGTTTCCCAGATGACCGACGAAGAGAAAAACAACATTACCTACGGACACGCATCAACAACAACTGGATGCTCAGGAGTGACTGGTAGCGTCCCGAGATTAGACTTTCCGGGAATTTGCTTCCAAGATGCCGGTAACGGTGTCCGTGGAGTTGATATGGTTAACTCTTACCCCGCTGGTATCCACACAGGTGCGTCTTGGAACCGGGATCTTGCTCATTCTCGGGCAGAGCACATGGGCGCGGAGTTCAGGCGAAAGGGTGCCAATGTGGCACTAGGTCCTGTTGTTGGACCAGCAGGCAGAATCGCCTCGGGAGGCCGCAACTGGGAAGGCTTTGGAAGTGATCCTTATCTTTCAGGAGCTCTCGCAGCAGAGTCTGTCCGTGGTCTGCAGCAGAATGTCATTGCATGCGTCAAACATCTCATCGGAAATGAACAGGAGACCAACCGAAATTCTCCATATCTATTAGAGGGCTCCCATAACCAGTCTATCTCATCAAATATTGATGACAAGACTATTCATGAGCTTTATCTCTGGGGGTTCCAAGATGTCGTCAGGGCAGGCGCTGGATCTGTTATGTGCAGCTATAACCGCATCAACAATAGCTACGGATGCCAGAATAGCAAGGTCATGAATGGTCTGCTCAAGGGAGAACTCGGCTTTCAGGGGTTCGTGGTGTCTGACTGGACTGGTCAGCACACCGGGATTGCTAGTGCAAATGCAGGCATGGACGTCGCGATGCCGGACTCCCAGTATTGGGAGAATAACACCCTGGCCATAGCTACCAAGAATGGTTCGATGCCTGACTTCCGTCTTGATGATATGGCAACACGAATTATCGCCTCTTGGTACAAATATGCCGAGATTCCGAACCCCGGTCATGGTATTCCTGTTAGCCTGCTCGAACCTCATGATCTTGTCGATGCCCGGGATCCAAAGTCAAAGAATGTCATTCTCCAGTCAGCGGTTGAAGGCCATGTTCTTGTCAAGAATACAGCAGGAGCACTTCCTCTGCAAAAGCCGAAATTCCTCTCACTATTTGGATACGACGCCATTCCTTCCGCCTTGAATACAGCGGACGACAGCTCGCTAGGTGGCTGGTCCATGGGCCTTCAAAATGCCCTTACATATCCCAATGGCAGCGCGGTGAATAACGAGACTGAGAAATACATGTTTCTATCGAGCACAGACCCCAGCTTCCGTGGTCCAGGTGTCGCGTTCAATGGCACACTCTTCGCCGGGGGTGGTTCTGGCGCCAGTACACCTGCCTACATCGATGCTCCACTCCACGCGTTCCAACGCCAGGCATACGATGACGATACTTATCTAGCCTGGGACTTGATATCCCTTGAGCCTCACGTGAATCCTGCCAGTGACGCCTGTCTTGTCTTCATCAATGAGGCCTCCTCTGAAGGCTGGGATCGACCATATCTTGCAGATCCATCCTCTGACAAGCTTGTTAGGAACGTCGCAGCCAAGTGTCCAAACACGATAGTTGTCATTCACAATGCGGGACTGCGCCTTGTCGACGAGTGGATTGAGAACCCCAATATCACTGCCGTGCTTTACGCCCATGTTCCAGGCCAGGATAGCGGCCGAGCACTAGTCGAGGTCATGTACGGCAAACAGTCTCCTTCGGGTCGCTTGCCGTACACTGTCGCCCGCAAAGAGTCTGATTACAAGGAGCTTCTTGAGCCGGTTATTCCTTCGGGCACGCAGAACGAATACTATCCTCAAGACAACTTCACCGAGGGAGTCTACATTGATTACAAAGCCTTCATTCAAAACGAAATCCAACCACGTTTTGAGTTTGGATATGGGTTAACCTACTCAAATTTCTCGTACTTGGATCTCGATGCCAGTGTTCATTCCAACGCAAACTTGCAGTATACCGCTGCTGGAAGTGGTGCGAAAATCGTGGAAGGAGGCTCGGAGGCGCTCTGGGACATTGTCGCCAGCGTCAATTGCACTATCCAAAACACTGGAAAGGTTCGCGCCGCAGAGGTAGCTCAACTCTATGTTGGTATCCCTGGAGGGCCTCCAAAGGTGCTACGTGGGTTTGAGAAGAGGACTATTGATTCCGGCAAGAAGGAGCATATTCAATTCGATCTGACGCGCCGTGATCTCAGTCACTGGGATGTAGAGAAGCAAGCCTGGGGGCTTCAGGCTGGGAAATATCCCATCTATGTGGGAAAAAGCGTTCTTGATATCCAGTTGCACGGCATGTTGGATATCTCTTGAGCTTTATGCTACAAACAATGTTTTTTTTTCTATAGATAGTGCGCGATTTTGAGTAACTGAAGCAATAAAATTCGAACTTTCTAATGGAAACCCCCAAATATTGTAGACTGAGATGGCTCGAAAAGGCTTTCCGATGAGCTCGGTGATATCAAACTTGATACTAGTGTTCCCCATTCTAAGAAGCAGAGATTCTTAATGAAGAAAGGTGTACTTACCCAAATATCTGACTAGGCGCACTGACCAGATAGCTAGCACAATGACAACACTTTCTTTCTCTCGGAATGAATCACGATAATCATTCGTATTTCCTTTTAGCGCCTTTTTAGCTGCTGGTTTATTGACTACATTCGGCAAAAGAGCCAACTACTACTCCACTTGATGTCCCCCACTTTTCACTTTTCTCCGTGCGAGATTCGCCGGAGTTCAGCCGGCCCCGGATTCAAGTCCCACGCCGATATCCAACTAGAACCGCATACGGAGTATACATACGGTGTACTGTTGTATGCCCCTAGGCAAGATCGGCCCGAGTCTCCGCAGGTCTAGCCTGGGATCAGCAGAGCAACACCCTCTTCCCCATCCTCGTCCCCCTCACCAAATCCCACAACATCGATGCTTCTCATTCCACCTCGCCTTCGACCATAGGCACGATGAGCACTCAAACCCAAACCCAAACAGAACCAGAAACAGAAGCAATCATCCTACAAACTCGAACCTCACAGAGCCAAACCTCAACTCCAACCCCACCCCAAGACCAACCCCCAAAATGGCTATACCCTAAAATCCTCAGCGCAGGCCTCTCCTTCTTCGTCGCCGGCGTCAACGACGGTAGTCTAGGCTCCCTAATCCCCTACATAATCCGCAGCTACAACATCAACACCAACACAATCGCCATACTATACGGCACAACATTCAGCGGATGGTTCATAGCCGCACTAACCAACAGCACGATCTGCCAACATCTCGATTTCGGCTCAATCCTGTGCATCGGTGCAGCCTTGCAAGTCCTCGCTCACACCTTGCGATCTTGGTTCGCGCCTTTCCCGCTTTACGCGGTGACGTTTTTCCTTGCGTCGCTTGGTCAGGCTTATAATGATACGCATGCAAATACATTTGTTTCGGAATTACGGGGTGCTGCGCATCGGTGGTTGGGGTTCATTCATGCTATGTATATGGCTGGTTGTCTTGTTGGGCCGTTTGTTGCGACGGGGGTGGCGTCGGCGAATGCTCAGTCTAGGTGGAATTTGTTTTATATTTTCCCTTTGGGACTGGGGGTTGTTAATTTCGCTTTGGTGGGATTGTCGTTTTATGACCGTGTTGCTGTCTTGTCTAGGAAGAAAAAGGTCGTCCAGGGGGGGTGCGACCATTGACGCCGCCCTCTCTTCGAACACGTACCACCCAGAGCGAGAGTCAACGGGCAAAGCAGCTGCCAAGGAAATCAAGGAGACACTATCTACGCCTGGAGTCTGGCTGTTGAGTCTATTCTTCTTTTCTTTCTCGGTGCCGCCATCACGGCTGGTGGGTGGATGGTCGAGTACCTGGTCAACGTGCGAAATGGAGACGTCAAGAATATGGGCTATGTGCCCGCGGGCTTTTATGGCGGAGCCTTTTTGGGCCGACTGGTTCTCGCTGAACCGACTCATCGACTAGGGGAGAGAAGAATGATCTTCATCTATGCGGTTCTTTGCGTTGGCTTGCAATTGGTATTCTGGCTGTACGTCCTATCTCATCACCTATCGGCGGCTGCTGCTAATCTCGAGCTAGGGTTCCAAATATCATCACTGAAGCTGTGGCTGTTAGTCTGCTGGGTTTCTTCTCTGGCCCATTCTTTGCAACGGTAATTCTTCCCTCTATCGCCCAACTTTTTCACGAGTATACCTGCCTGTAAATAGTTAACCAACGAATTTATTCCAGGGTATCTTCGTCGGATCCAAAATCTTCAGGCCGGAGATCCGCTCCTCGGCAATAGGTGAGAGATTTCATCCTCCTCTAACTCAAATAATTGCTAATTCGCAAAGCCTTCGTCTTTGTCCTCGGTCAGATTGGTGGCTCGATCTTCCCCGCCATCACTGGTATCATCGCGGCTCGGGTGGGTGTGAAGGTATTACAGCCTATTCTGGTCGGCTTACTCGGTGCTGCTGGTGCAAGTTGGCTGCTACTACCCAAGAACGCGGAGGTTCATCGCGAGTGAGGGGTGGTTGAGATGCAGAAAGAACTCATCAAGATTGGGGGGACTTTTGCAAATACTACTAGTATCATTGGAAGAAATTTGAAGAGGACCAGGGGTAAAAATATTTAAATTAAACAACCACCTCAAAACAATCAACACCCGAACTCCAGGGTATAAAATCATAACATCGTGACAAGCCGTCAGGGACGATCAAACAAAACACACCAGCCCATGCCAGAAAATAACACCGCGTAACCAACCCAACACTATCATCAAAGATCATCAAGAAATAAATGTTCATTTAGAAAATATCCGAAGGCCAGGGAAAATCCTCAAGCCCGGTCGCAGTCGACTGCTGATTCTGAACAGAAAAAGACTGCGGCTCCAAAGCCATCGCGGGTTCCTTTCTCGGACTCTTCATTTTCGAGGGCGACTTATTTACCTTTGCTGCATTTGGAAGAAGCTCTTCGGGGAGAGGAGGAACAGGCGGAATATCCGCATCCTGCCATCTTCGTTTCTTTGGGCTAGATTTTCCAGGCGAAGAGCGTGGCGTCCGATCCGGATCGAGGTGGAGATGCGGCTGAAGATAGAACGCCTGATGTGCTTTACTTTTAGATGGAGGTGGTGAGGGAGAGATCCAGTTGCCGGGGGATCTGTGTTCCGAATCGCTCATGGAGCGAGGCGAGACAGAGCGCAAATTCGAACTGCCCGGTTGCGTACAGATATGGGGTGAGGATTTTACGGCCTTGGATTTTGGTGAGCGGTTGAGGCCGGCAGAAGATGTTCGGGACTGAGCTGATGGGGACCTTGTGCTGTATGAATCTTCTTCTTGTGCGGCGGCTCCGTGGCTGATATTAGGTCGTGTACGTTCTACCGAGCCGGGGCTATCGCCAGCTTCGAATTTCGGCCATTTGGTTTGTCGAGGGGGACTGAGGAGGCCCGAGTCGATCAGGTGGTCATATTCGGTCGAAAGGGCGACGTCGTTGATATCGGGGCGCGTTGGGTAGGACTGAAGAGGTTTCCGACTATCGACTGGTTCAGGAACGGGGGACTTCCTTTTGCGGGAGGAGCTTTCCTTACCCATGGAAGACGGCCGTGAATCTCTCGACCGTCTCTTCGGGGACTTGCCCACGGTTGGGCTTGGGCATGGTCCCTGTTCTTCGATCGAGACGCTTCTTCGGCCCTCCACGGAAGGTAAAGCTGTCAAGACGCCCATCTCGGGCTCGGGCGTTTCGGCAATTGTCGCTTGTTGGTCGAGAAGTCGTTCTGATGGTAGTGTTGGGAGTGCACCGGGGACGAATTTGCGTGGATAACTGCCAGGGTCCATATCAATGCTCATGGATCTGCGCTCCGGTGTTGGCTCTGGCACCCGCTCCTCATTTCCACTGATCTGGTGAAGCTCGCGACGAGCACGGTCGAGCTTGTCTTCAAGGTTGCTGACTTTCTTGAGGAGCTTGGCTTGTCGTGAAAGCTCCCTGCGTGATTTTTGTTTGCGAAGCCCAGTATTTTCAAAGGATTCTTCAGATGATCGCTCCATGTATGTTGGCGGTGCGACGGTGGTCGTTTCTTGGGGCTTGCCAAATGGGAGTCCGACCTTGCGAAGGTCTTGGAATGATGAGCGCTTCGAGGCCTTCGATGATGAGCGTGAAGGTGTGCCACCAGCTCCATCAAATTGATCCGCTGGTGGGTGGGCTGCATCTCCAATGGGACCTCCGTAGCCCATTTTCTCCAGGATAGCCTGGAATGTCTGGTCGGCGTTCGCCTGGTCGGTATTCTGGCTCTGCATGTATGAACCTTTGTTGGTACCCTTATAGCCGGCCTTCTTCAACTCCGCATAAGCCAGCTCTGCCTGTGTAAGAGCATCGGCTTGAGGCTTTGGCTTGTGAGAAACCTCATGTTCCGGTGAGTTCCTATTCCATCCTCCGAAAGGATTGAAGGCCGAAGCAATGGCCTTTCCAAAGCGAAAGATTCCAGATGAACGATGCTGCTGCTGCTGCTGAGGCGCAACCCGTTTACTCTCGTGCATGAAAATACTCGGTGGCTTCTCGCTGACACTATCACTCATCGTCGCTTCCACAAAACGCGACCGGCGGCCCAGCAAGTGACGTGGGCTGTGTGCGGCTGCAGCGCTGTGTCTGCCACGAAGCGAAGTCGCCGAGGCACGAGGGGATGCTCGCGGGGAAGACTTGAACTGAACACCGAGGCTAGGACCTATCCCACCACTCCCACCGCGTGCATTACGACGGTTGTCATGTCCATAGTCTGCAGCTTCCTCGGGCAGCGGCCAGTCATTGGAGCGGCGGCGTTTCACGGACTTGGCTGAGGGCGATTTATAATCTTCAATGTCTGGTTCATCGGCGTCGTCGAAGCGACCGGACTCATCGGAGCTGGTTTCGTAGTTATAGTCGTCGGAGCTGCTGCGCAGGTGCTTGCGCGAGGTGCGCTGATCCGCGGGACTGGTGTCAAGGTCCATACTGACGGTCTCGTTGGGGGCAACCTGTTCAGGACAAACGAGTTAGAGACATTTCCTTCTTTTATCGCTGTCCTTGCCATCTAGGGCCGTCTCCTAGATCCAAAGTGCAAGGGAGCTCACCTTGGCGCCCGGGGCGTCCTTCATTCTCCCTGGTAACGTTCCCCGCGCCCTTTAAACGGAAAGGGTACAGTGTAAATATGAGCTGGTGAGAGGGGATGACATGAGTCAAAGGAGTAGAAAACAGGAGAGGAAAAGAGAAGAGCAGAGGGATTCAAGGTAGTACTCGTGAGAAGACAACAAAGAGATGGGGCCGAGTCCGTTTTTGTTTACAACATACTCCGCACTTGCCCAGGGGGGGAAGTTTGTTGTGGTTGTGGGGACTACACCTCTCTCCACTTATACTAGTACTACTAGTACTCACTTGAAGTATCAGACTCAATTATTTACTCATTCATGCAAATTGTCAAACAATTTGCAGCTGGATAATATCCACTGCATACACTATTGACTAGGCTATCTTCCTTTCTTCCAAGAGGGAGACAGACTGTAGGCACATGGAAGCAGGGATTCCATATACCCGGAATCCTTGCGGGGAGGCAGATCGATCGACCTCGATTCAGGATTCCACCTGTCTCAGGCGGACTTGTGTCCCGAGGAATGATGGAATGAGATACAATTAAATCAGTGCATCCACTACAATATACATACGACAATTACGGCGAAAAGAGGGGAACAGTTCAAGTTATCGATTCGGACAACAATGCTAGGTATCAAGGAGATGCCACAACGCCGTAAGAGTAAGAGATTAAGCAACTGGCCCTCGAAAAAAAATATAAGATATAGCGCCCCGGTGGAGATCAAGCAAGGGAATCCAACATCGAAACGTCTCTCCAATGCACTTTCATAATATACCAATCCGCCACGCCCAAATGGTAGGGATTGCAGGGTCACGATCACGAAAAAACAACACTAAATGATTGAGATGAAAGAAAGAGAGAGAAAACCAAGACCAATTCCCATTCGTTGTGAATTTGCCGGAGAAATAGCCCAAGCCGTCACAACAAGAAGGCGATGCCAGGCGAGAGGGTCGACTGTATGGTTCGCGCCCCTGTCAGACTGTGTAGTCCTCCCGGTTGCCGTTTGGGTGGAGATTGGAGGGATGGATATTCCACCCTTTGCACGTGCTGCCGGCAGGGATTGCATCCCCGGGTAGGCTTTTTGGTGGATGATCGGGTCACAGACCCCTCGAGAGTCAGGAAAGGATGAGAGCGCTGCGAAGGCTGAAGGATGAATACGTAGAAGGGTGGAAGGTTATTGATCGGATCGGGGAATAAGAAAACAATCCAAAGAGCCCAGTGACCAGCCGGTTCTCCACGCAAGAATGGAACAATCAAAAACACAGAGGCTTCCTGAACAAGAGCGTGACAAAAAATGCATCGAGATATCCAGGCACAAGGTAAGGGAAGGCCAAAAGAGGGGAAAGAATTCATGTACAAAAAAATGCAAAGAGTTCGGCGCATGGAGCTGCGGGATGCGCTCTTGCGCCGAGGATCAGAGCAAACTCTGAGAGGTAATATCCGATGGATGGTCCATAGCCCAACCGAACGAGATTTGATCAGAGGTCGAATCAAATGTTTTTTTATGATGTCGCATGTGGTGCCTTCATCACCACTCGCCCATTGGCACGTTTGTATGCCATGTCGATGCCATATTCGGCCATCAAAGCTGCCCGGCTTTCTGCAGAGTAATCACGGGTGGCGTTGGTGCTATAGGATTCATTATCGGGCCGCATGCCATTTTGCATCGAACGTTCATCTCAGGCCGAAAGAATCTTCATGGCTGCGTTTGCTGCCGGTGACTCCGCCATGTCCGGGGTGTCCGAGCTGTCCGGTGTGATAGAGCATTCGCTTCCCTGAGACGGAGTCGTAGCTCGGGGCGGGTGTGGAATGCTCGATAGACGGCTGGATACCATTACCGTGCATACCTTGCAGGTTCGCAAAATCACTGGGTGCGGTCTTCATAGGCTGGGGCATAACAGAGGGGATGGTTGAGACAGGCGTTTGAGCCCTTGGCATCAAATTTGCGGGAATCGAGTATGGGTTCATCGGGTCTGCCATGTTCATATCCACATATGGCGGTGCTTTCGGTGTCTCCATGCGATATGATGTCATATTATTCTTTGGATAGCCTCCGTTCCGTTCTACCATGGGCGGTGCCATGGGATATCCGGCGGGTGTTACTTCATATTCAGATGTCATGGAAGGATCACGAATATTGGCATAAGATGTATGAGGTGAGTACATTCCGGGACCAGCGATAGGTGGCGGAGTAGGAGGCATATGAGGAGCAGGATATTGAGTTGGTGTCGAACCGAAGGAGAGGTGTGATTGATAGCTGGGGGTTCCATCGTGGGGCATAGGGGCGGGTGGCATCGGTCGCTGGAAGGGCGGTTGGGGACACTGGAAACCATAGTCGGGTGCTGACGGCCGCCGTTGAAGGTCGGGACCATATCCGTATGGCGAGGCCATCGTGCTGCCATTGCTATTTGATCGGGGGCGCTCCACCGAGTTTGTGACGTAGCGATCTGGTGTTGAGTATCGGTCGGACGATCGTGCATATACAACCGCCGCCGCCGCCCTCTCCTCGTCAAAGTCGTACTCTTCCTCGCGTTTATCACCTCGTCGTCTCATGCGAACATCACGACGAATGCGTACACGACATCCTTGCTCGGCGATAATACGGCTAAGAGATGTGCTGGTAGCCAGACCAGGGAACTTCTTCGCACTATAGACAGTGAATGGCACTGACTTGACGTCGAGTCTGAAATTTAAGAACGCTTGAGGGGCGCCGGCATTACCACGGCCGACTTGATTAGGCAGGGGAAGATCCGAGTCCTTGTCGGCATCTTTCGCATCCTTGATCTCTTCGTATAGGTGGAAGGCCAGGCGGTACCGGCCCTCATGGCGAACTGACAGGTCCGGGAAGATGAAATAACCAGCCTGCGAGGGGCGATCGAGGTAAGCGACACCGGCGACCGGCACACCAGTTAATACGGGGCACGACGGCGGACCAGCCACTCGACCGTGAGCGATGGGACGCGCAGCCTCCAGGGTCGCATATAAAAAGAAATTGGCATTATAGGCAAAGGTGATATCGGTTTTATGGGCCTCATTGCCAGGTTCGGATTCGAAGATTCGCAGTTCGACCACGGGTGGCGGGTCTACCGGGCGACGGTCGGCGGATGCTATTTTGTCAAGTCAGCAAACACTGAAATGGCGACAAGATCTACCATTGGTGATGGTGATGGGGGCCACGAGAGGGAGGAGATTGTTGGGATGACCTACACTTGGCTCCAGCACCACAAGCTCTGGCACGTTCGGGTTGTTGCATCACACTCAATTTATATGTGAGTTGTTTTCCTTCGCGTGTGATGCGACTGATGGTGTGTTCCGTCTCATTATGGGGCGGCATGAGGGGTGGTCTGGTCGCCATGGTGGGCGAGAAGGATCGAAGAAAATTATACTATATGGGCGACAGCTACATCAGCAAAAATGCGGCATCCAGGTTTGGTGATGGCGGGTGTTGGCCGGGACGGAAGGACGGATGAGAGATGGTGTCGCGACGTACGTTGTCGAAGCTTCTTTCCCTTTGCTGGCGATAATGATGGATTCCACGGGGTCGTCAATGGGGTCGCTTGTCCTTCCTCCTCCAGAGAAACCGTTGGTGACCCCCAAGATTTGCGTTCTTCTGGGAGGGGGAAAGGTGGTCCGACCCTTGCTGAAGTGAAGAAGGCGATCGCAGGCGGTCAATCGAGAATCGAACAGGGGCGAGTAGACGAAGTCGAAGAGGAAAAGAGGGGGGGATCAGATGGAAAGGCCTTATTGAAGGCCAGGACCAGGACCGGTGGTGAGAATGGACGGGGGGGGGAGGGAGAGGATGTGGGAGGCGTGTGTAATGGTGGGAAGAAAGCAAGAAAGCGCAGGAGAGGGGAATCTGGGCTGGGCGAGAGAGGGTGAGGGTGTGAGGGTGACCACGGAGTAACTGGGGGCTGCTATGCACTGGCACGGTATGGCCAAGTACCAAATGGGTACTGACTCAATGGTGTGTTAGTGTGTAGTGTGAGTGTTGGCAAGGTACTGTGTATGGCCAGCCGGTATGGCACGATACCTGATTACCTATTCCCTGATACACGATACACGATATATGATACACAATACGTATGAACTAAGGTATGCAACTCCACGGTTGGCTTTTGACTTCCCCCCGACCCAAGATCCGGAATGCCTCGACTCCATCCTCGTACTTTTCCCCCCCATTTCGATGTGAGTTCGATTTGATCCTCGATCGTGGAATGGCCGATTGTCCAACATTCTATCCTATCTTCCTATCCTCCCACTCTCCCACTCTACCATGGGTTAACACCACACCAACACCGCGCTGCATGCACTGTCCTCTATCCTCTGTCCTCCGTAATGCACTAGGACTCCTCCGTACACTCGATATGCATACACAATTACTAGTTTGAATACGGAAGTACGGAGTACCGAGTATGGAGTACACTGGCAATACATCGATCTGCGTCTCCGCCTGGTAGTTTCCTTGATCGTGACTAGCCTGTGTGCTAGGGATCCTTCGGGCTTTTTCGGTTTCCACAGAGGACTCTGTCCTCTGTATCCAGTTGGTATTCACGGATACACGCCGTAATTAAATAGGATGATGATTTGATGTGGTTTGGATTTTGGATTTTGGATTTGAATTTGGATTTGAATTTCCCGGGGCAATCTTGCAACCCAGAGAATAGTGTGTTTCCCAACCTGTGGTCTCGGGTTCGGGTGAAGTAGATCTCGGCGGATCCCAGGCTGATGGAGTATAGAGTATTGAGTATTAACTCACTCTTCCTGACTCTTTGCCTTTTTGCTCCTCAGATGAATTGCAAGCAGTCTGCCTCCTACGGAGTACAGTACATTGCTGCATTCATTACGATGCCTACTGTACTTTTCTGTGCTCCGTGCATCCTCCGATGGCTGGACCGTGCAACCCACACATTCCTTGCGATCGTAAGACCCATGGGACAAAAGGCCGACTCCACGTTACTCGGCGTGCATCATCTCCTGGAAAGCAAACCCAGTCCGACGGACCGGGCGACCTTCTTTTATTCTTCCTACTTTCGATGATATTTCCATTGTCATCTTGATCTTCTAATCTTCATCGCTGCGAGCGTCCTATATCCCCTTTTTTTGCCCCTAATCTCCCTTGGCGGACGGATACGCGGACAGCCGGCAAGACAAGGAGGGGCCGCTGACGTCGGGTGCAGCTCACCACGGCATTAGGGCCAATACCAGTGTATTTCGTATTCGGCATGGATTGGTCCAACAAACTACCAGTCAATGAGGGGGGGAAGAGTTGGTTTTTGGCCCCAATCTGGAATCTGGACTCTGGAGTATCAAGGTCAAGGACATGGTCACCCTCTGTAGTTCTTCCGATCCGTGGATGCCCCATCCTGGATTAAAGTCGCCCATGGCGTACCGCGAAGCTTGTCCCGTAACCATGGGAATGGCCGCCGTTAGGCCTGTCAAACAGAGAAAAAGAGGGTCGCAAAGGAGAGAGCGAAATCGAAAGAGGGCCAGCGATCCTCTCCCGATTGTGCAGCTGGACCCATCCACCTATTCCACCATCCAACCATTCGATGTTCGGCAGGACTCGGTTCGCGCTGCCCGCTCCCCCGACCAATCCCCTCGCTGGGGCGGGTCCTTTTGTCCCCTTCTCATGCGATAAATTCTGATCTGCACTTCCTTCGTTCGAAATCCGCGATCACCCAGTGCCCGAACGCCTCTTGATCATTGGTTGAATCGGGTGCCTCCGCTTTATCACCCACCCTGATTTGCCCATCGTCTCCCCCTCCCCCCCGGTACACATGCTGGACGCGCGAAAGATTCATGAGCTATCACTTGACTCTCTCCAACTCCAAGCCGCTCCAAGAATCAATGCCCTTTGTGTTGCGCTCTACTCTCCACATTTGTAGCCCGAGCCCAAGCATGCCGAGAGTACATACGGAGTTGGATACGAAGTACGGGTACTCCGTACGGAGTACAGACTACTCACCATTTTCTGCAGCCTGTTCTCTCTGTTTGTATCTGTATCGATCCCCCACGCGGTCCGCACCGAATAAAAGCCACCGCCCCATCCCGACCCGAGGGCTGCGCGCCCTTTCTCCAGAACCGGTACATCAATTTCGGTGTGATCGCTTTAACAGGTAAAGGTCGGGGCGAATACTGCAGGGTTGACCTTGACGCAGATTAACGGTCTACTCGTAGGTTTTCGGTTTTCGCATTCTCTTCTTCTTCGGTCTGCCGCTTTTTGCTTTTGCTTGTTTCCTGCGCGCAATTCGCTTCATCAAGTTTTTTATCATTCCCGTCCACAATTCTCCACCGGCGTATCGTACTGCTGTATCAGAAGTACCGTACACAGTATATGTACATAGCATCATACTCCATTTATGCAAAAGTATGCAGTACTGTACTCCGTATGGCCATGTTCTTACGGGATACCAGTACGAGTACACTTTGATCTTGCACAGCGGTATTCCGATGGTTTCTTCCCGTGCGATATACTCGTAACCAATCGTAGCCACCGGGGAAGCCGGGCCACAACAAACTAGGGCTTCGGGGGGTCGTCTCCTTCGGAAAGGTCGATCTACTTTGTAGAGAGTTCTGATTCAAGCGGCACTCTCGAACGATCTCCATCATTCAAGCAGCCATGCGGTCAACCGCCACCAGCCCCAGGGCTGACTCGAGGGCCTTACTCGGGTAGATGCACAGCCAGACCCGGAGGCCGATAGCAGATACATAGTATGTACTGTACTTGGTATGAAGTACATGAATAATCTTGAAATACACGCGAATCCTGAAGCGAGATCGCCGCTATTCGGCCAAGAAAAGAGAACGCTCATCTATGTATAGACTTCGTTGGGCAGAAACCCTTCCCCAGAGTCCATGATGGCCTGACGCCCTCAACCTAGAGGCTCGTATGTTCCAGAGTCTCAAGGTTCAACACGTAATAACCATAAAATGTCTATGTGCTGATCCGCTGAACATTCGTAGGCTCGCGATCCTGCATGTTTATAGTATGCGTCTTTTTTCCCCTGGCTCTCTCTCCCTCGTCCGGACTATGCTCCTTCAATTTTTCTTTGTTTCTTGCTCTTTGTTTAACTTTTTAGTTCCTACGAGTAGTGGATCGACAAGGGTGCTCGCTTATGGGCGCTTGGAGGAAATCAAGCCGTGTCAAAGGCTAGGTTCCAACCCTCTCCCCCTCTGCGCTCTGCATTCAGCAAAGAGGATTAGCCATTCGACTCGGTTTCCACTCGGTTTCCCACCGGAGCCATGAAGATCGACAAGCGCGTAACATCCTCCTCGAGAACCTGATCATCAATTCTAACAGAATTCATTTCGAGAGTCGGGCAAGGACCGTTCCAAGGATAAACTAGCGCTCTAGGCTACTCTTGGTCTCTCTTTCTCTCGATTGTTTAGAGCAGATCCTCCCCGTGGCAATGCCCTGTCTCTGCCGTCTCCCCCCGCCAACTCTCCCGTGTCGGGGTCGACTCAAAAGTAGGTACCCAGGCATCCCGAAGGGTACTTTTGACCACACCATGTTTCTCATAGTACATGAAGTAGTTCACCCTAAAACAAAGTACCTCAAGCCCCTTGTGGCTCCGGTTTCTGCTCCGCACATTTGCAAAAGCCGGGTTGCGGCCGAAAGGACCCCTGTCTGTCTTGAATCGCCTCATTCGCCAAGGCCACGAACCAGCAGAGTGTGTTGGTCATGTGCCTTCATTCGTAGTAGCCTACGTATTGTATCCTGGCAGATGTGGCCTGGCTTCACGACGACCAGTGATATCATGTTCTCGACCATCCGCTATCAACGACTAGCATTCCTCCCCCTACTCCGTAGATCAGTTCTACCATGTTAAATGCACCTCGCAGGATGCCGAAGCTGCCGGGCCCTTTTGACCAAAAGAAGCTAAAGCCTGTCTTGTAGACCGCTAGTCACTTCCACCACCACGTGGAAAATCATCGTGTGAACCACTCCAGAAACGCCGGCGTGTCTACTCCCGTACGGAGTAGGTAGATGCATGATGTCGAGACAAACAGGTCCAGAGACTACCTCAATCGGACAGGTACAGCTGTAATTAATGCGTACAGTACAGAGTACAGAGTACAGAGCATGTACAAGGGCCAAACGCGAAACCGGGCTCCATATAACACACTAATAAACCCCGAGCCCCCCCGACTTCCCCGACGCAGCCTAAGGAATCCAGCACTCTTCTGTATCCAAAAAGGATTCCTCCGTACATACCCACCTGCAACGCCAGCCACGCCGATCATCGTTGACGGTGTGAAACAGACCATGATCGTCTGATCCGCATGTCACCAACACGATCAACCCTGTCATTCTCAGAATCTTTAAGGGGGGGCAACCCATGTACATACTCGTACTCATCAGTGCTCGTGCAAAGCCCCAACGGGCGGCCCATCAAAATGCCCACTCCACTTTATGCCAGACCGGTCGAAATGGCCTCTAGGCAATATCCAAAATAGTTCTGTAAACACCCTTCATATCTGCACATAGCCCGTACAGTGGATTCAGAGCGCATCTCGCCAAGCGCAGTCCAAAAAAGTAACATACTAACCGCCCCCAAACACCCACATCAGTGACAAATTTGGAATAAAGAACTGGAATATACCTTCGGAGGATGGAGTATCGTACAGTTCACACTCCAGCTGTTGAAGGAACGCTAAAAATCAACTCGAACCCACCGTAAGCCACTACGGAGCAATCCTCCGCGTAACGTTTACATATTAGCGAGCGGAGGATTTAGTGGCTGTCGCTCTTCAAGCAGCCCCCTCCTCCCCTCAAGCCCTCAGTATCCACAGCAAGGCTGAACAAGCCCCATTCCTGCTCACCCACCCTTTCCTGACCAAAACGAGCAACCAGATAATACGCTATCGGTTTTCCTCACGCAAGGCCAAGCACCGGTCTACCTGTCCCGCTGGCATGGAGCGGGGTCGACCCGGGTCATGCCGCCGCCAGTTGAAATTTGCGATGAGACACTTTATATGATTGTGGAGTGAATTTGTGGCAGAGTCGATCGACCTTGAACCACCTTTGAGATCCTTTTGGGAGAAGGGGGGGGGGGCGGGTTGACTCCTGATTCCTCTCTTGAAAATGGGGAAGTAACTGGCAGGAATAACAGGGCCAGCCAGCCAGCCCCAAGGATTCTGTCTAGACCACGGCTAACGGTCATGAAATCATGGTTCCGCTTGACGCATGTCAGTGGGTTGATTCGTCAGTGTGGGCTCTGGAGCTGGTTGTCATGTCACGCTTGGATCGCAGGCTGGCAAGTTGAAGTGGTCCACCCGTGGCATCTTCAGTAGGGGGTGAGACCAAGGGACTGTCAGTGTCGGAGGTTGGCCGTTATGCTTGTGCTTTCTTTCATTTTTGAGACGCCGTTTCTGGTGGGAGAGAGGGGAAATGATGGGTCGGGTTTTACCTGTCGTTCGCGTGTTTCGCGTGTGGATGAGACGTTGAGATGGGGATGGTCAAACAGTAGTCTTGATTTGAGTTTTATGCAGTACTAGTCGATAGGCCTTGTAGTCGTAGTAGTAGTATCAGTGAAGTGACCGTTACATACGTTCAGTGGGCCAAGATCGATTGTGCAGGTTATGAAGTTTCAGATTTGAAAAGGTTGATATTTGAACGAGGGGAAAAGAGAGACCGCGATACAACTTGACTGTATCATTGCCTAGATAGCGCAAAGAATAATCAACGCCTTATATTTTAGTTTCTAATAATCTATACTAGCTGTTTTCTACCTAGGTATCTAGGAATTTCGAACTTGAATTCTTAATCGTTCTGTCTTGATAATCCAGGTGTTGACTAAATTTGAATATATATTTGCTGTAGTATGCTAGTACTTACTACTACATAGTACTAAGCTCCAGGGCTATCATGATCTTTCGGAACTTCCAACTTCAAGGTTATTGCAATCCCGATATTTGAAGAGATAGACATATTCCTATTCATCTAATGTGATATCATTTTAAATATAACCCGAAAACCGATTTCACTTACTTGTCCTGGTGTGAACAGTAAAGTGTCGCTGACATGTAGTTGAGCGCGTGTGATTGGCGGTGGCCCAACTGAAGAACCGCGATGGCGGCTGCTTGCACCTTGCGACGTCTTCCTTCTTATGGATCTATTATCGGTCCTCCCAAACTTCGCGACACGATCGTACGCGCACATTATTCCCCCTCTTGAGAGAGGCAAGATCACGACCGTTGACCTCATAACCCTCGACACCCTCGAGATCGCGAAACGCGCCCATGTCCCCCCCGCAGATGTCCGCCGGCTCTCCGCACAAATCATCCAAGCCCTGCACGGCGATCTTGGCCTCGAGAGAACACAAACAAATCCATCAACAATAGGAAGACAAGAACCAAGCTCGAGCATCATACTAGAGGGAGGCAATCTTGATCTAGGCCCCACGACAAAGCTCGACGCGTCGAGATGGGACACCATCACCACCCTGGACCCCGCACTGGATGCGCTGCTGGGAGGAGGCATCCCGACAGGGTATGTCACTGAGGTGACAGGGGAGAGGTACGTGGCAGGAAGCAGAACAATGCTTTGTATGGACTTGCTCTAACTGGTAGCTTCATTGTAGTGGAAGCGGCAAGACACAATTCCTATTCAGCCTCCTACTCGCTGCCCAATTAGCCAAACCACGGGGCCTGGATAAACGAGCTATTTACATATCGACCGAGCACCCGTTGGCGACCAGCCGTATATACCAGCTGCTTGAATGCCAGCCATACCTCTCAAGCATTCCTCCCGACCAGAAGCCGTCCCTGAGAAAACATCCTGTCAATCAATGCCATGGACCTAGAGTCCCAGGACCATATTCTCAATTACCAACTGCCAGTCGCTATCGCACGATACAATGTCGGTCTGGTAGTCATCGACTCCATTACGTCCAACTACCGCGCTGAACACAGCTCAAACAACATCCTCGCTCTCTCCGCGCGATCCACAGAACTCGCGAAACTGGGCTACATGTTGCGCAATCTCGCTGCGAAGGAAGGCATTGCCATTGTGCTGGCAAACCAAGTCTCAGATCGGTTTGAACCTGAGCCAGTTAATGGGGGCCCTACACCCCGTTCAGGGTTTCCATCCATCTTAAGCCAGAATTCTGCTATGGCGGCGCGTGAAACAGGTGCAGCATCTCCAATGCCTCGAAATAGGATGAATGCCCCTGACCAGCAATTTTCGTCTACCCAAATCCCGTCATCCTCTCCAATATCATCTTCTCCTTATCATGCCCCGGATGACGAACGATTTGACGGTTCATATCTCATCGAGAATCCTGCTCGCAACGATATCCTTAGCTTGGTACACCAAGAGAAGTTTTTTACTGGCTGGGGGGGACGGTTTCTATTCTGACCCATCTCCCAAAACTCCGGCTCTTGGGTTCTTCTGGTCCACGCAAATTGCATGCCGAATTGCATTGAAAAAAGAGACGCATTCGGTAGTGACCCCATGGAATGGTGCACAGCCTTTGTCAACACCACAAGAACAGACAGGATCTCAATTTCATAGCGCAGCGAGCAAACTCCAGGATTCACAGCGGGACGACTCTCTGGCTGATGAACCTCGCAAAATAGACTCAGGCTCTACACCCAAGACCACCACTGGACATGGCAAACCAGAAGGCATTCCCGAAAAAGAAAGTTCTCTGCATATGCCAGCGCCGCAACCACCAGAGTACATCACCCGGCGAACCATGAAGCTTGTTTTTGCCCCGTGGGCTGCCAGTCGAAAGTGTTCTGAGGATGGGAAGGGGACGAGAACGCATGCCAAAAAAGATTATGAGATAGACGTTGAAATATGGAAAGGTGGGCTGCGATCTGTGGGATCCGAGGAGTGAGCTTGAGTGAAATATTCTAGAAGATTCCTTTCTTTTGCCTGTGACTACTTTTGCATATACCATAGCAATGTTTCAAAGATGCGAACTAGAAATAACTTGACTGATTTGAAAATACTACGAGTAACTTCTATTCTCCACTATCATGCTGCTGGAGTCCTAAGGTAGTCACATTTCAACTAAACAATGAGAAATATTATGTAACTCTCAATATCTGGAGGCTATAGATGTCACAGCTTAAATAGTATCTGTTCATACTGGTAATAGACAGCCAGTCATCTATCTAGTCGTCTAGTAAACTAGACATGTCTTGTCGAGGCTGAGATGTCTCAGGCATACAGACCATCTTCCCAGATCGCTCCCTCTTTGATAGTTTTCCACTTCATGATTCCGAGCTTCCATTGGATATTGGAGGTCGAGAAATAATGGCTAATCTTTAAGGTTTAGCCCACTTAATTGAGAGCCCAGAAGATTGAGCCGGGAAACCCCCGTTTTCTGACTGAATACTTCATCCTCGTCCTCGTCTTTAGTAGAATATTTCTTACTAGACATAGTGGACATACGACTTTTCTTTGGACCTTTCTTTGTAGGAGTTGATTCTGGAAATTCGTCCCCAGAGGCGGGATAGGGTAGCTTCACCTGCTCATTTAGAGTCCCATCCTCGTTATACGGATTGTGATTCTCAATAAAAAATCCGATCCACTTGTACAGAACTTCCCGGATCTCCTTTTCAGAAACTCTGAATATCTCCCGGTGGAGAGTCTCACAGTTATGACACTTCTTGCTCTGCCGAAGTTGAAAGGTGGAGAGCTCCGCATGAACGAGTTTCTCTACCCGAGGAGCCCAAGCTGTCAATTGCTTGTCAAGCAACCTGATGTTTTTGTGGCATTTTTTATGTTTTTGCGTGCGCACCTCGGGGTTCACTGTGTATCCAACCTTGAACAACCCTGGTGAATCATCCAAAGCAATGATATAAACGAAACCCGCACCCTTGGATCTCTCATTGGGTGGTGTGTTCAATACTTTTCTGAGAGCCTTCGAGGGTGACACCATGGACGAATAGGTCATCGGCGATGGCAGAACTTCTTCGTCAAATTCATGAAAGCTAGTCTCATCAAGGCTAGTATTGACTTGAAGTGAAAGAGAATGCAATTCAGTGGCAAGTTCATTCTCTTGTTCAGTGCCATGGCCCGTGGAGTTCCATTCGTCGTACCACTGCTCCTCAGCCCGGGCAGCATCCCGAGTCTTCAAGTGCGGACCACAGAAGGCAATCTGTGCAAGTGACGTGAAGGATTCGGATAGAGAGGCAGCATTACTGGCAATTTTGGCAAGGTGTGATTCCACAAGATCTTGGCTTGCTCGAGTGATTGCACGACCGCACGGGCTTTTGTCCTTTTTAAGATAACCACAGCGTTGTTTCCTGCTCATCAGCTCTGCGAAGGAGCAAAACATGACCACCGAGGAGGCCATATCTCAAGCCTAGGAGGGTTTATGCAAGAAAAGAATGGCGTTTTCCCGTGATGAAGGGCAAAGACTGAATGAAGAGATGCTTCGATTTCTAGAGATTCTTAGGCGTATTTAAATCACTGACCCCCTGGGGTAAATAGAAGCACCCCCTCTTTTGCTGGGGATATTAGCGTGGACAGCAAACTATTCCGTATTTAGTCTCGATTCAGCCCCAAAATTATCACCTCAATCACTTCCACAGGTTGGGACTAGGGTTGTCGAACTAGGCCGCGTATAGCCACATCTTGACGGCAGGCGATTGGATCGGGTACTCCGTACGGAGTACAATATGGAGCGCAAGATCATGGGTTCGTAGATCTTCGGACGACTCCTGTGAATTAGGAAGGTGCATCGCGTTTATAAGTACATTAGCTGAGTACTTGGACAAGGATTAACAGACGCTATAGCAAAGGTACGTTTCAGCTACTCTGGGGGCCAAAACCAGCCTCCAGCTAAGCTATAGGTACTAGCTGCATATGTTGAATAAAAATAGTTTTAATCAGGTGGTGAATGTTTGATAGAGACGAATGCATTTATGACATGGGTCGTTAGCGTGATGTGCATGGTGTAAGCCCTCGAAATCTTGGGTTTTAGATTCAAGTTGAAGGATGACTAGGATAATATGAGGCTCAACTTGTGTACTTTCAGCTTCATCTGGTGACCCAATTGTTCACGATACTTGCTAGAATATAATGAGTCTCGGTACATAACGGGTAGAAAAGATAGACATCCGGTGTTGGTCGACTATGTGTCAACCAGCTCCAACGGATTTGTATCGGAGGCGGCGGTACCTCTGAACCAAAGAAGAAGGCTAGGCGAGGCTTTAAATACTCTCTAAAATTTGGACCAATTAGTCATGATTCCCTGGAGGCTTAACGGCTTCCGTGTTTTGTAGAGAGAACTCGGCGTTAAGCAATGGATTTACTTGGGATGACCCGGGCCACTCACAACGCTCACCCGATGCCGCCTCCGCCGTGTCGTCCCCATTCAGCAATGCAATTGCATCCACCAAGGTGAATGATGACATAAAGTATCTTATCTCCGAAAATCGAGTTGACGTTCAAGTTGGATCACGACTACATATATAAACCGACCTTTCCTGGAAAACGGACCAACACAACCAACCTTTGGAACCCACTGATTGTATCACCTGGGCCCGATCATGTCAACTGAATCCTCGACTCCCGTTTGGTTTATCACTGCTGCCAGCTCGGGCTTTGGCTTCGAGATTGCACGAGCTGCTCTTGAAAGAGGGCACCATGTAATCGCGACCGCGCGCGATCCAGCGAAACTTCAAGACCTTGAGAAGAAAGGCGCATACACCATTGCTTTCGACGTCACGAGCTCCTACCCCGAGATTGAAAAGGTCGCACATCATGCCGTGGCCAAATACGGCCGAATTGATTATTTGATCAATGCGGCGGGCTACATTCTCGAAGGCGCAGTCGAAGAGGTCACGCCCGGTGAAGCTCAACAGCAATTCAATGTCAATGTGTTCGGCACAACAAACACTATTCGTGCTTTCCTTCCGCTGATAAGGGAACAACCTTTGCCAGGGTCTGGTCGCCCCCGTGCGACCATTGCTACATTTGGAAGCTTGGGATCCTGGAGAGGTGGAGCGAGCTTTTCATTCTACGGCATGACCAAAGCATGCATGTCATCCCTGGCGGAATCCCTTCGTGTTGAGTTGGAGCCGTTTGAGATCGCGGCTACTGTCATCGAACCGGGATACTTTCGGACGGGATTCTTAAAGCCCGGGGCAAAGGTCTCGGCGGAAGCACGAATCCCTGCGTATGAAGACGAAAAAACGCCTTCTGGTCAGACACGAAATGCCTTGTTGGCGGTCAATGGGAACCAGCCCGGTGATGTGAAAAAAGGTGCGGACACAACTGTCGACATTTTGACGGCATCGGGATCTGCAGAGGGTAGACAGCTGCCACCCCGAGTCGTTCTAGGCAGCGATTGCGAGGTGACTATCAGAAACAAATGTCAAAGCACTTTGGAATTACTCGACAGCTGGGGTCCTATTGCAAGGTCCACAGACTATGCAAAATAATGAGAGATGGCATTGAGAAGTTGATACTAGGTGGAGGGTCATTTCAAGTTGGACAGGGACAAATATCTCCCCCCGAACCTAAATTGCCAAGGGAGATTTTTCGGTTCAAGTTGTAAAAGCAAGAATGAAAACCTACCATATGATTAATATTTTTACCTAGTAGTATCCATCGAGGATGCCCGGGACTAAGTAAAGCACCCCAATGCAATAAATGGAGAATACAAATCATGGATGAACGTACATCAAGCAAAAAATCCCAGAACAATTACCTAATCAAACGATGATAGATAAACTAGTGCATTTGAACCACTGAGATCATCCATCAAAACTATCAGTGACGGCTAGGACCGCCTAGCCTTTTGAGTCGAAGATAATCACCATCTCCACCCCGCACCGGCTAATCTTTACCTTAGCGGAGATGCCGCATTAGGGCGGGGAACCAAACGGCAGGATCCGGCTATTCTTATACCTTAGCGAATATCGCGCATCTGACGTTCGTATTTGGAAATCGAGGGCCTTGAATTTTATATTTTCGAAACGAATTTAAAAGAACCCCCAGGCGCAAATCGAGCTCGGACTGTCCAACCCGTTCTTTACAGATATACGAAGTGGTTCACACTGAGACTGAGTCCTTTTGCACCTCCCTTAGTTCCTCATTGATTCCGAACAACTTGAACGGACCCCATAGTCGATTAGGAAAACAGTCGACATTATCGAATTGAATATTTAGTATACCACTTGCTATCATTGTTACTGGCACGATGTCTGTTTCTACACATCCATTCGACCCCCTCACCTCGGGAGAAATTGCAAAGGTAAGAGTCTTATCGGCTATGTTTGATCATTTTTTACTGATATGGGGTCATGAGACAGGTTGCTGCAATTGTTAAAAAGGACTTCCAAGGCAAGAGCTTGAACTTCCGGCTCATCACGCTGAAGGAACCGTCCAAGAGCGAGATGGTCCCCTTTCTGCAGGCAGAGCATCTCAATCAAGCCTCGGCATCGCGTCCAGCTCGAATTGCCCGCGTGCAAGTCATTTCTCGAGGAGCATCCGGATCAAATGAGCTGATAGAGATCCTCGTCAACATTGACTCTCATTTCGTGATTGGGACAGAGCACCTCATTGGCAAGCATTCGTATATCGATTCTGCCTACATGCAGGCCGTCGAAAAGGCATGTAGAGCGGATCCAAGAATTGAGGCAGAAATACAAAAGCTCAAACTGCCACCGGGGGCAACGGTTGTGATTGAAGCATGGGCTTATGCGACTGATGGGATGAATGATATGAACGAACGGACTACAATGGTAAGTATATGATTGCCGACAAAGGACTTTGCTATAAAATTAGTCTGACCGATAGATAGTGCTGGTTTTATATGCGTTTACTCGACAGCGCAGATGCGAATTACTATGCTTATCCACTTGAACTTTGCGCAGAGGTATCCGAGAAATTGGAGGTTACGAAGGTATACCACCTACCATCATCAGAGGAGGAGAGAACGAGGGAGGACGCAAAGCCATATGATAACTGCAAAATTCACTCGACAGAATTGAGTGAATACCATCCCAGTCTTCGACCGCCTCCACGTACAACTACCAAGCCCTACCAAGTCGTCCAGCCCGAAGGGCCATCATTCCAAGTTGATGGAAACCGTCTTTCCTGGGAGAAGTGGACTATGCGCGTGGGCTTCAACTACCGCGAGGGTCTCACTCTGCACGATATCCGGTACGATGACCGAAGTTTGTTCTATCGACTCTCTTTATCGGAGATGTTTGTGCCGTATGGCGATCCAAGATCCCCTTATCCTCGCAAAGCAGCCTTCGATCTAGGGAACGATGGTGCTGGGATCAATGCAAATAATTTGCAACTGGGCTGTGACTGCCTCGGCCTGATCAAATACTTCGATGGATGGCACAACACCGCCGCTGGCGAGCCACTCAAACTCCCTAATGTGATCTGCTGCCACGAACAAGACGATGGGATCCTCTGGAAACATACCAACCACCGTACGCAGAATGCAGCGGTCACTCGATCCCGGATCCTTGTGCTACAGACTATTATCACAGTCAGCAATTACGAATACATATTCGCTTTCCACTTTAGCCAAGACGCATCAATACACTACGAAGTGCGTGCTACAGGAATCCTCTCCACAGCACCCATCAACATCGGCGACAAAGTTAGCTACGGCACTGTCGTTGCACCAGGAGTTCTGGCACCATACCATCAACACCTCTTCTCTCTCCGAATAGACCCTGCCATCGATGGAACTGCCAACTCCCTCCAGATCGAGGAATCCAAAGCCCTGCCTGTTAATGACCCGGCCATCCATAACCCTCTCGGCGTGGGGTACACCACCCAGTCAAAAATCGTCACTGAAGAGGGCGGACATGACCTCGACCACACAAAAAACCGTGCCTTCAAGATAATCAACGAGAATCATATCAATCCCATCACAGGGACACCAGTGGGATTCAAGTTACTCCCTTGCTATAGCCAACTTCTCCTCGCCCAGAAAGATTCCTACCACGCCAGACGGTCCGAGTTCGGTCAACACGCGGTGTGGGTGACGCGGTATCAAGATGATGAATTATTTTCTGCTGGCCGATACACGATGCAGTCGCTCGGTGGCGAGGGCATTGCATCTGCGATCGAGGCGCGTAAGAGCAAGGGAGCTTCGGACGTGCGGAACGAAGATATCGTCGTCTGGCATACCTTTGGTTCTACGCATAATCCGCGCATCGAGGATTGGCCAGTTATGCCGTCGGAGAAGATGATTGTCGGTTTGAAGCCAGTGAACTTTTTCACGGGCAATCCGGGTCTGGATGTGGCTGTTTCGACGCAGGAGAAGAATCGGAGTGTTTTGGTTCGTAGAGAGGGTGGTCCAGTAGCTGGATCGAGGCCCTGTTGTCGATTGTAGATGTTGAAATAGGAGTCGGCTGACTGGTGAACGGGTTTGGATAGGAACTTATAGGAGCCGGATGTTTGGAAAAGACTAAATGTTCTGAGATAGAGAGGTCTCTTATTATACATAAAATTGCACAGGAAGTGATCCCGGGACCCCCCCACGTCGTCTAACTATTATACTCCGGCGACTGCGTACAGATGTTTGTCAATACAAGTTGAAGTTCGCGTACCTTCTCCAAGAGCTGTGCATTGGACCCTGTAGATAAACTCTTTTCTCCCCGCATATCCTCAGCTGCCTGAGCCCGACGATCAAGACTCTGACATACTTGGTGTAAAGTTTGTACTTGACATAGCAAAAGCTGAGCCTTCATCTTCGTTTCCGTGGCACGGGAAACATTTAAGCCCCCTGTGCTCAATGGAATGATCAATGGGACCCTATACATTGAGTCACCGCCGTCGACTTGTCGTGAACCATTTGACTGGCCATCTGTCCCACCACTCGAATGATGATGAGGGTCAATTGAAGTAGTAAGGTGAGCGTCTTGTGTCTGGTCTGAGAAAAAGCGGGAAATCTCCGATTGGTACAGTGCTTGATACCAAGTGAGGATTTTGCAGAGAATCGCGCTGAGAACCAGCAATTCCTGGGCGCAGATAATCCCCGTGCAATTCAGCAATCGGGACACCTCCTCTGTGGCTGATTGGGTAATGCGAAACACAATATCACTCCTAGGACCTTCTTTTGCTTGGGCGAGATCTTTGCATTGGTTGGACGAGCCGCTGTTGCCGTAGTGACCATTTACACAGTCGCAGCGTACGAATTCGTATAGCGAAGAGAGAACCCGGCATGCTACTGTAATGCATGGTTCATGCTGATTTTCATTGGCATTCTCTCGCTCTCGCTCCTCTTCTCTTTCATCATTGTCGTCTGCTTTTTCAACACCATTCATGTCATCATAGTCTAAATGAATATGATCTTCAGAGGCAAAGGTCATCGGAAGAGGGTCGAAATCACCGCTATAAGTCGAGGGGTCCGCATCTTCCAGATTGGGCCATGACATATGCCCCGAGCTTATAGACGTCTGTGGTGTATTATTACGGTCTGGCAGCGGCTGATGTGAATCTAAGCTGCTTGGGGTGTTTCCTTCTCCTCCTGTTGTCATAGAATTATCTGATTTTTGATTCTGGGAGCTGGCCTCTGATAGCATATTCGATCTATACCAGATGCAGTTGGTGTTGAGGTGGGGATTTGGGTAGTGATGAACGGCTTCTCGGTTGTTAGGCCACAGTGAAGGTGTTGGGACCTGAGGAGGAGACGGAGGAGACGGAGAAGGTTGTTGCATGGAGGCAGATTTGTTGGAAGGGGGTTTACCCTTCCGTTGCGATCGACCATAAACACATTTTAGACCGTTTTTGGTACAGCGCGAACATCCATGCTGCTCTTTGGTGCAGCGTACTTTGGATGCCGCACAAGGGTCACAGGAGGCTCGAAACTTGAGTCGCTGGGATCTATTGGGGGTTTGAATCTGGGGTTGAATCTCATTTGAATCCAGCTGCATATGATCTCTCAAGGGAGAGACCGACATTCTGGAGCGAAAGATGATAACAAAGCAGAAGGGAGGAAAAAATGAGTCAAGCTAAAAAATAACGGGTACTACTCGATAATCGGCCTACTGAGTACAATTTGGGGGCTATTTAACCGGCGTATGCCCTCATTAGGAATGGTGTAGTGAATTGACAGAAAATTTGCTGCGGCAACGATAGCTCATAAAGCCTCCACAGTGGACTTAGTATACGCCTGTGGGAAGTTCTTCATGTTCTCTACCACCTCTCCTTTCCGCCTATTGAACTGAACATATGCACCATCATTCCGCACCAGGCCGTCTTCCTTCAGACGTAAATACTCAGCACGTGGCAAGGGAGTAAACCCCCACATCTTGCTAACAACCACCTTTTGCCGACCAGGAAACTTGTACATCGAGCGACGTAGTGCCTCCACTGCAGTCGCGCGATGGCGATCGATAGTTCTTACAGAAAGCAGAATTTGACCGACACTCACTCGAGCCACTTTGCCAGCTGGCTTACCGAATGCGCCTCGCATTCCAGTTTGTAAACGATCGGCACCAGCGACACTCAGCATTTTGTTGATCCGGATTACATGGTAAGGGTGAACACGGACGCGCATGTGGAAGGACTCTTTGCCTGCGACTTTGACGAGGTATCTAGAAGAAAGTTAGTAGCCGTATTATGAGGTAAAGCTTATAGGAAACTAGGCGCCTTTACTTATTGGCACAAATACGTGCAGCTTCCAGAGCTTCGGAGCTAAGCTGTTCGTATTCATTGGATACCAAGTGCACGGCGCATGGGAAGTCGTCCACGGAAGCCTTCTTTCGGCCCAGATCAAAGATACGGATCTTAGCATCTGGAACGCCACGATTAAAGCGTGACTTGGGATATGGCTGAAACCACTCTATTAGAAGACGGTTCTTCGTGGCGTATAGACTCGGAAGAGTAAGCACTAACCTTGTTCTTGCAATAACGGTAGCATCGAGCAGGTCTGCGCGCCATTGTAGGTGAGTCGATGAGCAATTTTTTATGTGAGAATAATTACAAAGTAATAAAATTGACGCCATGAATTATGTATAAATACTTTTTTTGCGGTGGGATTGAAGTTCTCCCGACTCATATATTGGGAGAGGGCTCCAGAGGGCTTCGGGTTCCGAAGGCGGCTCAAATATCTCCCCGCAGGATCTACTCGGGAGTACGAATAAAATAGCGAGGAATGATTTTCATGATCATAATTTGGGCTAATTTCAGGATCCATATTACGTTACTAAGTATGTAAATGAGTAGGATACCAAGTAGTATAGTGCTATATTTTGTATCTCTAATACTGACTATCTACTACACTATGTACTAGTACTAGTACTAACATACTGGCACCAATTAGTTCCTGAACCTAGCTATTTGTACCATATAATAGTTCGGGTCTCAATTTGTAGAGAAAACTTGTAATTTTGGGACGCTGCCACCCTAGCAGAAACACCAGGTCGATTGGCCGCCATGGAGCGTTGTAGACAGACAACAAGAAAAACCGTTGTGCATGCATGGGAAGAGGATCTGCAAGGCTGCCAATGACAGGTTTGGGATCTCCAACCGGCTGGTGGCGGAAGGCCGTGCCTCGGAGTACGAGTACCTTAGGCTTTAGCTATTAGTAACTAGGCCTAGCATACCCCAGGGTGTACTTGGACGAAATCAGGGCAGAAGTTGAACTACCCCGCAAGAGTCCAACGTCTTTCTTGTTTTTGTGCCACCTCAACTCTCCCTCTTCCTTTCACTTTTCTCTGCCACCAACTTCCTACTTCCTACTTCTTACAAAGGATCATGATATCTGTTGTTTGCATAGAAGTGCTGAATTCACTCATGGTCTCGTCATATCACCAAGGTCTGCAGAAGTGACAGACTCTCAAAGAAAACTATCTTCGCTCGAAACAAAACAGCCCAACACCAGAGAACATGACAACCGAGAAATTTTAGGCCTGTTCCCCTTTATCCAAGACAGGAACAGGACCGAGAGAGATATAGAGCCAAGTGTTTTAAATGGGAGAAACACCATGGTATGAAATGCGCTTGAGATTAATCACAACGACAGTGGACAACAAAACAAAACACTGATTAGAACGAGCAGTTAAGGCATCTATCTTAGATCAACAGCCGAAAAATCTCTGTATCACCACCTTTGCCAAAAGAAATCACACTCGCTTCTATATTCTCACGAGATCTCGTCGAGTGTGTGTATGCGCGTCAGTCAACATGTGTACACAAAATTATCACAAACAAAATGGACAGCCTAAAGCGGAAAAAAAAATCGGATTCTCTATCCCCAGTTTTCACTCGTCTAGTTGACCGCAATCTTGGAAGGAGGAACACCGATGCGGTTGGTGTTGCGGTAGAACAGGACACCCTGGCTCTCACCAGTGGCACCCTCGGTGGGCTCAACCCACTGGCAGACACGGGCGCTGGTCCAGATAGCCTTGATGAAGCCGGTCCATCCGGTCTGGGCCTCGGTGCGGTAGTGGTTGCCCATAACACCCTTGATGGCCTCGCTGGCCTCGTCGGCGTTGTAGAAGGGGATGTTGCTGACATAGTGGTGCAGCACGTGGGTCTCGATGATACCGTGGAAGATGTGGCGGCCGACGAAGCCGAAGTCACGGTCGATGGTAGCGGCGGCACCACGGGCGAAGTTCCAGACCTCGGGCTGGTAGTGAGGAAGGGAGGGGTCGGTGTGCTGCAGGAAGGTGATGGCAACTGAAAAGTGAGTTAGCTTCTGTTGAACTGATATACTGACATGCTTTGGTGTAGGTATAGGGAGAAATGATGCTTACCGAGCCAGTGGTTCACCCACAGGTAGGGGATACCGTACCAGACGGCAAGGTTCAACCAGCCATAGGTGGTGCCGATATAGTACAGAACGGAGCCAGTGATGATGAGACCGAGGTCGCTCAGGGCAATGAGCTTGGCGTCCTTGGCCTCGTACAGAGGGCTGGCAGGGTTGAAGTGGTTGACACCGCCGAACCAGCCGTTGGCCTTGCCGACACCACGGCCCTCGGGCTGCTTAGCGTGGTTGTTGTGGCCGGTGACGTTGGAGACCAGGTACAGGGGCCAGCCGAACAGCTGCTGGAGGATCATGTGGGTAGCAGTGGCGATGGGGGTCTCCTCGACAAGTTCGGCAAGTTCGTGCATGGTCTTGCCAACGCGAGTAGCGTACTGCTGACGGGTCTTGGGAACGAAGACCATGTCGCGGGCAATGTTACCGGTGGCCTTGTGGTGCTTGCCGTGGGAGATCTTCCAGGAGAAGTAGGGGGACCAGCAGAGCTGAGTGGCAGATCCATCCAACAGTGTCGTTCAGCACCTTGGAGGGCGAGAAAGCCTGGTGACCGCACTCGTGGGCCAGAACCCAGACACCGGTACCGACCATACCCTGAATGACGGTGTACAAAGTCCAGAGGACAACGCGAGCCGGCATGGAAGGAACATACTCCGGGGTGACATAGTGGTTGAAGAGGTAGAAAACGGCGGCGAGGATGGCAATGTCACGGAAGACATAGTACAAGCTGGTGATGGCGGAGCGATGGAAGCAGTGAGCGGGGATGGCATCGCGGATCTGCTTGATGGTGAAGTCGGGGATCTTGAACTCGTTGCCATAGGTGTCGAGCATCTTGACCTTCTCCTGATCGGAACCCAGGGAGGACAGAGAGGTCGACGAGGGCGACTGGCGCGGGCTATCAAAAGGCGACGCGGAGACCGAGCTGGGAACGGAGTTCTCAGTGGCGGGGTTGCGGTTCAGCGCAACGCGCTTGGGAACTGCGGTGGACGACATGGTGGTATGTATGTATTAGGGAAAGCAGACGAGCTTATCCACCTTCAATGTTCAAGTTGTATGTTGGAAGGGTCCCGGAAGAAGGTTGGGAAGTGAGGGAAAAAGCAAAGCAATGGGTCTCAGCAGGAAGACTCAATGCAGTCTCTATTGGGTCAAGGAATCTCAGGTCAGCATCAATTCAAGTATCGGCAAACCCGAAGCGACTCACAAGAAAGATTGGCCAGAAGAAATCGCAAAGGTCCTGTGGTTTTTTGAGTTTTGCTTGTGGTTACACAAGTCAGGGATCCCAGCGAAGGAGAGAAGCGGTGGGGAAAGGAGGAAACGAGCAGAACAAGAAGATTAAGGACGACGAGAAGAGAGAAAAAAATAAAATCAAGCAAAAAAAAAAAGAAGAACCGAAGACAAACGACGATCAGCTCTTGAGAGGAGAAAAGCCCAAGACGGAAAAGGTTGGAGGGGGGGCAAAAAAGAAAGAAAAGAAAGAAAAAAGAGAAAAAAAAGGACCAAAGCGGCCGCGGTCCATGGAAAGTGGTGAATTTGCATTACGCGCCACCGTCCGCTGTACCTGAAATGGGCTGAAAAGGGTTAAAAAAGGGGGTTTCCGGGCTGAATTGAGTTTTGCAAATTAACCATACATACAACAGAGACCCACTTGCAATTTTCGACTTTACGCATGAACTCCTCCCGCTGATCTCTCGACCCTCCGACCTCTTCTCTGCTGTGAGTATGGAGTACTCCGTACTTCGTACTGACTGTCCGAGATACCACACTCCATACATGCATTCACCAATACTACCTCCTCCACTCACCGTCTCAGCAGATTCGATTGCCCCCAAGAACCCTGACCCTATTGGACCACATATCCCATCCCATTTAAACATGGGCAAAGTTACCAAGAGACCCACTGGTGGTTCTTCAGCCTGGGGTCGCGCCACCCTCTTTGTCCTCCTCTCGCTGCTCAACCACATTGGGCGCTCAACATTTTTCTGCGGGGAATCCAGTCACCGCTTCACTGTTCCCAATTAACCAGGATCTTATGATTGATTATATGACATGATCAGAGGGCATCAACTGGTGCATTTACTCATTTTTCTACGAGTAGGTACGTCTTGTTTCTGCGGTGAGGGCAGTGAACAACTGCCAGTATACGGAGTATACCAACTCTATACTCCGTACACTCACTCAGACCTGGTTAGCCTCCCTTGTACCCGTCGGGCCAGCTTCACATGCGGGTCGGCCATGCAGCCGATCGCGATCGACCTCGGCGGGTCATTTTCGTGGGCGCGCAGGCGTACTATACCCTCACGCGGATTGGACGAGATCAAGCGAGGCGATCTGTGGCGAGTTGATGGCATGCGCAAGGCATGTGATAGCCATTGGCCAGATGGGGGAGAATGCGCCAGCCAGTGCCGGTGGTTGGGATGGATGGGAGAGATGGCATGATACATATGTATGTAGAATTTTACTTCTTCGTAGTCAGGTATGTACGAGTAGTACCTCCAGTGTAGGTGAATACAAGTACTTTCTAAATACTTTAATTCTAGCCCCAAGTTTTGTATATAGTGTGTGTACCCTGGGTGTACTCGGAGTATCCTCCATAAACACAGTCTGCTGAATACTTCAGGATACCCCGACTGTCACTGGGTGATGGCGGGCCGAGTGGGTACCTTCAAGTACCTTTTTAAGTCCCAGCGGGGCCCGCTTGTTGGGCGGGCGGGTCCAGTTTTGTTGAGGAGGTCCCCCGCCAATCACCCACCCGTCTTTTTTGCAAAACTGTGTATCAAAGTACCATCCATGAAATACATCGGCCGAGTCTGGGAAGTCTTGGAAGTCTTGAGCAAGGGGTCCGAGGAGTACTAAAAGAAGGGTTTTTCTTTGCATGTGGGGTTCCATCTATATTCGTGGATATTTTGACAGCTCATGGGGGCACTACATAGACAGTATCATAGTACACTACTGTAGGTATACGAATAGTACTATCTACTCATTGGTTATTGTCTGGTGCCAGTGATAGATAAGGTATATTGGTAGATTCAAGTTCATCATTCGTAGATCTATATACACGATCGAGCTTGCTACCATGTGAATGAACAGATAATACATGGCATCACCGATCAATGCACCTCTGCACGTCGCTCTGAGTCGACGAGCCACGATGTTCCGCCCGTGCCAGATGCACTGAGGCTGACCGTTGTCTTGCGGAGGTCGGGCAGTACCAGTACTGTCTCTCCATGGTTACGGTAGTCCACCTCACAGGCAATCGCCTGTCGCTGGCCTGGAACGCCGGCGCCTGCCCCCATCCCGGAGTCCGTTGTGGCGGGAGGAGAGGTCGGAGGCTGTGACTGGGATGACGCACAGGTACGAATCTCAAGACCAGGCAAGAGCAGATGACCCGGCTTTTGGGGCAGTAACAGGACCGTGAACTTGGTAGTCTCCCCATCATGAGTGAGGAAGTTACCCCGACGCCGGCCACCCAATAGCCAGAGGTCAGGGTTGGCGTGCAGTTCGTACGAGCATTCGAGCGGCTGCCCAGCCAGTTCCTGGGCGGTTGGGGAGCACCAACGTCGCGTGTGGCGGAGGCAGAGCTCAGCAGTAATCATCTGGCCCACAGCAGCGTGGGATGACCCGGATTCTCAGGGCACCGGCGCTGGGCTGGAGCTGCAGCTCGGCCGTGTGAACCACTTGGATTTCGGGGATGTCGACGGGGATCACGATACTCCGGATAGGGACGAAGGGTTGCGGGGGAAGACGAATGATTGGGTTATTCTGTTGTATCAAAAACCGGTTAGTATATTATAAAGGGGCAGATGGAGCAAATCATCTTACCTCGTGCCACGCCATGAGCCATTGGCGCACTTCCTCGGTGCGTCCCTTTAGCGCTCCCAACAAGTCATCCCATCGCACACTGCGGTAGCTGAGCATCTCGATTTCTCGCACGAGGCCAATGACCTCCATGTCTGCAGTAGAAAGTTGGCCACGGATACTCCCACAAGGTGCGATGTAAGGAGTGTAGCATATTGGGTGAATGGACTCGATTCCAGCGCAGTCGTGAACTGCTTTTCAACTGCGTCTAGACATTCATCATCTACACAGGTAAAATCCACCTGAAGGCGAAGACTGCGCTTCCCGGTCGGGGAAGTCGTCGCCGACTTTCCAGTAGGGCTGATCTTGTAGAGGAGAGACGCCGGTTGCTTTGGGAAGACGTCCAAAGCAACGGAGCCAGTAATACTGGATTGAACGTCATAGGCATCTGAGCTGGGAAGATTGCAGTTGGTGATCCGCAGAGGGATCAACATAGCGGGACTGATCGTAAAACGCGAGAATAGCATCTCATCCTTGAAGATATCCTGGACATTGACCGAGATGGGGAGCGTGGCAACAACGCTATGCACCGTCGAAAAGGCAAATCGACCTTGGGGAGTCTCATACCCGACCTCTGCCCGTGCAGAGAGCGTGGTGAAGGCTTCTTCCACAGTGTAGGGGATTCTTAAGCGCACGAACGACCGAGTGGACAATCGAGAGAACTCGATGACTCCAGACTCGTGGTTCGCCACCAGTTCTAGCTCTCCGTCTACCACCTCTGTTTCTGCAATTCGCAGACGCAGGCCGGCCGTGGCTGGCCTGACGCGAATTGTACCGGTTTGAATGTCATTCTGTCCGCTATCAAGCTCCAGCTCCAATGTACGCATTGCTTCCAAATTGATTAAGTGGGGCGACACCACCTTGGCGTGTAGCCCGTTTGGTGCCGGATAGCAGAATATGTAGGGTCGTCGATCGGTTTCTTCTGCATCGTCTGTTTCTCGGAAGCCAACCGGAAGACCTGAATGCTGACCACTATTAAAAGTGAAAAGCAGATTACCGGACTTCATCTCCAGCCGGTCAACGATGTATTTGCCTTGCAGTGTAGTCTAAGACAATCAAGCATTAGCCTTGGGAAATGGCGGAGATAAACTTGGAAAATTCCTTACCGAAGAATCAATTAGAATCTTTGTTGTCGACGACTTGATCGTGAAATTCGTCGAGCCTTCAATCCAATGTTCGACATTCTGAGAACTGCTCGCGCTTACAAGCCGAACCTTGACTGAGTCAATATCGATCTGAGGGCCGAGGAGAAACCGCAGAGATAGCTGGATCTGGAATCCATCCTTGTCGTCATATAAACGAATCGCAGGGTTCACCTGGAGATCTGCGAAGAAATCGACGAGTGATGCGGTGACATCCTTTTGCAAGCCCTTCGCGCCTTCGAAGAGATCGGCGACATATCCAGATAGCTGTTCTTGCTGAACAATAGATGTCGGGATAGATTGAGATTTTTGGCCCAAAGATAACTTGGATTGCGAATATGTAGCGAATTTGGCGAGGAGTTTCAACATCATGCGGACATAGTCTTCGCTGCGGTTGAGTTCCTTCAAGCACCGAGAATAGAGTTCCAGCATGGTTCCTTCCAAGACCACCCATAGCTTGCTGCCGTAGAATGGAGCCATTTGGTGGAAATAAGAAGCTGCGGCTTCGTAATCACCCTGCCGGAAACGAAGTATGGCAATGTCCGCCAGGGCCATCTCGGCGGAATTGGCTCGATTTGCCACAATATTATGGCGGACGATATGATCCGTGAGCTCTTCATATAATGACAGATATGTCTCTTTGGAGGTTAATCCAGCCTTGAGGGTGGGAAGTTCAACACCCACTAGCGAGGACTTCTCAGCTTTAGATTCGGCTTTCTCATTAGTCTCGTCCAATGAGACTTCTGCCATACCACCAGAGCCGCGACTCTCATCAAAGAGGAGGCCAAGGTCGTTCCATTTCTCAACCCAGCCGTGGCGCTGGGCGATCTCCTCAAGAGATCGTCGAGCCAGAAGAAGCAATTCCCCTCGGCTCGATGCCAATTGTTCCGAACCGGTCTTTTGAGGCAAAGTAGAAGCAGGTTTTGGGTGATCCAAGGTCAAGCGTCGCTGAATCAGACCGATTGACTCGGAAATATCCTGGGTCACTGGCCGTGGGGAGCGCCCTCCCGGAGCTTGAATTAATGAGCTTGATCGGCGAGGCACGTCGCCGCGATTATCCCCAGTAGGTGGCGTGGGATTTGAAGGCTCCTTGGCCTGGTTCACAGCATGAATAGATGATTCTGGCAAACTAAGACTCGAGGTGAAAGTTTGATCTAGAATCTGCAATGCCGCGGCATACGCCCAATTGGACACGATGTTGTTGATTGTATCCGACTTGACACTCGCTTCTACCCCTGTTAGTCCAGATTCGAGGCCGTAGCGAAGGGTACGAGCGGCAAGACTGATGAATTCCGTAGATCTTTGGCAGATCTCGGATAGCAAAATGAGATCTTCCGGCTTTTTCTCTCGCGTAGCAGGATCATTTCCGACCAAGGACGGAGCTCTTGCTGCTCGAAGTAGCAAAGTGAGCTGACGAGAGAATATATAGGTGCGGAAATCAAAAATGGAGATATCACTGGCCAGGATCATTTCCCGGTAGGGAAATTTGTTCGAGCTGAGCGGGAAGTCATCCGGTCGAATAGTTAAGGACGGTTCTGCCTTGTTGTTTTCATCGGTTGATGTGCCGGCCTCGAGTGCCTTTTTAGCAACCTCTACCCAATTCTTGCTTGAATCCAAAATTGTATTGCCAGGTTGCTCTGTGCCTCCGTCAAGTTGGTCTCTGATAGCCGCATCTAACCCAACGGATAGCTCATCATAGCCAACCAGTGCATCATCGAACAGACCCACATTCTCGAACCCCCGCGCGAGGCCCTCCTTGAGGATAAAGAAGGTGCAGAAGTTCCAACCAGGGAGACTTCGCTGCGCATCCTTTTCTTTTATATCCTCTTCGTATTGAGCCACGCGGAGATCGAAAGAAGCCAGTATACCATTCTTCATCTTGTCAATCAGATCCTCCAGCTGCTCTGCAAACTCAGGGGATTTCGTGGATCCCTCCTTCGGGAGTCGCAGCTGTGCCACACGGTCGACAGCGGTTTTGGAAGACCCATTGAAATCAGCCTTGATCTTCTCTAGAACCGTAGTTGTGCCGCGACCCCATTTCGATGCCGGCGCGGGTGTCTTCTCCGCACCATCCCCATCTTGGACCACATGTAGAATAAGCCATTCGAACGCATCATGCTTTTCTTGACTGCTGCCAGTTGATTGCGATGAGCTTGATACGCTCTGATTCTTGATCCACTCGCGCAACGTCTTGCGCGCTGTTGCCTTGTAGGTATCGTTGTCGTCGCAGCGGAGGAGGTAGACTTTCAGGTATGGGGTTTGTCGCAGACCGGGGATCTGATGTCGGCGGTGCGTTACATTTCCAGCGCCTTCACTGGAAGATTTCCGTTCGGCGGATTCTGTCTGGGCAGGCGCAAAGCCGATGCGAAGGGATTCGATCGATCGAACAGGGCGAGTGGGTGATTTCCAATGGAGATTCTTGAGGGGGAGCTTCGATTCGACAGTCGGTTGAACCAGAGGAAATAAGCCCGATGGATCGGTGTATTCGACTGGGTGGTAGTTAGCACCAGCTGGAGCTAGGAGTCGGGGGTCTCGGTCTCGGGGGGCATCTCCGTGTCATTCTTACCGGTCACATTGCTTGACGCTGCCTTGGAAGGGTCCATGATTCCCAGGCGCAATTCGGGAGACAGCCAATGGCACTTATAACATGCCGTTTCAAGCACCAGAAGCTGCTAATTAAGCGAGTTGGTGATGGTGTCCTCGCGGGGTCGGGGGGGATGTTTGGTGTTTGGCCCGTCCACGTTGAGGTTCACCGCACAGGCCGCACCTTGGCGCTCTCCGCCTGGGAGATACTTCAGTTGTAACTTAGCCATGGATATCTTGAAGGGAGACGAAATCGGTCAGGGAAGGATTCAAAGTGAATAGCTAGTATGATGGATTCTTAGCAGATGCAGGTCAATCTAAGATAGAGTGCTCCGGCATCTGGGGTTGGACCATACGCGTCCAATGCTAGCTACAACTAACTAGTGACTGGTACTACTTCAATAACCCATGACTATTCTATTCTCAGAAACTAGGCCTGGCTAGATCTCCCAAGGCTATAGCTCTCAAATTTTTAATGTTCTGGAATTCAACAGCAATATTGTACCATCAAAACCTTCCCATACTACATATCCATTACTGTCAAATCTCGTTGTTCCACCAATGGCCAAACAATTACCAACCCTTAGTCCAATCCTGGCCCATGGTTGAGTTAGACAAACATCGATTTGGAACTCTGTGCTTCCATTAAAGACGTGAGACAGTGCATTCCAATATGTCTAGTGGCACTGCGCAGCCCTTACTTGACGACGTTCGTTATCTTAGACTCAACCCGCCGTCGCTAACTCAGGGGTGCAGAGATCCTCCCCCAGCAAGGGAGGTGCCGAGATCCAGACATTTCAAGATAAAAGGTAAATAACGCGCTTTTCAAATAGTCAGCGGCATCTTGGATGTCTTGGCTGAGTGTGGAAGAATGAGGGTGACCAGTCGCCCCCCTTTCCGAGCAACCCCGTTTCGCCATACACAAACAATGAGTAATGACAACGACAATTCTTATGAAACAAGCTTGCAGATAACGCCGATCCAGATAAGCTCCTCAAAAATTAGGCTATAGATGCATAGTCTATCCAAGATAGATCAGTCTAGTCGACGAAATGGACGCCAAGCCACTCAATGCAGAAACTAGGTTCAATGATCGACGCCGATCATCTTGTTCAATAAATTCCACATTCTGTCATCGCGCATCTCCCGCGTTCCACCTGGAGCCCCTGGGGTGAATATACGCGGGGCTTGGTCCTACATAGCGTGTGGTCCTGTTCCCAATTTCTCTCATCGCAACGATGGCTGTCACTTCAGTCATCGTCGACACGTGAAGCACAACCGATCCATCACAGGCTTAGTCGCAATGTCTAGCCGCATACAGTTTGCAGAGCCCATTTCGAAGAAAGAGGAGCCGATACGTGTTGGCAGGGTCGATACTCATGGAGAAAAGGGGTCGGCACAACGGACACTTTCTCCAGGAAACGAAATCGTCTACCCGACAGGATGGAGGCTGGTTCTTACAATAATAGGGTAGGACGGTGATCGATGGAGGAATTTGAGACGATTTAGTGCCGGCAGCTAATCGGTTTCTTGAATAAAGGCTTCTGATTGGATTTTTTCTCTCGAATTTAGATGTCACGATTGTGAGCTCATCCCTCACGAATATCACGGACAGCCTCGAAGGCTTTGAGAAGAGAAGTTGGATCATCACCGGCTACTTAGCCACTTACACCGGTACGAAGATAAACGGAAACCGCCTGCTCGTTCTATGGCCTATCTCCTGACATACAAATACACATAGGGTCTATGGCAATGTGGACAAAAGGCAGCGATATCGTTGGGAGGAAACACACCACTATAGCCGCTTTTGTTATCCTGCTCGCATTCTCTATTGGATGTGGCTGCGCGAAAACAGCCAACCAACTGTGAGATCACATATTACTTGAAATGCTGAACTTTCCTAACTTGGAGATACAGTATAATATTCAGAGCACTACAGGGCATCGGTGGAGCTGGTGTTTACGCACTGGCAATATTATGCATATATGAAATAGCTCCGAAGACGAAGCTTCCAACATATAGCGGGCTCATGTCATTCTGTCTTGTTCTTGCGTCCTTGATTGGCCCAATCTTGGGAGGTGCTCTTGCAAAAGACTCAGCATGGAAATGGGTCTTTTTAATCAAGTATGTGGACATGCAGCAATTTGTTGAATTTTATACTGATGTCATTAACACTTACAGTGTCCCCTTGTGTGCGATTGCGATCGTGATTCTCGCTATTGCTATGCCGACAAACTTCGGCCTTGACCAACACACCCCTCGCTCAGAACACGAGCTTCATATCGTTCATTCGCCAATCTCGATCTTGTGGGGTCACTTCTTCTACTCTCTGGCACATTTTTAACCATTTCCGTCCTGAACGAGGTCAACTTGGCATTTACATGGTCTTCCCCGAGTGCGATTGCTCTCCTTGTGCTTGCCGGAATTTCGTGGGTCGGCTTTTTCGCCTGGGAATGGCACCTCTCAGATTTTCCCAAGCAAGATCCGATCTTCCCTAAGCGTTGGCTTTTTGATCGCGCGTGGATAGGAATTCTCATGTGAGTAACTCATTGCGGTATTCTAATCGAACTTATTCTTTCTAACGGCGAACTATCAGCTCCTCATTTGTCACTGGCGCAGTTTTTAATGTGGTACTAGTCTATGTTCCGCAGCAAGCACAACTACTATTGGATAAATCACCACTCGATGCTGGTATCTATTTGATTGGATATTCAGCCGTTGCAGCGGTCGCCGCTGGTCTTGTGAATATTGTCAGCTCGCGGGGTCGTATTCCGTTTATTTATTCTTTGCTCGTCGGCTGCACACTCCATACCGTAGGAGTGGGCCTTCTATCAACGATTGCTAGCTCTCATGGATTCCATGCAACAGATATTGCTTATGAAATTATCGCTGGGGCAGGCATGGGGATAACGATGGGTATATTGGTGTTAGCGCCACCTTACATCGTGGAGGATAGAGACCTGAGTATTTATGCCCCGAGCAAAACATTGATTCTGAAGCAGTTAATAGTGCATTGGCTAACCGTTGAATTTTCCACGCAGCGATTGCGACCGGCTTTGTTGTTCAGCTCCGGTTCCTAGGGGGAGCCCTTGGTCTGGCTATAGCATCGAATATCCTGAATGGCCGCTTAGCGCATCATTTGCAGGGTATATTAACAAGGCATGAACTGCACCTATTCCTGGAAAATGTGGAGTCGATAAAAAGTTTGCCTGTCTATTTACAAGATGAGGTGAAGAATGTTTTTGCTGGCAGTTACAGCACGCAGCTCAGGGTTATGATTGGATTCGCGGCAGCACAACTACCAGCTATTCTTCTACTCATAAAACCCGGTCGTCAACTTGCAGCGAGAAAGGACCGGAAACATAGTGCTTCGGAATAGCAAGCATATTTTTTATTTCAGAGGAGCGACTGCCGAAGAAAGCTGGTAGCTATTTAATATGTGCAAAATCTATCTTCCTCCTTCCATTTCTCTGTATTCCCTGTCATTTCAAAGGGAACTCAATACCTCCATGTTGTCCGACAGGTTGGGCATGAATCATAGTGGCCTGATCTAAGCCATTTTTCAATGCACTCTCTGTGATAATTGACTCCACATTGCGCTTTGCACCACACTAGTCCATCTTCAACTTCAACTTCAACTTCAGGTTCATCATCGTCTGAATAGTATCCTTGTTCATCCTCAGAGTCATCGCTGTCACCCTGCCCCTCGTCCTCTTCTTCATCGGTTTCTTCATCACCTTCATCATCTTCCTCTTCCTCTTCATCATCGGTGCTGTAAGATTGAGGTTCCTGCAAAGAACACAAGCATATTCCACATTCTCCCTCCGCAGGTCGACGACTGACACGGGCTTTACGGGTAGCCGACCCAGTTGAGTGTGTTGATCTCTCTGTATTGACCGCTTGCGGGACTGAATCGGAAGTTGGTGGCATCGTAGTCGTAGCCTCGGATCGGCGGCTGGAGGTTTCGCTTGACGTAACCAGTATCTCGCGAGAGCTGGTACTGCTTCTTGAAATTTGGCTTCTTGTGCTATCTGGCAAATTTCGAATAGGTGTTTCGACAGGTGTGATAGAGTCACCCCTGGGCTGTGCAATATTATCGATAGCAGTGGTGCTGTTGTTGATGGCTCCAACTGTTCTCATCATATGCAGGGCATCATTAAGAACTTGAGAGCGTAGGGAGGTGGCAGGGAGCCCATCAAAGTCTTCAATCCACAAAAGCTCCTCTATTCTTTGTTTCATTTCACGCAATCGAACTTCAAATTGCTCTTCTGATGTTTGTCTCCTGGGAACTTGACGGCGAATTCCAGTGGTATTCTGGATGGTTCTTTGTGTCGGAGATGATCGTCGAGATTCAACAAACGAAGATACTTGCTTCCGCCAGCGACGAGCAAGATCGGATGCTTGGTTTTGATGAAACCTCCGGCATAGCCCGTATGGAGCTAATTCTTTCAGCAGATCGTTGATAGAATCTCCGGCTCGAAGGTCTTCAGTGGCCTCGTCGAGAATATCCATAGCACATCTACGGCCGTGCGCGTTTGTACTAGCATGACAGCGACGACCTTGTGAGGGGGCGTATCCAAAACACCATGGCTCCCTATCAGGCTGAAGGTTGATGATAGTAGAAAGATGGGGGAGAGAGGAGTAAGTGATAGAGGGGTGTCTCGAAGGCATGTCGGAGATTTTTGGTAAATGATAGGCCAACTTTATCAAATAAAACCGTTAGTTTGTACTGATATGTTGGGCCGAACTTGTGGCAATCTTCGGTTCATATACCTTATCACCATGACGGCTAGAGAGGTACAAGGTTGGAAGAACCACTGTCACTGCCACAGTGGCGCAGACCTAAACCCCCTGCTAGCTCTACGCATTCTATCATGCATCTGAGCAATTATAGAGATACAGGAGCTCGGACCCCATTATAGAGTGAGGGTTGGACGAAAAACACGGGGAGAGCAAGTATGAGGGGCTGTGTGGAAAGGACGGGAGCGGGAGCGGGAGCGTGAAACTGGACTTGGGTTTGATCCAACAGTCTTTGGGAGAGTATGATAGGCTATAAGTTAGCGGCAATGCAGGTAGTCGATGCTAAAATTTAGCGTAGTCGGATCGCGACTTCTATTGGCTACTAGAGTCCGAAGGATGTGATTGAAGTGCAGCAAAAGCCAAGCCACCCAACACGATGCACACGCAGACCAAAATAGTCTACAATATCATCCGAAATAGCGCTGCCTGGACGGTGTAGTTAGCGCAAAAATTCATCTCAGCCTCTCGATAGATTGTCTGGAACAAAGTTGTGGCTGGAGCCGCAGCACTGGCCAACTATCGCATATCCGTTCGTTTTGAGGCGGTTTACCTGACTAGTAGTTTAAGGCCGAACCTTGTAGCCTAACCCGTCGGCTGCTAGTTACTATTAGTACTAGCAAGGATCTTTGAGGTTGCCGGGCCGCATACTATGTCCAGTAGTTACTATGGGAAGTAACAGTGGAAGAAATTGGCCAAAAGAATAGGATGATTTTCAAATGAAACATCTTATTTGAATATGATCTTATAAGCTAAATCATTTACGCTAACTACGCTTATGGTGTTCAGTCATCACCGCCTCGTCCCTTCTGGAATGGACATGCGGCCTGCCTCGGGGAATTTAGGCCATGTTCGCTGTATTGGGGAAATTATGCTGATATTATTATATGTCAATCATGTAGTAACTATCAAGTTCATGCGATGTACCTCTTGAATTCGGCAACCAGGGGTGCCTTTGAAACCATAGGATCGGACAGTGAAGACTGGAGCCTAGAAATGCCTTTTCCTTGCATCCCATTCGAGAAAAATGAAATTTTTTTGATTAATATCATGGCGCATCTATTCAGCGTGATCATATTCTAAGTTAGAACTAGTAAGCTTTGGGTTCGGAGTCTATTTTGGTATAATTGTAGTTGGGGTTTCAAACGTGGGTCCTCCTCGTATGTGCGACCAGATATGGATAACGATACGAAATTGAGAAAAGGTATATGCCTGACTTTCTAAGACTTTCGAGATCGTGTAACACTTGGTTAATGATACGAATACGAAAGTAATAGTGAAATAATATGGTTACCTAGTATTTGCATCTATAAGAGTCAATGGCCCTTTCTGTGTTGTACACGGGTGTGAACTATAGAATCTCTTAACATTGTCTTAACCGCCAAGACTGTACCAGCCAATTTTGACGCCAGACAGAGAATTTATTCCTTTGATCGAAAAGAAGCATTGTCAATAAACATGAAACTTTCGATTTTCGGGCGATCGGTTACCAAATCTAGACTTCACATTATCATCGGTGGACTGGTCTTTCTTGTCTTTATTTTGACAGTTGCACGCTTGGCCGTCAAAGGAACACCATCAACCAGAGCGAATACATGGGGAATCGCGGTGGTAAGAGCCTCTATCAAACTCCGTACGAGGGACGCAGCTCATGTAAATTCATTAGTGCCTCAAGTCGGGGGTTTTTCTCGCCTATCAATTGCTGACAACCCATGTTGAACGATTAAAAAAATAGGGGAGTACGAAAGCAAATATGATCTTAAACATTGTGGACACTATTTTCTGGCTTGCACTGTTTATTATCACAATCATGGGGTCGATAGGGGCCGCTAGCGAGGCTAGTCGCGCGTTAGGCGGCATCATAGCCACGTTGGCTGCTACGTTACTGTGAGTTAGAATTACATTTCCCAGAAATTCACTACCATATTCAATGAGAAGTATTGCTAAAACATCTTTCATTGTAGTGGCTTCGATGGAATGCTTTCTTATATTTGTATTCTTGAGCAACGCTATTACAAACAACATTCATCTCTATCATCAGACATTGAAGGAAAATGAAAGGTCGGGGAAATGCTGAGAGTAATGCATAACTATGCATATCATCAATGAGAGTGCAATTGATGCTTCAGCGGATATCCAGCGGCATTAGGGAGCTTCGCAGGGCTATCCCGGTACTTGTTGGTGATCAAGTTGCTGAATGAAGGCGACCACTCCACACGTGGAGTAAGAGGATCCAAGCCCCAAAGCTCAGAAACAAATGTGAGAATAGAGGTATGGGTATAATCGTTTTTGCTTGCCTTATGCTCAACAACACCCTTCTCGACCCAGGGAGAAATCAACATTGTTGGAACGCGAATGCCCAAGCGGTCGAAATTGAAAGTGTAGTTACCGAGACCAGTGCCATCCTTCGACGGGGCTTCAGACCAGGTGATATCGTCGCCTGGAGGGACCCCGGTCGGAGGGGGACGTGGTCAGCAAAACCTCCGTGCTCATCCCAAGTGACAATGAAAAGAGTCTCGTTCCATTGAGGCGAGTTGCGAATAGCTTCATAAACACCCTTCATGAAATTCTCGCCCATGTTGATAGGCGACTTGGGATGCATTGACATAAATTCACAACACTCAGGGTTGATCCATGTGAACTGAGGCAGCTTGCCAGCCTTTGCATCCGAGTAGAACCGCTCAATGGGGAAAACGTTGGTTTTATCCTTGCCATTTTCTTTGGTCCATTTATAGAACATCGAATCGGGCGCGAAAGGCGGGTTCGAGGACGTCGAGTTTTCGTAATTCATCCAGGTAATATTATTCTCAGACAGCTGCTGGAAGATAGACTTTTGAGGAAGAGTCGAGTCATAGAAAGGATCAGTGTTGCCTCCCTGACCATGCGAAGTACCGGAAGTCAAATATGCGCGATTGGGGTCAGTCGGTCCAGGGATCGAGGCGAACCAGCGATCAAATAGAACAAAGTTCTCGGCAATCGCATTGGTTACTGGCACTTGATCCGGAGTATAATAGTTGATGACTTCAGACGCTTCCAGCAAATTTCCTCCCAGGCTGTAGTATGTGTCTTGCTCGGTCACAAACCCCTTCATAGTCGACTCATCATCGGAGTTGGGAAGATATTTTCCAAAGACTTGCATGTTTCCTCCCCAGATTGTGTGGTCAGGGTCATCCTTGGCGATATTGTTGGCGGTCGGCTTGCCGCAGATCTGTTTGCCATCTGGCTGCGAAATGTTGGCTGGGTTACAGAAAGGGGTATCGCGTCCGACCAGTCCATCGATATCGTCGTTATATGTAAGTCCGCCGACAAGAGTGTCAAAGGATCGGTTTTCTTGCACCAGCACTACAACATTCTTGATGTTTTGCATGCCCGCCGAGAGCGGGCGTGCGGCAGCCTCTAGGCCAAGCCCAAGGGTGAGAAGGGCAAGGGACAGCGTCATGATAGATGGGTTTTCAAAAGGGCGACAACAATTTTCACACGCGAGATTTTTCTATTTATGATTGTTTGGAATGGGCATTCCCACGGGGCGGCTCGGACCCGGAAACCTGGCCGCCTGAGGGATTGTTTCCGTTTGGCCATCCCCGCAAAAATCGCCGATCTGGCTTGTTTAATTGGTCTTGGGAGATACTAGTTCCTGATCGACATCTTTCCAGGACTGCCTTGGAAAGTCCTGCCCCAGCCTTGTAACCTCAATTACCCAGTTCCTGATCCGACATGCAACCTCCCCCACTTCAATCGTGCAGCTAGTTCGGGCCGACAGTAACATCGCTTGAAAGATTGACTTTCTCTTCTCAGGAGTTAATCGAAATCTAGTATCTCATTTCTCGTGAAACATAGAGTGGAGAAATAATGCCCATTGTTTTCCATGGCGTCAATATCGACCGGCCCCCATTCGGACTCCCTGATGATCGTCATCTGTTTGTTGCATGACCCATAATTGTAGCCTCGAAGACTTTTGCCTATCAAAACAAGCCTTTACTAAGAAAGAAAAAAAAATGATACTGGGAGGATGCATCGATGCAGATGTTATCATATAGCAATCGGACACAATAAAGCACTAGCACTGAGTAAATATAGCAATGCCCTATTGACTCGTGAACCCGAATAGCAGTCTAAAACTCTGAAAATGAAGTTGAAGTAGTACCTGATCTCACAATGAAAGCCCAGTCGGCGCGTAGGCTTTATCGAAAAGAAATCTAGAGGCCGTTCTAAATTTTGGATCGAGACTTCACGTAGAGACATTCGGCCGTTGCGAGAATCTGATCATCCTCATCACATATCCGACCCTTGATTTTCCACTTCCGGTTCTCTTTGGTCTCTTCAAGCTTTGCGTACACAACAATTGCACCAGGTGTCGGAACTGGACGCAAAAAGTTTGTATTCAGGTAGGCAGTTACCGTCTTAGAGCCTGGTGCGAGGGCGTCATCGTCGCCAGCTTTGTACTTGCTGCGAAGGACAAGAAGAAGGCCCGTGCATTCATCCAAAATGGTGGTCACGATTCCTCCGTGGAGAACGCCAGGGTAGCCGTTGAGATTGCTACCTAGAATGAAAATCATGCGGACCTCCTCTATGCCCCCAGTCCCACCAGGCCCGGAGGTGGGGGTCGGCCGTCGATACTGGGAAAGAAACCCCGAAAGGGTAGCATTCGATTTGAGGGTGACTGAAAAAAGACTATCCTCGGTCGAGGACTTGGTGTCTCTGTTGGTCGAAGGGACTGTCACGAAAGCCGTATCTTGCAACAATTCTGAAACCCAGGGAATCGAGTGATAACGGGCGGCATCATCTATATCCATTTTTGTAGAAAGAGGCAGATAATCAGTCAGTATGAGGTAGAATAAAGTTGAGGCAATGGCTGTGATGATGGGACGATGGCTACCTCAACCTCGGAAGGGCGGGGTCAGATTACTCGGCTAGCTTTAAAGGGGCTACCTTGCGGGGAAATTGCTTACACCTCGGGCAGCTTAGGAGCTATGCAATACTATATGGTAGCAAAAAGATTCCTTGAGCGCATGGACCATGGTAAATACTAATATTTCCTACGACTCAATCATATTGAAATAGTATCATTGAAAGATTGTCCGACCTCGAGAGTTTAGGTATAAAGGTACTATAAATCCACAAATCTAACCGAAACAAGATCACTCAACACCCCACGAAAAACACCACGAATCTCTCCTCCAGCTTGAAAATCCTGAAATTCAAGAGACCGCAGCTAACGGCTCCTTGCAGACTTGCCCGGTCGCTGCCTCTGACTTTTCATCGGTGACGATTGTCTCCTTGTTGACCGAGGGTTTTGTGGCTGGGTAGAACTCGACTTTCCCACCACCTTGGATGACCCCCTGTCGGTCCAAAAGAGTTTTGGCCCGTACATAGGGGTCAAGCGACCAGTAATTGTCACTGAGTTGCTTGATGATCTCGTCACGGCGACTTTGTGAAGTCTTGTCGTCCGGGTTGGAGATGAGACTGGCAGTGAGGCTAAAAAGCTCACTACCAAGCGTCTCTCTTTCAGCAAGGATTGTACTCCGAGTCTCAGCATCAAGCAACTTGTCATTCTCATTGGCCTCCGGCTCAATATACTTATATTCCCAGTCCTCACATCCTCCAAGTTCCTTGACTATCTGTCCCTCGGGATGAGTTTCTGCAGATCCTGGGCGCCACTAATGAAGTGAACTTTCGCAGCCACCACCGGGTCCAAGATTCCCTGAATAAGCTTCCAGAATCCTAAAATGATTATGAGAAGTTAGATCCGACATTAATTAGGACAAGAAGCTGTGGAACTCACCGGAAAATATCCACGGTGCATTGTAAAAGATCATGGCTCCGAGAGACTCCGGATAGCTTTCTTGGAAAATTTCAATGATGAATTTGACTGGAGGAAAATCCTAGAAGATAGGGATTAGTTATCGCGCCCACGAAGATTGACGGGCATGGCAGCATACCCAGTTTGATAAGCTGAAGGAAGTGAGGTCAAAGACGATGGTCTAATGGTGGGTGATTAGAACGGGACAACATGATCACAAGGATTCATCGATCGAGCAGAGCTTACCATTGTATCTACAGGATGAACCTGTACCAGTCGAACTGTCTCGATGCATTGAACAATATAGTCATTGAGACCCTTTTTGGTCGCAGAGCTTGGGTCGTGTGTTCGCACTCTAACCACGCAGATTGGCCGACCAAATTTATCTTTACCGTGGAAATAACCCTTGCCTGTATGAAGCTGAAGCATGAATCCTTCTCCATCTTTCTTCTCGGGCGAGTCTTCTTTCGCTCGCGACTTTTCCAGATTATACAATTCGCCTTTCATCAGAACTTCTTCATCGACTTTGTATTCGTTGACCCGCCAATCGAGAGCCGACACAAATTTAATCCATGCCTTAGGAACATTCCACTTCTCGGCGCGAAGAAAGCGAAGAAGCAGTGCATCCGCATGATCTTGCTTGAGTACAGTCAGGTAGGCCGACCGAAGACGATCCCCCGGCAATTTCAACACGAGCGAGTTGATTGCCTTAATTTCATTTGGACCAGCATTCAATTCCTTGAGAGAGGAATGAAACTGCTGGGAATGGCCGCGGTTTCATTTTCGGTTGGCTGGGTTGGCGCTCGAGTGAGAGAAAACAATCTTCGGCGTGGCTGGGCTGAGCCTGAGCCATTCGAGTGTGTTGATGCGTTTGAGTCTTTGGGGGCCGAAACATCAGCACCCCAGGATTGCATCAAAATTTTCCAAAAGCTTTGCAGCTTCTCTTCCTGAGAGGATGTAAGACTGCCAACATAGCCAGAAGTCTCTGTGGTGGCTGCCATGATGAGTTGAGTACAGTAGGGGAGAAGGGAAGCGGCCTCAAAACAAAAAGAACGTCATCCAGGTCCCAACCAGTGGGGTTTTTGAAAGATTGAGCTCTCTTGATCTATCACTTCCACGTGAGATTGCTTTTTTCCACCACCCCCTTCTCCTCTTTCATGATCGCCGGCCTCGGCATGGCTAACGGAAGTTAAGTGCAGGAAGAGGGGTAGCTGCAGGTCCCTGGATCAAATGGTGTCAACGCCGGCCTTAGTAGCTCTAAAAACATAGTGATGAACCAGTAATACTGAGCCTTAGAGGCGCTAGACCACAGCCCGAAAAGCCATTACACAGCTTTTTTTGAATACCAAGGCCCCAAGAGGTAATTCGAAGGGTTGGCGCCCTAGGGTCCGTGGCTGTGGGCCATGTGCATGAAGTCACACGAACTATCCCGGGGTCCAACCGGCAGTGGTGAGTGCCGATCACTGTGATGCAGCTTCTCAGGGGCGATGGCACACTTTCTCCTCGGACATGTGAGTAAGTTGGATGGCGGACTAGGGGGAACTAGTAGGGCAAGTTTTAACCGGATTGCCGTCTTGACTCTTGAACACCCCGCACTTTTAAGGTTGAGGGACCATCATGATGAGAGTGGAGAATTCTCTTTGGTCAGTGCAAGTGTAGTTTATCTTAATTTTGACGAGAGATTTGGGCAGAGTTGGCTTATTTACTCTCTCACGGGCAGACCCAGCAATTGAGTCTCCTGGTATCTATTATATTTACTTATTCGCCATTTGATAAGGATTTTGGTTGGATTCTTTCGCTCTGTCGGAGATGATACGCTTTCCCTTATTTGGTAATGCCAAAGGCGCGCAGATTAGTCATATCGCGGACATCTTCACTTAGGAAGGCCAAGGCCCAAGACTGGAGATTTAGCGTCCCTTCGATCCCCAAACATCGTGAGATGCAAATTGCATGATTGGCCATAGATAAACATCATCTATTGTGATGGAGGATAACGTACCGTCTCGTGAGGAAGACTTTATCGACCAGTTTCAATGGTCCACACCGCGGGGGATTGAATCACCCTCATTCGAAACTGGAGCATCTGTATCCGAACTTGAAGATGAGTAAGTTATGGAATAGCGGGAAGTCCCGGCTTAGTCGGAGCGCTAACGGCCTGCATAGTTCATTTACTCTGCCTTGCATGAACTGGGATGTCTCAAATGAACAAGCCTCCCGTCAGCCAGATTACCCACTCGGTGGCAACTTGAACTTAGCAAACGGCCTGAGAGACACCCAACCGTTGACCGTCTCACCTGAAAAAGCATTCGAAGAATGCATATTTTCAAATATTTCCCAGCCATTTGACTTGTTGGAAGACAGTCGTCTTGATCCGACATTTACCTTTTCTGCGACAAGCTCACTTGATTCCTTCGGCACGGACGACATCAACGGATCAGAACAAGGACTACCAATACCAAATGGTGGCCTGTCATTTTCATTTCTCGAAAATACAGATTGGGGTAGCCAGGAATTTCTAGGAATTAACAATGCTCACCCCGAAGGACTTCTCTCGCTCAGTCCGATGGACCGGTGGAAAAACTCCCCGCCAGAAACAGAGCCTGCACATTTGACAGATATTATGAGCTCTATTACCCATTGTATCAGTTCAGAGGAACCAGTGCTACAAGATACTGCTGAAAAGTTATCGGTTCCAAGGAGACGTTCTCAACGACCTCGCCCACCTACCCCGTCAATTGCAGCATCCGAATCAAGTGCCTCCAGCAGCTCAGCTTCATCCGCCCGTAGCTTCGGCTCAAGCAACTCAGGATCATTTGGACGATTTTACGTGGGAGAGCCAAGGCGGCGCCGTAATCGACGGCTGCGCAAGAAATCTCCAACATCTCAAATCCGTGATAAAAAGCCAACGCAACAGCGTCCATTCCAATGTACATTCTGCACAGACACTTTCAAATCCAAACATGATTGGACGAGACATGAAAAGACTCTACACTTGTCATTGGAAAGCTGGGTCTGTGCACCATTTGGACCTACATACCGAGATGAGGCCTCCAATATCTTGCGATGTGTGTTTTGTGAGATCGATGCTCCTTCTGAGGAGCATATCCAGTTTCACCGGCATATGGAGTGTCAAGAGAAACCGTCTACTCTTCGAACATTTTATCGAAAGGATCATCTTCTCCAGCATCTCCGCCTATTTCACGGCTCACAAAATGCCGTCACTAGTATTGCAAAATGGAAGTCAGAGGTCACTCAAATCAATTCAAGGTGCGGGTTTTGCTCGGAAACTTTCACTCTCTGGTCAGACAGGAACGATCATCTTGCAGCACATTTTCGGCAAGGAACTCAGATCAAGGAGTGGAAAGGATGTAGAGGTCTTGATCCTGCAGTGGTGCTTGCTGTCGATAATGCCATGCCTCCATACCTCATCGGCATCGAGTCAACTGGCATATACCCCTTCAGTGCCAGTCGCCGTGAAGGCACTTCAAGGGAGGAAGAAGCTCGCGTGACTCATGATACATTTCAAAGTGCAGTAATTACACAGCCAACTCCATTTGAGCAGTTGACAGAACACCTGATTCGATTTGTGCGTGAACAACAGCATGCTGCATCACCCATCACAGACGAGTCTATACAACGCGAAGCGCGTCTCTTCATCTACGGGGACGACGATCCCTGGAACCAAACTGCAGCTGATAGCCCGGACTGGTTGAATTTCTTCAAAGATGGGATGGGGTTGGGTCCAGCTTGCGTTATGAATGTGGATGCTGCCCATCATCCAAATCCTGTGTTTCATCTTCCGTGGGATATAAATACCCAGCAACTTGAAGCAGTCGATGAGTGTAACCTGAACCCCGTGGTCTCAACTGGCTCATGGACTCCTTGGTCATGGCAAAGCCCTGAATGCCTTGCAGAATTTCGCAGGTTCAATCGTGATACTGGATCATCATTAATTACCCCAGATAATGGAGCATGTGCACTGCCACGATAAACAAGAAAAATGGAAATGACAGTATTGATATAATTAATGAAGAATCTCGGTCACTAGTAGAGTAATGTGGCATTGGCTTTAGGTCCAATAGTAACCATCACAAATAAGCCAATCTCCCCCACATCTCACCTCTCCACAACTAGTAACTCTTACCCCGCCAACACTTTCCTCAACAGACTGACAATTTCAAAGATTCCTCTGAATCACAGTGCTCGTATACGTATACCCCCCACACGTGACAATTCGAAGCTGATGGAACAATCCCCAATTCCCCGACCCCTCACCAGGCTTACTTTGTATTTCCTATAAGCTCGGCAAATCGCCTCATTTGCGAACAACATACAAGCAACCCTACAAAGATGACAGACAAATACTCCAGCCCCGAAGAGGCCGCGCGGGCCAATAGTCTCATGGAGGCCCAAAACAAAGCCGTCACCCTGTTTGAAGAAATCGAGAAACAACTTCTCCGCCCCGGCATCAGCGAGAAGCAACTGAATAAAGAGATCTACGATCTGGGCGAAACCCTCGGCGTCCGATCACACTGGCATAAGCGCGTGATTCGCAGCGGACCAAACACACTCAGTCCCTTCGCAGAGAACCCACCCGACCGTATAATCGAAGAAGACGACATTCTAGTCGTGGACCTAGGCCCCGTCTTCGAGGCGTGGGAGGCCGATTTTGGCCGAACATACGTTCTCGGCAACGACCCGCATAAGATTCGGCTTCGGGATGCACTGGAGCCTATTTGGGTCAAGGTGAAGGCGTTGTATTGGGAGAGGCCGGATATGACGGGTGAGGAGCTGTACGATATTGCGTGCAAGGAGGCTGAGCAGGCTGGGTTTCAATTCGGTGCTGACCTTGCGGGACATATTGTTGGCTCTTTTCCTCATGAGCGCATTCCTCAAGATAAGATTAAGCTTTATGTTAAGAGGGGGAATTCGGAAAAGATAAGCTCTGTTGGGAAGGATGGTCATAAGCGTCATTGGATCTTGGAGATTCATCTTCATGATCCGGTGCATCAGTTTGGTGGCTTTTATGAGCAACTTATGACTATTGACTAAGGGCTTTGGTAGTATCATAATAAGACTGGATGGCTCGTTGCAAGTAGTCGGGAGACTTCCTATCGAATGGCGATGGCGAGAAAGTGCTTGAGGAGTTGTGTGGAATAAGATAAGCTACAAATAGACCTTCACTCGTAGATCTGGAGACTTTATCAGATCAAGAAATCCCCTTTTCTGCACATAGGCTGGGAACCGAAGTCTCGGAGGAATTGTGTAGAAGATGATTCAATATCTGTCTATGCCTAAGTAAAGAGGCCAATTCGCCTCTGCAAGCTTGAATGTACTATGTATGGTCGTAGCCTGTCATTATACGCAGAAACAAAAGAAAACAAGAAGCCAACAGAAAAGGGGGCTGGGGTGACGCTGAGAAAGAAACTCCGTGTCTGTAGATGAGGACCAAGAATTACCAAAGGGAAGAGTTAAAACAAATGAAAAGATCCTAAAATCCCAATTCCACAGCCCGCTGTGTAGAGCGGGCTTTCACAAATTCAAAGCCGTCCGTAACGCCTTGCCAAATACCAGGCACAAAGTTGCGCATCCAAGCACAGATAACCAAAAGTAGCAGGGGAATCTATCACGGGTTAGTAAGGTCTCAAAGTGGACGTGGACGTGGTAACTTACCCAAATAAAGTAGAGGTTGCGGTCACTGCCCAGGCCCTTCATACGTCGGGCTTGGTGCTCCCGCAAATGTTTCTGCTGCTCGCGAGAGATCACCTTGCTCCCAATTGTGATATCCTTGAGATCATCCTTGACGATCTGGGCAGGTTGGGCTTGGGCAATTACTGTTGAAGCGGATGCAGAGGCGGAAGAGGAGGCGACATTGCTCTGTGTCTCGAAATGCTGGTCCAGAGCTGCCTCTGTGGCAGCCTGAAGAAGCGCAGACTTCTTCATTTCAGATGCTTCGTTCTGCTTATCCTGCTGGTGCGGATACAGCTCATCGTACGAAGGCGGAAGATTCTGGACCGGGGCAGCATTCCCTTTCAGATAGTCCCACCAGCCATCGCCACGAGTAGCCGGGCGTTGAGGTACCAGGTTAGTGATGCGACGCATCATTTGGTTGGCCTGATAATCTGGAAGAGCCGGCATGGGGGGTAGCGCAGGCATGTTAGGGAAAGCATTGGATACACTCTGCTGGAATTGATGAATCTGTGCAGTCAAATGGTTCTGCCAGGCGACAATGGCTGCAGGTGGGGAGAAACCACGAGTATCAGGTGCCGCGGGTTGTTCACCAGTATCCACGACCGGAGGAATAGCGTCTTGATGCATGCTTGATCGACGGGATGAGCTGAAGAATAATGGGGCTTCGGAATCATCGCTGTCCAACTCTTCAGAATCATCCAGGTCCTCAGAGTCGTCAACAGCATGACCAAGAGAGCCAGAAGCTGAAGAGGCTTCCCAGAGAGAGTTGAGGCTAGCTGAGCTACTGTGTCTGCGGCGAGAAGAAAGTGACCCAACACTGCGAGACCGGTAGTGCCGGGATGGGAGCAAAGCAGCTTGGTGCGCAGGCAATGTCGTTGCAAGGTCTGCCGGCGTAAATCCACGCACACTGCGGGCATTGGCATTGGCCCCGATGAGCCGCAGTCGATGGACAATATGAGCATGGCCATGTAGAGCAGCAAAGTGCATGGGAACATTTCCAGTACTGTCCTGGACGTCTGGGTTAGCCCCACGGGCTAAAAGTCCCGCAACAAATCGAGTCAGACCCAAAGAAGCTGCAAAGTGCAGAAGAGTTTGGCCAGTGGTGCTGCGGGAGTTGTAGCGAGCGGAGCGTGGGCTATCGTCCAAATCAATGAATTCGAGGTAAGTCAACATTTTAGAATCAAGATCGCTCAACTTCGCCTGAGAATCCATTCCGGGCACTTGGCGTTGATGCCCACCGGAAGAGCCCCCACCTTGCATGTCCTTCTGCATGTTGAAGAAAGCATTCGGATCGCTTCCCATGATTTGCTGGGCAGTTTGGAACGCGTCTGCTTGGCTGCCCAACTTTTGGCCAAGGATGTTCAACGCCAGCCGGTACATTTGAAGTTCACGGTCGTCCACATATCGGAAAAACAATTGTTGCTTGGGCATTAGTGGTTGCGCTTGTTGAACCTGCCCGAAAGTTGGGTGCTCATGCTTAAAAACAACGGACACCAGCCCCGGTTGAAGAGCTGGCGGGGTCAAGCAATTCAAACATTTGTCGCCCCAGAATGTGGTAGTTGTTGCGAGAGTATCGCCGAAAACAACCTCCATTCCAGGATAAAAACCACTGCCCAACAGCGTAACTTCTGTGCCTCCAGTTATTGAGCCCTCCGCGGGCACAAGCTTGTGAATAACCGAGGGGAGTCGGCTTGGAGCTTGGGATATGGAAGGCCAAACTTGATTTGCAGGCGTACCGCCCAATCCAAGTGCAAGGTTTGGATCCTGGAAACTGCTACGGCCAGAGGCACCGGGTGTCCCAGGACGACTTGGCTGTGCAGAGTTGGGTGCAGACACCAGAGATTGGTGAGCAAGACTATCCAGACTTTGTCTTTGAGCCGGTGTCGGGTTGAAGAAGGGGTTATTGTCACTACTTTGGTTGGGAGTGGGAGGCCCATTGCTATACTGTCCAGACATGGACGATGGGGTAACGAATGGCCGTTCCGTTGGCGAGGCATATCCCCGAGCTGCCGCGAGCTGAGCAGCGGCCATTGCTGAGCTAGATGACTGGGGTGTCTCCATTCGGGTCATGGTCAACTCTGAAGGCAATCGCCCGGAGCTGCTGTGCTTCCGTCGTTTGGTCTGAGGGCCTGGGAAGTCTGTCGGCGAGGCCTGTCTTGAAAGACTGCGAGGTGTCTGAGAGCTCGAAGGTCCACCATTTGGTTGAGCAGCAGTGAACGAATTGTTCGTGAGCTGATATTGTGAGCTAAATCGTTGCTGGAGGCCCTGTAGATCGGTTGGTGACTGAGGAGTAGCGAAAGCACCACTTGAAGGTTTGCCTTCGCCGTTAGGTCCCGAGGGAAAGACTCCTACGCCTGGCAGGCCATCTGGCAAAGATGGCGAGGGGCCAGCAGGTGCAGGCGCTGAGGGTGCTTGCGTTTTGTGGTCATCGGTGATCATGATCGAGTTGGTTATGGCCTGGGCCACCACGTTGTTTTGATAATCCTTCACAGTGAAAATGACCTGGAAACCCAGTTTCTCGTTCTGGTGTCGGCAGTAGCATGCGATTCGCATCGGGAGCTCCACTTGCATCGATCCGGGCGGGGCAGGTGGCATATCCCCATAACCAGTTGAAGCGTTCTTAGGTGGTTCCGCCCATTCTTTGATTTCACTTGTGTTGAAAACAATAACCCTCTTCTCCTCATCCTTCTGGAATAGTTCGTCCTCCTCCGGTTTCCGTTGCTTCTTCCGAGAGGCACGCTTCCGTTCTCGTTGAATGCATCCCGTGCAGATTTTCACATCCCCACCGTCCAAAGGTCTCTCCTCGTCGGGACCATTTATCCCCGAGTGATATCTGTCGCTTCTTGTGCGGGCAAAGGCTCGTTTTAACTTTTCCCGGTCTTGCATGGCGCTTGTGCAAACCAAACTCGTATATAATTGAAGGGTGTCGGAAGTAGGTTCGGTGGAGGGAGGGGCAAGGAATTTGAGTTTAGAGATAGTGTGGGATGGAAGGCGCAGCTTCTTGACGCTGGCCGGCAGCGGAGAGAGGGTCAATCGGATCGGGATTTGCGTTTCGACGCGGGACTTGAGTGAGGTAGGATGGACGGTGAGAACAGGTTGTGTCGAATTTGCGGGATCGGTCTGGGCCGGGGACGAGGCAAAGTTGACAGGAAATGGGTAGGAGCTTGGCGAGCTGAACCTCATGTTTGGCGACATGGAGTTCAATGGAGACCGTCCATTCATATTGATGCCACCAAAGCTTTCCTCCAAAATTGACGAGGGAGACTGGCCATTCCATTGGGAAGCGGCAAGCTTCTCGTGATCATTTCGAAAGACCCCTGAAAATGGCGACTGTTCCTTCACACCAAAAGCGAAAAGTGGAGATGCAGGTGCATGTGCATGTGCATGTGCCTAAATTGTATATCAAAAGTTAGAGTGCTCGCATACAAGATCATGTTGGGATTGACTCACCGGAGGTGCTGCGCCGTTCTGAGCTGGAACCGCTGATACGGCCGAAGGACTCCATATTTGTGATTTTGAAGATTTCTGGCTGCTGGGCAGCTGGGGATTCTCGACCTTCAGTGGGCTGGGGCTGCTCGCGGCGCTCTCAAAATCAAATGCCGCGTCCATGGCTTGGTTACTTGTTTCTAGGTCGGGATCCATGGAATACCCACCATCCATAGGGAAAGACGGTTCGATATTAAACGGAGACTCCTCCTTGACCGCAGGACAGCTCCGGACGCATCCAGTCCTCCGCTGAGTAGCCTGTGGATGTCAGCGGATTTTCGCTATGCGCTGCGGAGTTTGTCGAAGCGATTGAGGCTTGTCGTAGGTGGTTTCTCGGGGACTCTGAGGACGAACTGCGACTGGACGCATCAGGTGACTCGGCGGGGGAATCTGCAGCCATGACCGGGGGTTGTCTCAGGGGATGTTGGTCTTGGTAGTGCTTCGAGGGCTCCACGGCTCCGTTCGGGCGGGAGTTGGTGGATCGGGCAAATAAGTCGTCAAAATCACCTCCAGCAGAGCCCGAAGGCATGTCGAGTTGTGTCGGGTCGAGGAAATCCATATTAGAATTGATGAAGGCGGACTCCATCTCGTCGTCCATGATGACGGGGTCTAGGGAAGGGAATGCGGGGGAAGAGGGCGCCTCGATCGATCCCATGCTTCGTAATCCCTCGTTTTCGACGATTCGAGAGCAAAGAGAGGCGAGGACTGCCAACTATCCTCACACCGTGTCCAACGTGAACCGGTAGATTGTCGCGTGTGTGTGATTGTTGGGGTTGGTGGGCGCAGGTCGGGGAGGGTGCCTGATTTCGCAGCGGACACGAGGCAAAGGGGTCCAAGGGGGGGAATCGAGGAAGAGTTAAACGGATTCGATATACCAGGACCGGCCTGCAACGACCATGACTCCTTAGACCGGAGGGAGAATGGGGGTGTAAATGTGGATGGGGGAAAGTGACTGCCTTAGTGGAGTCTCTCAGAGGGAGAAAGGAGGCGGGAAAAGTGTGAGTGCCGATCCAGACCGGCAGAACTCAACCACTACACACTTTCTGTCAGCAGGCCTATGCTCTAGCTCTATGGTCTACGAGTATAGATGCTACTCCCGTATGTATCCTGTTGGATATCCTGAATCTTTTACCTAACCTTCTTATTCTTTACTTTTTTTTCCCATCCCTCCCTCATGTACTCCGTACTTTCACCTACTCTATTTCACCACATCCAGCGGTGACTACCAATCGGTCAACCAATCCCCGGCCAGTTTTTTTCATTCGGGTTCGCCTCTCTGATTCGCTCTCATCCCTCGCCTCCACCAGTCACGATTCTGTGCTCTTCGATTTCCATTCCACACGAGTATGGGCCTGCGGTGTAGACGAAAGATCGACCGCCTGTCCCACCCCAGTCCTCGTGTTCAACTAACCCGTCTCTCGAGACCCCGCGATGCCGTTGATACTGGGGAGGATCTTCGCTCCCGGTTTCCCCCATTCAGCCCCTCACACTCTCTCTCCCGACCGACATGGACTTGGTATCGGGCGCATGCAAGCCACGACCGATGACGAACGCGGGTTATCGGTTCTAAGATACGAAATCTCTTGCGTGTGTCACTCCAGTCGCGGCTTGTGCCACTATCGCTTGCTCCCAAGATCCCCGACTAGGGGAGGGAACACTTTCAGTGCCTTGTTCCAAAGTATATCTAGCCCGTCCGTGTCACAGTGTGCCGTTTGGATAAGGATCTTAAACTTGATACACACTTACTACTCCGTACATACATACATACACCCACACCCACACCCACACTCACACCCACACTCACGCACATCATGACCCCGGCTAGCGGCGACTCTCCCAGGAAAGAGTGAAATACCTCATGTGTGCTGTTTGTACGTGCCAATTGGTCTGAATGATGACCGCCGATGCCGGATGCCGCCACTCAGCTGTTGAGGCAAATGGACAAATGCTGTGGAAAGTCTCATTGACTACTACTAGTCATCTCGGCCGGCGAGACACTCACTCACTCACACATACCTAGGTATATATATATCTTCGCACCCGCCCCTCTGATCGAGACCCCTGGAGGCTTGCCGTGGCTGCAGATTTGACTTGCAGACATGCAATAGCCTTTCCAGGACGGTCGCCCTCAACAATCCAGAGAGCGCTAGTCCCTTGTTCGACGCAATCTCGAAGGGTCAGTGCCATGCGGCGTCATCTAGCGTAGGATTTCGTTCTTGAGCTTCAGGGTCAATTTCTGATCTTCCAGTCTGGCGCTTCGGGGCCGACCCTGGCATAGAACAACGCCTCTGGCGGTATTAAACTAGTTACCGCCAGCCACACCTAGCCTAGGCCGGTGTGTTCACTTCGGAGATATTGACAATTGCATATCGCATAGATTGGACAGTTGGAAAGGATTCGCACCATGCAGGGCTAGTTCCCAGCGAAATCAACGGTCTGGGTCGCGGAGTGGAGATGCTCGACTCCGCTCCGTACGGCACGCCGAGCCCCCGAGCGTTTCAGAACAATTCTCCGGGTACGCGCCGGAACCCTTTGCCCCTCAGCCCTGGTAGATTAATTGATTATGATTCAGGGATGAGCGCGTCGAACGGTTTGTCATGGCCTCACGATATCATTCAGGCTGAGCTGGCAAATCCTTCTTGGGGTGAAATGATCTCAAGCCCAAAGCCAAAGTCCGAGCCCCAGACCAAAAAAACCAAAAATCAAACTAACGGGATCTTCGTAATGGGGTCTGAGCCAACGCTGATCCCGCACTCGACATGGCAATAAAAGTTCTGACAGCTGGCGAATTGCCGGTTGGTGTGTCGTCGCTGACATCTCCGAGACATCTTGTCAGCCCCATACTAACATGCAAGCGTCAAAAGCACTGGAATACGATCGAGGTTCCATCACACCACATGGCTCTAGCCAATGCGCATCCATCATTTGTTCATCGGTTCGGATCACTCTCTCAGTTCAACCACCAAGCTTTGGCAATGCGAATGAACGAAATTACTCCGAAAGAGCAGGAGCTTGGACAATGTCTTGGCAGTTCAAAGGTGGATGAGAGGGGGTGAAGGCGTGAGTGATGATATATCTCATCGCATGTAGGGACGTGCAGCGAGCGTCCAATCCGAAGCGGCTTTGTTAGAGTTATGAAACTCCAGTCGTCACAGACAGCCGCCCAGAGATCGACAGGCACCGTTTAGTGGTTTGACCAGGTCCCGGACGCCTTCCAAGTGGAATACATAGCTTAATTAATTTTTCTGGCAGGAAACATGGCGGTTTGGAGACCAAGGCTGTTCATCTATCTCCTACCTCGGGCCATTACCCTTTCGGTCGCAAGAGATTCTCCACCTATGACCAGCCAGGCAAGACCGTGGAACAGGTCTTGGGAACTGGCGACACTGACAGAAACACTCATTGAATTAAGGGGTTCCAACTTATACAGTTCTGGCGTGCCTGTGGGGTCGTTGGCATGGCTTTCGGTTCCTAATGGAGCTATGATGCCGTCGAGGATGAACATCGAGAAGAATATAAAGATGCAAATCCACGACCCTGCTACTCGTTTCTTTTCTTCAACCAGTCTTTCCACATTCCATTCTTTCCAATCTTTCCGTTCTCTTCCTCGGGTTGACTTCATTGACTGAAGTCCCCATTTCCATTCTTTTTTCCCGGCCTCGCTCTTTTTGCGGCCTTCAAAAACAAACGCTGTGCGTTTCTATATCAAATCACCTGAAAGATGTCTGTTACCAAGCTTGTTGGAGCCGTCCTCGGATCGGCTGCCCTTGTGGCTGGCCACGGTTATGTGACCGGTGCTGTCGTTGACGGCACCTACCACGGTGGATTCATCGTCGACACATACAACTACCAGACCCCCTACCCCGACAACATCGGCTGGTTTGAGGATGCCACCGACAACGGCTTCGTCGACGGTTCCTCCTACTCCAGCAGTGACATTATCTGCCACAAGGATGCCAAGAACGGTGCCCTCTCTGCCTCTGTCAAGGCTGGTGGCGACGTTGAGCTGCAGTGGACTGAGTGGCCCGAGTCTCACCACGGTCCCGTCATCACTTACCTCGCTAACTGCGACGGTGACTGCACTACCGTGGACAAGACTTCTCTGAAGTTCTTCAAGATCGACGAGGCCGGTCTTATCGATGACAGCAACGTTCCCGGCACCTGGGCCTCCGACAACCTCATCAGCAACAACAACAGCTACACTGTTACCATCCCCAGCAGCATCGCCGCTGGCAACTATGTTCTCCGTCACGAGATCATTGCCCTGCACTCTGCTGGCGAGACCAACGGTGCCCAGAACTACCCTCAGTGCATTAACCTGAAGGTTACCGGTGGTGGCAGCGACTCTCCCGCTGGCACCCTGGGTACCGCTCTGTACAAGAACACCGACGCCGGTATCAAGGTCAACATCTACCAGTCCCTGAGCAGCTACGAGATCCCTGGTCCTGCTCTGTACTCTGGTGCTTCTTCTGGCTCTGGCTCCTCGGCCGCAACCACCGCTGCCGCATCTGCCGCTACTACTACTGCCGGCGCCACCGTTGCTCCCGTCGCTACCAGCAGCGCTACTCCCGTTAGTGCTTCCCCGTCCAGCACCCCTCTCCGCAGCACCCCGCTGCCCCCGTCCTACAGCGCTACCATTGTGACCAGCGCTTCCAGCCAGGCCCAGCAGACCCAGCCCGCTGGCGAGCAGAACCCCGCTGGTGGTGCTCCTGCTGGAGCGTCCACTGTCACCGAGACTGCTGCTGCCCAGGTTACTAACCAGGTCTCTTACCAGACTGCCACCGTTGATGACTCCGTGACCGTCACTGCCAGCCCCAGCGGCCAATCTCAGCAGAGCGCCACTCCCAGTTCCGGCTCCTCCAGCTCCGACTCTTCCAGCTCCGACTCCTCGGACTCCAGCTCTGGATCTTCCAGCTCTGGATCTTCCAGCTCTGGCTCTTCCACCACCACCACTGGATCTTCCAGCTCCAGCTCCTACAACTCCAGCGACTGGTCCTCCTACCTGGACTCTCTGTCCGCTGATCAGTTCGTCAGCATGCTCCGCAAGACCGTCAAGTGGCTCGTCACTGACAAGAAGCATGCCCGCTCCCTGACCAACTAAATTCCAATTACAAATGGCTAGCGCAGATCGACCTTCCCTCCCTTCCATTCATGAGGGAAACGATCTGAGCACGTTGGCTGATCTTGGATTTTCTTTTTCTTGGCCTGTGTCCGGTATTCAGGTCCTCTCTTTGGATTGTGGGATTATTTACTGGGGATGCCTGTAACATTTAGCCTGTTACTTTTCTTTACTTCTTTTCTCTTTCCCTATATATTGGGGATGAGGGACTTAGCCTTATATCTGAGGTTCCTCTATTTTACTCTTTTCATGAATGGAATTGTTAGACTGCTCTCATCATTTCCCTCTCTACATCTTCGTAGTACTAATACTAGTAGTTTAGGAGTGTTCGAAAGAATAGAAGTAGACGGGAGTGATAAGATACCGTGACATTTGATAGATCCCATGAGATAGATATCATAGCTCGTCCATTCCCTAATTGCTCGTCCATTCCCTCACTGCTTGTCTATCTCCTCATTTGCTTGTTCATTTCCTCATTGCACAGTTCGTCCGCAATCCCATTTTTTCTCTCTCGGAATCCAGCGATACCTGACCTTTCCTTCCTGTCGCAGTCTAGCATCAAGGTTCGAAGCTTTCTTCAGAAGGTCTTGGTTCGCAACCTCTCTGCGCGCAGAATTGATTCAGCCATTATCAATCCACTTGGAAATCTACTCCGTCATACAGCTAACCGCATATTGCGAATCGGAGTAAATGGTAACCTTGAGCAATGGATCGCCGTTTAACGCGTCATATCGCTCCAGCACTTTCTGCATTGCTAGGATAATGGCTTCAATTTCAGCACGTTGGTTTGTCGGTCGAGGAGATGCGGCTAGCGACTGTATCTGAGCTTGAAAATAACGGCAGCGGCTCCGATCGCCCCTGGTGCTCCATTTCCTCTACAGCCACCATCGGCGTAGATTTTCATGATGTAAACTATATTTGCGAGGTTTGATGATATTGCGAACGCTGCAGATTTTCAGAGCGATGCATGGCAGAGTGATAAGGATGTGTGACTATGTTCTTTGTCGTGTATGCCGTATGTTGGGTAGCTCTGTGATTATGGTCAGCAATCTGGAAGGATGGACGTAGGGAAGTAATATTAAGATTTCACACACCGTCGAAGCCTGGGAAGAAGGAAACGCTTTCAGTGCCCACCTTGTATGAATACAGGGAGGCTCGGGCTATCATTCAGCTCTAGTAGAGCCGACTCCAGGCGTCAGGGACGGTAGTCAACACAAAACAAAGATATGGACCATAGGATGGGTCAGTATGTTTGGATCGCACTTTCAGCCTTTTTTTTGAGGAAGGAAAAGAATGGAAGAAAGAAGAAGGATCGATAGAGCTAGTCCGGGCCTGTTATGAATGAGAGGCCTGCCGTAAAGGAAGGAAGCAAACGGAGCCAACGGGCCAATCAGAGCAACCCGGACCATATGATACTCTCCATCAACAACCTGCAGAAGGCCTGAATATGTAAATATCACATTTTCAACGCAAGTCTTGGCTTTCCCAATCCAATTTAGTACTCACTGGGCGATATTCACATTTCACAGGAGAAACTGGGATGTCACAAGTAGAAGTGTGTATCAGACAAAGAAGGTTGGCGTTACCGGAAAGGAATTCTGTTACTCGTGCGCCACATTTCAGTGCCTAATTATTCATAGTTTACGTGCAAGATGCCACTTACTCCATTATCCCTCGACGAACAAGTGATAGATAAAAAAAAAGCTCGTTGCAATTGCATTGATTGAACGGTCGAATAAATAGTATCTACTACTAGTAGTAGGAGACTGCTGTTGAGAGGGTCTCTGTGAAAAAAAAAAGAAGTTTGCGTTAGTGTGTTGTAACACTAGCATGCTGAACTAACTCTCCTAAGTGTACAAAGTATAGAGATGATTGAGTGAATGCAAAATAAGCCTTTCCTTGGCAGAATCCCATCAATGGTTGATCATCACCTCACAAAGCGGACCCCTATTGGGGAGAGCAAGAGCCAGAGCCCTCTTTTCGCTGACTTGGGAGAGCTCGACCAGCAATAGGAACCTCTTGCGTAGAGCAATGAATACCTCCACCGGCAAAAGGTAACTCATCGAGACGCACAGTGACCACTCGACGATCCTTGTACAGCTCACGGATTACTTTCAAGGCCGCGGAATCTGCTTTTTTGTCTCCAAATTGGGGAAAAATAACGCCGTTGTTCACGAGTAGCCAGTTGACATAAGTCAATGAAGGATAATCCTCCTGGCCATCTTCGATCTCCTTCAGGGTACGTCGATCCAACCCAAGCGAGTGAAGATCTGCCTCAACTATCTCAGTGATTTCAAGGTGCCGGCCTTTAGCATCTGTCGCATTAGACAGGATGTCACGGGCTTTTCTGTACACCATGGTGAATTCACTATCATCAAGAACATTCGGCTTGCTGAGAACGACTTTCCCAGGCGCAATAAAACGCGTGAGACCATCAACATGGCCATCCGTAATGTCGGCACCCTTGATACCTGGCAGCCAGATAATTTTTGAAATACCAAGTGTTCTCCGTAGCTCATCCTCAATCTTCTTCTGACTCTTTCCTGGATTCCGATTCTTGTTCACAATCGAGCTTTCGGTGATCAGAAGAGTGCCCTCTCCATCGACTTCAATCGACCCACCCTCAGTTACAAGCCAGGTTGTGATTCGAGGTTTTCGGATATCGTGGAGGATTTGGGATGCAAGGGAAAAGTTTGCATCCACGGGGTATTTGTTACCCCAGCCATTGAAGTTATAGTCAACCCCAGAAAGGCGCGATTCGTTGAAGACAAAGGTTGGTGCCATATCACGCATCCAGAGATCAAGCTTGGGATAATCATGGACAGGTTGTATTTCGATGTCACCTGTCTCATTGTTGAATCGTTTCTTTGCCTCCTTGTGACGATCCGGGGTGACCAACAGGGTCACTGGCTCAAATTGAGCCACCGCCTCAACAATTCTGGAAACATCACGGGTTATAGCGGCCAAATCATTGCCATATGCACCATTCTCGGCAGATGGCCAGGCCATAATGACCTGCCGTTGGTGATCCCATTCTGCAGGTCGATGGATAGAAGTGGCAAAAATACTCTGAAGTTGAAGCATACTAGCGGTGAAAAAAAGAAAGAATAGCATAGTGATGTGCTGTTGAAAGAATTGCTTCTCCTGTGTTGGATTTCGATAATACTTGAAGTATTTATACGACAATTCCAAGGTTAGTCCAAGCAGTGCATGGTATATTGCTAGCAGTAATTGTGTTGCCTCCACTGGCATCGCGTCTACCCGTTTCTTAGGATTAGTGTTAGCCACCTTCCAAATGCGTCGGAGCTAGCCAAGGAAGGTCAATTTATTCCTTCTAAATATTCTGGGGGCGAGAAATACTCCACAATACCTCATTGTTGCTTCTTTGCGGATCGGCAAAGATTAGTTTGAATGTCAATCTATTGTTTCAAGTCCATCGGTTTCGTAGTATGCAGCCTTGACATCCGCTCAGAATGGGACTTCACATGCTATGCGCTTTCCTGAATCGGCCTTTACTCGTCAGATTTTGATCGACAACTGTAGTACACTGCAGAAGCACTAAATATTTACTAGTATGATTGTTCCTCCACTAATATAATCCAGGGCCGTGTACAACTGGAAGCTCAAAATGTAACTAATAGTACTATTCCGTTCTTTGGGATATGGCTGATCGGTCATGAAACTTGAGCCGTGATCTTTCAATTTGGTGCTCAATCTGAATTGAATTCGTCGAGTGCCTTACCGAGACTCACAGTGAGATGAAGACCCCCGTACTCTCTTCGATTGAGTTTAGTCGACGTCAAATTCTGCCGCTTAGGATGCCTCCCGAAGATTTTCGCTGTGGCGTTACATCAGCCACCTTCCGGGTTTGGATCACTCGATAACTTGTGCAGGTACACAGGCAGCAACGTAACTTATAGTATCCACCGATCAAGTCGAAGACTACAGTACTAGTAGTGCTTGGTACTGTTTTGGTACCTAGTGTCGACTTGCATCGTGTAGGACTGAGGCGCAGCGGCTCGGGTGCCAATTACATTCATTTACGACAGCCACGATTGGACCCATCTTCGGCTGGGGCTTAACTGCCAGTAATGTTTGTTCACGACAGCCACCATTGTAGATCCCAAGTTACGAGCCTAGCTTAAGGTCTAGTAATTCTCAGGGCCGGGGGAGTCGACCGCGGCTAGACTCGGGCGCCTGAAATCTCAAACTAGATCTCCCAGGCCATAAGCTTCAGATAGGGATTTTAGTCGCAAAGATACTGTCATTTTCCGAGTTCATGCTTCGAGTATGTCAAATGGGTCAACAGTATATCCCACCGGCCTGGATTGCTTTATTCTTGAATCTTGTAACTATTCAAAGTTTCTTCCCAAAAATGGCCCACTAATAACGCATTATCCCACTACGTAGCCGCTTGTGGTTAGCGATCTTCGGATTTAGCCAAGAGTGAATCTTACCTAGGACAGCACTGACCTCCTAGTTTTGGGCTTGAGCACTTAGCACCACAAATCCAACCGGCAGCTCGGTGGCCATCTCATCCACCTACATACCGACCACCCCAGCATCTTCAATGTCCGGATGATCGATCAGTTTTCCCTCTAGCTCACTAGGGATAACCTGCAGACCCTTATATTTGATCATTTCCTTGATGCGATCCTGGATAGCGATATATCCCTCCTTATCGATGGCTCCAATATCGCCGGTACGGAACTACTTTGTTTCATCCGAGTCGATGTAAAAGGCATCCTTGGTGGCCTCTTCATTTTTGTAGTAGCCTGGGTCACATTGGGTCCCCGACACCAAATTTCGGCAGGTTCTGTCGATCTATACGACTTAATTGCTACGTCTGCCATTGTTTCAGGATCAACGAAGCGAAACTCCATATTATACGTGATACACCCGACACCCGACTCCCTCTTATCCATGCGATCATTAGGGATAGCAGTTGCCATTGGGGAAGTCTCAGTCAACCCCCAGGATTGAGTACAGAATACCTCTGTATCGCAGAGCTCCTTGAACTTGGCTTCCAAGGCCGAGGATAATTCGTTTGTAAGAGGTGCAGCGGCTGACATGATGCGTTTGACGCTGTGTGATCAATCTCTGAGGAAGAAGTAAGAGGCAGGAGCTGTCAGTCGTACCTGCCTATTGTAGTAGTAGTTGGGAATAAGTCGAACTTCGGACGTCATGTTTGACGAGACCTCGGCATCACTCGCTCACCAAGAACTCCTCTACTTGCTCTCTCTCTCTTTCTCAATGCCGGTAAGTAGATCGAGGAAATCCGGATCAATTGGTGTTGGATGTAGCTAATTTATATCAGCCCCCCACCAACTACCGCCGCGACAGTAGTGATAGTAGTGAATAATTCTAAGCGAAGATTTTGCGATCTAGGGTACTGCTATCTCAATACAGATTCGTTTATTGTTGTGGTACGAGAACGAATTCAAACCATAGCATTCATAGCATTCATAGCATAGCAACTTGAAGTCCGCCCCCCTCTTAAACCTCACTTCCCGCACAGAAGCAACGTGTACCAATCATATTTTCTTTCCAGATATCCTAGCTATCATTCAGGCTCAAGCCCCAAATAGCAGCAAGACAAACTCGGCGTCGATATGGATCCTCCTGAAGGTTGATAATACCGGACTTATTATCAAATGTGAATCGAGCCGCATAATACCTTTTGCCTACACTATTCGGTTCAGAACTACGAGATTCCAAACAGCATCCACATTTCAGGGTGCAATGTCCAGCGCCTAGCACCCCCGCTGAACTATTCGCACGTTGATAATCAAGACAACATCCACAATCACGACCACAGCATCCTCCCCTAGCCTTGCAGTCTTCAACAAGAACTGGGTGCATATACCAAAAATGATTAGATCTCCATAACTCAAAGGCCCGTCCTAATGGCCCGGAAGTACCCATCATCCAACCACGGGTCCACCACCAGCCTCGTGTCTGCAACCAATTATCTTGGCAGAGTCTGCTCATTTCATCTTCAAAAGAAGGACTGTGTGTATTTGAATTCATATCTCCCTTCTCCTTTTGACGTAAAACAATCTCCGTTTGACAATTCTTCCGTAGCTCGTCTTCGTAGTATAGAAGGTCAAAAAGGGCATCATCGGACTTGGAGTTGATCTCTTTTTGGCAAAGATTGTATCGGAACACTTGAAGAGACCTGAAACACCCTTCTCGCTCTAGACGTGCCTCTTCTGGTGTTTTGTCCCCGGCAAAGACAGCATGTTGGGGCCCGAAACATCGTCGCTCTCTTCAGAGCTGGACAAGGTAGACGTGCTGTCCCAAGAGGACATAGTTAGTAACGCAAGGATTTCGGGTTTACAATAGAGAGATTTGAAATTTCAAGTCTCTCAACTTTCCATCGATGAGCATGGATAGTTTTTAGAATTGAAAGAAAAGGCGAAATGAGGAGGTGTCAGTTACGGAAACCGACAACTACTTCGATCAACGCCTCATGATGACGCCGCGCAAATAGCGAGAACTCTATTTGAGCGGTATTGCAACCTAACTAGTACTAGTAGTACAGTGAACCCCGGATTGAGAAGGAACTCCACAGCCAAGTGACAATATTTCCCAGGGATCTTCGGCATCTGCGCCGGTCCGGTTTCAAAGATGACTATCATCATTCTTACCTTTACGTCGGATGTCCCGTTAGTCTGAGTGTCTACCATAATACTTTAATCTATATTAAACTAGATCCAGTTTCTAATACTCTTTTTCCTTCCAACCAAGCTTGGTTTGGCATCAGGGCTAAGGATTATACTTTTAATGGTGGGCCAAACATAACACTGGCTGAAAAACTCAAAGAATTTCTTCTATCTAAAGTGAGTACCCACCAAATAGCTCAGTATATAACACACTAAACCTGTCGAGGAAGAGAATTCTGCTAAGTAGCCTTTATATATTTCTATTGACTCTGTAACGATCCAGGACCAGACCCTACTTCCCCTTTGGGCTTAGCTCCCTCCCGAGGCTCCTGGCTTATCTCAGAGCCTCACCTCTCCTAGTTTCTTCTCTCCTCAAACTTAGTATTGTGAATCTAATGCACTTGAATCCCCTCAACCAGGCTTTCATCACATATGACACTACATAACAAACATAAGTCTTTGTTTTTAATTAAAACTTTTGTTGTTACATCACCCTTTCAATCTATTCTAGGTTAGCCAAGCCAGAAATAGGAAAGACACCTTGAGAAACTAAAGCTCAGTAGACCATCAAAAAAAAGATTCCACTAAAACACTATTATAGGGCTAAGTTCCAATTTTAGCATAAGCCGGGTATAGGCTAGGTGCTCAATAAAGACCTCTGATCAGTCTCTAAGTAATCACACAGAGCCTTACTAATTAACCACGTAAACTACTCTGAGCTGCTCAGTGAGTCTGGTTCTAAGCACCCTCATTAAAGCGGCGGCACCTAGAATAGGAAAGCCCCACATTGCATAGGAAATATATTACATATAGTGACCTAAGTACCGCCTCATTCATTGCAGGCCACGAGGCGGAGCGTGAATGTGACGGTGATATTAAAAAACTTCTGAAAATTCAATATCGAATTACCAAGAGTCAGAACACAAGGAAAGCTCTAGACATGCAACACAGAACCTGGTCTGCAGTCCCTTCACCAAATGACACCAGCAAGAAAGATAGGACCCTCACTGGTATCTAAACCTTTTCAAATAAACATCTACCAGGAAGAAGGAAGAAGAGACAGAGGATGATAGTGACTAACCGCCGCTGACAGCTTCCTTAATCGACGACTTTGTACCCTATTAAATGTAAACTACACTCACGCTACCAACTTGAACCTTGGAACCTTGAACTAGAACCTTGAAAGTCTTTTACAATATCACGAAAAAAAGAAAGTCTTATAACAACCACCAGGGCTTGGAATAAAGAGACTAGGGGTGATAAACTAATAGCTTAAGACCTTCCAGTGGCACGGTCATGATGTCCTACTAATTAATAGTAGGTAATAATATCGCATATATACCTGAATATCTACCAAGTACAAAGTTGAGCCCTGGTGAACCCGTAATGTATACTATCCAATCACCAAGAAAATATCGAGTATCTATTTCTTTTTCTTAGTCTTATCCACCAAATCGATCCATTGTGTCTTCAGTCCACGCCGCACAAGAGCAGTCTGCACAACCTGGCGTTGATCACCTTGTACCAGAACTTCCATGACTCCCTTGGCCGCACCCGTAGCCTGAGTAACACTGGTACTACTGGCACACTTCTTTTGCAACTCTTCTGCCAAGAGAGCCGGAATGATGCCGAAGATTTCCAAGTTGGTAACCTTCGTCATGGTCTTGGACCCTGTTCGCTTCTCGATCGTGACGAGAGCCTTGGGCGTGGCGCCAGATTTAGGCTTGACTTCGGCGAGGGTTTGGCCTGGTTTGAGGATTGCGTAGTGTGGCTGAAGAAGGGTGCGGTCTTCTTGAATGCGCTTCAGGAGGCCGTCGCGAGTAGTCTTGCCTCGCTTTAAGGTTCCTTGGTCTTCGCTGGAAGACGAGGTGAAAAGGGTCTCTGCGAGGAAGGGGTTAAGAGTGATGATGCGTCGGTTGTCTTTAGAGATGACAGGCGGATCTTGTGATTGGAGGTATTGATCCAGGTGGCTGGATACCTCGGCGTATTTGTAGAAGTTCTTCGGGTCGCTTGTAGAGAGGGCTGGGAAGATAGTTGGTGCTAGCTTTCCCGTTGGGCGATAAAGAGTTTGGACGAGGAGTGTTTGTCCAACAGATGGATCAGAACCGCCAGTTGCGGTAGCCTTTTTGTCATCCGTGGCGGCGGGTTTGTTTGAGCTGTCTAGAGTACTGCGTGATGGAAGTCTATAGGGCACAAATCGCTCCACACGATGGTCGCTAAAATCAACATCCAAAATCACGGTTTCTTGCCCGTTGCGGTCTTTCGACTTGACAAGTTGAAGCTTGTCCAATTGCTTGATGAACTTTTTGACATTCTTCCAGCTGGTCTTTTTGATGTTGTAGAATTGAGCTTCTTGGGGGTTATATATCGGGAGGTAAGGGGTGATCAGGTTTGCAATGAGCATAGAGGGTGAGACCGGTAGTGTCAACCCGTGATTATTTGCTGATGGGTTGTCCTGCTTGAGCTTGTAGAGGGAATAGACGAATGCGTTGATAAACGCATCATCGATTTCTAGGTCTTGTTAGCAAATAATAAGATCGGCTGTTGAGTCTATATTTCATACCCTTAGTTGTAGGCTCTTTCAGTGCCACAGCAGGCTCTGCCTCAAGAGCTGGTGACTCATCCACAAAATCATTGCGATTATCGTCAACAGTTTCACCTGCGCTCTCATCGATGGCCAATTCAGCGACACCTTCCTCCAACTCATCCTCCTCCTCCTCTTCATCCCATCCTTCCAGATATTCAGGAGCTGCACGACCAGGTCTCGATGAAGAGCTCCATGCCCATAATTCGTCTCCTTGCCAGTGCAGACCTCGGATCGCATGTCCTTTAGTGCCTTGGACTTCCCCGAGTGCCGAGACATCGATCTCACAGATACCAACAAAGAGAGGAACAGAATGGCTATTCAAACTCGCAACCGCAACAGGAGAGCCCTTGATTGCCCGGGGATCGAAGGGCGGATCATTGGCCAGACCGGGAGTCATGAGATCCGCACCACCCTGTAGTTTCCGCATGACCATCTCCGGGGTATGTAGCAACGGCATGATGTCGGGGTTATTCCATAGTGTGTAGACGGTGGGATATAGCTTTTTATCGGAGCCAGGGCCATGTTCCACCTTGAACCAGAGCACGCGCTCGTCCTCTCCTGGGTGTGCGCCAACGTAAACGATACCCTGCACCTCGCGCAGGTCTGGGCCGGCCGTCGTTGTGAAGCGTGCGGTCAGCGAGTTTTCTGGGAGGAGGGCATTTCGGATAGAAGAGAGAGTTGGGGTGGGAGTTGCGGCTTTATCAGCTGAATCTGAGCTTGTTTCGGCGGGACTCGAAGGGATGGAAATCTTGTAATCGCTAATGATTTGGTCGGCGATTTTCCTTCGATCGGAAGACCGCAAAGGGGAAAGGTTCTTGATCTATTTGGACAAATAGCCATGTTTGTTTAGCATTCACTTCATTGCCCGGTTTGCGTGGTCACGAGAGAGTCAGGTGGGATAGCTTCAAGGAGGGGCAGTGCGGGGAGGTGTTGATCACCCACCGTAGGCTTCTTCTTGAACATTTTCGTCGGTGCTTGAGTGGTGTATTTTAGTCGTAGAGGAGGGAGATGAAAGTCTTTCTGCTCGTCCCCAGCCACCGATAGTAAGGAGCGAATGTTGGAAGGTGGAAACTTGAAGCAACTTTTGAATGCGCAGAGGTGGATGCAGAGACAAAAATATGATTATATGCCCGCCTTTCAAAGGTTCCCGAGGTCTCCACCTCCCGCCGCGATGCATCCCCGACACGCGATGACTGACCATGACTCGAGAGGCCCCAGTGTGAGTCAGACATGGTCACCATTCCAATATACCCACAGCTAGAAATCACCTAGGCACCCACCTATATTTACACGGCAATGTTTGCCAAGTGGGAGTGATAGTACACCCCGGGTGGCTTTAGTCTCGAGATCAATGTATAGTCTAAGTCTACTAGTAGTACTCCGTAACTTCTCCAAATTTGACGAGGAACCTTGAGAATAGATACTACTACTACCACTAAGCCGAGAACAAGAAAGAGACTTGAAGTACTAGCCCTGGAGTACATGGGCTTCCGTTCATTCGGCCCATCGGACATTTCCCGACCAGTGGCATCACCCCCGCTCTCCGCTGATCAGATAGTCCGAAGGAATACTCTCAGGTATTGGCCGGATTTGTCTTTCTCCTTCTATCTCCCCTCACTTCAAGTTGAAAGAATATTCAAGTTCTAACACCAGCCATGCCTGTCTATCACATTGGTGAGTTCACCTTTCCAATTGCCCACATGATACCCTGGCCACCAAATTCCACGCAGAGAACTGGCTATCTACATACTGTAAACCCTCGGAGAGCTGACCGACGCAACAGTCCTCTTCCGCCTCAAGGCCGGAGTCACCCAAGCCCAGTTGGCGATCTGGTCGCAGAAATGCAAGGGAATGGTTGGGCAAATTCCTGGTTAGTCATTTCCAAACATCTATCTACTCAATTAGCAACAGTCTACTGATATCGACGGAAAATGAATGCAGGTCTCGTCTCAATGGAAACTAACCAACCACTGCCAATCTCGGTTCCTCGCGCAAAGGGTTTTGATATGGGCCTTGTGGCGGTTCTGGAAAAGGCCGATGATGTCGCTGCCTATGCGACACACCCAGCACACCTTGAGTAGGAGCTTTCAATCCCTGAGTTACGCCGTCGCTGTGCTAACGAACCATGAACTGCAGGGTCCATAAGATGAGAGAAGAACTCTGCGAGGATACCCTTGCTTATGATCTGGAGTTCTAAGTCAGGAGCCTACTATATTTACTAGACACCGATCGATAGACTCAGTGAAGAAAAAATACCAGCGGTTTATCTAGTCCAAAAACTTTACTATATTGGGAAGGACTTGAGTATACATGCGCTTTTTTAAAAAAAGCAAGAACTGAACACAAGTGTATCGTGATTAATCATTTGTCATAACGCCAGTAGAGCCGTTGGGGTCTCCCCTATGTAAAATTGTAAACAGGCACCGTGTCCGTTCCAAGACTTTTGATATTCTGATGGCCAATGAAAATAGAAACGTGAAACAAGGAGTTTAGCAGCCGGCTGGCTGCCTACTCCTTGGAATCAACCTTCTTAGCGGGGTGATCGCCGTTGGCTTCCTCATCACGAGTGCGCTTCTGACCAGCAGAGTCGGAGGAGCTCTTGACAACGGGAACGCCACTAGTTATACTTGTTAGCTGCTATTGTCGCTCAATCGTTTCCGTAGAAATGCATTCTTACCGAGAATCCTTCTGAGCCGCTTCCTTAAATCCGTTCTTCTGGTCCTCGTCCCGGCGCTCGCGCCAGTCACGGTCATTACGGGGGGGCACCGCCACGACCGCCACGACCACGACCACCACGGTCACCGCGACCACCGCGGCCACCACGGCCACGACCACGACCAGCACGGTGGCGGTCCTCGTTGGGGCGAACAGTGCCGTTGTTGATCTCCTCCACCTTCTCGTCGCAGTATTCCTTCTTGGTCTTGATGAGCAGCTCACGGTCGTTGAACTTGGGCTTGGGGTCCAAAGCCAGGAATTCCTTCTGCTTGTCCTCGGACTTGAATTCGACGAAAACGCTACCCTTGAAAACCTTCTCGGGGTTGGTACGGCGAAGACGAACGGAGTTGATGGGGCCGTAGGTCTCGAAGAAAGTCTCGATATCGGTCTGGGTGGTAGGGCCCTCCTCGCCAAATCGGCAGAAGCCCTTGGCGTAGATGCTGCGAGCCATAGCTTCGTCGGCGAAGACCTTGGCGTATTGTTCGCTGTGAACCTTCACATCATCGGGCAGGGCAACCTTGCGCTTGACGGCGGTGTTGTCGTCGACCAGGTCGAGAGTCTCGGAGGTCTTCAGGGCCTCAACAATGGCGTCGAAGGGCTGGAAGCGGCGCATGCGCTTGAAGGAGTGGAGAAGCTCCAGGGGAACGGAGTTGTTCTCGCTGCCGCCGACCTTGGAGAAGAGGAACTTGTCCATGGGGAGGTTAGAGTCGGAGAAATAGAACTCGACCTAAAGCCGGGCATATTAGATTAATTGTGAACTCAAAGCTTCCCACGCCCTTCCTCGCGCGGCTGTCTTACCTGCTTGCGGATCTCGACGGGGTCGTCAGTCTGCTTCTGCTGGGAGGGGTCAAACTTGACGTTGTTGGCGAATCGGCCACCGCGACCACCACGGCCACCACCACGGGTATCGCGTTGCTGTGACTCCTCGGACTGCTCCGATTTCTCTCCAAGCTTGGCGGCCTCGGCGACGATGCGCGCCTCTTCGGCGTCTTCCTTGCTCGCCTCGGCGGGGGCGGCATTGTCACCCTTCAGCTCGGCGAGGACATCCTGGACATCTTGCTCAGCCTGAGCGTTGTTGGTGGGCTTCTGCTCCTCAGACATTGTGGTGGGTTGAGTATGCGACAAGGTTTTGGTTTTTGATCGCGAGGGCGAAAATGAAGGTGCCAAGATGACTCGGCGGGATGAGTCAACGGTTGGAAGACGAAGTGAGTCACGGATTTGAGACAAAAAGATAAGTGATCAAATACTAGTAATGGATTGGATGTGAGACGAAAAACCAAAGTTGAATCGCCGCGGATGATCTATCTTAAGAGGGCAAGAGCTCGGCGGGGAGTGAATTTTTTTTGGAGCGCGGCAGCTCCACTGACACCTGAGGCTGCAACACTAATCCCGATCCGGTTAGATCATCCCGAGGCTTTAAAGTATACATTGCTGTATGATGTATGCTGTACATGCACGACATGATCCTGAAAGCGTGAAAAGAATATAGCAGAATTAATAGTATAAAAAATACAAAATCTAGTGGCTTACTGTAAAAGTCTAGTCATAGTCATAGTCATAGTCTATACTACCTTAGTACCAGTAGTATGCAGGAGTAACTTCAAGTTGGAAGTTGAAACTGCTCACGTTCAGGTCGCTCCTGCCTTGAGACATGAATGGTGCTTTCCTCGGGTCTTCACATATGCATTTTTGTATTTTTGTATTCTCCTGCCTGTCGGGCTTCTATCCTACCAACCCCCCATTTTCTGTTCTTTCCTCTGTTCTTACTCGGTTTGCACATCTCGGATACCAACATTGATCGATGCACGCAAGCGCAAAAGCCCTTCAAACGTGGCAGATTTCACTCTTCGAACCGACCCTACCCCAAGAGCCTCTATCCCGGGAAAGAAAAGAATCACCCGAAAACGCGCTCCGATCTGCCCCCGAACAGCCTGGCGAAACGCCTCGTCTTTCAACATTCCTATTCCTATCTCATACATATTCCGGGGCATGGGATCCTCTAGTCACTGGGCTTAGATTCACCCGAGCCTGAAATTAAAAAGCCTTACACTCGACATGGCAGTCACCGACGAGCCTGTGTTCTACTCCACCAACTGGCCGACTAGAGATGTAAGGCTCCACCTCTTCTCTCCCAAGATTCGCAGATTAATTTGGGGAATAGATCATCTACCTATCCATCGTTGGGCCATTAATGTTAGCAGCTGCCTTTGAATGGGTGCTTTGGCTTGCAGCATTCATTTACTGCCTCGTCAAGGTTTATCAAAAGGCAGATCATTGGAGCATCAAAGTCCTAGCGGTGGTGATGATCGTTCTCTTCTCTTTGCTACGGTAAGTCCAAACAGGCGGAATTTGGAACCCCAGGGAAGCAAAATGGCTAACCACAATGGTTGGGATTACAGATTAGCTTTCCTTTCTGTCATGATTGTGACCCTTCCTCTACCGCCTCAACTGAGCCACCATATTCCTGAGCACATGGCCCGAGATCTCCAGTGGTTCGCCTTCTGGTCTTTCTCCCTCCTCCTCGTCGGGCCATGGCTTGCCTGTATTTATCAACTCGTCACAAGCTCCCTTGGACGCAAAAAGAGGATCAAACAAGTCTTGGATGATCGTACTGCACCGAAGACCGTGGTCGTTATGCCTGTTTACAAAGAAGAGTCTGATACTTTGATCAAGGCAATCGACTCGGTCGTCGATTGCGACTATCCAGCAGCATGCATTCATGTGTTTCTCTCTTGGGATGGAAATTTCGTTGACGAATCCTATCTCCGGGTTATTCAACACTTGGGTATCCCGATTTCTCTGAAAAGCTACCCTCAAAGCATTGATGTGATTTACAAAAATGCTCGAATCACTGTTTCTCGTTTCTCGCATGGTGGCAAACGGTACTGTCAGAAGCAAACATTCAAACTTATCGACAAAGTCTATGCAGAGTACTTGAAGCGACATGATGATTTGTTTGTGCTTTTCATTGATTCCGATTGCATCCTCGATCGCGTATGTCTGCAAAACTTCATGTATGACATGGAACTGAAACCGGGGAGCAAGCACAACATGCTGGCCATGACGGGTATCATCACCTCTACCACGACGAAACACTCTTTTTTCACGGTTCTCCAGGATATGGAATATGTCCATGGTCAGCTTTTTGAGCGTTCGGTGGAGTCTGCATGCGGGGCCGTGACATGTCTTCCCGGTGCATTAACCATCCTGCGTTTCTCGGCATTTCGCAAAATGGCCAAATACTATTTTTCCGACAAGGCTGAGCAATGCGACGACATATTCGACTTCGGGAAATGTCACCTCGGCGAAGATCGATGGCTCACTCACCTCTTCATGATCGGAGCCAAACACCCCTATCAGATCCAGATGTGTAGTGGTGCCTTCTGCAAAACTGAAGCTGTTCAAACCTTCAGCAGCTTGCTCAAACAGCGGCGCCGCTGGTTTTTGGGCTTTATCACTAATGAAGTTTGCATGATCACTGATGTCAGGCTATGGAAACGGTATCCATTCCTTTGTGTTGTTCGCTTCTTACAGAACACTATTCGAACCACTGCTCTGCTCTTTTTCATCATGGCCATCGCCCTTATAACGACTTCCAAAACGGTCAATGACGTGCCTGTTGGCTTTATCGGTGTTTCCCTGGGTCTGAATTATTCACTCATGCTTTATTTTGGTCTTCGACTTGGTCGGTACAAAGCATGGCTCTATCCACTAATGTTCATCGTTAACCCATTCTTCAACTGGCTTTACATGGTATATGGGATTTTCACCGCTGGACAGCGCACTTGGGGTGGGCCACGAGCCGATGCAGCCACTGCGGATGACCATATAACTCCTGAGGAGGCTGCCGAGCTGGCCAAAGAACTAGGGAATGAGCTGAACATCGACGTCGATACCTTTCGTGCGAACAGCGTGCGCCGACGATCAGTTCCCGTCCGCCCATCCGACCACATTGACGGACGTTTTGCACCTGCGGAACAGCTTTTGGATGGATTCTATATCACCACCAACGAGACCAATCCTGCCCAAGCACGCATGTCAGCCCCTCTTCCAGGTGTCCCCCGATTCCATATCCCGGGACAACTTCGCGAGTCTACGGAGTCCATCTTCACCGAGTCTTCTGATAGCGCATCCAATTCAGTTTTGCTCCCGCACACAGTGGAAAGCCTAATGAGCGAAGAAGATCAACGCAAGTTGTATTATGCCCGTCAAGCTCGGGCGTCCATCGGTATGTCTGGAGCCTCAGATAAGACTGCAGTCTGGGCACAGATTCTTGAACCTATTCCCGACCATGCAGAGGCCTCTCACTTTCAAATTATGTCGCCCTTCGCTGAGCCACATGATCCGATGCAAGAGAGTCAAATTTTACTAGAAGAGATGAGGGTGACAGGGCAACGAGGACCACTGCGGACCACTGCGGACCACCATTGACCACCGTTGGAAATGATGAGTCTTCACGAGGGGTCCAATATTTGGGGACGTACTCGTAGGGAGATGGTCTGAATGACGTCGTGTTTCTCAAGTCTACTGGGCTTGTTCCACTTTTTTTTGGAAATATTTCCTCTTTCTCTCTTGTTCGCGGTGTCTATAGATTTATTGATCAGTATTCTTATGATTGTGACACATGCATTCGAAGGTAAAGGTAAAAGTAAAAGTAAACAAAAAACAGTAAAGAGTAACCATAACAACAACACTGGCATGAATAAGAAAATACATAACATGATACATGATACATCCATCATTGGGTGTGCTGTGATTCGCCACAGAAAATGAGTGGAACCTTGCTCACCGCCGTTGGGTCCCGACCGAAAATTCTGCCTCACGGCGGTAACATCAGGCAGAACCAGGAAAAGCCTGGCAACCGCTGGAAGGTTCGATGAGTCCACACAGTCAGTTTGCCAACTCTTGGACTGAGGTCTTTTTACGTTATTATATCATAGGCAAAATTTTCGATTCGTAGTTCAAGTAATTTCAGTCCCTCTCTTTCACCGTCTTCTTTCCTTCATTCATATTTTTTGTGGCCCAACTTATTAAAGAAAAATCCGGTATACCGTTGTCACTCCCCGCCAATCGCATAGTGGAGTGGCGTGCAAATTGTTCTCCCCTCCAAACTTCTTTTCCCTTTTGACTCTCCCTCCACCCACCCTCCCCCCTTCTCTTCAATATACCCCCATTTCCTCCCGCCTACAATGTCTGTTGTCGGTATTGATCTCGGTGCGCAGAGCACCAAGATTGGTGTTGCCCGTAACAAGGGTATTGATATTGTGCGTATTTGCCCCGCCACTCCAGCCTCACCCCATGTGGATGATGCGCATATCTTCCCTGTCGCCCTTTTGACCAAGAAAAAAAAAGAATTGAGACTGACCAGGATTGTTTCTCTCCATTTAGATCGCCAATGAAGTTTCCAACCGTCAGACTCCGTAAGTTCGATCGCTCACTGCGGCCCGACGTCATCCCAGTCAGATTTTTGAAAGACTAACTTGAAATTTCCTGCCCAATAGGTCTCTCGTCGGTTTCAACGCTCGCAGCAGACACATCGGTGAAGCCGCAAAGACACAAGAGACTTCCAACCTCAAGAACACCATCGGTTCCCTCAAACGCCTGATCGGCCGCTCTTTCAACGACCCCGATGTCGAGCTCGAGCAGCGCTACAACACAGCCCCCATCTGCGATGTCAATGGCCTCGCCGGTGTTGAGGTCAACTACCTCGGCAAGAAGGAGAAGTTCACCGCGACTCAGTTGGTCGCCATGTTCCTGACCAAGATCAAGGACACCACCTCCAAGGAACTCGGTCTGCCCGTGTCCGACGTCACTATCAGCGTTCCCGCCTGGTTCACCGACGTTCAGCGCCGTGCCATGATCGATGCGGCTGACATTGCCGGTCTCAATGCCCTCCGCCTCGTCAACGACACCACTGCCACCGCTCTGGGTTACGGTATCACCAAGCTCGACCTGCCCGGCCCCGAGGAGAAGCCCCGCCGCGTCGCTTTCGTCGATATCGGTCACTCTGATTACACTGCCACCATTGTTGAGTTCCGCAAGGGTGAGCTGAACGTCAAGTCCACCGCTTACGACCGTCACTTCGGTGGTCGTGACTTCGACTATGCCCTCACCGAGCACTTCGCCGATGAGTTCAAGGAGAAGTACAAGATCGATATCCGCACTCACCCCAAGGCCTGGTCTCGTACCCTGGCTGCCGCCGAGAAGCTCAAGAAGGTCCTGTCCGCCAACCCCCAGGCTCCCATGAGCATCGAGTCCCTGATGGAGGACACCGATGTTCGCGCTATGGTCAAGCGTGAGGAGATGGAGGATATGGTTCGCCCTCTGCTGAACCGTATCACCGTCCCCATCGAGCAGGCTCTCGCTGAGGCCAAGCTCAAGGTTGAGGACATTGACTACATTGAGATGGTTGGTGGCTGCACTCGTGTCCCCGCTATCAAGGAGACCATCAGCAACTTCTTTGGTAAGGGTCTGTCCTTCACCCTGAACCAGGATGAGGCCATTGCCCGTGGTTGTGCCTTCTGCTGCGCTACTCTCTCCCCCGTTTTCCGTGTCCGTGACTTCGCTATCCACGACATTGTTAGCTACCCCATCGACTTCACCTGGGAGCAGTCTCCCGATATCCCCGATGAAGACACCAGCCTCACCGTCTTCAGCCGTGGCAACGTTATGCCCTCAACCAAGATCCTCACCTTCTACCGCAAGCAGCCCTTCGATCTGGAGGCCCGCTACTCCAAGCCCGAGACCCTGCCCGGCAAGATCAACCCCTGGATCGGTCGCTTCTCTGTCAAGGGCGTCAAGGCCGACGCCAATGATGACTTCATGATTTGCAAGCTCAAGGCCCGTCTTAACCTGCACGGTATCCTGAACGTCGAGTCTGGTTACTACGTTGAGGATATGGAGGTTGAGGAGCCCGTTCCCGAGGAGGGCGAGAAGGAGGGTGATGTAAGTTTGAACTATCTTTCCCCGAAAATTTCCACTGGTTCCGATTTGCTAACAATATGCACAGGCTATGGACACCAACGGTGACGAGCAGCCCAAGAAGACCCGCAAGGTCAAGAAGCAGGTCCGCAAGGGCGACCTGCCCATCAACGCCGGTACCGGTGGTATCGACGAGGCTACCAAGGCCACTCTCCAGGAGCGTGAGAACGCCATGTACATGGAGGACAAGCTGGTCGCCGAGACCGACGAGAAGAAGAACGAGCTCGAGGCCTCCATCTACGAGCTCCGTGACAAGATCGACGGTGCCTACTCCGAGTTCGCCAGCGAGGAGGAGAAGGATAAGCTCCGCTCCAAGCTGACTGATATTGAGGACTGGTTGTACGAGGAGGGCGATGACACCACCAAGTCCGTCTACGTCTCCAAGCAAGAGGAGATCCGCGCCATCGTCGGTCCCGTCATCCAGCGCTACCAGGATAAGCTCGAGGAGGAGCGTCAGGCTGTCCGCAAGGCCGAGGAGGAGGCTGCCGCCAAGAAGGCCGCCGAGCTCGAGGCTATGAAGAAGGCCGCTGAGGACCTGCGCAAGGCCGAGGAGGAGCACAAGAAGAAGCTCGCTGCCGAGGCCGGCGATGCCGAGATGACTGATGCCCCCGCCGAGGGCCAGGCCGAGGAGAAGCAGTAGATTGGAAATGAGGTTATTTTTTTTCAATCTAGGTGGCGGGATTCCAGAACCGTGCACAACGATTGGAGCGGGCGGAGCCCGTGTTATGACGAAAAGGATTAAGAGATGTTTATGCGATTAGACCCGATCAACTTGCTTGGTCATTTTTTGTTCTTAATGCAAACAGTTATGATGTAGACCGCTTTCTATGAATAGATGAATTCAGTCATGCTATATATGAGATTGGGTTCGCCTAGCGCGTAAAAGCACGTTCCCTCCCATGAGCCGTATCCTACTACTAGTAGTTCTCATCAAGTACTCGAAGATTCGCTGCTTGGAGGGTTTAGCCGCAGTGCTTGCATGGATGGCAGCAGTATAGGTGTACATTGCTCTTTATAGAGAAAGCAACAGTAAAGAATTTAATTGCTGTAAAATATCAAATAACTTGAAAGAGACTAAAAAGCTTTTCTGCCTTGACTCGAATCATCTTGAAACTTTGAAAACAACCTTGGAATGCCACATAGAACTCCCACCTACACAATTCCCGACTTGCATACCACTCACTAGCTTCGTCACCTCCGTCGCCATCTATTACGACACTCGAACTCCCACTGGTCGTGCGAATAATCCGACCACTGCTTATCGAAAGATTGAGGTGTTCGTGGGAAAGTTTGAGCGCATAGAAGACAACATTTCTTCCATAATCGTCAGGCAAGTTCACAATTCTAGTGAAACAATCGTAGTTGCCGTCTTTAAACATGATCCTGCCCATCTCGGGATTGTATAGTATCTCTTGTTGACACATCTCGCGGCATTTGAGTATCAGCGGATACTTGTAAGGTAGTCCTTGTCCTGTCTTAGCTCTCTTTGTGTCCGTGGTTGGTCGTTCAGCTTGTGATTTTCTCTTGGAACCAGCTTGATGGTGCTCTCCGTTCGAAACGCCGCTAGCACCACCAGACGAGTTTGAGGTTGAACCTGCGGACGAAGAAGAGAGATCATTGCTATGATCGTCATTAACCTCTGGAAAAGGGTACTGATGGGGGTTTTTTCCACGATCTGCTCGATCGCGGTAATCCTTCAATCTAGATTGACTGCCACAGATGATCATAATTCCCTCCAAGACCCCGAAATCAAAGGAAGCTTCGAAAAGCCCAGGTGTAGCCGTTTTTTTCGACGTCGATTATAAAGTCGTGCTCTTTCCACTGGCCTTCAAGCTCTTCACAATAGACGTCATAGCTGCCAACGGGTGAACGAGTCGGCGTCGGGATGGAGCTGATGTTGTTGCCCGTCTCTCGCATAAGAGTATCCAGGTTGTTGGCAAGCCTCTGCTCGTGTTGGCGATGGCGCCTCCTCTTCTCTTCTTCGGCTTTCTTCTTTTCCTCTTCGGCTTTCTTCTTTCCTTCTTCGGCTCTCTTCTTCTCCTCCTCAACTCTCCTCTTTCCGTCCTCGGCTCTCTTCTTCTCCACCTGCTTTCTCCTGTTCATTTCCTCCAACATTATCTTCTTGAGCTCCTCAATCTGCAATTCTTTCTTCTCTTCAAAAATATGGCGACTGACGCCTTCTTGCACACTCACTGCATTCCAACCCATGAAGACGACATGGGTTTTGGGACCGACGGCTTTTTGGCCCTTCCGGCGGCTTCGATAATTCCATCAGGGCCATGGGTCCCATAATCCTGAGGGGTGAGCTTCAGGAGACAAGGAGTTCTTAGGTGGTCAGGACGGCCGTTTGCCAAGAAATGCCGATCCATCAGCCAGTCTGGATGTTTGATCATGACTGAGGGGTGGCACTTGCCCAACCATCTTCTATGCATCCTTTCTGCTCGTTGGAGGAGAGTATGAGGAACTTCATCGCATTTTCCATCCCTGAGGAATTTTTGCAGCAGTTGAGTTCCGTTCCCCGAGTATTCCTCTTCTGAAAACCGAATTCCATAGTGTTTTAACTGGCAACGAACAAACTGTCGATTTTGTTGGAGTGCCCTTTTTGCTTCGCATGACAGCCTTGGTAGAAACATTCTTCGAAGACGAGAGCCCTTGATTCGTTCCATTCCGCCGGGCCATGCCTTGAAGCGTCCATGGCCAGAACTGAAACCCTCATCATGGACGATATCCTCATGATATTCAGACGTGGCGAAGTTGGTTTGCTTAGCTGTTTGATGAAGCCTCGGAGTACTTGTTGACAGTGTTGAATATGGATATGGAGGGAGGAGAAGGCCCGAAAGACGGAAACCGAGAGATGAGAAAGAACTTGTAACAGAGATGAATTGCGCCTAAGCTAACTTTAAACCTTGGAAGGAGATACTAAGTTGCTCCTTTTCAGTGAGCATTGGGGTTGGCGAGAAAATATTGTGTTTGCCTGTACATAGTAGTATTTTCGAAGCACTTGGGCATCAGTAGTAGTACACTATAGCATGCAGTGGTCCGGTGTACTATTTGCATAATGTGTGTTTGTAGTACATTACTAGTACTACTAGTACCTCGGGAATATACTTGAGACTCGGAGATCCGCAGTGAAACGTTTGCTAGGTCGCTTCAGCTCATTGGTATTTTCTGATGAGTCAAAGAGCAAACGGGGCAGGATGGTACGATGGAAAAAGCAATGAGCCCTGGAGGGCAAAGTCGTCGTGGTTCACATTTATATGTGTGGTGGTGTAATCGCCTTACTAGTACCTACGAAGTAGTACGAGTTCACGGTCGCACAAGCGATCGTGTTTCCTCCCACAACCTTAATTGATCGTGCAAAAGATTGATATTGAATAAAAAGTGCAAGCTGATAGGTCATGTCGATCAGAAGATTGACAACAAACGGTGGGTCGCCTGAATGTAACTAGATCGACATTGGGGGTTACCGGATCGGGCGATACGATCGTATTCGTTTCTTCCAATTTTTTTTTTCTGCGAAAACCCGGCGGGATTCGTTTAATTGGGGGTACGATCATACGATACTATACTTGCAGTGGTAATCTAGTTTTAATATACTTCGTACACCGTACTTTGCTGCCTAAACGAATACTATACGGAGTACTGCGTACTCCGTCCTATCGTATACTAGTACGAGTACTACTAGTATGTAAACTGTGCAGCATCATCACATCGCTGAATACCAATTGACCGGAAATTGACCGGAGATCCCCCCCCCCAATCCCCCCCATCTCATTCTCACCAACCGGTTCTCAACGGCAAGGCATCCTCAATCCACCGTGGGGCGTCCCGAGTCTTGGCGTTTGCCAAGCTGCGCATTGGCTTTGCAAGGGTCTTTCATCCTCAAAGTCCTCGCGTAGGATGGGGAGATGAATCGGGGAGTTCTCTCCCTTGAGCCCTGATCTCCTCCCCCCTTTACCTGCTACTACTCCACTCCACTTCAACCTTCGAGTGACAATGCAAAATCAGGGGCAAACCGCCTCCGGTATTGAAAGATGCAAGACACGTTGCCTCGCTGACATCACGACTTCCCCAACTCCGATCAGGAAAGTGGGCACGCGGACATTCGGTGGCTGCAGCGGGCTTCTTGGCCACTTCGCTCACTGTCCATTTGTAGGATGACACCCTCTCCAAGTTGCATTCTCCTGGGGGAGCCCTGCGAATCCTGTCCAATTGGCAGGCTTGACATGCCTCGCGCGATTGCACCCCTCCCCCCCTCCCCCTTGGTCCTCCCCAAGTCCAGGGGACTCCTTTTCAATGGTGTGCTCCATCCTCCCTCGGTGGGGGCACGCTATCCGGCCTAATCCGCCCCGCTGATGCCCATAAACGCTGGCGCATCCATTTCGGGATTGGCCCATTCTCTGATGGTCCTGCTAGCTGTGTTGGTTCTACCGACTCTGCCGAGTCAGATGGGCCTTTTTTTTGCCGGCTTCCCCTCTCCCAGTCTCACTCTCACCAAGACCTCTTCGAGCTGACTTCTCCTCTCCTCTCCTCTCCTCTCCTCTCCTCTCCGCCGCATTCTCCTCTCTTCGTATCGCTACTACCCTTCTTCCGATTTTGTCTCGACCATTTGCCTCCTCCCCCAACCCTGTATATATCCCCGTCGCGCCACTCAATCGGCATAAAGCTGAACTTTATAAACGATATACCTCCCGGACTCCAGTCCCTCTCTCAACTTCGATCTCGGACAAATCCCAGCATGAGAACTGGATCGATTTCCCGTATAGCGTTTGTTTCCTAAGCAAATCGACCCCGTACAAGATGCGGCGGGTGCTCGCAGCCGGCTTCGCCTTCTGGTCTGCCGCCACAGCTCTGCCCAGTCCGGTTGACAGCCCAGCCAATATCGACTCCAATACGAATACCAATACCGAGCCCAAGCCCGATCCTACACTCACCGATCCCCTCTGGCTGAATTACGGCCTTAATGCCTCTGCAGAATACAAATATTTCCATGAACCGGGCCGAGACGATATTCTTGGCCATTATGACTCGCGCTTCTTCAAGGAGCCCGTGGGTGACTCCGAACGCGCCGAGACCCTCACCCATATGATTCGCGCCTACCTCAATTTTTTCAATGAGAACAAACTCGAGACATGGATTGCGCACGGAACGTTACTTGGCTGGTGGTGGAATGGAAAGGTGCGTTCCCATTGTATCACTCCGGAGCTCGGAGTACCGCGGTGTCGTTTGATATGCTTGTCTGGGCAGGAAACTAATCTGGTCCCATAGATTCTCCCTTGGGATTGGGATATGGATACTCAAGTCCCGGATACAACTCTCGCCTACCTCGGAGACCATTTCAACCAAACTATTGTCGCGTACACCGTCCCCGAAAGTCCCATCATCCGCGAATATCTCCTCGACATTAATCCCTGGTCGCGCCAGCGCGAGCGCGGGAAGGGTCTCAACATTATTGATGCACGCTGGATCGACATTCATACTGGCCTATATATCGACATTACCGGTCTCAGCAGGTTAGAGCTGGAGCATCACCCAGATATCTGGCAGTGTAAAAACTTCCACAAATACCGCCTAATCGATCTGTATCCGATGCGCCATACGTTCTTTGAGGGTGTTCCTGCCAAGGTCCCGTTTGCATATGATCAGGTGCTGAGGGAGGAGTACTCTGAAAAGGCGATGATTACGACTGAATTTCACAAGTAAGTCTCTTTTATGCTACGATATAAGTATGATCACCGAATACTAACCGTAGACAGTCATACTTGGTTCCCAGAGTTAAGCGAGTGGGTGTTGGACAAGAATGTGGCCGACTTGACCGTCAAGTTGTCGGTGGATTACGAGTGATTTAAGTCTCTCTCTCCGTCGACTTACATTTCACTGCATATTTCTTTCTGGCCATTGGGTCTATCTATTCTTTCATTTCCGGGTTGAGCTTGGTTCTCCCTCGGCCTTGATATTTTGAACATTGGTTCTCTCCGGTTTATATTTCATGCATTTTCAAAGGGGCTAGGTGTCTCGGAACATGATTTTTTTTTCTGTTGGAAGATTTGCATATATCTCTTGGAAATAGGAGTTTGGATTTGTATTTACCTTTTGAGGCGTTTCTTTCTTTTTGGTTCGAATGGAAATCATAGTTTTCCAAGCATTTCTGACAATTCCTCACTTCTACTTGGAGAATATCACCTCCTTGCCACATATTGCGACAACCCTCGACCTTCAATGTTTGGAGGCTAGTAGTTGCCACCATTCGCCACGGCTCAACTAATTCTCATGATCATTCAAGCATGTGTCATGATTTAGCCTCTCATCTTCACGCTGACAAATTAAATTCTGCCATCCATTCTAGTGTCGTGAATGCATTAATTAGCCAGCGTTATGTCAACATCATCGCCCTGCTAATCAGATGGATCCTCGAACATTTCTGCTACCAGAGACAGCTCTGCCTACTATCGGAATTCTTTTTGGGGTCTGTGGAGTGGCCAATGGGTTTCTTATACTAGTCCTCTTGGTGGGCCATATGGGTCGCTGTGGTTATCTTGAATGCCTCGGTTTTCCTTTGTGAGCTTGCATGGCCTTATACTGATATTCATGGAAGAGCCATGAGGGCTGCGTTTATGCCTATGCCTTTGAGTGCACGGCCTTGGTGAACAGGAGCATAAGATTTCGTGAACGGTACCACTTCGCCTATTTGCATTCTCTCGATATTAGAATGTTATGCTTAATTTTCTCTTCTGCTAAGGAGACAACTTGTCAGTTTTTATTAATCTGTGGAATGGTGGACCAAAGGGTTGGAGTTATTGGAATTTACCAGTATTTCCAGCCCCCACGAGTGAGATCACTCTCGGTTAGTTGCCCCAGATTTAAATCCCAAATGCCTTGACGATCATGAGAGGAAGCCCACTATTTTTAGATTTTCCTGCCGGTTTTATTAGTGGTATTCCAAGGTTGGGAGCGACTCTTTAAGCAATTCTGAGGCATTTACTTTGTAACACTACGTAGCTGATCTCGCACTGCTAGCCTAATGCGTACGTTTCATGTACAGCCCCGTGGGGGTGCGGTATATCTTGAATCCCGAGCGTCGATCTACACTGTATGACTACTTCTGAAGAAAATTGTTACTACAGATGCATGTACTAGTATCACTCCGCATCGATTACAGGTCGGCGTCATCAATGTCAATTCGGACAACCTTCCTAGATGGTGCAGCATAGATATGGGGCCCCATGGGGGCCAAGTCGGCGCAGTTCGGGCGTCCAACAGAACTTCAACCAATTGGCCATATGTATGTGCATGTGGGTCTTAATACAGGCAGATATAGGGGCCAATATGTCAAGCATTTTCTCCCGCAATTAGTGTGGAATGCGGCTGCATTTGGCCTCCATTGCATTGCAAGATATCAAGGTATCAAAATGGAAAACCTGTTAACTGGTGACCGAAAATTCCCCGTTTATAAATTTCCCAATAGATTCAAAATAAAAAAAATCCCATGGGACTACTGAGAGCTCAGAGTATTGGGAGAATGAGATCATTTCAAGGCTGAGATACCGAAAAGCAACACTGAGGCGAAGCAGCGTCGTATACAATGACTCGGTGTCGCTTGACTTTCCAAGGTATCTTTCGCGGCTGCATATTCTTACATGGAGATTCAATCACCCGGGAAGTAGTTAGCTATCCCATTCTTATTGCCCCGTAAGCTCAATATCTCGAAGTTTATTGCCTTGTTCTGTTCCCGCGTCGTCTCTTCGGCTACAATGCCAAATATGGTGTTCAATGATGTCACAAATATTTCGATCTCCATACTTCAGTATGCATGGCTTGTGATTGAACCTGACTGCGAGTGGCTATTTTAGAAGTATTGCTTATTTGCTATTTAATTGGTCCTCCCCAAACGCTTAGGCACCAACAAGCAGTTTCGAAGCAAGTGGAGACTGGGGCCACAAAAGTCTCTAGATGAGGCTGTATACGACAGCTTCCTCTACTATCCCTTTCAGCGTAATTGGTATATCATTTCCATATTTGAAACCTATTCCATTGTTTCTTCGTCTTTGGTTTCTCGGATGAGCCCTATCGTTGAGTATAAAGAGCCCAAGAGATTCCCCCCATTCTACTGTCTCACAATCACAAGAACTTGAATCTTCTCTTACTCAATTACAATCCAACTCCAAATATCTCGACATATACTTCGAGGCCAAACAATTTACCAAAGCTATTTTACAATATGAACTTCCTCGCTTCCATTTCTACAATGATCCTTGCCCTGGCCGCAGTGGCTTCAGCAGCCCCAAACCCCCAGATCGATGTGAGTCACACTAGTAGTATTGTACTGATAAAGGGGTATGAGAATCGAGAGACTAATTTTTGTGGTTATTTATTTAGGAATGCCCTGGTGGCTGTATTGCTGATGGAGGCTGCTGGGACCTGGACGACCCCCACTGCAAATAAATGCAGGACTATATTCACATGCCGCCAACAAATTGCGAAGTGGTCATGACCATCTTCTGAAGCTAGTCTACGATTGCAGGAGAAGGCAATTGGTATTTTAGTCCATTTATTGGTAGAGGTCTTGCTCATGTAGTAGTTAGATTTCCCTTTACTACCAGATGAATACAGCGGCAGTGTTCTTGTCGAATGAGTTGATTTCGAGTTATTATGAAGTGTGAGACCAATGCCAAACTTAGACTCAAGCAGTGGGGTAGGTATACTTGTAACTTGATTGAATAGTATTTCTCTATCTAACTTGAAGTTCTCGCGCCCTACTGACCTCGTAAGTATAGACTACCTTAGTATTAGGGTACACTGCAAGGTACTGTTAACTAGTATACTTTGTTATCTCCGTGCTGACAAAGCTATCGCCGTGGAACCCGCTCGAATTTCCACCTCGGCGCCGCATTGGGTTCCTTTGCTATTGTCAGCTCTGCTTTGCTCAGCTCTCTCTCTCTCCCTCTCTTTTCTTGCTCATCACTCGACATCACCTGTGCCCTCCTCTGGACATTTGCATCCTTCATTACCATAATGGCTTCCTCCATGGAGCTCACTGTGCATCACCAAGGCACCCCGCACAGCTTCTCCCTCTCCGCCTCCGCAACTCTCCAAGACCTCTCCGCAGCAATAGAAGCATCTCTGAACATCCCCACGCCGAACCAAAAACTCCTCATTGCCCCAAAGCCAGGAATGCAAAAGGCTCCTTTCCCACCAACACTTCTAGACGCAATCCTACAACTCTCCTCCCCAAAGTTCAAAATCACCCTCCTCGGCACCCCAGCCAAAGCCATCGCCGATCTAAACAACCAAGCCGAAACAAACCGCCGACACGAAGAAGCCCGAGCCTCAGCCCTCGCATCCGCACGCCGGAATAAGAAAACACCCGCTCGATCAAACAACACCATCGCCACCCTCTCCTCCTCCAGCAAGAACTACACCTTCCACCAACTCCTCCCACTATCCTATCTCCCCCGCCCCGAACGCTCCCTCGATTTCCTCAAACGTCTCCGCGATGACCCAGGCATTCGCGCCGCAATGGCAAAACACGAGTTCTCCGTCCAATTACTCACAGAAATGAATCCGGCCGAACACACCTCGGGCGATCACCAAGGCGTATCGCGCACGCTGGGACTAAACCGCAATCGCGGCGAAGTAATCGAGCTCCGCCTACGCACAGATGCATACGATGGATACCGTGACTATCGCACGATTCGCAAAACGCTCTGTCACGAGCTGGCGCATAACGTTTTCGGAGACCATGATCGTGATTTCTGGAACTTGACGGCCCAGATTGAGCGGGAGGTTGATGCGGCTGATTACAGTGCTGGTGGGAGGAGGTTGACGCAGCAGGAGTTTTATAACCCAGGAGACTGGGAACAGGCGCAGAATGAGGAGGAGGTTGATGAGTGTGGATGGACGGGTGGGGAGTTTGTTCTCGGTGGCTCGTCTGGTTCTGCTGCTGCTGCGTCTGGGGGTGAGTCGAGGAGGGAGGCCATTGCGCGGGCGGCGGAAGAGAGGATGAAGAAAGAGGGGAGGAAAGAGAGGCGGGATGAAGAGGCTTCTTGATTTTGAATTGTTGGATGATTTTCGTTATGACCTGTATACACCTATAATCTAGATAATGATTTATGATTGCATCGTGTTGAATTGCATTTACTTCTATTTCGATGAAAGCTTGCTGTAGTGGTTGATGACATTAAGTTATCATAAAGCTGTTACTACCTTCAGAACAACGCTTGTATCATGATAACGTAGAATGTTAGAATTAATCGTAACATGCACTCAAATTGATTCCGAGGTTGTTTTTAATCAAACAGACATGTCGTAGTTATTTACAGTTGCTCATTAACAAACAGACCAGCCATTCCTTGGCCGGTACCAATACACATGCTCGTAACAAGGACCTTCTTCTTAGTCCGGCGAGCCTCACTCAGAACAGTAGCGATCTGGCGAGCACCGGTAGCACCCAGAGGATGACCGATGGCAATAGCGCCACCACGAGGGTTCACCTTGGCGTGGTCCAGACCAAGGGTATTAACACAGTAAACTGCCATGGAGGCAAATGCCTCATTAATCTCAAAGATGTCAACATCGTTCTTATCAAGTTGGAACTTGGTCAGCAGCTTGGGGATAGCGGCGGTGGGACCAATGCCCATGACACGGGGCGGGACACCGGCAACGGTGGCGCCGCAGAACTTGGCCAGGATAGGTTGGTTCAGCTCGATAGCCTTGGAGCGGCGCATGAGGAGAACGGAAGCAGCTGTTTTATATTAGAAAATGGACCCAGGCATCATCATAGGGGAGGGGTGGATATCATGCTTACCGCCATCAGTAACCTGGCTGGAGTTACCACCAGTCGACTTATCACCGAATTGAGGGAAAGCAGGGCGGATCTTGGCCAGCGACTCATAGGTAGTTCCGTAACGAACACCATCATCCTTGTTCAGTGTAACTTGGTGAACCTCGCCAGTCTTAGGATCCTTAACCTTAACCGAGATGGGAGCAATCTCATCATCGAACCAGCCAGACTTCTGCGCGGTCTCGGCACGACGGAAAGACTCCGCCGCGTAACGATCTTGCTGCTCACGCGAAATTCCAAAGTCATTACCGATGTTCTCAGAGGTCTGACCCATGGGCTGCATGCAGTCCGCAGCCTCCTGGTTGCTCAGGACCTCCTCGTTGAAGGGCTTCTCCAGACGGTCGCCAGCGGCAGACATCAGCTCCGCACCAAGGGCGATTCCGACGTCAATGGAACCAAGGGAGATCTGGTTGGCGATGTCTTGCACAGCCTTAAGGCCGGAAGAGCAAAAGCGGTTGACTGAGGAGGCACCTGCGGTGTGGGGGATACCGGCGGCCAGGGCGGCAGCGCGGACCATGTAGGCGGCTTTACCTTCGCCAACCTGTGAGTTTTGTTAGATCTAGTAATTCCTTGCATGAAGTGCGCTGTAGATATAAGGTAAACTTACGTTGCCCAGACAGACATCCTCGACGAGGGCGGGATCGATCTTGGATCGGGCCAGAGTTTCCTTCAGCAGAGCGTAGACCATGTAATCCAGCTCGGTATCCTTGAAACCACCCTTGCGGGCCTTGGTCAGAGGTGTGCGCAAGGACAGGGTGATGACCACATCATCGGGGTTCTTCTGGGTGCTTTTTGACCGTTTGTCAGCTTAAGTCGAAATGTAGGAGCCGAGTGCCGCGGAACTTACATGGCATTGAGTCCGCTGCTGGCGCCGGGCTTGAGGTGGCTCAGAAGCGAGCTGAGACGGTCTGCGGCCATTGTGAAATGTGAAATAAGAGGGCTAGTAAGTTTATATTGTCAGTATGACTCCATTTGGGTTCAATCTGGCTGATATTCCTGGGTTTGGGGGGTTTCGGAGTTATTGCGGGGAAGCTTCATAGTGGCGGACAAGGGGCGGAAGACGGTTACACAGGGTGACTCGGAGACATTAACACAATGAAACAGAGATTGACTTACTGATTGATAAAAGTACACCTGTATTTTTGAAGAGAAGAAGGGTGAAGGAAGGATGGAGAAGAAGAGGGGAGGAGAAAAGAGAAGAGACAGAAGAAGTAGGGCCTCCGCTTTAAGCTTCCCCGAGACTGCCGAGGCTCATTTTGCTGCTCGACACCCGCCAGCCGGAGAAGTATCTGGTACCTCCACAACACCTCATGTAACCTGCTATAATCAGGTACCCACTACTTGTGTCGGGTGTTTCATACGTATTCGGGATATACTCCCAAGTAAATAGACCTAGGTTTAATCTGGTGCAACATGCTTATTTCGGGTAATCTTACTATTGGACACGTTGATTATATCAATCCGAAATCTTATTTAATGATTACTACCTGCTTTTCAATCCCCTTGACAGTGCCTACCAAGGCACAATACCATTCTCATCACTGTACGTTCCCGTGTCTCCATCACTTGACAGAGTAGCCAACCTGACAATGTTGACTGCTGACTCAGAGGCTGGGCGTCCATTGCCACGCGAGAAATTGGTCGCAGTCAGATTTGGAGATGCAGCATTCACCTTCCACCCTTTCTCATTGAATTTGGCTGCATAGTGAAGGGTAAGAAAATTCAACGCCGCTTTGCTACTCCGGTAAATGGGGAAAGAGGGCTGTGACCACTTCTCCCATTCGGGACCATTTTTGTCTACTCGAAGACCCATGGAGCCCGTGTGCGAGGAGACAAAGACAATTCGAGCAGTGCCGGCAGCTGCTTTGTCGAGTAGAGGTGTACAAGCCTCAGTGACCATGGCAGCACCGAATAGGTTCACCTCATAGGCATCGCGATAGAGCTGACGTAATGTCGCCAGTTGCGGCTTGGTCTGTTCTAGCTTCTGAGCCTGTGCGCGAATGATTGAAAGATCTAGCTTTTTCTCCGTGCTAGGAGCTTGCTCCTCGCCTTTGGCCTTGGTCGCTTCCTCGGCCTGTTTGAAGAATAGCTCTAATTCGTTGTTGATGCCTGCGTTGTTGACCAGTACATCTAGCCGCCCATGTCTCGAGGTAATTTGTCGAACTGCTTCTTCAATGGAGTCATCATCGGTCACATCGATGGTGATAGCCTCCACGCGTTGGCCGGTAGGGTCGAGTTCGGCTGCAGCTTTAGAACCGCGCTCTGCATCGCGTGCCCCGAGAAGAACGTAATAGTCTTCATATGCCAGAAGCTGTTTGGCGGTGGCAAGTCCGATTCCTTGGTTGGCACCAGTGATAAACACGATTGTTTGATGGGTGTTGGATGCCATGGACAAACGCTTGAATCGACTGGAGATTGGAAGCTGGTGAAATGAACAAAGACCGCAAAGAGACGAGGCTGGAAATAAATTGATAGGTAATTTTATAATGTCTGAGAATACAATATGTCACTAGATCTTCCACGGCGACGATCTATATACTTATAGTAAAATTACATGCATTCTTCAAGCCATAAGGTTGCGCCGGGGATAGTGGTTAAGTCCGGCTCAAATTCCCTTGAAGGGAGCCGTCGATCCCATACAGGAAATTATGCTGGAGATAAAGGATAAATAAAATCTAGGGATGAAATACGTACGCAATTAGTACAGCTCCTCGAAGGGTCATGCGAATGACTAGGAAACTAGGGTACGATTGGAGTGGCTTAGAGGTTACCAGCAGAGTTGTGTCAAGTTGGCGGCCAATGCCCTTCACTTCAACGATCTCAACTTGAACGTAGGGCCTCAAATTTTCAAGCGTATTGCTAGGCATCGTAAATCCAATCCAGCAAACCAAAAACGAAACATCAAATAGCAAAACACACCAGGCACTGGACTCTACATCGAGTTCGTTTACGTAGAACCAGTTAGAAGCGAGAATTAAGTTGTAGATTCCTTCCATAGAGAGCAAAAGCATAAACTGACTTAAAACCAAATCCTTGAGCGCCTGTGTCTCCGGTCAAAAATATCCTCCTTTCCATGCCGAATCCTAGTACTTGCGCCTTGTTATCCTTCCAGTGAGTAGATCCCATAAACAAGATGGTTGACATCGATTGAATTACAGCTGCTGTTGATGAGCAGCATCTTCATTGCTGATTACGCTACCCACTTCAGACCAGCTGGCTGGGGTATCGATGCCTCCCACAGAATGCGCGCCCAGGTCACTTATCGTTCCATCAGACGAGGCATCAAAATCGCCAACATGACTGTAGCTTCCAGCAATGGATGGCGTTGACGAGACAGGGTGTTGAAACTGGTTACCTTGTCGAAATTCATCCAGTTCTGTGAGGAGGTCTTGCTGATGACTAGAGTTGGATGGTGAGCTAGGATGAGCATAGTAAACTTGTTGATGATCCTCGGTATGGCTTGAAGCTGTGGCAGACACGGGAGTCTGCACTCTCGGTGGTGAATCAGTGAATGGGTCAAATAAAACCTCTCCGGGCGTCTCGGAGGTCGGCGTAAATTGTGAAGTTGCATCCGAAGGATGGTTCGATGCGGTTTCCGAAAAAACATCGAGATGCAGCTGATCCTTGTTCAAGGCTGAGGTTTCGCCGGACTTGTCTCCACGATGAAGAGGCTGTGGAGAGCTCGTATCGATACCTGTCGAAGCCCCGACAGGGTTTACGTCAAGATTGTTCTTCTTATCATCGGCCGCACGCAAATTCCCATCATTGTCTACAAGAGTGTCGAAGCTGTCGTGTGGTTTAATAGAATCCTTTGACTTTCGACGTGATTCTAACAAGGCCGCTCGTTGCATGATTTCGGCGCGAGCGATTCGCCTGCGTTCCTCGGCGGCCAACCCTACCTCCTCCGACATGGAGATGTCATCTTCGAGCGCAACCAAATCGCGTGGTTGGATTTCATCTCCGAGGTTATGAAGCGCTAATGCGATCTTTCGTCGAGAAGTGGCGATCCATTCCTGAAACTGTGGTGACTGGTATACTGCAAGTCCTGCAGCAACCAGAACCGAGACTGTCACGATGAGGCCTGGTAGATCGTCAGATGCCATTCCAGTGGAATTAAGGTGGGCGGGGAACTGATAAGATCCAGACCGCCCGGATGATCGGAGCCTCGAGCTGCATTCCAAGACCGTTAGAAGTCGACTGACCTTTGGCAAGCGGGGCAGGCATAACGGCAACGACAAGCCTAGTTGTATTTCTCTGTCTGTATCCCCCAACGAGTTTGGCTAAACAAGGACAAGAACAAGGTTACAAGAACAAGAAGAGCTGAGAGTTGGAAACCGGGAAGCGCGTTGGATGATGCCTAGTTAATCTTACATAACCCCGCGCACCTGACTGCGACCAGCCCTTATCCCCGGCCCTAAAAACACACCGCTTTGGGGCGCCCCCCCCCCCCGCCGGGGCGCGTCTTCAAGTTCAAGTTGGAGCCCAACCAGTTGGAGCTGCAATCATAGCAACTTTCTTTACCTAGTCCCGGAGGACAGAGGCCGAAATGTCTCGTCAACCAACCCAGCCCCAGCGGCAGCTTTCCCTCACGGAGGAGCTCGAAAAGCTGGAGCAATCCATCACCTTGACCCTCCAAGGTATGTCCAATCGGGTATCCATGGTAAACAGATTGCCGGATATGATACTGACCTCCGTCTGCCTGCAGAGATCGACCACAATTTTAGCCAAGCCCATCGAATTGTGACGACGAGCATCCTCCCGTTGGTCGAACAGTATACGGAGCATTCTCAGGATGTCTGGCAGGGCGCTAAGGTGATACCAATCAATAGGGGCAGTGATAGATATATACTAACCAAGCATTTAGTTTTGGAAACAATTCTTTGAAGCCAGTGCCAATGTATCTCTCTCTGGTTATGAGGAACGACCCAATGAGGACGAGACCCTACAAGAGACCACCGCCACGGAAGAGGATATCTCCGCCGATCTTACCGAAACCACGAGCATGGACGAGCCAGATCAATCCTACGCAACGCCTTCGTCACGTCGCCCAGATGGCCAGCATGGCCAAGGAGATGATATCGACCTTACCGCGCTCAATGTTTCTTCCCACAGCACGCCGCGTGCACCAACTCATCAAGGAGACGACGATTTCACCATTTCTTCCCTTGACCACTCCTCTTCATACGAGAATCTGAGAAAGCAGATCAACCAGGATGAGGCACCATTCGATATGCCCAACTCGTCGACTTTACCCTCTACGCCAGGTCGACAACCTTTCTTCCCACCGGATGTTGGCTCCGTGACCCCGATGTCTTCTCCATTCATTCCGCCAGCCTCATCAGCAAGGTACCAATCTGCCTCGCGAGACATTCGTTACCAGAAACCCTCCGATCCTGTGATGCACCAGGTTCTCGACAAGACCTATCGGGTCCAAGCAACTCCGCTGGGAAAGGGATTCCGCAATGCAGGCGCAGTCGCCAATACCCGCTCCAAGTTCACCGTCACGCCAAACGCCGCTTCTTCTTCGCGCAATGCACGTGACGATTCACCTATGTCTAGCCCCGAGCCCGAAGCCCCACAACTAAACGCGGAGCTTTTCGACTCGCCTGTTAAGGGCGTGAAAGCAACCCCCGGGACGAACCGCAAGCGTCGAACCAGCAGCAATCGCCTTCGTGGCACGCCAAAGCCGGGTACAAGTGTCTTGACGCCCGCGAAGAACCAAGGTCGCCATACGCCAGTGTGGGATAGTGATGATGACTTGGACGATGAAGAAGACTTCGGTCCTAGTCCACCCAAGACAATGCAATTCCATATCCCTCAGAGTCGGTTGATGAAAACACCAGGTGAGTTAATTTACAAATTTATCTGCAACAATACGCTAATGTTATTTTCTTCGCAGCCAAGGAAGCGTCCAAACGTATTGTTACTGATCTCCTGGCCACTGCCGGTGCTGATGATTTTACCGATGACATCGACGACGGCCCAAGTCCCAGTATAATCCGGCGATCTGGGCGAATGGAAGATGAGACTTTCTGAAAAAACGATTCCCTGTGATATCCCCTTGACAATATTCGACGTCGTACCATTGGTCCATATTATGTATCTCGTCGCACTGCAAATAGAACAATAAAGTACCCCGTATTTTGCAAATACAGTACAACCACTATCATTTGTTTGGGAGTTATTTTAATTTACAAGCTCTGCTCGGCACCTCAAGTGTATCATTTCCCGAAGCTGGAGGTGCTCGGATTTGCTACCTGGTAGGTACTAGGTATTGACTTGATGTTGTAGTGTTACGACTGCCCAGGTGGTAAATTCAAGACTATGTACTCAAACTAGAGGGGCCTTGAAATAGCATAATCTGCTGCGTAAGAGCTCAGCCAAGCCTATTAGGAGTATACAGAACTATCGGCAATCGGGTTGAAAATAATGTCATAATATAGAGCACAGTGTACTAGCAATTCTGATTTGGTAAATCTGATACTACTAGTAATAGTTGTACTATGACGTCCGCAGGGATCTCAGCCACGAAAAGATACTTCGGTCCCGAGCCTCGTTGTTCGGTCCCGAATAATGGGCGGCCTTAACCCTAGGTACACTTGGCATATATAAAGTCTTGAGCTTGCCTCGACATATTTCCCTTATAATTTCCCAGATTCTAACATCCCAAACACAAAAACAAATCATCATCGATACTATCTATATTTCTACTCTGCTGAAATGACACTTCCAGTTCTGATCAGCGGTGCTGGCTTGGGCGGAGTATGCCTTGCTCAAGCCCTCAAGAAGAACAACATTCCCTTCAAGATATTTGAACGATATGGCCAAAGCAATGTTAGCGCCCAAGGATATCGGCTAAGAATCACCACCCATGGCGTGGAAGCTTTGGAAAAAGCTCTCACCCCTGAAATGTTTACCCTATTTGAGAAGACTTGTGCCGACGCGCCGAAGCTCGGCGTCAGGGTCAAGCCCGATGGATCGACCGTACCATTCGGAGGTCCACCAGGAGGACCTGGGGGACCTGGAGGGAGAGCTTTTACTGTTGATCGCAGCGTATTTCGTGACACATTGCTCACAGGTCTCGAAGGAAACGTCTTTTTCGAGAAGAATCTTGAGCACTACACTCTCCACGAAGACAGAGTCACAGTCTCGTTTTCAGACGGAACTACAGAAGATGGCGCACTCTTGGTTGGCGCAGATGGTGTCAGATCTTGCGTACGCCGGCAACATATCCCAAATTTCAAAGGCCTTGATACCGGCATGCGCATCATCTTTGGAAAGACGCCTCTTACTCCAGAGTTCTTGGCCAAGTTGCCAGAGGAATATCGCGATGGAATGAGTCTGGTCACAAACGAAGATGACAACTCTCAGCCTGTTCTGATGTTCGAATCGATCCAATTTCCGCACGCGGAGGAAGTCTCGACTTTGAATATGCCAGGTCCGTATATGTATTGGGTCTTGGTCGTTCATCACTCAAAGATTCCATCCTCTGACCAAGATTCGTGGCATCTCTCTTCCTCCGAAGCAGCCAATCTTGCAAACCAGCTGACAAGCTCCTGGGACCCACACATTCGCACAATTTTTGAGATGTCGGACATAAATCAAACATCTATCCGCTCCATTTTGTCTGCGGGCCCAGAAATTGACCCCTGGAGACCATCTTCTCGAGTGACCCTACTGGGTGACGCGGCTCATGTGATGCCACCCACCGGGGCGATGGGTGCTAATACGGCCCTGCGAGATGCAGCAGATCTAGCACAGCGAATAGTTTCAGTTGGTGGTGTGCAAAACGTGGATGAGGCAATGGTTGGATCTTATGAAATGGACTTGAGAGACTTTGCCAAAACGGCTATAGAATTGAGTTGGAGGGGTGGTATGAAGAGTTTTGGCTTGATACCTGTGGAGGAATGTGAGCCAATCTCTATGTGATCATCTCCTTTGCTTTTTACACAACAGCCCGATAGAGGCAAACACCAAAGACTAAATAGTACTACTAGAACCAAGTACATACAACGATTCGATAGGTGCGGGCGGGGTCCTCTTTTTGTAATGCATCACAATACTTGTCAAGGCTGAACCGAGAGCAGACTTTGGATCGGCCAAGTAACAGTAAAGTAGATATCGGAACAGTAGACATAGTTCATTCATTAGAGTAAAGAGAGTAGAGAGAGTCTTCAACCCGTCTCAAAGTATCATACACGACCATGTAGACCAGACTTTTGAATGGCACCAACCCTTCCGACAGAAGAGAAACAGAAAATAAATAAACGCCGACGCATTATGTACGAGGAATGGACAATGTGAAAGAAACCAAATGGTCCAGCCCCTTGGAAAGAAAGTTCTGTCCCGTCTCGCGGTCAATGGTGACTCTTAAGCTTCCGGGCCCAGGGAGAATAAACGAGTCAGGAATGGGTGGGAGTATGACGGAGGTGATGAAACAAGTCGAGATAACGTTGATAGGATGAAGGGCAAGCAGCACCGTGTTAATGCAACCTAAGTCTGCTTCTTAGTGCCCTTGGCCTTGGACTCCTCCTTTGGCTGAGCCTTTTCTTGCCCCTTGCCCTCCTCCTCAGGCTTGGACTCGGACTCGGAATCGGAATCCGGTTCAGACTCCTTCTTCTCGCCGGCTTCCTTGGCCTGAGCTTGCGCCTCCTCGTGCTTCTGGTACAGGGATTGGTGCTTCGACTGTAGGCGCTGCTCTTCGGCGGCAACCATCTCCTTCCACAGATCGCCCTCCTCCTGGTTCTTGTTATGCATGGGTTGAGGCTCGGCAGCCTCGCGCTTAGCCTGCTCCTTGCTCTTCTTAGAAGCTTCAAGCATACCCTGACCACGACGGCGATCAGACATCTCAAACGCAGCCGATGCGCAGAAGACACCGAGGGTCAGACCCTGCGCATACACACGGGCCTGAACAATCTTCTGCTGACCAGAGAGGTAAGGATTGCGACCGACGAGGGCGAACGAGCCGACCATGGAGGCAATCCAGGTAGCAGTAACGATCTTGTACTTTTCGCGGCGGGCAAAGGCGATAGCGCGTTCGGTCATACTCAGACTGCGAGATTCCTCAGCGCGCAGGCGCTCTTCACGGTTCTCGTACCATTGCTTCTCAGCGTTGTGCTGGGCTTCGAAATCGCGCGAGGCGTGGTCGGCGGCGATGATTCCGACGAAGGTTCCGGTCGATGTTACCAGGAAAGCCTTCATCGGCAGGGTCAGATTTCGGATGGTGTGGAATCGTCGGGCAGCAAGGAGGACACCAGCTGCACCGCCGGCTAGACCGATCAGGCAGCCGAAAGTGCCGCCGCGGACGACAGAGCTGTATTCGCGGAAATTTGTTAGTATGGCATGATATGATACGATTGGGCCGGGCCGGGGAGCTCTGGAAAGCTTCTTCGGGAGGTGTTGGATGGGCGATATCTAGCATACCTGTAGTGAGCAGCCTCTTCTTCCTTAGTGAGAATCTTCATTGTGACTTGGGGAAGATGTGGGATGGATTTTGGAGGGTGAGAATAAGTGGGAGTGGTATGAGTGAGAAGATGGCGCGGTTTTATCCAGGCAAAGGCCGAGAACCCGAACCTTAAGAAAGCATGACGTGCACGGCGGGATCTGCTCGATTTTCGGGGCGGGCGAAACTCGGCAGCCACTCGGGAGATCTCGCGCAAGGAACGAAATCCCGGGGGAAATACGATTGATTACTAGAGCAGGGCAAAATTAATGCAACCCTGCTGACTGGCTTCTACATTTTTTCTAGTGTGGTTCGGTCAATGCTTATTCACTTTCTGCGGCCAGAATCTACCGAATGCGACTGATGTTACACGCCCACGCCCAATATCAATGATCCCGATCAATCCCGAACGCCAGACGCATCATGTAAGATAAAAAAAATATGACTCAAGAAGATGATGACGGGCGGGCTTCTCCGAGGAGAAAAATAAAATAAAAGAAGGAAATGGGTCAGACAGTAAGGAAACCCTTCTGAATCACTGACGGGATGCCTTCCGAGCGGCATTTTGTCTGGCTTGCATTTTGCGGAAACGATCCTCACCACTGGCTCCCAGGGGTCGCGCGAATCGACTCTCCTGGACACCGATCTGGCGAGGAACAACCTCGTAGCTGACTTGGGTACGATCAACACGAGCACGGTTGGCAAGTCGAGGTGGAAGCATTTCGCGAGCGCGCGCTTCCGCAGCAACAGCCGCGGCGCTGGGCTGGACAGCCTTGGTCATTTTTCTATACCAGAGTCAGTAAGAAGCCATAAATCGCTCTTTCTAGGGAAATTGAAACTCACGTGGGATCGAAGACGGCTTCCCGGAAGACACGCTTCGAGTAATCATCGCTGCGCTGCAAGATGGGACGAGTCCATTCGGCGAGCAGCTTCTCGGCCATGTCTTTGATTGGTCGCTCAACGCGCTTGCTCTTGGTGTAGAAAACGACCACCTTTCCTATTCCACTGGCAATCAAAGCATCTTTTTGAATAGGGAGCTTGGCCATAGAGGTAAGCAGATCGCGCTGAATGTTGTAGGCAGGCATGGAGCCATCATCGAGAGGTTCGAGGAAGAATCGGACGGCCTCGAGCAGGTTGATTTCGGGGTCGACCAAGCTGTTAGTATATTGGTTGCGGTTGAGAAGCAAAATGACTTCGGGAAGAAGCTTCAGCTTGTGCATGGCGGGCTTGCCCTCTTGGCGATCAATAGCATCCATCTGTGCAGCGTGGGTCATGCGCTTCCGCATGTGTTCGATCTCAGCATCGGCCATGGCTTCGAGATCCTAGAAAACAAATTAGTAGCTGTATATAGTCCCCGGGTGACTCGTCATCGACATACAATTCCATCCTGCTTGCGAGCTCTCCGCTTGGTAGGTTTCTTCATAGCTTCGTCCATGGCACGATCAAGAGCCCTGCGGCGTCGGGTTTCAGGATCCAGTGTCTCTTCATCGGTATCCGGCTCTGCTGGCTTCTTCTCCTTCTTCTTCTTTTCCTTGCGACGGGATGACTCCTCGTCGCCATCCTCGTCATCCTGTCCGCGACGCTTCTTCTCTCTGCGATTTTCCTTGCGACGTGGACGATTCTCACCCTCTTCGCGCTTGCGCTTGTGGCGACCAATTAGTTTCAGGTTGTCCTCATCGATCGCAAGCTGCGGACGGTCCTCGACATCGACATTCTCTGGATCGAAGTTCTCAAATTGGGCCTCATCGACTTCTGAAAGAATCGACTCGTCGTCGGAAATTCCACCCTCGTTATCGTCATCATCTCCACTAGCTTCGCCTTTCTCTTGGTTGTCATCACCGGCATTCGGGGTCGCGACATTTTCCTCGGCGCGATCGGGGGATGCTGCTGGGGAGCCAACGGCGTGTTCTGGGGAGGCAGACATTCTGGCGATAAAAAGCCGACCGGGGGTATCAAAGTGTGTAGAAGATCAGATATTGACTGATAGGGTACTGATCAAAGAAATCGTAAAGCGCGCGAGTTGAGCGGGTGGTAGTGTAGGTCGTCCGAGACCTATCGGCAGGATTGACAGGCGCGCAAGGCCAGTTATGAGACGAATGAAACACCTGCACTAGCTGTGCTATAGGAAGTTGAGATAGTAATGAGCCTTCACGTGGGACGATGGGGAGAAAGAAACAATCGAGGGAGGTCAAGGTAAAGGCAAGAGGCAGAACCCAGAGAAGGAGAGCGGTGGTCTGTGCTCCCGTGATTTCTTCCCCGTCAACGTCTGCGTCTGTCGACAGACGCCTTCCTTTCGATCCAACCATCCTTCAACTCTTCCACATCTCTCAATCCAACCACTACACATCAAAATGTTCGCTCCAGGTATGTCACATCTGCTGTGATCTTGGTATTGTCCTTCGAATGATCCGCAAGCTAACCTTTGACTCTCAATAGGCCAAGAACAGCTCTCCAAGGAGGAGATCAAGGTATTATCCGCCACCGCGTTCGCCCTGACTCCGGATAGTTATTAATCGAATTTTCAATAGGCTGGTGAGGTTGAGGCCTGCCAGACCGTCAAGATGACCGTTCTCGGCGGCATCGCGCTCTACCTTTGTACGTCGGCTTCCTGTTGATGACGTCTGTCCTCTGGCCGCCAAACACGGCACGGCGAGACAGGACTAAATATCAATTACCCTGTGTGCTCCTAAGCTAACGAGATGACCGATTAGCCCCGTTCGCCATCGACTTCGCCCGCAAGTTCCTTTAAACAAATCGGACATCCCCTGCCTTTCCTCCGGCGTTATCATGACCTGGTTAAACTGGATAATGGGATAAATCGACTTTTCACATCCAGTTATGGGACTTGACAATCCCTGGCCCTTAACTGGATGGTGTATTATTATTGTATATGTCTGCTTTTCTGCGATCTTATTCGGATTATAGAGAGGTCAATGGAAAATAAGATAGTGGCTGGAGCCACTTGGATCATTTAAAGAAAATTACTGGTTTTGAATGTAGATGGAGAGAATTAGATCGTATTCCAATATGCATTGCAAGCAAGTCTACTCCCCGGAAACGCCAATGCTCCCATGCCCTTGGACACTAGTCCCCAGAATTGATCAGATACAAAGCCCCAGAAGCAGGTACAAGGAAAACCTAGTTTCCGTTCAGCTTCTGAGCCTCGTCGAATTCCTTCTTCACAGACTCGAGCTCCTTCTGCAGGTGCTGAATCTGGGTGTGATAGTCGTCGAGAATCTAGTAGGAATGTTAGTCTGTATACAAAACACAGAATGGAACATCAATTATAACGAACCTTCTTCGCCGTCTTCATAGTGTGTTCGTCAATCTCATCCTCACCGTTCGAGCCCATAGTTGCCCCAACGCGCTCCATATCAGCCTGCAGGCGCTTGCCGTGCTCGTGAATGGCCAGCATGCGAGCCCAGATTTCTTCGGCCCGGCCACTCAGGGATGGGTCGAAAACGGAGCGCTCTAGTTGGGCCAACTTCTTCTTCAATTCCTCTTCGGCATCATCCATGGCATAACCCCGGTTGCGCAAGATCTGCGTCTTAGCCGCAAGGGCAAGGCAGCGCTTGCTCAGAACCATGTGCTTGCGACGGCAGTCGGCAATCTTCACTGAGATTTTCAGGTCGTGTCGTGATAGCATATCGGTGAGGCAGTTGTTGATTTCGTGGAGGCGTGTTTGCATCATGGAAAGGAAGTCCTTCTGGCGCTGAGCTCGCTTTCCCAGCTCCCAGAAACCTTTCACGAGGACGGGTACGTATCCAGGACTGGTTCGCTTGCGCAAGGCTTCCTCCCATTTCGCTTCGTCATCTTCGGGGGTGGGTTGGTAGAAAGGCGCGTTTTCTTCACCGACATTATTGTAAAGGTAGGCCCGGAAGGGAGATGTACGACTTGAGGCATTCCACTTTTCAGTGACAATTTCAAGTTGCATTGGGACAGTTCGGTGGACTGCAAAAAATAATAAGTTGACTGTTCGGAAGGAATCCACTCGGACGAATTTGCAGGATTACTTACCTCCGGTGATAGCGCGGCCAGGAGACCACAGACTCGAGGACAGAGATTGTTGTTGTTGGTTTTGTGGCGTAGCCATCGTTGTCTGGCCGAATTGCGACTGCTGGGCCTGTTGTGCCTGCTGAGATTGCTGGGGTTGTTGGCCCAGCCCACCGAAAAGTCCTCCAGTCTGCTGCTGTTGCTGAGGCTGCTGTTGTTGAGTCGATTGCCCTAGACCAAAGAGGCCTCCTCCCGCGGGCTTCTGTGCCGTACTCGATCCGAAAAGTCCTCCAGTCTGTTGTTGCTGGGGTTGTTGTTGGGTGGATTGCCCTAGACCCCCGAACAAGCCTCCGCCTGCAGGCTTTTGCGCGGTGCTTGATCCGAATAGCCCGCCCGATTGCTGCGGCTGTTGAGTCTGATTTGCTGTAGAGGACCCGAAGAGGCCACCGCCTGTTGCGGGAGTGCTCTGTGGCTGGCTCGGTGTCGCGCCAAATAATCCTCCGCTGGATTGGGTACCTGTCCCTGCGCTGGCACCGAACAAGCCACCTGCTGGCTTCTGCGCCGTATTCGCCGCACCAAACAGACCACCACCTGTCTGGGCAGGCTGGGGTGTACCGAAAAGAGACATTTTGGATGTCGCGTATGTCGTGAAAAAGTAGGATCAGCTCCGAGCTGGGAGGGGACCGGCGGGATTGATAAAAGGGTTTGCGGAAAGTTTTGATACTCGAGTTCTATTGTTGGTCAAATGATCATCGCATCGTTCGCAAGCTCAAGGGATGGCGGTTGGGAGAGGGCGACCTGGGAGGTGGGAGCTCGCGAGCAGAGCAGTCCGGGAGCTGTGATTTGTTTAGGTCACGTGATGGAGATTTACTGTAGATTGACAGAATACATTCATTATACCCAATTGTAACCCAATGAAGGTGATAAAGTCCGATTCATGTGTTGGCATTTAATATCGAAGCCATTCCAATTGAAGGCCATCTCTTTTGAATACTTTTTCTACGATTTCCGACTTTATATCGACGTTGCAACCTACTTTGCCCGATACTGCGCGAATTGGCTTACCTCATCAAGACCACCTCAGCCAATCAGCGTGAGGCCAAAGAAACCGACCTTTCCATCCACCGCAACCCGCAGCTCCAAGTCCCTCTCGTTCACCAATTGACACCTCTAACCCTCCGTCTTTCCGCTCATCAACCGTCACAATGGCCGCCAGAGAACCTCGGTATGCACTGGATAACCCCTCAGATACGAATCCGGAGAATCAAACGTCACGCCGGAGAGAACCTCACTAACCCCATCCCTCGGCGCACAGTTTCAACCAAGAAGTCCTCGTGGACACCACGCCCATGCCGGACCACATCCCTAAGGTCCAAGAGCTCGGCGCCACTTCCGCACCCCTTTTCAGCGCCGCCTACTTTATCGGCGAGCGCTGCAAGGCCTACAACGATGACTTCATGAAGTGTAAGGACGAGGGCAATGGCCGCGGGGAGCTCGATTGCTTGAAGGAGGGTCGCAAGGTCACACGCTGTGCTGCTAGCGTGTACGTTTCTCCTCTTACACTTGGTTTGCCTATTGTTGTGGAGACATGGGGGATCATCTAAGATAGAGCGTTGAGCTGACTCTATCACAGTATCAAGGATATCAACACCCACTGCCTGTCGCAGTTCAAGGCTCACTGGGAGTGCCTCGAGAACAACAACCACTACCTTTTCGAGTGCCGCCGGCCTGAGATGGACTTGAACAAGTGTGTCTTTGACAAGCTGGTAGGTCGACAAACGCCCATCTATATCTTTGCCGAGGCAGACAGGCTTTCGACATACGCAGTTGATAACCTGGCTGTTTCTTGCCTCAATTACGATCTAACACATGTCTTCTTCACAGGGTCTGAAGAAGGAGATCCCCGGCTCCCCCGAGGGCCAGGTCCCCGTTCACCTGCGTCCCAAGCAGAAGTACGCCATCTACCCGGGCCCCCAGTACTAAAAGGAAGAAGCGCAGTACAATGCGCCTGTTTCACCCTCGTCAACTCAATCTTCTTAAATCGGGCTCCCCTTATTTTTTATGCGCCGTCCAGGGCCGCGGCTTTTTACTCCTCCCGTTTTGGATGCGCAATTGGGCCCTATGTCTCATCTATCTCTTGTGTCTGTCTGGTGTATGTTTTGTGTAAATATCTATTGGCATCAGGAATGGTTACATGATTTCTGCTTAATTCGGTCTTTCTTTTGCAATTGTTCCTTTTCTCTTTCTGTCCGGGCAGTGGGCATGTTCTATGGCCACTGCTCTGGACATAGCCTGCCTCGAATAACCCAAAGAAGGAAAGCTACCAGGTTGATGGGGCTGTAAGAATCGGACGTTCCTCGTTATACCTCGGAAGATCATAATGATGACACCATACAGCTCAGGTTATCGAATGCTTGAGGTAACCATCGAAGGTGATTTAGACCTTGGAACTTGAAATTAACCACGTCTCCAACATTGGAACATAGATGATGTAGATATCTTTAATAACTCTAGAGCATCTACTGCACTGATCCCCATACAACCATGCCTATTATAGCCACCGAGTCGCCCGAGCCCAACGTCTAATGATATAGTCCGAGTCGTATCATACATCCCAATTAAGAAAGAAGAGAACCAAAGAAAAATTCAAGGAAAGAACTCCCGTAACCTCGATTGTGAAACCCATATGTACTTGACAAAAGAAAATATGTAAAAAGACTCCAATATAGACATAAGGAGCAGAGTCAATAAGAAAAGATAGAAATGCAGCCGACCAAAACAAAGGGGAAAGGATCATAATGCAATATCAAACGATGGCTGAGGTATACATCCAAAAGATAAAAGTCAAAACATCAATCCAGGGGAAAGATGCCTCTACGGAAGAAGAGGAGCCTTGTTAAACCGGCTAAGAAGCTTAAATCGGCCCAGCCGCGTCTTAAGCTCCGACCAGCCAGTCCGTAATCGATCCTCGACACGACGATCCCCACGCATACGCATCCAGATCAGAAGCGCAGCTAGTAAAGCGAGGTCCCAGATAATCTGGCGCGTGACGGTCCACAGAATCCATTTCAGCCAGGCCCAGAGACCCGAGCGTCGACGATTCGATAGCGTCCGCGTCTCCATCTGTTCGCGGACGGCGGCGATCTCAGCGGTCATTTTGGTTAAGGCTTGTTCGACGCGGCGCCGCCAGCGGCTATTTCTTGGATTTGAGGGATCGTGCGAGTCTCTGCGGTGGTGGGAGTTACTTTCGAGGTCCCCGGTACCACTGGCTGCCATGGAGTCTCGGTGGCGGTGATGTCGATGTTGGGACCGGTCGTCGCCGTGGGAGGCGGTGGGCTCCGTGCCGGTATTTGTGTCTGCGGTTGTGTCTGCGGTTGTGCTGGCATTATCTTGGTGTTCGTACAGACTGTCGCGAGCCTCTTCGTATTCTTCATCTTCATCATCCTCATCCTCGTCGTCATCCTCTATTGCTTGCTCGTCCATGTCGTCTGTTAAGCGCCGCCTTCGGCGACGGTAGTACTCTTCTTCTTCGGGCTGGCTAACGGGACTGAGTACGCGAAGTCGAGAGTCATGGCCGTCATCGGCTCTTATATTTGGTCGATCGTAGTGCTCTGGTGATTGTGATAGTAGTCGGCCATTGATGCTGCCGTATGAGCTGCCCTGGTGTCGTGATAAGGGCGGGACACCGACGGCATTTAACGGACCTGACCCGGAGGATGAGGAGGCATTGTATTTAATTTGGTCCCAAACGAACTCTAGTTCAGATACTAGTTCGCGTGCTTCAGGTGTTTGTGAGGCGTAAGTGTGCATTGTATCAATTAGAGTGCCGATGTAGCGGCGTTTGGCTTCGGTGCGCGAGATGCCGCGCTGCTCGTACCAGGCATCCCTGTATCATTCGCAAGAAGTATGACATTAGCCCTTGTTGATATGTCTCGGATTGGGGGGGCTTCGAAAGGCATGCGCGCCTGGCGATTGGGATTGGGGGGGTAGCTACCATTTCTCGCACTCTGCGTGCACCTCCGGGGTATTCCCAATCGGACGATCCATGACACCTTCAACATCTCCCTCTAACAATGTCGTATAAGCCAACTAATCTCCCCGGATATTTCTTATACAATCGATGGGATCCACTCACCCATGCTCTGTTTATACAAGCCATAGAGCTTCAACCGCTCGGCTGCCGGAGGGCGCGCGGTCCCCGTCCGGGGAATCCTCTTAACGGTATTCAGGGCATGGACGAAGACGCGATCTGCGCGAGAGAAGAATCAATATTTGAGAGGAGGGTTTTAGATTGGTATAAAAAGGGCGAAACCCGTCGAGTACACGCACCTACAGAGTCCGCCATGTTGAGGCAAGAGGAAGCAGTGCGATAGTCTGCCCTGTCTTCATGGAAGCGGGGTTGGGCATCGGCTGCGGTGGATGAACCGCATGGAGAGCGAAAGCAGACCGGTATGGAGGATCGAATCGAAAGGGGGCGATCACGATGAAAGGGGGGGGAAGTCGGAAGGAGGTCGGTCGTTTGGCGTTGAAGTCCGAGATTAGTCTCTCTTTCTCCCTTTTGGGCTCGGGAAAGGAATGGTTTCCGATCTCGCACGCGACAACTCTCCCCAGCTTCGAAGGAGATAGATAAGGGATGGAAGAGGGCAGAAAGCAAGATTGAATCGATTCGAACAATGCGGAGAAAAGAAGGAGCACCTTGAAATTCCGGGGCAGAAGTGGCGCTGAGTGATTGAATGCTGAGGTTGTCCGAGTCCGATAGCCGCGGTCCAACGAGCACAGGAGATCGTCAGGGCACTTGTGATTCCGCCCGTTGGGTGCCCGCATTGTGCTTAAGCTGTGCTTTTACTCGTACTTTGTGAATACAAGATTAAATGTAGGGAGTAAAAATATATGGTTATAATCAAAATTGTACATTAGATGGTTATTTACAACACAGACTCCAAATCGTTTAAACATTTAGATATTTACAGAGGAGCCTTCTTCACCTCCGTCTCCGACAGCTTGCGCTCCGGATCCACCTCAGCGCCCGTCATAATTCCGGTAGCTGCAGCTGCTTCCTCCTTGCTGACGGGGGGGTCCCGTGAAGTGCTTCCGAGCATATGCAAAGTACCAGATGATACTAATCAAGGCAAATCCGGCGAACACCACACTAGCGTAGTTCATAGAGGTAGGGGTCACCGGCAGAGTGTAAGGCATACAGAACAACGCAACCGCCAGAACAATCCAGCAGATGGTAATCGCGTTGATGACCCAACCGAAAGGTCCCAACGAGAAACCGGAGCGCTTCACGTCCTGGCGACCACGAAGGAGGGAGATAAAAATGGGCAGGCCGTACGATGTGGACAGGCAAATGGTAGCCACACCAGTGAAGGAGTTAAAGGCCGCCGTCGAACCAAAGTAAATCAATCCCAGCAGCGCATCAACACCAGCGGACAGAATAATGGCCCAGACGGGGACATCCAGCTTTTTGTTGACCTTGCGCCACAGCTTGAACCCGGGGATGGCGCCATCGCGCGCAAAGGCATAAGTACAGCGACTAGCCGCAGTCAACGATCCGATACCTGCAAACATCATAATACCCAGGATCAAAAAGAGCAGAGCAAAGCCACCGCCCGCCGAGCCTGTCGCCATCTTGAACACTGTTCCAATGGGCTGTCCGTTCGCAACATTGCGCAGGATGTCGATCTTGTCTGGCATCACGAACAGCACGGGGATCAGGTAGAGCAGACCTGTGATACCAGCCGCGACGACGGACAGCACAATGGCCTTGGGAACCTCGCGATGCGGGTTCTGAACTTCCTCGCACATGGCAGCCACCATGCCGTATCCGGTGAGCGTGTATGCTGCCTGCAGCAAGCCCACGAAGAACGCCCAACCATCGGGCCATCCGCTTTGCGAGGCATCGTATTTGGCGAAGACAAACTCGCCGCTCTGAAGGTTATCAGCCATGGTTAACAGAGTGACGAGAATGATGATGACGCTCGCGGCAGTCCAGAAAATGCAGACTTTGTTGATCAGGTCGAGGTAGCGCGAGAAGAAGACATTAACCAGGACGCAGACCAAAAGAACAGCCCAGAACATGAGAACAGTCTGCCATTCATTCGCGACAAAGTCCTCGTTCCAGAGACTGATCGCGCTGAGGATCAATTGTCCGCCACCGAAGATAATGCTAAGGGTGACGGTCCAATTACCCACAAGGGTCAACCACCCATCAATAAAAGACATCAACGGCGCCCAGCGACGTGTCGATAGCATGGCGCTCCAGTAGTAGACACCGCCGGCGGTGGGATAGACAGCGCAGATCTCGGCCAAGGAGGCAGCAATGGCGATGGAGATAAGGGTGACAAAGACCCAGCCCCAAATGATGGTTACGGAGAGGCCGTCATTGAGAGTGATGTAGAGGGTGGTACTGAGACCATACGGCGCAGCCATAATGGCAAATGACAGACCAAGGATACTGAGCATGCTGAGGTTTCGAGGCAGCTCGCTCTTGTATCCCATGGCCGCCAGCGCCTCGTCGGCATTGGCGTCGACGGAGTTGCGCATGATGGAGAATGGGTTGTTGGAGACGAGGAGGAGGAGTAGGAGGAGGAGGGCGAGAGATCAAGTTGATCTGGGGTCGAAATTCAACATGGAAGCTCCACGGTTATTTAAGATAAGAAGAACAAGGGGAGAAGGAGAGAAGGAAGAGTTAAACCCCGCATGATAAACGTGGACGCATCGCGGTCCGAGACCGCGGAAACTTTCACGTCCCCAATCGGAGGCAAAGACGGCCGAGTTGAGACATAGGCTTATCAGCCGCTCGCAGGTTGGGTCTTAGGGTCTTAGGGTCATATTCCAGGGTTCCATCGGTTCCATTATCCAGTCCCAGTAGTCAGTGGCCAGTGGCCCCTCTGGCTTAACCAGGGCTTTAGCTGGCTGCCTGGGCTAGTGGGCGAGTGGTAGTTCCATGTTGGCTCCATCTTGGATCCATTTGGGGTTGTGACTAACACTCATGGGTGATAAGCTATGAGCCAGGGTCTGATAGTCGATGGGACCTAAAGGCTTGCCTGATGGATTAATGGATGAAACAGGAAAAGGCTCGTGTGGTGGTGGACCCCCCTTTCCGGGCCGGATTTCCATTGGTTCCATTTATTCCAGAGACACTAGAAAAACTCGTGCAAGGCTTACCACGATACTGTTACTAATTTAAAATAAAGAGAGGGTCTTTTCAGGTTGTTTGTTTTGTTTTGTTTTGTAAATTTGGGGGGTTTTTTTTTTAAATTGCTCCATAATAGTAAGTGTAATTCACATCGAGTCACTCGGTGGTGACGGCTGCCACGCCGTTTCTATCATAAGAACAGATCGGTGAGCGCCAGGGAGAGCAGTCAGAAAGAAAAGAGAAGTCACGAAAAAAAAAGGGGGCGCAGGGCGACGAGCTCGGACCAAAATGGAAATCAAGCGACACTCGCGCCCGTGCGGGAGATGACGGGGTATCAAAAATTTGAGGGAAGGGGGAAGGGAGGGCAAACATCCAGTCTTTGAAAAGATTTTTTTTTCTTGTTTGGAGTATCTAGTCGGACATGGGGGGTGGGGGAGGAAGATGGGGGAAGAGAAGGGGAGAAAGGGCGAAAGTAGGCCCTGATGGAAGGGGAGGGGAGGAAGATGGGGATAGATGAAACAGGGAAAAGGGTGAATAAAGGTCAAGGTCGGACTTTTGGAGGGAGATGCACAAAAATCAGTCGAACGCCTGTCTATACGGCCAGTCCGGTAGGGAAAGCGTTCTGATCGAGATTCGCAAAGAGGAGGACCAAGGGGGAAGGGAGTTTTGGTGAGAGGTCAGGGGAAATAGGGGGGAAACACAAAGAAAGACAATAAAAAACGCTGAGTCGTAACCAGCCAGCTAGCGTGAACTCCAAAAATCATAACACAATGAGAAACATGACCCGTGGTGGAAAAACGATCGTGAATCGAGGTCGGAAAAAGGGGAACAGGAAAAACGCCCATTCATGCAGTCGTCAGGCCGGTGAAGTCGTTACATGAGAGAGATGCAGTACAGTCGAAAGCCAAATCGCGGAAGGGATACAGAGAACGGTCGAGAAAAGATGAGACGGAGATCAAGTCAAGACCGTTATGGACTCAGGCCGGCACAAAGGTCCTCGGCGGTATCAAAGCCAAAGCCGGCCATGTCGACGGAATGTAAGGACCCAGGTCCTCCTTTACCGAGGGAAATATCGGAGGAGGCATAGTCGTGCTTCAGACGTTCATGCGGCCCAAAGAACGGTCGATTCTCATCGTTGGGTGTATTGCCGTCGCCAGCGGTCCAGGGCCCATTTTGCCAGAAGCGGGTGTTGGCTTGCTGATCGCCAAACAGATCGTGATGATCTGGGTGGGGATCGGGGCCGTGGATGGGGAAATCACCCGGCGATTGCAGCCGAAGATGTGATCGGCCAAAGCTGGAACATGGAGAATCGGCGTGCAAGGGAAGATCGAGCCCTGATATTGGTTGATCCTCAACGGTGGTGATATCGATGGTCGGATTTTCCGTCTGCTGGGCCAACGCCGAAGAGAGTCGAAGATTTGAAGCGGTAGAGGAGTGTCGGCTATGACTGGCCGACCGCTCAATGGCACGTTGCACGAAGCTACCACACGTCTTCATGATTTTCTCCTTGTCGATCTGGGAGAGACTGGCGAAGAAGTCATTGGCCAAGGATTCCTTGGGCGGCTCGTCTGGGGCTGGCACCAGTTCATACGTCGTCTTGGCGTACTCGGAGAGACCAGATGGCATATTGTATGGGGACTGATAGACATTGGGCGCCATGGCCCGTTGCTGATCAAGAAAGGCATATTTACCCGGCATCTTTGCTGCGGCAATGCTCCCTCGATCAACAGTCTCCAACTTGATACCTTCAGATTCCTTCTTCTGGATCACATCCAGGCGCTCGCGGTGACTCACCAGTGAGAACCGGAGCATCTGGAGCAAACGAGTCACCTCCTCCGACCTCATGTTGAGGGTCTGGGGTGGTAATAAGGTACCATCGGCAGCCCGGGGCTGCACCCGCTGCTGGGCCATCGCGAGCTCGAGCTTCTCCAGACCATTGGCCGGGGAATCGAGCCCATGGGGCCCAGCAGGGTCTGTACCACCAATTCCGGACTAACGATCGTGTACCCGGCAAAGACATTGGCATGATCGGTGATCTGAGCCAGGCGACGCCGGGCAATGAGTTCACGGACGTTGGCAAAGGTATTGGTGGAAGGGAGGTGGTGCTGCTGCTGAACATGCGATTTGATGACCGATGGATAGGGGGTATGGCGGGCGGATGTATTCGGCAGAGTTCGAAAGGCCGACGGCATCGCAGGACCAGCAGCAGCAGCACCGGCAGCAAGGACAGGGGGAGGGGGAGGGGCAAGATGCGTCAAGGAGGCGGAAGAGGAGGGCGGTCGGGATGGCAGGTGAGGGGTGTTGGCGTTCAGAGAGGCGTGTTTATGTTGTAGCAGTGCTGGGTGTTGGGCGTAAAGAATTTGCTGGTAAGGAGGGGCAGGGGCGGTGGGAGCATGTTGGAAGAGATGGTGGGGTGAGATCTTCGATGCACGAGCAGCACCGGCACCGGCACCAGCCACGCCAAGCGACTTGACGCTGTCCAGGAAATTGGCCCGCGGGTTGTGGATAGGCACGGTAGGGTTGTGCGTATACTGTGCCCTACTCTCGGTGGACTGCGTGCCCAAGTAATACCACAGATGCTCCGGTCTGTCAATGGTAACCGTAACCGGTGGGGCAAATTGGTTTCTAGCTGCATCCACCGTCTCAAATTCGGCCCACTGATAGGGAGATCGGCCGTCGCCAAATGCACTGCCTGCAAGTGGTACGGCAGCTTCGAAGTCCTTTCGCTGTTCAGGCTTTCGCACCAAGTGGGCCGGGAGGGGTTGGATTCCCGGCGCAAGGGGCGCGAAATTGCTCTTGCGGACGACCAGCATCCAACGGTACGGCATCTCGATCACATCTCTGTTGACATTTATCAGTATTCGGTCATCACGGGAACGGCGTTCCTCTCCATGGCGTTCCAGAGTTGAGGATAATTTGGGTCGGGAGGCTCGGGGAGGAGGGATGGCCAAAAAAAAAAAAAACTTAACGGAAACCCCCGCGGCGGGGCGGGGATCACAATTCAGAATGATTTCACTTACCCTCGTGGAAGAACCTTCAACAGAAGCGCCCGCTCTTGGGGTCGGTTTTGGAGCACAATGGCACCATTGATCTCCTTGTCGACTTGGAACTGAATCAGATCGCCCTGCGTCAGGCGGCGAGCGGCCTCAATGACACGGCGATCCAAATCAGACGACTCGCCCAGCAATCCAGCTGGTCGTTTTTGGCGGTGAAATTTACACTTCAAATCAACGCTCGGTAGTGTATAATGCACACCATCATCGGCGATCACGGCAATGGCACCATGCTCGACCTGAACGCCAGCTAAAAGTGCACAAGTGGCATGGTAGGCCCGAGTGCATTTGCCAAAGTTGCATTGGAAACATGCACCGCGAACTTCTCGGCAGAACAGACATTTCAGACCCAGGCGTGCTTTAGGGATCAGGTCAATATCACAAACCACCTCGTTGCCCGACTCATCCCGCAAGATGCTGGTTTCCTCGATAAACAAGGCACAGCGGCGATGGACATGACCTTTTCCATTCTCAGTCGGTAGCAGATCCTCATAGTCAAGATTGTTAGGACACAGCAGACACGGCAGCTTACGAGGGCCTTCCATGTGGAGCTTCGATCGTTTAGTGCTCGGGCCGTCGCCCGTGATCTTCCGCTTTCGACCACGGGTGGAGGTCTTTTCAGGTACACTGCGTGGTGGCGTAAGGAGATCTGAAGCACCCTCGAATCCGTCAAATTCGCTTTCGAAATCAACATAGTATTCGGGGGTAGTTTCCCCGCGCATCTTGCGCTCAATCTCGTCGACGTCGATCCAAACGCTGTCGTCCTCACAGTGGCACTTTTTGGCGATGCGGCCGTAATCCAACCATCTCTCGGTTGCAAAATTAACCGATTCGGCACAGTTATACCCGATGTTGTACCCAGAGTGGTATCCGTAGGGGAATGTAATCACAAACTCCCCTTCGTAGTGAACCAAGCGATTCACAGTGATTCCATATTGGGATTTCAGCAAGCTGGGAGATACCAGGTATGTCTTGTGGCGGAGGAATTGGTCGCAGTTTTTGGCGTCGCTAGACCAAATGCTGCGCATCGCAGCTTCAAACTTGGGCGCGTCCTCTTGCGAGATGCTATACCATTGCTTGGGGGCTCCAAAGTGGATGTAGTTGATGCTATAGAGATCAACATCCTCGAGATGCCAGGCAAAAGTCGCCTTCCACATTCCGAGGTAGAGATATGCCGTGTTGACTCCCGGTACCTTCTGACCAAGGACATCGAGCAGATTGGGCAATTTTGCAACATTCCAAGATTCGACAGAATCATCAAAGAGCGACCCCGGCATGTCCGCGCCATACATGGGATTGTTGAACATGAGAGACTTCCAATATGCAGTCTCCAGTTCTTCGCATCTCTCGGCGGTATAATCTTCATTGTCGTGGATGCGATAATCGAAGTCTTTGAATGCCTCTTCATCGACATTGTCCACTGTGTCGCCCCGATTGTTCTTGCGCCGAGAGGTAACAGATTTGGGCTGTCTGCCCTTAGGCTTAGCTGCAGGGAGCGATTCGCCCTCGCTCAGTTCCTCGCTCTTCAGCTCGATGGGGTTCGATTCAGGTGACACGGGAGTTGGAGGTCCCTCGGGCTTGGACTTTTCGACATCGTCCGCAGGTGGCTCTTCCTTTACTTTCACTTGGTTTCCGCGCTTAGCAGGTCGTCCAGGGCGGCGCTTCTGACTCTCTGGGCGACTGGACTGGGCTCGTGGAGTAGAAGCAGCACGATTTGCTCGTTCCTGGTTTCGGCGTCTCTCGCCACGACGAGCAGGAGGCTGGTGACTGCTTTCATCGCATAAGCCCTTCCACTGAGGCAGGTTGTAAGATCGTTGACGTTCAATGTTGGCCTGCGTATAGGTGCCGTGCGATCCGTGGAACTCTTGCATAATGGGGTTCTTCACGCGAATAGACTTGATTGGGTCGTCCAGAGGCGAGAGTGATTCGGTCCTGTATGATAATAAGCACGGATGTCCCTATCACCTCGCAATTGTACTGCACTCACCATTCCTTGGGTGGAACGACTTTGACAATTCCTGCCTGCATTCCGTACTTATCGATCTTGTTGATGAATTTTTGGAAGTCTCGAAACTGGTCCATTGTCTTTACTCGCAACGTCAGCCTTCTTTGTCATTGGAGGGTAGTGACACACATCAGCTTCGCCAAATTGATACACTAGTAGTGCATCCTCCGAAGAAGTGACGGCCCTCGCAGTTCTAGGGACGTATTGTGACCTACCGGTTTGAACACTGGGATTTTTCCACCGCCATAGTAATGGTCAGGTTCGATGTCCTCCTCTTCCACTTCCACTACCGGTTCCTCTTGTTCTTCCTGTTTGATTGCAGGCTCGTCGAGCGCAGCTGCAGATTTGGCGTCCAACTCGAGGTCCGATAGCTCAGAAGGGACTCCTTCGGGTGCATACTTCTTTCCGTTGGCGCTGTGAGGGGGAGTAATCGAGGCCGAGTCGACAACGGGGCCACCCCCGAGCGGATCCAGGTGTGGTTGGTCCAATGTTGCCGCCATCTTGGGTGACACGGGGAGTAGGCTGTTGCGGAATGCGGTTTGATACTCGGGTGCCGTCGTCGGATGGAGCGACCGCTGATCGACGGCGAAGAGTGATTCCCAGCGGTCGGGGAAAGAAGAAGGGGTTCGGCAGTCGGAGCAAAGGATTCCAATCTCGGTAAGAGGACGGAGGAAGGTGTTGGTCAAGTGTCGGGGTGTAGATGTGGTGGTGTGTAGTGTGTAGGTAGACCGGCGAGATGTAGAACGAACGATGGCGCGATAAGCTCTTTGATCGGAAACACTTTTTCACCCCTAGAAACGGCGGAACAGGTACGAGACTTAGCAAAAGAACCGATGGAGAGTGACGAGGAAACGTTTTGATAGAAGGTCGTAAGTATCAAGGGGAGAAGGGAGTCGAAGGAAGTTGCAAGGAACGAGTCAAGCAACGCAATCGTACGCTAGACCAAGTTCGCCCCATGGAAAAAGGATGAGGAAGAAGGAGGGTGGGCCAATCATGCAGGTGACGTTCCGGAAAGCTAGTGGAGCGAACGAGGACGATGGCCTGACTCTGGGACCTCTGGGAGGGCAGGATATGGGCAGGGGTAGGTGGGATCAGGACTCAGGGCAACGCCTGGAATAGGTTTCAGCTAATCACAGCGTCTGCCGGGCAAGACTGAGTGGAAATGCGTCCGATCAGAGCGGGAAAAGGTGGACTGGCCGTCGTAGCGCCTTTGGGGGAGGAGCCGCGAAGTGGACTTGGCCGTATGATACTGTAAACTCATCCGGTGTCGGACCAAGAAAATGGGTTTTGCAGTTCACCCAGCAAGTCCAAGAAAGGGCAGCATTGGAGAAAATCAAAGCTAATCAAGGAAATTTCATCAAAACGAAAGCTACTCACCGATTTCACGAGAGGGTTGCGGCTCGTCACAAAGCTTTGCGACCATCGAAAGACCCAAAAGTCACGGAGCTCGCCAAGGCCGTCGCTGGCCCAGGCTTGGTCATGTGTTGCACGTGACTGAGCCCTGCGGGAACAGGATAATTACGGTAATATTGGTAAATTCCTGGTAACAGCTGGTAATTTTCTCAAGAATGGTGCCCTCGTGAAGAGTTTGCATTGGCTGAATGACCCATTCTGCTGTAATAAATACTAGGGGGCTGTGCACGAGCTTTCGGATAGCGCCGGACCCGGGCGTATCCCAGTACAGTACGGAGTACTCTTCATCCATACTTAATTACTCGTAGATACTAAGATGATCTCACTCACGCACGGACTCTCTTAATAGTCAAGAGCACATACTTTTTGTGCAAAGTACATCCTCCGCATATATTTCGAATCTACTCCGTAATATTTGCTAAATTGTAAAAATGCAACCATACCCACCGTAATAATACAATTTACCCGGCTCCGCGGAGGATCTGCTGAAACGGGGCCACTGCGATGATTTGCCGGCAAAGTTTAGTGGTTTCAGGGGGGTCCCGAAGTCGCACGCTGCCTAACTTCCGTCGATCTCGCCCGCCGGTGGGGAGGGTCTCCCGGCGATCTATAGATCAATCCCATGCACAAGGGCCTCAGCGCTAACTGCATGTGTACATACAATAATCCACGGCTCTCTGCATATAACTGCTCCATATTGGATGCCTTCTATACGAGCTTCGCACAATAACGAGCCTCGACTCGATTCTCTTGTCTATGTGAAATTTTTAATTATTACATCCACTCCTGGTGCAATTGATCATCCAGGTTAATATATCCGCCCACGACACTCAGTCCCCGCAGTCTCTCTTGTTCAATGCGCTCCCAGGGCCATTCTTCGGGGCTCCATGTGTCGGAGTTAGCATTTTTCTGCTCATCAAGATCCTTGCGGTCGGGAATTTGATCCTCGTTCATCTTGAGCACCTCGCGCACCAGAGATCCATCCACACCACCGGTGGCCGTAATGCCCTCGCCGCTAGCAGGTGTCCCAATCGCTGAAACATCGGCAGACGAGTCGATCGGAACATCCTTTGTCTCACTCTCAGTTGGCGGCGTAGGAAGGAATCCTCCGAGGCGGAGAATCCGCTCCGGTGCAATAGTCAGCCGGCCCTTTTTCACAACATACTTGCTCAGGGCAGTGGCCAACAGTGTCTTCTCACCACCAGCACGGCTGGCAGGGCGCATGAAACACGTGAGGATATACATCCACTTCTTATCCCAGGAAATCACCTTGGAGTGCATTTCATACAGCTCAAAGGGCTTAATTTCGCGCTTGAAGCTGCAGTAGACAGAGCCTAGAACAATAATGATAGGTTTCTTCTTGGGAGCACGCTTCCCTTCTTTCTGCGCCGCAGCGAGGAATTCCTTGTCCAGCTCTTTACTGACAAGGCCAACGCCAGGGCTATAAAGGCGGCTCACCAGTGCCGTACGAGACACATCCAGGTCGGTGAAATACGTGCTGTTGGACTTGTGCATATTATAGTCCGTCTCCAGCAAAGGTGTTCGTGAAGTGACCCGAACCGGCACGAAGACCGGATGTGTCGGCTTGCCTTGTGCATCCACAATGGCCTTCCCCTTCGGAAAAAAGGGGGCACTTGGCTTCAACCGAAGGTTGGTCGCAAAGTGGTACAGCAGGCGGAACTAACACACTGGTCAGCAAGGTCACACAACATCGAATGGTTAATAGACCCTACATGCTCGCCAAAGTCAAATTTGACGAGCAGCTTGGGGGTGAGACGCGAACGATACATACGTGCCAGACGAATGGGAGATTTTTCAAGTTAATGAAAGCGAGAATTAAGGCCAACGTCCTCCATGATGCAAGCGACCCCATCGCTGATAGTAAGTCGCGCATACTTTCGACGCGAAGCGCTGCCGGAATCACGGACATGGTGATGGCGAGGCGAATATATGAGATGAACAGTGGGGTTGGCGGTCAGGGTTAATGGTTCACAGTGACAGGGATGCTAGAACCAATGTGGTTACCGTTCACAGTGTCTTGCAGGGTGAACCAGCTAGAAAGAAGGATATAGTTCCGTTCAGTGGCGGGTCTTCCCAGGGGAATTGACAGAAGTGCCGTGCGTGGTATGTACTGCCTAGTAAGGAATGGCTGATATTTTGTGGGATAAAGATTGAGCTGGCAGGCGATGAGATCAGGATAGATCTCAACAGAACCTCTTCAGCCGTGCCGATCACAAACTTGAATAGTAATCTCAGCGTCACGATCGATTTCTGTTGGGAAGCGGACCGAGGTTGCCCAATACCTTGCATATGATGCTGAGTCATGTGACACCTATTCAAAACTCCACTAATAGTTGAAGTCCATGCATGACGCATACTTATGTACTTATCGATTATTAGATTTTAATCAAGAAGTATTTATTACGAGAAGCTCATAGAAAACACCAAGATTCCGAGGCTCAGGGATAGTTGGTTTTTTTTGCTGAACAAAGTGTTGTATCACGTGATCCGTCCCGAGATTCAATAAGCATCAATTAATTGTGAGATGAGGGCTGATGCTTACCTACTGAGTAATATCGGTAATTGCATGATTGAATTGCTACCCATTTTCTAGTAGGTAGGCGATTTTCAGTGCAACCTGGTACCACTAGTACGATCATAGTATCTGAGACTCGGCTGAACATATATTGATAGTTGGAACTTGAAGCATATAGTACAAGTAGTTACGACTACTGGTAACTACTAGTAGTATGGAAATACGCTACCTAGAAGCCCTGGAGGTATTCTGTCTCGACACGCAGTCCATGGCAATCCATGGATCATCAACATGGGAAATCACTATTTATCATATATCAACTAGCGCATCCTGGGAAAGAATTCCAAGGTTCTAGTGGGCTAGATCTGAAAAGTTTCTAGAATGTTGCCAATTTTCCCGATCAAGTTAGCCTCATTCAAATGCTCCATCGATTAATCTATACACTCCCACGGACCATTTTTGCACATTGCCAGTGATTACTTGCCTTGAAATAACCTCTTAAATGCCAATTAAAGGGATAATGAAGCGATTGGGTCATTTCTCACCAGATCACCTGACTGCGTTTTGGCCCCATTTTGGGACCTGGAGACGCGGCCTCGCCTCGCCGGAGCATTCTGTCATTTTACATACACTGCATACACTGCATACAGATCTTAAATCGAAAGGGATTATTACGGAATACGGCATTCAGTTTCGAGACATCAGACCGAATCCTTCTCGCCGAACGTGCGACTGTGCATCTTGGTCTTAATTCTCCGAAACCATTCAGCCGCAAAGCGTGGGGGCCGGAATCAATTGAGAAGATTGCGCCCATTTCCCGCCGCATTTTGATTTCCCCCGTTTGGAGTCATTATGGCTGTTCAACCCGGCGGCAAAGATACGCTCATTTTGCTTTCAGGGCGTACGCTTGCATGGACCGTATATGGCGGTGATCTTCAAGTAAATGAAGATCAAGAGCCACCGGCCGTTGTCTTCTACTTCCACGGATTTCCTAGCTGCTCCAGTGAAGCGAGCCAAATCGAGCCCGAAGTCCTTCAACAGCGCAATACTCGCATAATTAGTGTTGACCGACCTGGTTTTGGTAACTCGACACACTATCCCGAGCGTCGCATACTAGATTGGCCAAATGACGTCCTAGCCATCGCCGATCATCTGCATGTTCCGCATTTCTACATTTTGGGGTTTTCGGGCGGAGGTCCCTATGCTCTTGCATGCGCGCACTCTATCCCACGTATCACCGGTGACGATTTCGATGAAACGTCAAATGGACGTCTCCTTGGTGTTTCGATCATGTGCGGCGCCTATCCTTTCACACTTAATGCAAATGGGATGATGACTGAATTGAGGGTGCTGCTTGCTGCCGGCGCATGGCTGCCAAGATTTGCGACAGGCTCTCTGTTCGATTGGGTTATTGGTCGTGCTGCGAGAGATCCAGACCCGAAAGTTCTTGAGAAGGCAATGGATGCCGCAATTATGAAGAGGCCCGGGACAGAAAAGACCGCTTGGACGAAACCAAAAATCAAGGCCGCGGCGTTGGATTCCACACGTGGCGCCTTTCAGAATGGAGGAGCTGGAACGGCGACGGAGCTCATGCTTCTGAATGATTGGGGGTTTGAACTTGAGGATATCGACGGAAGAGGTATTCGCTTATGGCATGGCAAGCTCGACCGGAATGTTCCATTGGGGATGGCGGAGCAGGCTGCAGAGTTATTGCCCGGTGCCAAAACGCACTTCTGTGATGAAACTGGTCATCTGGATATGGTTTTCCATATAGAAGAAATTTTGGATAATCTCTTAGGCAGGGCATGCCATAACGATGAGTGAGTAGCAGCCAATGTTTGCTACCGTGACGTTTTGTGTATTAATGAACATATTCCCGTGAAATGAAACATCTGAAACATTTCATTCATATGATATCACTTTAGTCTCAATCACAACTTGCTGGTCTGGCGTTACATACTGATATTGGAGTACTCCTTTCGTTTGGTCCTCCACTAGATTCATTGATGCTTCGGCCACTCTTGTGTATGAGCTCGAGGATCTAATAGCCGCAAGCTCAAGCTCTCTTAGTTGTTTCATAAAGAGAAGACACACCTTTGTGCCAGCCGAGCCATCATGATGTGGCCAACTTTCAAGGATCTCCAACGCCTGTTCGTGGAGAACATCATTTCGGCATTTCCAACCGACGAACGATAGGGGGATATTGATACCCATGTCTAGGATCAAGAAGGGACGATTCTCATCTACCAAAAAACTGTTGGCAATATACCGAGAGATATCGATAATTGTCTGGAAGTCATCCAAGTAGCTGTCAAATATGGTAAGATCGCTCCCGGGGAGAGAGGTTTCAACACCGACTTACCATGACGTATAATGAAGACGTATTAGAGCGAGAGCGCGCTGATCACGCTGATCTCTCCAATAAACTGAATTTCCCAAGCTTCGAAGACCTTTAGATCGATAGCGTGCCTCGGTCTGATGGAGTTTCTTTACAAATTGATTGAGTTTCCCGATAGCGACCTGCTGTCTAGCAGCTAATTCGGGATGTAAGTGGGGAGATGTTTCTCGAGATCCAACCGATAGGCTGCTCTCGGCACATAGCAGACGTCTGATACGACTCTATCCAAATGATTTTGTGCATCTTGGAGTGTGAGGAAGCCGTAGTCGTTATCCTCGCTATCCTCAGGCTTCTCTGGCCAAATGAACTGGGGCCAAAAAAGAACATTGATTGGTTTTGTAAGCGAGTCATAGCAGACAAGAGTGACTGGTCAATAAGAAAATTGGGTGCTTCTAGAATTATAGCAAACCCTTGACTTAGATGCATCAGTGCCGTTTCTCCGTTTCCTCGTAACCATTCGTAGGTCACAAAGAGAAGACAGCATGTCAAAACGACATTTCGAAACTGGGGGTCTTGAGAGTGTCGCCGCTCATTTAATTTAGAAAGTGCGCGTCCAAACTGGCTAATCGCAAAGCGATGCAGGCGGTTTGATAGCTCTTCGCGTGCGAGAGGTGCAACTCGCCTATCGAGATCCCCGTGCAGAGCGCTTAGAGCTATAACTGCATGTTGGACCGCTGGCTCAGAATGACTCCTTGGAAGAACAAGTCCAGTCCCTAGTGGTGAAACTGAGTCGATAAGGCTGATCAAACCAGGAAGAGTAAAATTTTGGAAGAAATCAAATGCTCTTTTTTCTTCAGGACTTCCTCCAGGGGCATTTTTGGATAGTCGTTGTACCCTGGGCGACGGTCCAGTATCTGACGGGCTTTTCCTCCGACCTGCCGTGGTATACGACTGAATCCGAACAATATCGTATGCACAAGTCCAATTCCCCGATTTGCAGTTATTGCAAGTGTTGGGTGTTTCGTCACACTTGATGTGTCGGGCACTGTGGGAGGCTAATAGATTGAATCCACATTGAATAATAAACTACGAACCGACATGTCTGGCAGCCTTTTCTGGACCGCTTGGCAAAATTTTTTTTTCTCATTTCAAGATTGATGATCTACCCGTTAGGTGGATGATGAGTTTAAAAGGGGTGGGCCACCCAAGGCTAACTAATCCTTCTAAGGCCGCCCTGAAGATTGGGGGCCAAACGAGGACGAAGCGCGGAAGGCTGGCTGAACCGATTACTATCCCCCCCACTTTGGTTATAAGCGAAAATATACATCAAGGCAAAAGATGATTTAATGATTGAGAATTTGAGTTTGTCTTTGCAGGGGCTAGTTACCTTACGTTGTCACTGTCTGCCATGCTTCTATTATTCGCCCACCGCGTCCACTAGCGCAAATGCCGTTTCTCAGTTTCAAAACATGAGTTCTCACTGTGCCATCTGGTTGATGGTCGATTCTTAATACATGAAGCTCTATATATGGCAGGCTTTTTTTCCATGTGAATGTAGGTCGACTAGTTCGACTAGTACCTACTAGTAGGGAGCGATTTCACATCGAACCGCGAGTGCAGGTACCCTTCCTGACTCTGCAGCATACATGAGTAGATCGGTATAAATCATCATCCTACCCCTATATATTTTCTTGGCGATGCTTGGATTCAACCCTGGGAATATTTCCAGCCCCTGTGGACTCGCTTGGTGAATTGAATCTCCCTCGGAATGACAACTCATCGGCTCATCTAGCGTGCTTTAGCTCGGCAACGGCTTGAGCGTCGCGTCGAAGTTGGTCCACACAATTGGAATTCGTCCACCTTGGATTGGTTACTTACATTCGCATGACTCAAGCGCTTAAACTACTTTCATGGGATTATGAGCCTCACTGACTAACTGATCGACCCCTCTCTTTAGAAATGTGATCTGAAATTGACTCGCTTCTGGGACTCACTATCCTAAAGCATCCTCCTCCCTGACATTGCCCATTATGACTGTCACCTTTCCGACCGCAGTCGCTGTTGCTATAGGCATCTTGACACTGTTATACATCAGCACGAGGCATGGATTTAAAGCTGACGAGGACAAATATCGGCCCCTCCTCAAACTTCCCCTCATCGGAGACTTGCACAGCTCCCCCATAGAAAAGCCACTGCTTAATTGGGACTCATGGGCGAAGACAAATGGATCAATTGCGGTTCCCAAGCTATTTGGTATTATTCCAATTGTCGTCCTCAACTCGTTCGAGGCCGTGACAGAATTGTTCAGTCGTCGCAGTCAGTGGTATAGTAACCGCCCGGCCTCGGTTAGCATGGAAATGATTACAGGTGCATTACCAGGGCAGTCAAAATTCAATTTGATGCATGACTATGATGATCACCTCAAATTACACCACCGTGTTCTCGCGCCTAGCCTTGGTGCCCCTGCCGCCCCTAATTACCAGCCATTGATTGAACTGGAATCAAAGCAGCTGCTCTTTGACATTTGCAATCGCCTATCAGATGGCACTGGGTTGGTCAGTACAGACAAGATATACCCGATGTTAGAGCGAGCCCAGTCAAGCGTTATTCTAGCACTTCACTATGGCCTTCGCATTCCACACTTCGAGGATGATATTCTTCATGAAGTGATTGATATTCAGTCCAAGGTAACTCATCTGGCTGCCAATCCTGGCTTGCCGGATATTATCCCACCTCTACGACACCTACCAGCTTTTTTGTCCCCCTGGAAACGTGCCGCCGACGAGCTGTATTCCACCCAGGTTGATTTATACATGCGCTTGTTTCGCCATGGTAGAGATGCCGAGGGCTGGAATGCCACTAAACAGGCTATCTTGACGGCAAAGAAGCAAGCACCTTGTGGCATCCCTGATCTTGATCTTTCTTTTACTCTCGGAACGTCGATTCAAGGCGGGATGGAGACATCACCACGTCAGATATTATGGCTGTTCGTCGCAGCACTGCACCGGCCGTCGTTCGTGGCCAAGGCCCATGATATCCTCGACAAAGTTGTCGGCCGCAACCGTTTGCCCGGATTTTCAGACCGCTCAAATCTCACTTTCATCGATGCTATTGCTCACGAGCTGTTCCGCTGGCGTCCCATCTCACCAGGGTCCATTCCTCGTAGGGCAGATCGTGATGACGAATTCCAAGGCGTGAAGATAAAAAAGGGCGTCACGATCATGGCCAACGCATGGGCTATCGGTCGTGATGAGCAGATATTTGATCCTGAGCTTGGGGACCTCCAGGATTTTGTACCGGAACGATGGATTCTAGAAGATGGCAATGGGACAGGAAGGCTGCGAGCGGATCTCCCACTGCCCGTATTTGGTCAGGGCAGACGTATATGCCAAGGGAAAAGAGTTGCGACAGATGGAACCTTCCTGCAGATTTCTTGTCTTCTTTGGGCATTTGATATCCAACCCATCGAAGGAGAAGAGATTGATCTGTGGGCAATGGTCGTGGCGGGGTTTATGACAATGCCGAGAGAAATGAAATTCAAACTCAAGCCGAGAGGCGACTGGGTGGTGGACACCATCAAAAAGGAATGGAATACAGCAGAGAAAAGTATTGGGAAGGTCATGAGTATCAAGAGAGACGTTGAAAATTAAACATCTCTTTAGCAAAGATCAAAATCCTTTTGGGATCTTACATAGTTCTTTGTGGACCAAGGATAGATTGTTTCTAGTCAAAGTTTCCGGGCTCCATTGCGCTGAATGATATATCCTATACTAATATGAGGAGAATTTCAAAGTCGAACTTATTCACCTCTTCCTCCAAAGACGAACCCACTCATGGGAGCATTGTTTGTGGCAATTTGTAGGCCTGAGTTTTGGCTGCCGAAGGTAACATTGACCACAGGTGTGGCTTGCGGCTTTGCAGCTTCTTGGATCTTCGCTAAAAGCTCACCCAGAAGTTTCTGTGATTCTTCTAGGTATCTTTGCTCTTCCTGAAGATTTTTGGCTGTCTCCTCAGGCTTGGGGTCTTGAATACTCAGGCTTTCCAGCTGGAGCTCCACTTGGCCTCGCTGCCGAACCGTACTTTGAGTGACAGCTTTTAGCTCATCTTCCTTTAAAGATAGTGTTTTTCGGATCTCTTGCGTAATCTTAACATGATGGAATGAGCTGTAACTGTATTTTCATATCTTGAATTAGTATAACCGATTGAGAAACGAGAGTACTTTATGACAGGCCATCTTACAGTGTCGCTGTACTAACAACCGAAGTTATATTGACCTGGCAGTTATGGAGCTTGCCCTGTATAGATTTGATATCGTCTTGTTTCCAAAATCCAATAGTTGATCTATCTCTCCATGAAAGCTTTTTGTCTTGAGAATGGCGAGTCCATCGCTGGAGGTCTGCTCGAAATTTGTCACAAGCCGTGGAACAGACTTTGACTGTTGATTTAATGTTGTCTCCCACACTTGGACCAAGGGAATCTAGGTCTTCGGGCTCAATATCTTGAAGAGACGAAAGGGCTCCGTCTACCAAGGAAAGCTCATTCTTGAGATCCTGCACGTTCTTCGGGGCGTCCTTTATATCCTGCAAATCCCGGAGAAGCAATCGCATACCATGCAGAGCAGGTATAACAACACCAGCAATACCAGAGACCAGGCTCAGAGGATCGGCCATGATGGCAAATTGCGATGAATTTCTGGGAGCAGAGACGTTGAGAAAAGAGGCCGGCAAGTTTGGCTGCATATCAGCCCAGTTAGCGCGGGGCGCAGCCAGCAAGCACATGATTGGCCAGCTGCGCAGTCTCACATCGTCTTCTGTAGCAGCCTGGCGCAACTGAATGAATATCGCAAGAATGGCTTCCACGATATCTTTTGGAGAACTGAATGCTGGAATCCAGGTCGGGGTCAATAATGCTCCCATCAATCAGATCCAGTTGCCACCCGGTAAGTCAACCAGGTGCCCTGTTGCGTTGATAGTGAGGGGGCGAATCTAATTCCCCACATCGCGGCTCCAGAGCGCCCTGAGACCCCTTCCGAGCCTCTTTCCACGGTTCCTTTCCTCCGTGACGTAGACTTCGTCGACCGCGGAACTATCCTTGAGCAAGTCGAGGAGAAATGTATTGTGCGACCATCGAGGCTGGCTCTTGTTGGGATGGGCGGTGTTGGGTGAGATAAACATGAAACTCTACCCGAGTGATTAATGCTGACAGCAAACTAGAAAGTCCCAACTAGCCATCGAATACTCCTATCGCGTCCGTGAGAGGTCAGCGAATACCTGGGTATTCTGGGTCCACGCGAGTAATGCAGCCCGGTTCGAACAGAGTTACAGAGCGATCGCCTACCAAGCCAAAATTCCTGGCTACCGGGACCCCAAAGCCAGCGTTGTATCGTTAGTCACAGACTGGCTACAAGTCGAGAAGAGAAAATGGATTTTGATTCTCGATAATGTTGACGACGATCAGTTTTTTCGCGAGTTGCAAAGAACCAGGCTGCGCACCAGCAACGGCCTCTCGGCTTTCTTCCATGCAGTTCAAATGGCTCAATAATCATAACAACTCGAAGTAGAGCAGTCGCTCTCAGATTTGTCGACGAACGAAATTTAATCGAGGTTAATCCCATGGATAGTCTCGACGCTTCAGCTTTGATGAAGGCCAAACTCGGGTACCAAACAGAACAGGGGGTTGCCACCCAGGACGATATCATGAAACTGACGGAGACTCTTGAATTTATGCCGTTGGCGATCGTACAAGCAGCGGCCTATATCAGACATCCAGCTTCCCGTTGTTTCGTCGCTCAATATCTTGAAGATTTCCAAAGCAGCGATTCACAAAAATTGAAACTTCTTGATTACGATGTGGGTAATATCCATCGAGATATGGATGCCAAAAACTCGATTTTGGTAACCTGGTCGTTATCATTTGAGCATATTCGGCAAACGCAGCCATCTGCTGCAGACCTACTTTCTCTGATGAGCCTCTTTGATCGACAGGGAATCCCAGAGGCGGTTCTCCAAAAGCAAATACCCCAGGAACAGATACCACGCAAAAGAGAAAAGCGGAAAATCTGAGAATGGTTCAATTTGAAGTTTCATAGCAGAAGATCATCTTCTGCAAGCAAACACGACTCCCGCGAAGATTCGAAGGAAAGTGGTGCCACCAACATTGTGTTTGACATTGAGCACGACATCATGATGCTGAGGGACTATTGCTTGGTCTCAATGGGCCAAGACTCATCGTCATTTGAGATGCATCGACTGGTGCAACTATCAATGCAAAAATGGCTCGCAGCTAACGGCGAACTTGAAAAATGGAAGTCCGTGTTTGTTGAAAAGTTGGACAGCGAGTTTCCTGGATGGGCTAATGATGAAGATTGGCCCTTGTGTCGATCTCTATTCCCTCATGTTCAATCCGCTTTGTTACAAAAACCTCTGCCAAGACTTGCTCTATCTCGTTGGGCTTCACTTCTTTATAAAGCCGCTCAGTATGGATATTTTCAAGACGAAGGCACTCGTCTAGAAGAGATGGCTATGGAATCCATGAATGCTAAGAAAGAAAGCCTTGGCGATATGGATCCTGGGGGTGCAATTGTGCTATCTTTGATCTACGGGAGACGCGGACAATGGCAAAGATCCATAGACATGCTCGAGAGAGTGCATAGAGACATGATGAAGATATATGGGAAAGAGCACATATTTACGCTCGACGTCAAGAGGGAGCTGGCAACAGCATACTACAGGAAGGGCCGGTTCCAGGAAGCTGAAACGTTGCAACTCAAGGAGCTCCAAATCAGAGAAATTCAATTTGGTAACGATGATCTTTCGGTTGCTGCAAGTATGCAGAAACTACTGTGGACCTATCGCGAACAACGCCGATTTCAAGAAGCCGTTGCCCTTGAAAGAAATATTATCGAAATCTACAAGAAACAATTTGGCCCAGAAGATCCAGCCACTCTTGCTACTGCAACGAGCATGGTAGATTCAGGTTTCTACCCTGATCCTCGTCTACTAGAAGTAGCCGAGTCTCTCGGAATTGAGGCATTCGACATTTGCAACAAAGCTCTGGGGCCTCATCATCCTAAAACTCTCAATAGTGCAGGATACTTGTCCATGATTCACCATATGAGAGGAAGGTATGAAGAGGCCGAAACGCTCGCCTGTCAAGTGCTCGAGACGCACAAAGAAATCCACGGGTCTGACCATCCGAAGACTATCACATACGCAGAAAACCTATCTGAGATTTATGTCGACATTGGCAAATATCAAGAGGCTGAAGTCCTCACTCAACAATTACTCGAGACCAAAACGAAAGTTTGGGGAGCTGCGCATTTCAATGTTCTGGAATGCAGAGAAAGTTTATCTGAAATTTTGGTTGAACAGGGTCGATATCAAGAATCCGAAACCATTAAATGCCAGGTTATTGAGAGCTTCAAAGAATTCCGGGGACCTCTAGGCTTCCAGGTAATCAATTCTATTTGGGGGTTGGTATGTCTATACGACAAGATGGAGGAATTTCAAAAAGCCTCGTCGCTCCGGTATCAAATATTCGAGGCCAGAAGCCTCAGCTCCGGTGCAGAACATCCAAAGACACTAACCTCTTTGTATAATTTGTCCTTGAGCTTAAAGAGGCAAGGGAAAGATCTAGAAGCCATGGATAAGATGACAGAATGCCGAGATAAGCAGGCCAAAGTTTTGGGTGTTGATCATCCCGACACCAAGGAATCGTCCAAGCAATTACAGCTGTGGCAAACTCCTAGATTGGATATTGGGGCTGCACCGATGGAAACTGATGCCACATAACCAGAGACTCATCATAAGAAACAAACGCCGGTTCGATTTGTCAACTTCTACAATACAATACAAGCGCAAGTAAAACTTAATTTGCATCTTCAAGTTACGATAGGAACATAATTGTGCTCAAAAGCTCAAACTTCATCAAGAGCCACACTCAACATTACATTTCATCAAGTTCAGGTTCATGTTCAGTCTCAAGGGCCTCATCTCGGGCCGTCGTCTCCTTTTTTTGCTTCGTCTCCTTCGCCACGCCACCTGATTCCTTCCCCCACAGACTATCATAAATATCGGCCCTATGCTGCTCAGTAGTACCCTGAAAACCGAATGTTATCACCTGCCGATAAGCATCAACGTATTTGGACGTAGACGAACCTGGTCACTTGTGGCCGCTTGCTTTTTATCGAGGTCTGGCTTCAAAGGAGATCCTTCGTAGTCATCGGGGAATGTAGTGTTGATGAAAACTTAGATCATCAAGTATTAGCTTTATACCTGGCATCTCGAGTGGTATTCTGAGCCATACATTCTTCGTTGCCCTTGGCGTTGGGCTGAGATTTCTCATGAATAGATGCCTGTGCCAGTCTGCTGACGCGGACGGCTGATGGCCTTGTGAGTTGACGTTTGATTAGAGCAGCGTACATGATGCAAGTACTAGTAGATCAGTTATGGTGTGCAGGTTGAGATGAGCTAGTAGGCGAGGAATTAGTACAGGTAGTCTCTGGGGGTCGTTTTAATAAAGCTTAGTAGCTCTTAAGCTGGGAGGTGATGATGATGTCAATCATCTGACAATCTGCGGCGAAATTGAGATCCTAATGATCCAGGAGCTAGGAGACGAATCACCGCGCGGGTCCTGAATGTCATTTGTTGAGCCACGAGAGGGCATTGGTTGGTGATATCAACCTGGAAAGTGTGCTGTGGAGGTGGCGACTACCGCGCAGCCCATTCCATGGTACCTCCCAGGCAGCTCATAGGTCGTGTGACTTTTCCCGAAATCTAGAACACAAGTATTTGTAGATAGTTTAGATTATATTTCCATGCATCTCGATTGGAGATCGAAGATGATCTATATATACAAAACTCCGGCATTGCATGGCCCATGAAGCGAGTGTATCGTTAAAATCCCATAATTCCTTGAAATGCGCCGTGTGGGAAAGAGAAATAAAAAAAACAGCCCAAGACAATGCTAAGACTCCCAATCCATAGCGCGCATTAGCAGGAAGGTCTCTGCGCTCAATCCCCTTTGGACCTTCTTGCCATTTTCTTCTGTGAAGAACTCCGGTTCGAAGTCGCTCGCCTTGGCCCATTCCTGGATCAAACGGCGCCAGTAGCAGACCTCGGCTGCTTGGGTGAGGTAACGCTCGCGGAATGTTTCCACGTTATTGTCGGCTATGCGCTGGGCATCTTTGTCGTGCTTGCGCAGCCATTTCATCTTCCTCTCCAGGTTTGACCAATCGCGATCGACCTCGACAAAGTTCTGCTGGGAACCCGAAGAGCGCAAGAGGTGGGAGTGATGTTGGATCCAGTCTAGCTTGTGCGAAACGACGACACTACGGCACATTTGTAGGTATTTGAGATGGCCGGAGTTGGTATTACCTTCCGTTTGAGCGAGGTATTTGTAGTCGCAGAATTCCGGCATCGTTCGGTATTCGTCTTGCATGGTTTGCTGACCGTCCTGGTCGAGAGATTTGACGTCCGCCCAGGGTTTCTTCTGAGTGACGCTGAGGAGCTTGTTCCGGATGTCATGGCCTAGAGTTAATGTGCCCCGCCATAATAGTTTGTCGTTTTTCTTCGACCAGGTCATTCCGTCTTTCTCGGCGCCCTCAACATCCATGAGGATTTCCTTGATCGAACCGGCTTTGATCTCTGGCCAAGACCAGAACCCGAAATCTGGGACCAGCCATACCAGTTCGTCCTCGGGGCGGCGGGTGTAACCCCATTGGGCGGCGTTGTCGACATGATCGTCGGTGTTGAAAGCAAATTCGATGTTGGGGAGTGGTTCGGGCGAGGTGAGAATGGCCCGGTTGATGGCGGAAAGCGTCGCAATCTCACGCGACCAGATGGCGCCTTCTTTAGCAATTACATAGAGCTGTCGGAAGAACCGGTTAGATCCTGGAAGGGTTAAATTCGAAGAGTAGCAGACCAACGACTCACCTGTTGGTCATAAATCATCGCACGGATGTATCCATTCCGCGGGGGTACCGAGTCGATTTCTTCGAGAGTGATCGGACGGTCGGCGCGTGCAGCACCGGCACGCTCGAGATCGGCAAAGAGATCGGGGAAGGCCAAATCACACTGACCCTGAGTCAGGAGCAAGTTGTCCCGGTCGCGCTCATATCGCCAGGCCCCATCGAAGCTGTGCTGGCTCTGCGGTTGGGTGAGGGGAGTTCTTGTCGGTTGGACGGGAGATCGGGGGTGCGGTCTGATGTAGAGAAAAAAGCCCCAGACCAGTAAGAGACAGGGTATGATTACCAGCAATTGGCGTTTAACAAGCAGCATTCTTCCATCTGGGCCCTAACGAAGGAGGAATTCTGGGGAACAAGGACAGGGACATGGTGGTGAGAGGAAAAGAGAAAGAGGAAAAGAGGAAAAGGGAAGAAAAAGCCCGGGCGCGGACTGGGGGAGACTCTGGGGGGGGCCTGCCGGAGTGCCTTGTGCCTTGTGTAGTTTAGTGAGAAACTAGCACTTCTTACTAGCTTTGTTACTCCGCACTCTCCGGTAAACCCGATGGGCAAGTCAGTACGAGGACTAGTAATGGAGGTGGCCGGTGGGGGCTTAAACCCAGTGATGGTCCATTGGGGCGCATTCTGATGATCGTCTGTGGTCGCGTGGCGCAGGGACTCGTGCTGACTTGAGTGTATAGAGTAGAGTAGTTTATCCCATACTGGTAGTAGTATACTATAACTTGAAGTTACTACTAGAGTCCAGATACTATATAAGTCATGACTTATAACTATAACCATTATCATATATCTGCAGTATATCTGCAGTATATCTGTAGTATAACTGCCAACTAAAATTAGCTGAGCCGCATCTTTTGGCCCCACCGGCTGTGTATCAAAGTTCAAGATTTACTTTAGTAGTAGGAGTAGTAGAAGGAGGATGTATTCTTTTCTTAGAATTGCTCAGAATTACTTGTCCATCATATTTCATTCCTTCATTGGCCATAGCCTCCAGGGCTACTACTATGTACCTAGAATATCGCCATACAGTTCGGCGGACTCGACACCCCCCGCGAGCAATTCAACGGACTACTCGATATAAAGAAACTCCACCGTCCCAGCCGCTGACACGTCGCCGCTAACTCCTCCAAATCAAACATCTCCCCAATAGGTACCCCCCCACCCAGCGAGCAGATAATGATGCAGATCAAACTCGGGCTGGCGAGCCGGAAAGACCTCAAAACTAACCGCATCCGACGCAACAGCCGCAAAATGATTATCCCACATAAACCGAAGCACCCGCTCACTCTGTTCAATACCCGCATGTTGCGGCATCGACTGCTCACTATACGCCTGTCGTTCATCAGCCGACATGCCCGCCCAAGTCCCAGGTAGTCCAACGCGCAGGAAGAAAATATCACCATGCTGGAAGGTGATGTTGGACTCGGCCGCGATCTCGAGGACCTCATCTAGGGAAATCGTCTGCCGGGTGAGTGCATTTAGGGGAATTCCTTTCTTCTCTGCGTATGAGACGTAGTCGATTAGGACCCCGCGGCCGGCAATGCCTCGCTTGGCCCAGAATCCGATGCCGATCCGGGGGGAGTCGGTGTCTTTGATTTCCTCGGCGGTTGTGCCGCCGTGGAAGACTCGACGCTCGGGATTTTCGGGCGTGGGTGCAGGCTGATTGTGGTGACGGAATCCATCCCACTGGGATGATTGTTGTGGGTTGAAATGGTATTCGTCGTCTAAGGCGATGCCCTCGGCTACCCACTTGATGCGGTGCTCGAAGGGTTTGCGGCCAAATCCTATAATCATTGTATCAGAATGGATTCATTATCCAGGGCTTGTAACACATCATTCTTTTCTTTCCCCGAGCGGGGCATAGAATGTATACCGGCTGGGGGGGACTTGAATGTACCTGGCGGAGTCAAGTTCTCAATATCCCAATTCAAACACACCCGTTCACCGGTCTGGATCTGTGTACGTGCTGCGTCCGCGACAACCTCGGACGTCAGCAGACGCAGCATTCCTAGACCTTCTTCCTCCGATCCCGCAGGCGCAGGCCAGTACCGGCGCTTGTCAGGAAGATCATCGAACTTGGGAAGATTGGCCATGGTGATGGAATGGTGTGAAGAGATAACTGCGGGGAAGTCGTGATATGTATAAGCTACTCGTAGCGATACACCAACTCGGGCCTGCAGGGCTAGGCTATGGGAGACGTAGGAAGTAGAATTCAATTATGAAGCATCAATTTCGGCTGCATTGACACTTTTAGCAACTTGAATTCGAGGGGTAGTGCACGGCTAAATAGAACGATGGTCCCCCCCACGTCGGAACAAGTCCGTTGACGTGGGCATGACCCTCCCCCGCAGCCCGCTTCGTGAGGTCCAGCCACGTCACTGGGATTGCAGATATGTGGGCACAGCTCATGAGGGCTGCTAAATGGACCATATGCCCTTCTGGATCCAGCTTAGTATGTAATCTCCATACAACTTTGAATACACTTAATCTACCTCTAGCGCTGTAAAAGTGTCTAGTCCCTTGTTGACCTCTCTTGTCTCCGCCTTCCTATGGCAGACTAGTACCTACCTAAGATGGAATAGAGTAGCTCATCTATTCTATTCTAGGTGGGCACCAGTCTGTTAACTATTAGAAGACAGTAACTGATGGTAGACAAAAGGGAGTCAGAAACTTTTGCAGTACTAGTACTACTCTAGAGATAGATTGGGTGTATCGAAATTTGTATAGAGATTACATTCTAATCTGGATTCAGAAGGGCCCATGGTCCATTTAGCAAAAAGGGCGGTCCATTTAGCAGCCCTCCAGCTCATATATGAACTCCCAAAGGGGCAAGTAAGCGATAGCCCTGCATGGAGTGTGCATTCACCGAGTGACCAGCTCAAGATCCAGCATATAGGCTGGTTACCCAATCTACTAAACTCTAGATCGACCCACGTAGGGTACTTCCATGCACAAGAAAACGATAGACATGAACTCTTTTATTACATCTTAGCAGTCATGCTGAGAAGTCAATGCCGACGCTATAACATAATCTACTCCGGAAAATAATAACAAGCGGCATATTCCCTATAAGAGAACAACCTAGCAACCAAATAGAATTTACAAGTCATCCAGGTCGTCGTCGTTAGTCTTTGAGCCACGGCTGGGCAGGTCAGACATTTCATACTCTTCCTTCCGGCCCGAAGAGCCATTCCTGTCCGAGGCTGACATGGCCATAGCTTGCCGACCTGTGTCGGAAGACTCGAGAAATTCGCGCAGGCGACGTTTGCCCTCCTCGAGAGCTTGCTGCGATGCTGCCTCGGTCATCTTCAGGATAGGACCCCACAGATTGAGTTGATAGGTGATATAGGCACCAACGGCGCACACAAACAGCAAGAAGAAATAGGCGGGGTTGCGGAGAACTAAAGCAAAATCGGATCAGTAAAGGTACAACAAAGTATATGGGACGAATCCCGACTTAC